ATGAGTCTAAGGAGATGAGTTGGGAGGGAAAAGGAAAATGAGGAAGAGGAAAGAGGAAAGGAGAGGAGAGGGAAGGAGAGGAGAGGGAAGGAGAGGAGAGGGAAGGAGAGGAGAGGAGAGGAGAGGAAGCGAGAAAGAAGCTTTACTCACTCAATCAATCTTCTACTGTCCCAGCCCACATCTTCTTCCCCACACCACCCTCGATCTCACATCCCATCCCATCCCATCATGTCCCATTCATCAACAAAGTCCAAACAGCACAATGACCAATGTAAAATATATGTGAAATGCACGTGGAAATGAAAATGGATGCGAATAGATGCGAATGAAAACCCAAGTACGGTATGTATGTATGGAGATGCGGCATTTGCATGTATATCTTTTGTTTCGTTTCTATAATATTTTGGTATTTGAGAACCATACAATAAAGGAAGGATTAGGATTATTTTTTTCTTCATTTGTTCTGTTTTTTATTTGTTCAAGTTATTCTCTACTTTTATCCATCTACGAGTACTATTTCCCTTTACAGCCAGCAGCCAGCTTCCAGATATACATCTATCTATCTACATACAGTATCATAAACCCGCTGCAATTTTCTACTCGAGTACTTCTACTTCTACTTCTACTTCTTTACTCAGTACTCGAGTAGATAGATATACAATAGATATATTCTCTTCTAACTTTCTTATCTTATACTCGATATTATTACTTTTTACCTTTATCTCCTATTCACATACATCCTACAGTTAATTCATTTATTTATTATTCTAAATCCTTTTCTATTATTTATCTCTTGCATCTCTCGTTCTATTATTCGAATTCTATCATTCTATCATTCCACTATTCTATAATCAATCTAATCTAATCAACTCCCCTCCTACTCTCGAGTAAGTCCAGATCACTTCTCTCCTAATATCATCATCATCATCATCATCATCATCATCTTCTTCTTCTTCTTCTTCTTCTTCTTCTTCTTCTTCACTCAAAATCTCAAAATCTCACAATCTCATCCTCTCATATTAAACTTCATTCCTGCCAAGTTCCAACCAGACCCAACCTATCCATATCCCAATTCCCAGTTCCCAGTTCTCAGTTCCCAGTTCCTCCACCCTCCACATTCTTTTTACAAAATTATTCCTTTCAATCCCTTTCTCCCTCCTCTTTTATTCCCTCCGCCCTATCAAAATTACCTCCAAGATCCGCCCATCCACATCCACATCCCATTCTTGAATCCCCCGGATATATTATATCCTCCTACTAGATCCGTATCCACTTCCCATTCACATCTCATTCCATCCACACCCCAAACCACCCAAAGCTCCAAACCCCAACTCCCTTACCATCCCCACCCTACATGAATCCCCCCTCTCCATCCCTTTCCTCTCCCTCTTCCTCTCCCCTCCCTCTTCCCATCTCCTCTTCCCATTTCTTCTTCCCTCTCCCCTCTTCAATCCCTCTCCCAATCCTCTCCAACCTCCCAAGAACTGTCCAAGGACCTTATACATATCTCTCACAACATCTCACACCCCAGAAACATCATCATCATAATAGGTAGTAATTCATTTAATTAACGAATTAACGTATTGATTTACCCGTAACTCGTAACTCGTAACTCGTACAATAAACAGTATTTATTGCATATCCCATATCCCATATCCCATTTCCAATTTCCATTTCCCCCTCCAATTCAAAGTTCAAACTAACTAACTAACCTAACTATCGAGGCACATATCACGTTATATATCACCTATGATCAAATATAGTATTAGAAGAACATTACATTACATCACATCTCCTCCTGCCATCTCCTCCTCCTATCCATCTCCTGCCATCTATTAAAACGGATTTTACTTTACTTTACTTTACTTTATCTAATTAAACCAATTCAAGTTATTACATCTCTATCACACATTCTCACTTCTCCCTTTCCACCTCCCTCTCACCCCCCTTTCCACCTCCCTCTCATCCAACCCCCTCTCATCCACCTTTCCCCCTCTCACCTCCCTCTCACCTCCGTATCCCCCTTCCCCCCCTCTCATCTACCCCCTCCCATCCCCTCCCCTAACCAAAAAGCTTTTCTCCAAACATCAAGTCTCAAGAAGAGAAACTTTTCAAGTTTTTATATAATAATTAAATTGCATTAAATTAAATCATCACTGTATATGTATCCATCCACACCCTCCATACCCCTCCCCCTTCCCTTCCCTTTCCTTCTCACACTCTCCCCCTCTCCCTCTCCCCCTTCCCCTTCCCATGCCCTCCCCAAACATCCAATTCAAGATTCAATTTCAAATTTCAAATTCAATACAAGAAGCCAACCCTCCCAAGCCAAGGAGAGAGATTATACATCATCATCCCATCCACATCCCATCATCATCCACATCAACATAATCCACATAATCAACATCAACAACATCTTTTAAATTCTCGTACTACGAGAGTTCTTTCTATTCCATTCTATAATATACATACATTCATACATACTCGTACATACATACATACATACACGCTCCAGCCACCACTTATACATATTTATACTTATACTCATATTCGATCCTACTAGTATATACCGATATGATACCGTCATGACAGTTGATGAGAACTTATTAGCGGTAGTGACTTTTACCGTTGAGATAGTTCATATCGTATCTCATCTACATCCTCATCCTCATCCTCGTCCTCATTTTCATACACGCCTCCTCATTCAGGATAAGAACTCTTGCGGATGCGCATACCCATGTCCTTCTGACTTCTCTCCAATCATCCACCGTACTTCCTCTGCCATGGTCCTGTATTCCTTCCAAGAATGACATCGTGTCTTAACTCAAGAATCGTACTTGATATTTTCCTTCCTATTCGTAACCTTGTTCGTTTTCGATTCCGCCCCCGAACTCTTTCCTTTGATCGAATTTCCATTCAATACAATTTTTGGCTGTGGACTCTCTGATAAAGCCGCCTTGACAGCCACAGCATCCCCACCCTGTCTAGTCAACGCATCCAATCTCTGTTCTTCCGCCAACTCATTCTCATCATTGTCACTTCTGTCATCCTCAACTATACTCATAAAGACAAATCGGTATGCGATACGTAAGATATAGAATAACCAGAAGAGATTGAGAGCTTGCAAGCTTGCGAGGAGAGTGGTAGAAATGACGTGTGAAAGTTGACACTTGTATTGTTCTGTCTGCCAGTTCAATTCATAAGGTCCAACGGTTTTGAATTCGTTGAATTCTGAGTAGAGAATTCGGAGGTTGAGGTAATGGCGGAGGTATACCCAGGTGGCGATAAAGAATGCAAAGTAGGGTCCTACTAGAGGGTGATCTAGATAATTGAGAGTTTTGGATGTCTAAAACGATATTAGCCTGATTTATACTTTTTAGGTGAGAACGGAACAGGGACATACAGCGAGGAAGAAATCACTGATATCATGAGTGACATAAACAGCCAATCCCATATATGTGAAATGAAAACGGTAGCTTAACCCAATAAGGAACAACGACACAATATGATGTCCCACCAACTCTCTATAATCCTTCCTAGGTTTCTCCAAACCCAAACTTAAAACTAGAGCCTGCTGCGCCCAGTATGCGGCCTGGAACAGGTAATAGAACTTAAACATGCCCTCATGTGTTTTGTGCGGGAACCCTTCGTACATCCCGCGTGTGTTGAAATACCAGACCGGTGTCCGACTCATGACGTATAAACCACAAGGACCGAGAAAACCAAAGTATATAGCAGTATACATTTGTTCCATGAATCTCGATTGTTTTGCCCTGCTCTTCAATCCACTCTTGCGAGCCAATGGTCGGAGGAATTTCTGCATGATGAATTCTCGAGTGAAGGATAGAACTACAATGTAGAAAGCTACCAGAGCAAAATCCCAGGGTCCTTTGCCATATTGAACCGGTGTTCCTGGTGCAGCGCCTTCTTCTGCAGGAAGCTCATACGCAGGGAATATGAAGTAGTGGAGGGGGTTCGATTTCGACGGATTGATGGCATATAAGGAGAGAACAGCTGCGACAAGGGATAGTGGTGTAACCCAAGTATGCTTCAGAGCATATCTCTTGTATTGCTGCAAAAGTGTCTTTGCTTTCCGCCTTTTCGAATATGGTTTCTTTCGATCTCTATCCGCCTGGGCCTAATGACCATCATATCCGTCAGTACATGCAATTGTCCTCGGAGAAGGTGGAATGGTACTGACCTTGATTGTCCCAGGTGAAGGTGGTCTAACATCGACTGTAGCAAAAGCCGGCGCACCTGTATCTCCAGCTCGAATCTCACCACCTAGCCCACTAGAGCGTCGTCGTACCCTCGGTTTATCAATACTGCTTGGAGCATTGAGAGGGGTTAATTTATCCTGCTTTGCTGTAGATAGCAGCTGTGGGAAAGATTCGGTCGCAGCAGGCATGTTTGGAAACACGATGAATGGTTGAACCAATTCTTGTGAATCAATGAATGCCGAATCTTTGATAAACCACAACTTCCAAGATACCAAGAGGTGGTCAATTATAATAGAAGTAGTAAGGCGATACACTGATCCTCCAAAGCATACAATGGTGCAAAGAAAATGTAGAAGGTGTATAAATCGTTAACACGTACTTGGGACATTCAACATTTTTTATCAGCCCTGAACGAACTCGGTACCGCAGTGAGCTTAAAATCGTCTGGGATCCTTACATCTCCACCATCCGACATCATTCTCCTATTACGATTCATCAAAGGACAACTCTATGACCGAACAATACACTTTCAAAGAATTTACATCATTAATTGTCCAATTTCATAATAATATTTGTATTCACTCATATATAAGTCGCAAACAGGACTTCGAATTATGAGTACATGCTTCGTAAGAAGTGAGATTGACCGAAAGGAGCTCTATATCCCCTTGATGATTTAGTTTTATTTGAAAACCACCACTCTATGTAGTCTAGTAGACTGTAGTAGGTATGTATCTCTATATCTTCATGAGAGGATCCTACTCAATCTGATTACTTACCTAATGATCATTCATTGGTCGCTTCGTGGTTTTTTGCAATTCACAAGTCGCAAACAGTAGTCCATATTAAGGATATGCTTGGCAAGATAAGTAAATAAAAGGGGTATAATTTGAAAATATATAGAAAGAGCTGGCTAATAATATGCTATGCTTGAAACAATTTTCATCAAAAAATTCGTGGTCCCGTGCCTTGATTAACTGTATATATAAAATGCAACCCGTAATTCGTGTACATTGTGTGTGGTATCTATGTCCATGTCCATTTCCTTCCTTCCTGTATCCGGTCGTAATTTTTTGGAACTCCTTTTTGATGTCCCAATATATCAATATACAAATGCCCAAGTCTTAACGCCACGCTCATGCTCATGCTCAAATAAGGATCGTACCAGAGTCGCTCTGTCAAGGATCTTCGACCCTTGGCCTACGTGGCGGTGCCGGTATAGTTGTCACTGGTAAACCATCTATGATTGGGGGGAGAGCCGGCGTGACAGGTGTTCGAGCCTGGGGAGGACTGCTTCGTGAACTCGAAAATGTGGGAGTATGGCGGCTAGTCATAAGAGTCGGCGAGGAAGTGGTATTTTCAACTCGCTGATCTATTTCTGGTTGTACCGCCGTTGCAAAGGATATGCTCCCACGGTGAGTAATAGAATGTCGCTGAAGACTATCTGGAGTGTAAGGATCACTTGTTCTTGTGTGATTATCTCGTCCTGAAGTGTCAATCTCCGTATGGGATGGTCCTTCATGGGAGGGATTGGTTAAATCTGTATCCAGCTCCTCAGATTCCGACGCCACAGCACGTCTTCGACTTGGTGCTGGAATGACAGTAAGAGGAAGAGGAACTGTATCGACCGTGGGACGTGTCTTCTCACGATACCTTTCTGCTTGAGTGGCTGCAAAGCCTTCAATTCGGGCGCGCATATCCCACCGATTCGAGGATTCATGACCACTAAAAGGTGTTGCAGGCTTTGCGGGCTTCGCAGTATGTAATGAAACTTCTGCTGGAGGCCCTTGAACTCGATGCCGGAAAGGACTAAGGGCATTCCAGTGCCAACTGTGGGCACCCGCCGCCACTACAGGTGTATCCTCCGGCTGACCAACAACAATAGCTGGCTTGTCAGAGTCAACGTCTTCATTACTAACGGACCTGCTAATTGATATAGCCTCACTGTTACTTCTCGAAATATTCCTGGCAATTATTGGTGGGGTTGCTTCACTGATGGGATGATATCTCACTGCATAAACAGTGCTCTCAGCGCTGGCAGTATCCGCCCTGTTAATAGGGGTAGCAGCAGGCTGAGGCCTAGTAGGCCATAGTGGAGGACGAGTTGTCAGTAGATTTCTGCCTGTACGTTGACCGGGACCAGACGAGGCCTCAAGATCATTCGTAGCACGCGGCCTGTAGCGGTTAGCTAACCCAGACATTGCTGGCCAAGTAGAACCCGTAGCTGTCCCGCCCCTATCGTCGTTGTCTTTTCGGAAATGCTTTGTCCAATCCGATGTTGGAGTGACCTCTAGCATTTCATCTCCATCAAAGACCTCTCTTCCGAGCACTCCATCTTTCTTTTCATTCCTTTCTAGGGCTTCAATCCGCTCTACCCACTCCCATACCACTACACTTGCTGCTGCGGCGCCAACCCATCGGACGTAATCCCCCCATGCAGCGAGCGTTGGCTTCGAAATATCAAGGACGAAAAAGACTACAGGTACCAGCACTGATACCAGCGACAATATTGCCACAAGAAAAATGTTCCGCATTTGCGGGTGATAAAATGCGTAACGCTTCTTTGAAATAGCATAGTAAATGACCCAAGCGCAGTACAGAAGACTTAGGGCGAGCTGAAAGAGGTAGGCTAAGGCGGGTACAGCATCTGTAAAAAGGCGGGGTCGCGAATTGCCGTTATAGACGAAGTTGTTGAGGAGACTAAATAGAACGTCCAGAGTAATCAACGCAAATGCCGTCCATTTAATGATGATTTTCTCTCGCTGTCGTGGAAATAATCTTATCAGAGTCTGGGCTTGCGCGAGCCATAGGAAAGTATCCGAAATAACACGAATGATCTTGAGTTCCATACCCCCCTCGACTTCTTCTTGTAAAGCTGACGCATTCATAAGCCCAAGCTCGTATTGTTGTTCTGCGACACGAAACGTATCTGCCGTCGCGATAGTCAGAGAGACTGCAACCGTTAATGCTGCAACCTTTTGTAGCCAAGGTCTTCCACCAATGCCAATGCCAGCATCACTACCGGACGGACCATTTGTGAATCCGCGTCGTCCCAAGACCACAGCGCCTTGAACAAGAAATGTTCTTGGGGTAATTAAAAGCATTATGACTAGCATGTATGCAATCACGGTCGTGGCAGCGAGTGCGTAACATTCGGGTATCGTGGAAGCGTAGAAGGGGTCACGGAGATCAACGAAAGACGTAGGACTGCCCGCATTCGTTATAACAATATCGGCCGTGCCTGTACATTGGGGAGTGAAGATGGCATTGGTTGTAAGGGTGAAAAGCTCAGATTCACCGATATCGATAACGCCATTGGAAGGGAGGGTGAACGGTGTACAATGAGGTCGAGTAACGGTTGTAGATGGAGTTGACGAAGGCTTCTGATTGTTGATTAATTGTCTTCGGTCCATTTTCATCTGTTTGGGGGGCGGCCCTGCCGCTAATTGCTGATATAAACTCAATGTGAAGTTATTGGCATGTTAAAAGATATATAATTTTCCTTAATAAATGTTTGCTGTTGATAGGTATGGTATGGTATGTTGCGTTGCGAAGTTCTGATGTTCTGATGTTCGTGAATGAAGATCAACCAAGTATATTTGAGTCCGTTGAGTCGCTCAGGCTTTGTTGATTCGGGGAATCAAAACTTCAAAAGGGGATGAAGGATAGATGGGTTCAAAGAGAGGATGGATAATCAATCACGATGATACTGTTTTGGCTTGTTTATGTTCGGATTCATGAATTGTTCGAGATCAGTTTCATACAACTTAAGTGAAGTAAGTGTGCTTAAACTTAAACTTGTACTGGTGGCGAGTCTAGAGGGATTTCGTAAAGGTAGTACCGATATGCCTTGTATACCTGGACAAGCAAGTGGACAGACAGGGTTATCTTAAGTTGGATGATTTGCAGCATTCTCCAAGGGATTTAATTTCGAATTTCTCCAGAATTGCTATTTCACCATCTTATAATATACTAACTATTCTTGTACTCGAGTACCGGTATCCAATTTGAACCTTTACTCGAGTACATTGTTTATATTTTAGATTGCCACAAACGTGGACTCGAACTCGGACTCGGCTTTGTATGTATTGTCAGCGTTGTCATATACAACTTACCAGTTGATCAATTTACTGTCGCATCAGCTTATTACATTATCTAGCCTTTACCTTGTACCTGGCAGGTAATAGTATCTAACTTGTCCGGTATTTACTCTCACCTTGATTGTTGCGCCAACTTGCGACAGGCCAAAGCACAGCCAATGAGACAGACATGGTTACCTAGGTAAGTAAAATAAGTCTAGAGATATCCATGCCGAGGGCCCATCGTGTCATCGTGCCATCGTGGCCGGTAAGAATCTGCGATGGCTGGCTTGATTTCTCACTTGTCGTTTCGTTTTTATCCTCCCCCATATAGGTTACAGTGAGACTGAGTGAGTAGGTTTGTACCGTGATCGGATTCACATTGCTGTGTATGTTACTCGTATATTCTCTCATTTAGGGACTATTTTCTACTTTCACCAGTGTTTGATGAAAATATAGATTCAAAAGTTTATTATGTTATAGACTTCAGAATTGATTAGATGATATTGTCTCAATAAAAGCGTGGCTTTTTATCCATCGCATCGCCAAGTAACGGTGACATGCCTTGGAAGTGCCTTGGAAGTGCCTTGGAAGAAAGCTTGGTGCTGTTAAGCTATTGGGGGACCAGTACTACAAGAAACTTGGGGAATGGGGGGGGGGAATGTGGGAGAAGGAAGAATTGGTTGGATTTGGATCTCGGTTGGTTCAGGTGGTGGGTTGTTTCCCATGGGTTCATTTCTTGACAACGGAAGCAAAACATAATCAGACTACTCGAGTAAGTTTATTGAGCTTAAGTTACTTTTTTTGAAAAGTACATTTTCAACTCACTCTAATAATGATATATCGTCGGCCTACAGAAGATCCAGTCAAGGATACTTAAGGTATCACTTAAATCGGTCCTGCAGTACAAATGATTTCTATCCCGCATATCCATATACCACCACACCCACCCCCTCTTCTATCGGATAAATGCGAACATACAATACATATAGCCAAAAAAGGCAGATTGCAGGAGAAGTATTGTCTAGAGGGAGGTACAGTACTGGTAACACCATACAATTGGTCACGCGAGGGAATCCCCAATATATCTACAAGTACTGTATGAGTACCGATAGATGATATGATTAGGTAAAGGTTATCGAATATTTTCAGAGTCCAGAGAAGCTGTATGCAAAGAGGAAAAAGGATGAAAGATGATCATGAAGAATGAAGAAGAAAATTCACACAGCAGGATCTCTAAATTCTGAGATTATCACATGTTAATTGTTAATTCAATGAGCAGCACTTGAACATGACTTCAACTGTGATTTGTCCACCTTCTTTTCCTCCGACGACGACTCCGAGCTCCGAGTCCATAGTAGAAAAGAAATTTCAAGCCACAGATGAGAAAGAAGTGTTCTTATGTGGCTCATTATTGCCAGTGCTTCCAAAACATTCCAGTTCAACCCTTCAACTTGTTGGGTTGTGAAAAGCATGCTTAGGTAAGAAAGATACCGGTAACTGTCTATGAAGAAGGCTAGGAGATATGTTTTTATGGATATCTAACTGCATGAACCCTCCTCCTTGTCTGAACATTTGAACATTTCTGAATAGAAGCATTCATTATTAATATTAAGCCTCCTCCATCTTCCCCCCCTTCCCCCTTTTATTAAGCAGTCTTTTAGTACTCTCTACGCGTTGAAACTCTTTGATAACTTCATGAATGATACTGTACAACTTATATGGGTTGACCGCTAGGCTGCATACCCGTTGTAATCTTTTGAAACGAATTGCGAATTCTAGCTATCGTATCGCTCTGATCTACAATAATGGAATATCGGTCGGTACCTTACTGGTTGGTATGTGATGTGATGTAATGGCATATGTTCGTTCTGACAGTGTATAGAAGGTATCTAATACTAACGATAATATACAATAGAACAACTTGCTGTGAGACAAGAGAGATCTGCATTTCTCTCCTTCAACTTCCTTTCAAATGTCCACTCTCACCTCCCTCTCATCCCAATTAGATGCTTGCTTATACTTTTTTATATCCACAGAAACCTATTTTCGGGTACAAAGTTGGTAATACTGCCTGCATAGCATAATTGTGTAAAAAAGAATCAATGTAAGGAGATGCTTTCAAAGAATAAATCAAAATTGAAACATTCTCGAAAGATGGTCAACTTCTGTATCAAAACATTTCATTAATTAAACGCCTTTACTTTCGAAACAACTCCTTTCCTTCTTGCTGGTTCAAAAGTCGATTCTCCTATCAGCCCCCTTGGTTAATAACAATAATACATACTTACTGTAACTTGTCTCTAACCTTGAAAAAAAAATAACCCCGGAAACTACCAAAACTTCTTGAACTCTCTCTATCTCTCTCTATCTTTCTCTCTCTCTCTCTCTATTTCTCTATACCTACCTATACGTTTCCTTTTGGACTTCACAATAATTATTCGTTGCTATTTTGGCCCCCATTCACTCCTTTTTAATCAGGAATTCAGGGTTTAGATGTGGCAGAGCAATCTCGCTGAATTTCATTTGGATGTTAATCATAATCTGTGCTCGTGCCTGTCACAAATCGTCTCATAAAGTGGTATTTAAAGAAACCACCGTCAAAACTAGAATTATTCTTCCTCGAGGTCTGCGACCTCACAATACGATAGAGATATGACGCGCCCGGAAATAATTCGTGCTGGTGGGTTTTATTATCGTATTGTCTCTCTCTAATGGTAACTGATTTTATAGATTCAATTGATCTTCAGGACCCGAATTCCCCATCGGCGCAAGATCATTCTAAAAAGCATCCAAATGCTGCACCTTTAGGCACTGGTCCACCTGCTCCACATCAGGCCGAAGCATTACGGGAAGTCGCAGCAGAAGTCGCAGATGAGCAACATCGAAGTCCACGAGTGTCAAGGGAATGGGTCAATGGCGAAGGACAAATGATACAAGATTATACGAATGACGACTTGGCCGCTGGAACTACCTCTGCCTTGAACGGGAACAATCAGCAAGGTGATTTGGCAATTGGTCAGAATGGGGGTTTGACAGGTTCCGGGGGCGAAGATGGAGACATGGCGGATGCCGAAGGGGACGATGGCATGGATGATGATATGATGGACAAGATATCCAGCTCCCCATCAATCGACGATGGTGGGTATTCTCTTCCAAAAATTTGGCCTTCTAGGTCCGACTCCCTGTCCCGGGCAAGCTCCTCGTCGTTTTCACAAGCGTGCGGCGAAAGTTCATCCCCTTTCGTGGAGCCACCCACTTTCTTTCCATTACAACCCATGAGCGACCGGCTAGAGATGGACCTGAGCCAGGTGGCTCTCGAAATCCAATATCATCATCTTCATCTAGGTGAGTATCTCGACCGGGGGAATAGTACGACGTCCAACTATGACACCGATGCGCCTACACCAGTAACTCCGGAGAAGTATGGACCTTGCGTTGAAAAATTCGACCAGGACTACAACGAGGAGTACTTTCATGACCAGCTCATAGCAATGCATGATTCGGACCAGGATCTAGCCCCAACTCCCGCTTTTGACCCTTACGACTATGACGAGGCAATGACCATACCATACGAAAGCTCCGAGGACGAAGAAGACCAATATGATGACGATGATGATGACGATGATGATATTCCATATGCTGCTGACTCTAGATTTGTTGATTCCGGATGGGGTGGAGAGTGCTTACAAGAATCAGAGGACATCGACTTCGAATTCGTCTACGCACTCCATACCTTCGTCGCTACAGTAGAAGGTCAAGCGAATGCAACTAAAGGAGACACGATGGTTTTACTGGACGATAGTAACAGCTATTGGTGGCTAGTAAGGGTAGTTAAGGACAGCAGTATAGGCAAGTCACACTACAAAACATCCCGATTCAATCGCCAATCTAATGTTTTTGACAACCATAGGATACTTACCAGCAGAACACATCGAAACACCCACAGAAAGACTAGCTAGACTTAATAAGCATAGAAACATTGATGTGCGTGCTAGTTCCCTGGACCTGCCAAGCGTTGCTAACATGTACAGCTTACATCGGCTATGTTGGGGGACCAAGAAGAGAAGTCGAAAAACCCGCTGAAGAAAGCAATACGACGAAGGAATGCTAAGACTGTAACGTTCACGGCGCCGACATACGTTGAAGCTTCGGATGTCGATTACTCTACTGACGAAGAGGACGGCGACGGAGACTTCTACGGGCAACAAGAGCAACGGAGTGAGCCGCAGGAGCAGGATGTTGATGATGGTGATGATGATGATGATGATGATGAGATCGTTGCATTAGAGCCTCTCAAACCGCGTTCTGATCTTCGCGACGCTAAAACCGAAAGTCCGGAGGGCGACAACTCAACTGTCAAATCCAGCTTAGATGCGACCAGGAATAGTGACGAGATATCAGACGGGAAGTTGGAAGGTAGCAAATCTAGGAACGGTACCCTACGAAACACGGATTCATTCTTCAAAGACGACACCGTGGAAACTAGAAAGATTTCTCTGACACCAAATCTACTTCGTGATGATTCTAGCACTTCGACTCGAACATCTAATGAATCCGAGAAACCGAAGCAGAGGCCGAGCCTCGATAGAATTGAAAAGGATCTTGTGTCGGACAAAATCAAGGACAAGAAGGATAAAAGGGACAAGAAAGACAAAGAAAAGAAGCCAGGAATGCTTAGCGGGCTATTTAAACGAAAAGATAAGAAGTCGAAGCACCAAGATGATGATATCGAAGATTCAATATCATCAAGCAAGCAATCAAACGAGAATCCTAGGTCGTCTCCTTCCCCTAGCAAGGACTCGGATCTGGCGTCTGTCGAGGAATCGAGTCCAGAAGCCCAGAAACAGCCCAGCAAGTTACAGAAACAACCGCATCCGGAAACTAATTCCCCTAGTCGCAAGCAAAATATGAGGGAACCAAGATCTATGGAACCAAAACTCGCGACAATCTCTGAACGTGCAGTTGCAGCTGATTCGGCGCCAGGACCTTCTTTGCGTCTAGTACAGCCAGAGCCACAAGCAACGGCGTCAAATCAACAAGGAAATAACATCTCACCCATAATCTCGAGTCCCAAGTCACCTGGGCCGATAGCTAAGATCTTGCATTCCGCGATTTCCGGCAATTCGGAGCCAAAGCCTGTCAAAGCCAAGAAGGCAAAGGCTCGAGTCGAATTAGACGATTTTGATTCATCTTCTGAAGAATCCGACGTAGAAGAACCTAGTCGTTCTTCAGGTGAACAGGCTCAACGACCTCTTCCAGGTAGCTTCCCTGACAGTTATATCGCAACTCCTGCGACGGAAGATCGTAACGCTATGGAAGAGAGATTATCGGAATCTCCGGTACAAATTTCTCCAGTCACGCCGACACACTCTCATCCACCAGCACTCATGGTAGATACGTCTAGTCAAGAAGAACCACCATCGCCAATGTCATCACCCTCACCTGAACTTATTGACGCTGATGATGTCAAGAAGGGTGCCGGAAGCTCTACAACTTCAACATCGACACCTACATGGAGCGACTCGCATCTTAGAACGTTCTTCGATGATGATACAGATATCAGAGATCTGTTAGTTGTTGTGTACGATAAATCGGGAGTAGTGCCAGCAGGATCAGATCATCCAGTTGTGGGCAACCTTTTCAAAGAAGAAAATGCCAAATTGGCGGATATAACCAACGTGAGTTTTGAAGACATGGGAATGAATATTTTTGTACTGACCGCATTACAGCGTTTGGATGGAATGCTAGGTGATTGGTTAGCTCGCAAAATGAGGACACAAACTTCAAGATGAAAATCGAATACAAATTGTAGATCTTACATGAATCAATGAATTTATGATGAAGCTGGAGTGATTTGGGCACACATTTTGGCGCTAATGGGGAAAAGGAGGGAAGGGTTTGGCATGGGGATGGGATACCTTATACCACAACATTGGATCTTTGAAAGATTTTCTCATTCGGCATTGGCAAGAACACCTTGTACATAGTTCTGCCTTGCGTCGTCGGCTGGTTATTTTCCATTGGTTTTCTTTTCTTTTCATCATGCTCTTGATGGGTCTATATATCACCAGATTCTTCGGTATTGTTCGCGAGTATTGCCTAATAAGGTAGACAGATACATTGGGTTAGCTGGCATTGAGCATTGAGCACCTTGGGAGGCTTGGGGCGAGACAAGATATGAATTAATTGATATTTGAGTATGGTATTCATGTGTATTGATTGTTGGTTTTTGATTTTTGATTTTTGCTTCCAGATTTGTAATGTGTGAATGAAATGGGGTGACATGGAGTGAAGTGAGAGATACCGAGTACTCGAGTACATATATACATAGACATCGTAATCGAGAAAACGGCGACTATAGTACTATGGCGCGTAATTGCTACTATACTTACTTACCTACTTACCTACTTACCTAGTAGGCTAAGTACTTAGATACAGTATTCTACGAGTTAAGCTAGATAAATGATAAAAGATCAACATTCAAGTTGGCCCCTAAACGTTTATTTATAGAGTTTTTCTCCTCCCTATATTTTATACTTTATATTTTAAACGCTCGCGTTGGTTATCCGGACTATATGGGGAATTTCTATGAGTAATTAGAGTAAGTATATAAATCTTTTCTTTGAGGTGTGAGGTGTGAGATGTGATGTGAGACGAACTTTGGAGTTTGGGAGTTTTGACGTGTGAGGTCGGTGGTGAGGTGGTAAGGTGATGAGGTGTGAGGTGTGTGTGGTTTTATTGGGTGGTGTGTTGATATTGGTTGGTTGTTATTTTTCTTGTCTTGACTTTGTGGTTGGTTGTGGGAATGAATGGATGAATGGATGAATGGATGGATAGATAGATACTAAGAAGGTTTTTCCTCCTCTATTTTCAGTTAAGATCAACTGAAATTTTATCCGTTATTTTTGTAACTTAGCTAACTCAGCCTTAGCTTTAGCTAATTCATTAGCTTTCTCATTATATAAGTTAATGGCTTTTATCAGTAGAAGTATAACTAACATTAGAGTTTATACTGTTAGCAGATGGTTATTAGGGGGAATAGATACTGCATAAATATTGAAAGTTAATATAGCTAGCTATGTATTACTATTACTAATAGCATATATCGATTTTGGGAAGCTGTGGAAGTATGATAGTAAACTGTATTGATTTTTAATATAGTTTTCTAGACTATTGGTTAAATGTTTAAATGTTAGATGTTAGTCTTCTTGCTTGGGATATGTGATACTGATGTCGTTTTGAATTACTACTTGGGTATAATCAATCACAATACATGTATTCAGATACTATCATTTATAATCATTTGTATTTCTTATTTTGTTTATCTATCAACCCATCAACTAATCTTGCTTCACTTTGAAGCATCAACTCACTTACTTTGTACTCACTCTGCGACCAGCCAGCCCATCAGCCATATATAAAAAGAAAAACCTCCACAACTCACCACTCCATAAATTTAAGCGCAGAGCTTTGACCTCTCCTTCATGGAGGGTTAAGCGAAACAACCTTCATCTGCACCTACGATTCTTGTGAGGAACTTGGTTTAGATTGCTGTGACAAAGTTCTTTTGTTCCATTCTGCGCAACATTATCTTTCGCCTCTGAAATATAATTATGGCATTCGAGTCCGGTACAGCATATCCAGAATCTGATGCGGATGACGAGTACGAGAGAAGTGTGCATAACAGTTCCCCGGTCCTCGCCAACGATTCAGAGGATTCCGACGGCCTTTCCTCCAGCGAACATACCCCGACTACATATGGCAACCATGGCATCGGGGATGCTTTACCGGAGGGTATCATAACGGAATGGACCGCAGATGACTGCGCCGATTTTGTAGGTAGTCTAGGACTGCGGCAGTATGGCGATCAATTCTTAGGTATGCTCTGAAATCGGTATTGATTGGCCTTTGAGCTCTTATCTAATTGAGTGGGATAGAAAACGACATCGTCGGTGAAGCATTGGTAGCATTACAGCATAACGACCTAAAGGAGATGGGAATAGCGAGTGTGGGACATCGACTTACAATTCTCAAGAATATTTACGATATCAAGATCAAACAGGATGTGCCCATAGAGAGTGATCACTATGTGCCACTGTGTAAGTTGGTTGATTGCAAGGCATCGAATATCTCAACTGACTTCCTTTATAGCAGCAGATGCCGAGGCCCAATATGCCACTGCGACGCTCAAAGACATCAAAAACCTTGTTGAGCAATTACGATTACGAGACGAACGAATGTCTATCACAGAGATGGAATTACGAAGGCTGACCGCTGAATATACTCGATTGCGGGAGGATCTTCTACCTGTATTTCGAATGGCCAAAGAAGGACAACCGTTGCCATATCACCCTCCTGGCTCCAGCAATCAAACTTCTTATTCTTACGATAACAACAATACGATATCACCTCCTGCACCAACACCATCTTCAAGCCAATCAGGAGGACTTTCGCGGAAATTCTCAACAAAAAAGCTTTTCCTAGAATCAACACCCAAGAATGCGTCTCCTACATTTAATTTACAATCTGGCCAAGATAGATCTTTGATGGAACAAGCTCTTGACCCCGCAAGTGCTGCCGAGCGGGCAGTCCTATCTTCTTCGCACCTCAACGCTATAAACAATGGCTTTCAATCTTTATCCCCTGGGCATCCTTCCCCCAATCAGCCTTCGCCGACTTCTCCTCCTTCCACTCATCTGAGTGGATCGACTTTGGCCTCACGCTCATACCGATCGGACCAACAACCGACTCCAGGCCGCAGCACTTTCCCTCAAAACGATAGCGATCAGTATCCTCCATCGACATACTCTCGCGATAGTACCAAACCAGCACCCTCACGGCGAGCCCAAACACCTGCACTTGAACCGCCACCCACTGGTGGGGGTGGTGCTTCAGTCGAAATTTTCAAATCTTTCCGTGTCAGTATGGAAGATCCATGCTACAAGGTCTTGCCCGCTGCGTTAAAAAAGTACAATATCAATGCGCCTTGGGAACATTACGCTTTATACATCGTCTATGGGGATAAAGAAAGATGTTTGGGTATGGAAGAAAAGCCGTTGATTTTATTCAAACAACTAGATAAGGAAGGCAAGAAACCTATGTTTATGCTGAGGAAGATTAGTCCTACAGAGCCTGGTACGCAAGACGTTCCCGGAAGTGCAGGTCTAGATGGTAGAAATGGTGGTCGCGGTGGGAACAACTCCATATATGACCCCCCTGGTGGCATTATATGACCTCGGCCAGCTTTTTGGATCGAATATTACTTCTTGGGGTTGCTGCACTGGTTCGCACTGCATGGCGAAAGTAGGCGACACCACAATCTCTTGTGATAGTATGTGTATTGGAGAGGGAATTTTTGGAGATACAAATTCAGGGTATATTCATTGTGTTATTTTTCGGCTGGGCGACGTTTTGATATTTCATTTGGTCATATTGTCATATGAGGCGTATCATGAGATGAATGGATAAATCTTCATTTCTAGTCAGGTTTGACTGTGGAAGGGAGTTCTTGGATGACTCGCGATTTGGATATACAGGCAGCTTGTAGTAGCTGAATAGGGCGGGGATTTCCCCTAGAAAGAACCTCTCGGCCAAAGCTGACGGGGGGCTGGGTTGGCTTGCGTGGAAAAGAAAGGCTACGGAGAGGATAGGACATAGGAAGACAAATAAATCAAATGAAGAGGATTTATAGGTGATTTATTATTGACGACATATCTCTATCTCCTTACTAAACTTGAATAGGGTCTTGAACAGGCTTCATTTTCGAAGGAAAGCATTGGCAGCTATTCGACTAATCAGTCTAGTTACCGTATCCAATTCACTAGGCAGTCTTTGAGGCATACAACTATATGGAAAGCCTTTCGTATTATAATATCAGGAAAGCCCTGTTTAGCTTGGCATTAACAAAATAAAAGCCCTTCCCCAGATGGAGAAGCCTGTAAGTTGGGTAATATATGGATATTTATATGAAGAGAATGGATTTACGAGTATTTGTGGAGGGCCCGCACAATATAAAAATAGATAATGATATGCTTGCTATTTGCTAGGGTTAAATGGATAAGATGAGATGCCGAAACTAATCGATTAATTGAGCCAATTAAAGGTTAACTATATGAAGAATAGATTTGCTTGTAGATCTACTACCGGTAGTAGTTTACGCGTGGTGGACTCAGCCTCATCTATCGGAACTTTTCTTTACTCTGCGGAGTACAGCCCGGTGAGCATATAATATCTAATCCACCTTGCGCATCTTGGATGTTAATATTATATTATTGTACGAATCGTACTCGCAACATTGCCGAGTTCCATCATACATAGATACTAGCCGGTTTCTTCGTTCCAGAGTGATAATTAAGAAGCATCCAACAAAATCGTCCATTTGCCTACCAAATATTTACCTATTTACCTAATTGCCCTCAAAACGAAAGACTTGAAAATAAGAACCATATCTTGCAGCAGTCCTCCCTCGTAGCTGCATCAACCCCATCATGCTTGACGAGAATCTCCCCACCTTCTTCTTTAGAGTGTCGGCCGATACCCCTCTCTCAACTCCCATCTTCCTACGACAAGATGGCTCTGACTTACAACCTGAATACTTATTCCGACGACCCGATTCCAATCTGCCAGCCTCGAAAAACTGCTATGCAGTAGCTCTTTACGACTCTTATAATCCTGAAGTCCTGTATGCAGAAGTATTGGTCCAACCCGAATGGACCCAGCCTACTCTCTCTCAAGCCGAAGTTCGTGCTCAAAATGGCATCCCTTCTCCACCAGTACCTATTGTCCCAAATAGTTTTACAATACAATTATACAATCCTGATCAACAGGTATTAGTGAAGCAGATATCGGGTTCATGGAACAGTTCAGCGTATTGGGAATTTGAGATGCCTCAAATCAGTTTCCGGGCTCCTTCTGCCTCGGCGCTTGATAGAAGTCAGAGTGATCCCGCAGCGTCAGATTTCACACCTAAGGTTGCGTTTAAGTGGAAGAAAGATGGGAAATTTTCCAAGGACTTGTCATGTTTCCTGGCTGGACAAACTACCGAAGGTAGAAGAAGTAAGGAGCCAGATATACCAATTGCCATGTTCAAAGGGGGCAAAGATCTCACCGTCTACCAACCCAATATGCATCGAGTCGATGTCGAAGATTTCAAGGGTTTAGAAGTAGTACTTTTATTATCAGCTCCAGTAATCAAGGATATATTCTTTAATGCCAGCCGCGAAATGTTCAATATAAGTTCACCAAATACCACTCCAGGCCCGTCCCGAAAACGCAATAATAGCGGCCCCGTCATTCGCGAAAACGGTCGGCCAGCCATCTCCCCCATAATGTCCGGAGGCATCATGCCCAGTCTCCCATCCCGCCGCACCTCTCACCCCCTCCCAACTGGACCCTCTCCAGCCCCAACAGTAAACCCCCGCACCCAATGGGAAATTGATGCCGAAACCGCGCGTCTAAAAGCCTTGGTGGAAGCCGAGGAAAGAGAACGCCAACGTCTTGAATTATTAGAGGAGACACATATCAAGAAAATGCTCGAACAGGAAGAAATGGACCACAGGAGAAGAAACGCGGAAATCGCAAAGGAGACGGAACGGCTGAGGAAACAATATGGCGTGACGCCTGTTGATGGGGGTTTGGCGGGTGGCCAAAGAGTACAATTTGCACCGCAACAGGCGCCGCAGAGGCCCACGATCCAGACTCCTTATAATAGTGCACCAGCGCCAGCTCGGAGACCGGTGAGTACGGGTCCGTTTAATTATTCGATGACGAATATGACGAATGGATGGCTAGGGGGCTCTTCTTCTTCTTCGTCGCAGCCGAGACCATCGCAACCGCAACAAAATCAACAGGGTAATAGTCCGTATTTGCAAGCGCCGGGTAATGGGACGGCGAGCTCGAGTGGGTTTTTTGGGGGGAAGAAAATGCAGAAGAAGAAGAGTGTTTTCTTTTAGGGGTAGAGAGAGGTAGGGGCTGAGGGTTTGAAGAGAAGGGAAGGGGTGGAATTTTTGGGGTGATGGTTTGTGGGGGACCATGAGGGAATAAGGACTGTAGGAATCTCTTTTTGTTCTGTTCTTGTGATACCTGGCATGATTATGGAGTATGGTTTTGGGTTGCTTTGCTCTGCTTTGCTTTTGTTGGGCTTGGCTGGGTGGGTATAATTGCATTTATCATATTCTTTTACCTCTTACCTCTTGGGTTTATTATTTGGGAGTTTCGGTGCATCGGATACCGAATACCGAATATCGAATATCGAATATAGATAGATATATGGATATAGATATATCTGGGAAATTTTCATAGATGGTGGGACGGATGGATGGGTAAAGGTAGCATGTGCATGTGTATGTGCATCAACATGAATATATGAATTATGATTATGTCACCTACTCTCATTCTCATTCTCACTCTGATGTATGGCTTGTAGTCTGTATTTCTTGTAGCTTGTAGCTTGTGCATGACAGGACAGGACAGGACAGTGCAGTGCAGTAGCTTCAAGGAAGTGAAGTAAGTGAAGTAAGTGAAGCATGTCTCCAATACCATACCATACGATAAGATACGATACGATCATATATGTACGAGTAGTAGGCTAGTTTCTTATGGCGTATATGTCTATGACGTTTATGGCGTTTTATGGGGGTTTTTTTTTGGCTTTGACGCCTGGTAGAAATGGTAGAAATGGTACTCGGGTAGGGTGGGTATTCTTATTTTTTTTGCACTCATATCAATTCATAGGGTTGTTGGAATTGAGGTTTGGGCTGGTGAAGGGGGGTGTTTGTTTGATTGCGGGGAGGAGGAGGGAATTTCTCGTTTTATCTTGGGGGGGTTTTTTTGGGGGGAAAGGGGGGGGTTTGCGCTTCCTTCTTTCTTTATTTCTTTCTTTCTTCTCTCTTGAGGTTTAGGGTGTGGGGTTTGTAGCTTCCCTTGATGGGAAGGGGGGGGGGGGATTTTCGATTACGGATTATTGGAGGACACTACTACTTAAGTAGTTAGTTGATATCCGATGGCATGGCGTCTATTAAGTAAACTACTTAATTACTCAATTACTCTCCTGTTTAGGTTGTAGGTGGTAAATGGTGAAAGTAAGTGGTAAAAATAATAAGTGGTGAAAGTAGTAATGGGAGTGAGTAGTAATAGGAGTGGAAATGGGGGGTAGAAGTGGAAGGAGACTAGGGGTGAGAGGGGTGAGGAAGATGAGGATGAGGGTGAGGAGGAGGATGTCTATTGTTGGTTTGATGGATGGGTGTTGTTTCTTCTTCTTCTCTCTTGTGTTGTTTGGTGTTGTGTGGTTTGGGCTGGTTGTGGTGGAGGAATGGAAGAATGATAAATGATAAAAGTGGATGGGTACTAGTTTACTCTACTATATCTATATATCTCGCTGTATTCTTAGGCTAATCACTTTCATATTGCATGCAGCTTTGCTAAATAGGCGTATGTACGTATACTCTGAGTATATATAAGTGCGGAAGCCCGCCTTTTTTCTTCATTTTTTTCTGCTGCTCCTTCTTCTTTGTCCTCTCATTTGCATGTTCATGTTTATTGATTTAATCATTACATGGTAGATAAAATAAAGTATGGCCGTTCAAGAGTCAATAAAACCTTCAAGAATCGATCATGAGCTCCTTGATACATATGGTGTTATCGGCAACTTAGTCCGCGGTCCTACTGTCTGGATTTGTCTAGCTCCCTGTGTACTATTTTCACTCTTGTTTCCAACTCTTGTTTTTGATTAGTCTGGTGTTAGTATTCGGCATACCACGTGGACATGCGGACGAAGAGGGATCTAATGCTCTATTAACATCCGCTATGCCTTGTTGTGGTCGGGTCGCGGCTCTCTTGTAGATAGATACATTGTTATTGATGTTTCTCATCAACCTTTTTCTTTCGTACCAAATGTCGTATCGAATGACGTCTTGTGCAGGTGCTTCAAAAAACATGTTAGTCGAACATCTGATGCGCATTAGGGGCATTAAAGAATAACGAGCCCTAGAGCTATTCTCAAACATACAGTACGCCAATTTGGGACGAATACATTCGCCGGAATTGGGCTGGGACAACCATAATCTAAATAGCCAGTATACACAGGTCGTTCATGTACGGGACATGAATGTGCAATGATTATCAGGATGCTTTTGGTCTGCTTTACAGCACCCCCCTCGCGTATTCTGACCAATAACATACCTAGCACTATGAAAGTCGGGGTCTCGATATCGGGCGCTTGTATTATGGAAGTGTATACATGTTGTCTAGGTATGATATCCTTGTACTAACAATCTCAACATTGAAAGCACCCAACACAGCACTTAGGTACCATCAATGTATTCAAGATCTGATCATATAGTTCAACCGTACCTTTTTGTTGTACTCGTAGAACCTCCACAGGTCACTTTCAGTAGACAAAGATACGTTTCTTGCAGGCCGCAAGGTCGAGTCTCTAATGGAGGCAGGCAGATAGATTGGAAACAGCGTTGCCACTATGCACACTCTTTTGTCCACATCAGTGTGATCAACCTCGATCCCCACTCGTCTACATTCCAAATCACAAAGGCTACCATAACACATACACGGAACTTCGTTAAACTGTTGGGTAGTTACTACTTGCCCACTTCTCACTCGGTGACGCGTATCTTCTGTGATTCAAGAATCATGCGCGCAACCAGGCATTTAAGATTATATGTAGCAGATAGCAATTTGCCCAAGAAGGGTGCGCATGCCCTATTGTGGTCGAGGCCTGGTAAATTATCTCTCCAAGCTGTCGTTCACATTCTACTGTTGACTTCGAACGTCTAAATGTGGTGCTATATATGATTTAACACTGACAGTGGGGAGGAAGCACATACTTCTGGAGCGATGGCCGTGTCATTGCCTTGCTTGTCGTCTTCGGTGTGACACTCATCGCTTTGTTACCGTTCAGGTCTGGATGGGAGAGAATGCAACAGTGCCGCCTAGAATTGCTTCGCAGCGGACAATCGCTTTTAGCTCATTCTTCGCCATTGTTCTCGGAGCCGCATTCTTTCTCCTGACTTGCTTTCTGCCGGTTTGGTTTCAAGCAATCAAGGGTACAAACGATTTGCACTCTGATATCGACAGCATTCTGTTAATGTTTACAATGACTTTCGGTGTCATCTTCTCAGGAGATCTCGCTATAAAGGTTGGAATCTATATGCCTTAGTTATATGCAAGTGTTATCCTGATATCGATTAGTACTCTCCTCACCACCTTAACACCTAATACCAGCACAGGAAAATGGATCGGCTTCCAAATCATCTTCGGTTTCGGATGCGGCCTCGCATTTTAACTTCCTCGGATAAATAGCGGCCCAGGCTGATCAGATATATCGGAGCGCCGAATATAGCAAGTTTCGATCCGAAGGTTATAGTTGATGTTGGAGCGACCCAGTTGCGTAGTTATGTACCTGTCGAGTTTGTCGAACAGACAGTGGTGGCCAGATGAAAGGTGGTGCTCATCCAAACCGCTTGCAGGCGGGGCGTACCCGTATACTTTTGAAGAATTCGGTTTCATTATACAAAGTCAAAGTTTAAGGTTATTCTAACAAATCTAACTCTCGTATTCTTATTAACAGGAATCCTTTATCTAATCAATAACTATATTCTTTTGAATCGAAATATATAAGGTATAATCCAGTTTTCCTTATACCAAGACAAATAATCCCTGCTTAGCAAATCCGAATTCTTCAAAAGTATACGGTAGTTATCGGATCACGGGGTTAGGAGGTGAAATCAGGAAGGTAGGTGGCGAGGGTAGTGGTGGTGATAGTGGTAAGGGGCTCGGATGGCTTCGGATAAGGGGGAAAGTTCAAAAGGGGGCTAGGTTACGAGGGGAAAACTAGAAAACTAGAAAACAATTCATTTTTAGATCAACACTTACAGTACGGTTTAAAATTGAATATTTTCATGAGTTAGATTATATACGGTCAAACAATACTTACATTAAGTGATTTTAGTTATGAAATTAGGCGTACAACTAATTTTGTGTACTGAATTGAAAGCTTTCAGTTTTCAATACATCGAAACGCATCGATGATTAATGCCAAGCTGTGTACACTGACTAACAAAATGGGACTCAATTTAAGTGAATCGAATGTTCTATGAGTAAGCTTGTGGAGGAGAATTTAGATCAGTAATCTGGCAATCTTTAGTTTTCAGTCGAGTATATGTAGTATCTTTAATTATCCAGTCTCTCGATCATTAGCTATTCCGCCATTTCATAGACCAAATCAGTTGAAGACTCATCACCATGACCTCCAAACCAACCATCCTTTTCATTCACGGCAGCTGGCATAGTCCCGCTCATTTTCGCCCCGTTCGGGATCTTTTCGAAGCCGAGGGATATCCGACCGAATGTCCACGTCTCCCAACATTCAATTCCAAGCCGGCACCTCCTGTTGTCTCGTTGATTGATGATGTGCAAGTGGTCCAAAATCTTCTCAAGAAATTAGTTGAAGAGCAGGAGAAAGAAGTGCTAGTAGTTGTGCACTCTTACGGCGGTATTGTAGGCTCTGAAGCCGTCCTTGCATCTTTTGGGAGAGAATCGAGAGCGAAAGAGGGGACGGGAAAGAAAGGGGGTGTGTTGCATTTATTATATATGTGCGCTTTTGTAGTTCCGGTAGGAGCGAGTCTTTCCAGTGCGCTTGGTGGGGGACTTTCCCCTTTTGTTAAAGTTGAGGTGAGTACCAAACTTTCCATCCCCTATTTATACGCTTATGAACTAACAACCTCTCACCTAGGAGAATGGACTCAGCACAATAAATTCCCCAGACCAAATTTGCTACAATGATCTCACCCTAGAGCAGCAAAAACATTGGGTTGAGGAACTAGGTACTGCACCTACGATAGTGCATATGACATCGGTGACGCATGCTGCCCACTTGCATTATCCGGTTACGTATTTGTATTGTGAGGAGGATCAGGCGATGCCTCTTGAGATACAGGAGAGAATGGTGAAGGAGGTTGGTGTTGAATTCCAGATCAAGAGGTGTAGTGCGGGACATTCTCCGTATTTAAGTCAACCGGAAACGGTGCTGCGGGTTGTGGAGGAAATTGTGGAGGTGATTTAGAGGAAAGTATTCCATGAGACGTTGGAGAAAGGTGGGTTTTTTATTTGTGTGAGAGGGGGCTAAGTCTAATAGAGGGACAGGGAGTGAGTACACCTGAAATCAAGATATAGACGCAAAGGACGAGAAAATGAGCAGACACTAAAAGACTGCTTCTTCGCGTTTATAGCATGCTTCCATTCCGATGTTTCCTCATCTAACAGAGACTCCGATAACAAATCAGTGCGGTCAGTGGTTTGAATCAATCAGGAAACTGGCAGTTTGGAATATTGTAGTTTAACTAGCAGTTGAGATTACACCAACTAACCCGATTACTAGTTTGAATTCGATGAACTAAACTGCCAATTTGAAAAGATAAACAATCACTTTAACTAATTAAACTAGCTAAACTAAAAGTTTGGGATATCATTACTCAACTAGTAATTGAGGTTATACAAACCAAACTAACTGCTAGTTGTAAATCAACAAACTAAACAGCCAGTTTAATCAGTGCACTAGTTCAACTGGTTAACTATTGACTACACTATAACAAAACACTATAGAAATCCAAGATTAAGCCACGCTGACTGAATATGTAATCTTCAAATATTTCGAAGATAGTTTCTTCGAACCAAATTTGAAGATTGTGTATATGTTAGATCAAAAATCTTGTGAATAGATATCTATATTGAAATTTCATTAGATTTATAATACTTAGTCTATATATATATTTATATATTTATTTATTGTATTCTTTATCGTTTTTACATATGATCTGTTGTAAGAGTCGCTACACTCGTTGTTAAAGCGACGATTAGTATAAGAATGGCATGCTTCCTTCATCATCCACATCAACTCTACTGCTACTGCGAGAACAATTGACCAGGAGAAAACGTGGATTTCTCGGATACAATCCCTTCGCAGACTTATACAATTTCTCCCCACAAAATCAAGCCAATATCAGAAAATCCAGGAGAACATACGCGTGAGTAGACCTCGGCACTTGAAGAGCGATCAATACGCATATCTATACGGAGTATATCTGAACCCCAACATCCCATCCCATCTCACCCCCCATATGAACCCCGGAAGAGGTCTCTCCTCTCCAACGATACCAAGTCCTAAATATCCGTTAGCACAAATAGAATAGAAGAGCATCCTACATACGCATCCCCAGCACCAACAAACACCAGATATATTATGCTATATTATAAACAACCATTTCATTCTTTTGGGACACCCATCATGATATGATATCCCAACAATCACAATAGCCAACCTCTCACTCAAGCCTGCAGTTCATCTCGCAAGATGGTATAGCATTTTTACCAAACAAACCCAAACCAAAGCACCCCAGCACCCCCCTAAACATCAGCCGAAAACGAAACACCGCGCCACCAGCACCGCCACCGTCCCGTTTCCCATTTAGAGTATTCCCTTATCCCAGCACCTAATACCAGCTATAAACTCAACCCCTCAAAGTGGAACAAACTGAAACACACAACGTATCAAGATTCAAGATTTCAAAGAACCGAAACTCTCCCAACCAAAAAACCAAAAACCCAAAAACCTAAAAACCAAAAGTGCAAGATTTTGGGAAATGAAGTATTCTATCTCTAATCCAGAAACCTAATTTTGCTACTCCTACTCTATCTAAAAGTGAAAAAAATATATATAACGAAACGAAGATGCAAAGACTCGACTACTGTAGCTCTTTCTCGAAAAAGAAAAAAAAAAGTATCAGGAAAAAAAAAAGTTTAATGAAGAAATGAACGGAAGAAGGAAAGAAGATCCGGTGTGCGCACTGACACCTAATGCCTACCTATATGCCTACCTACCTAACTAATATGTGTATACATATATATAAAGTAATATAAAGCATATAAGATAAATCTATCTACCTTGATATAGTCATCTTACTTATCAGTTGCAGAGCTGAGCTGAGCTGAGCTGGGTAGGCGCAGTTGAGCTGGAATCCAATCATCTAATGGTTGCTTGTGTTTTGGGTCGAGCTGAGGAAATCGGAACGATGGAGGAGGAAGGAGAGAGGAGGGAATTGGGAATTGGGACTTGGGATGCTTGTTTATATATGTGAGGTGGCTGTGCCTTATATCGGTATTATCGTATCGAGAGGTGTGTTGTTATTGTTTTTGTTGGAGTAAACAAGCTGTGTCAATGACCAACCTATCGAGTAGAGGATGTTTTAAAGAAAGAATGAAAGAAGGAAAACGAACAGTCAAAGATAGTAAGGGTTTTGCTGCTAATCCCCCCTCCACCCAAGAGATTTAGAAACAGAACATCATGGAGAGGTAAACCCACCTCATCGATATAAAATCTGTTTAATATATTTTAAAACTAGTATCGCTGCACTCAAGTATGCTACAAGGCGACAGACAGAAAGCAATCTTTTCTCTTCATCCTTCTCCTCTCTCGGCCCCTCTTTCCCACCTCCCCTATAAAACTCACCTCGTCGCACTCTCATCCCATCTCAGTTCGTTACCTCAACTCCTGTGCCATCTGTATCATACATTCATGCGCTGCCTTAAAGCAATCCGCCCAAGCCTCATGTGTTTTCGAGGGCGCTTTGAGCTGAGCTGAGCTGTGCGCCCCTTCTCTCCAGCCCAATTTCGCTTTCTAGCCGATTTTCATTTACCAGTCCAACCCCCTTTCCTTTTCCTTTCTCCGCTTCTCTCCACCACACCCCACTTCATCGTCGACATTACAATATGTTATATGTGTCAATCTTCCACCCCCCTTTCCCCAGGGAAGCCAAAAAATGTCAAAAAATCATCAAACCATCCAAGCAACCACTAAATGCCAAAAATGTACAAATGCTCCCCGCTCCATGCTATGCTAATCTCATCGAATCAAGCACCAGGCTGGAACGACCGTATAGGTAGGTAAACATATATATATATACAACAATGAAAGTGGAATCACAATTCATGAAACTTCGTCTTCGTATAGTACACCCTCGGAGTTATTCTGTTCCTCATTTAATTAAACCCCAACTCTTTTATCCAAAATCGAACTCGGAACACGTGAGCCTCTTCCCAATTCAATTTCATCGCCGGGGTGATGCCTAAAAGCTTGGTTCTCACTCGCCATGCGTTGATGTCCCTCGGTAAATAATGGTTCGGGAACCTGTGATCGGTGGGTATATAAAATAGGAATTTCCGGCATTGCTGGTATTTCCATATCACTTTGCTGTTTCCGTTCCACTCGTCCAGTTTGTTGAGCTACCCATGAGTTGACAGTACGAAATCGTGGTGATGTCTCCTCTGATGTTGTTGTGTATATGGTGTCTCGGTTCTGTGGCGCACCTTGGGATGCCGTCGTCCAAGAGAAGCGGGAGACTGGATTTTGAGGAGGAGCGCTATCATCAAGCATGACAAGCGAATCCCCAAATCCTGACGATATTGAGGATAAGTAGCTGATGTGATTGACCTCTCTTTGGGAAGGATTATAAGCATTTGAAGATTGCCCCGATAGTCCTGATTGCTGAGATCTGAGAGTTCCTGATTGGGAGTAGTAGTTATCTGCGTTGCCTAGAAGTCCGTATGATTGGCCTGGGCTGGGAGACAAGCCTGATCCCGATTGGCTGCTTCTTGTCGAGTTTTGTCTTTGTAGATCTGTACGCAGCTCCCTTAAATTTACAGCTGCAGATCCTGGGCGTTCGAGGGCTACTTTGTTGTCAGAATTGTAGAAGCCAGCCATTTCCCTCTCAGCGAATTTCTCCTCGATAGGATACCCGTTTCGTGATACTTTGCCGCTAGCGTAACTAGGAGAACGGCCTGGATCATCTCTGTTTCTCCTCCAACCATACCAACGAGCCTCTTCCTCTGATATCTCTCCCCTTGCTAATCGATTCAACTTCTTCATTCTGATGATAAGATATATGATAGCACCAAAAATGACGAATATTCCTGTTTTTTAAAGGTCAGTGATGATTAGTTATCATTGCACCCAGAACAACAAACCTATTGATCCAGCACCGATCAAAAGTTTTTCCGCCAAAGGACTTAAATCACCATCATCATCATCGTTGTGAGGCTTTCCATTGTAAGATTGAGGCGGCATTCCTGTGGGAAGTGATGAAGATTGGTCTGCTTGAGCTGTCGGTGCAGAATTTGCACTGATGGCCTCATAGGCAGTGACAGTAGATGTGGTGGCCGAACCGCTTTCACATGGAAATCCATTGGAAAGGGTACATAACCCTTTCCTTCCTGGCTGCTCTGAACTTGGTATGCCGAATGCAGTAACTGTCGTTGTTGTTGGTATTAAAGCAGATGTGATAGATATCTGTATGTGGTTAGCACACCCATCGATATAAAGCTCTCGTCCTAACTCACTGAAGTCGACACAGGTGATTTCGTTGTAGAAGTTGGCGTAGCAACAATGACGACAGTCATTACACTTGATGAAGTGGTAACCGCAGTCTGCGTGGTCCAGACAGTGGCGGTTTGTGTGGTCCAAGCAGTATCTGTCACTTGGGTCCACGCAGTCCTCGTGATTAACGAAACTGAATGGTCGTCGACTTGTGTATCCCTACCGTCGCCGTAGTATTCATCATCACTGTCGTCATGCCGTTCGCCGTTTTCGTCGCTCCCATTATCACTCTTTTCCCCATCCTTCTTCACTAATGGCAGAGCGTCCACGACATTGCTTTGAACCAAATGGTCCATATATTGCTCCGATTCCTCTCTCATTGGTGCCATTGTCGTATTCATCCCTCCGCCGAGTCGCCACTGCCCCGTATCGCCGACCGACAGAAGTCAATTGGATACGGACATGAACTGATGAATATTCCCGTTGGAGTTGTAGTAGTAAAACAAGAGTGAGCGTAAGAATGTAGATACCAGACCTGAACGAAAGAATGAGAAAAGAAAGAACGTCACGATCCAGCCGTGTATAGAGATAAGTGAGAGAACAAACGGTTGACAAGTGAAAGCAACCAAAGAGGCAGCCAAGTCGAGAATCTTAGACCCCCGAAATATGGGACTAGCTAATAGGGTGGAGAAGAGGGTTGCGACATGCTGGTTTGGCAGACAATCAACAGAAGTGGACGATTCTATGCTTCTCTCGGAATGGGCAAGTATAGAATTTGAATCTGGGGACGAATCGAGGATTGTACATAAAAGACGTAATGCAAAGCCGCAGTACTCCATAAAGGATTGGTATATGCGACAACCCCGAGGAAAAAAGTCTGCCAGACCACAACCTACATTCGCGATATTGTGCCCTGTCAATATGAATCAGACTGTATCGAGCTTAGGGTTCAACATCTCAAGCATTACTGCGTTTGACATAAGACTCCAGAGTCCAGGCTGAGCGGTGCCCCTGTTCAGAAGTACGAAATTGCGGCAGATCATTGCAATGCAACCTGACTAGGAAGCCCGCAACCGTATGCTGATTGCTGGATACTGCAGATATTGACTGGTGGGCAGACTTTGCATAGGAAATTTTGATGATATCCGGGACGTAGAGAGTGTTTCGCGCATTGTCCTCTGGTTTCATCATGGACCCGCTCAGCTTATATGTGAGAAAACGGTAAAAATGATGAAGTTCGTTCTAGTTTCTTTGGAACCTTTGGAAAGTTGCTTCAAATCACAGGTACAATAAGTAGAAGTCTACTAGAAGGGGCTAAAAGTACAGGATTGGAAACATGAGTGTTGTTATTGCAACTTGGAGAGGTTCGTGATTCGTGATTCTTGAAGGATCAAAAAGAAAGAGGTTCCTCCTCGCAAGGCTGAATGAGCCATCGCTAGCATCGCTTATCTTTAAATCTTGATACACCAACCCACCGACGGCTACGACGCTAAACTTAAGAGGGTTTATTTTCCGAGTGATTGGATTATGTAAGCCCGCTCGCTATGAAGGAAGGATGGGAAAGTGTATAAGTTCATAACTCGTTACTAAATTATGAAGAAATGAAGAAGTTCGTGCTGGAAAGATCTTCAATATATACTTGTAAAGTAATTTATACTTCAAAGCATTGTTTTTCTTATCCTCAACTCAATTGATATCCTACACCGGTACTTTTAGCATCAGGGCATATTGCTGCCACTTTAGAGTTGAAACTTCAATGGCATGTGAATAGCAAGAACCTTTAAAGCGGCTGCAATACGTACCAAATCCATTTGTCCAGCTTTCTCTTCTGATAACCACCACTGTTCCAATGCAGCATTGAGAGTGAGGTACTAACTACTACGTACTCTAAACTCACTACTCTTCATCATCATACAATGTTCCATCTTGTTTTTATCTGATCTCGATTTCTTACAATGGCCGTCACCATATCTCAGCTTGCAGAAGATGATATCCCAGGTGCTGTCAGTGTAATCCAGGAAGCATTCAAAGCAGACCCTTACAATCTTTGGATTTACAATGATCGATCCAAGGTAAATTGCTCCTGTCTCTATGTCCATTCTGCTTTGATTTTTTTTATTCCTTTAAGCATGATAGCGAGCAATGGTTCCGATTTGCCTTTAGTGGTTACCTTGACTCGTTGAGATCATCGTGAGGGAGTGTTTCGTGATACCTGATACCAACACGTTTGTTCATCACTACTGACACGAATTTTGTTAGCTCAACCTAGTCAGAAACTCGGTATCTCTTGGCATTTGATGTCGATGGGGAATTCGAAACGGCTTGTTCTATGTTGCTAAAGACTCTGAAAGTCGCCGAGTTTTAGGCATTACAATGTGGTTACCGCCCAAATCTTCTGGATCGTCAGAAACATGGGCAGAATGGATCAGTAGTTGGACCATGTGGGTTCAACAAGTAGGTATGAATATTTGGTATGGCCGAGGTGGCTTGAATGTGAAGGTGAGCAAGCTCAACCGTATATTCGGTCTTGATTCCTAGGATAGGCCTCAAAGCGCAATCAGTGACATCTGCCTTGCTGTATTGTCGCAGTTTTCCTCTCTTTTGTGGGTAATTATCGGATTGGACTCCGGCCTACCTGCTGGGATTGTGTTTGGGACAAATTCTTCTTTTAACAGATGAGACTGTAGACAAACGTTGCCAAGTCCTACCAGCAAAGAAGCTAAGTCATACAAGCAATGGCCAAGTCAGCCTTACTTATTGCTTCCGACTGTTCTCCATCCTCGTCATAATTTCTTGTTGTTATATCATGTATGCGACAACCCTCGAGAAAATACTGACGCAGTTTCGTCACAGCGCTATTATATTTGGAAAGACAGGCAAGCAGAAGCTCAATCCGAGATCTGGACCGATCCTCGAGGATACTACTTTCTAAATATAATGGTTGTTCATCCTGATGCTCAAGGGAGAGGAATTGGGAAAGCGCTAGCAAAGGTAGTAACGAGCATTGCTGATGCAGAAGGACAAAGATGCTATCTTGAATCTAGTCGAGATATTCCCAACATGAAGATTTACGAAGCTTTCGGATTCCACTTTGTAAAGAAGATGGTTTGTGATGACGAAGGTGAGACTTGCAATATCTATTGTATGGTAAGAGAACCACAAGAAGGATCCAAGAAAGATGTATGAGAGTGTGCCTCTCTACACTACTGCAGATGCAGATGTTAGACCGCCGTTCTCTCTGCTGAAGCCGTTGAATGATGAAGATATGAATCGCCGGAGAAGATCGCCATTCTCGACTTACACGCATGGATTGGACGAGACTGGACGAGACTGGACAGACCTTACCCAGATCAAATTGGACAATGCCAATTCAACTGTTCCGCACAATGGTCAATCATCATTGCATCATTGTCACTTTTCGGTGGTTCGGAAACCGGTGAACTTTCAAAGATCTCCGAACAAACCGAAAATGAGTCTGTAGATATTAACGGGTACATCTACCCACTATAGAGGATGATTTTACTTGAATTTCTATTTCTGGACTTCTTTGAACCCGACTGGCAGCAAGGCATGGGCATAATGGACCATGGTAGAAGATAGAGCTCCGACTCCTGAGAGTCTGGTTCTGGTGGCAGACTCCACCAACTAAAATCTTACAAACCGAATTGACAGATTTATTTTTTCAAATACTCGATTGTGTAGTGAAAAAAAGTATGTCGCAATGCCACCGAAGTACCACCTAAATAGATCCACGATTGCACAATTCATTGTGATTTGTTAGACATATCAATGGCTTTTTTGACTTCTTTGCTCTCAAGATTCAATACTGTACAAACAGTTATTTTACAACTGAAATCGAGGAGACAAACTCAGCAAATGGGAAGATGAAAAGTTGCAATATTGGCATATGAGTGATTAGATTTTAATTAGATTCTTAGACAGCCTTTTTTTTTCTTGTTGAATTCTTCCCGAGGTGTATTGTTTGACTTTCACAGGTGATAACCGGTAATAAAGTTATCCTTATCTTTTATCGGCTCCGGTGCGCTTATCCTTGCAGAGTTTTTAGCTTGGAATAATCCTAGCTTATATCAAAAATAAAAATTCCCTTTGATTATTTTTATAATTTTGACTTCATTATACTCCTCCACCACTCTACCTACGAGTTTTCCTAAAAGCATTACCTCCTTCATTTCAGGAGTTCCAGGAGTATGGCCTTAGCGACAAGAATGATGAGGTTACCAACCTCAGCTACTGGTATTCGTACCATTGCTCAACGATCATATGCGACATCAAACAGGGTCCTTCTCTCACATGCGCGACCAAACGCCAGAGTCACCGTTGACAAGAGCAGAATTTCGCAAATTGCCCAACGAACCTACGCAGATGTGGCTCCTGTTAATGTCAAGAAACCTAATCGATTTCGATTCTTGAGATGGAGTTGGCGTATTACATATTTGTCTTTGATCGGAGGAGCTACTTATCTTGGTTATGAAGTCTGGGAGCTTCGACATCCAGATGAGCAATTCCAGCCAGATCCAACCAAGAAGAATTTGGTTATTCTTGGTACGCACAATACGTGTCTCCACTTTCCATACGGATAGCTGACATCAATTGGCTAGGTACTGGATGGGGTGCTGTGTCTCTTTTGAAAAAGCTCGACACGGAAAACTATAATGTTATTGTTATCTCTCCACGAAACTACTTCTTGTTTACCCCTCTTTTGCCATCATGCACGACCGGTACCGTCGAGCACAGATCTATTATGGAGCCTATCCGAAGCATAACCAGACACAAGAAGGCTGCTGTTAAGTTCTACGAAGCCGAGGCCACCAAGATCGACCCTGAAAAGAAAACTATCTCTATCAACGACAATTCTGATGTCAAAGGAGCTTCCCATACGACCGAGGTCTCATACGATATGTTGGTTGTTAGTGTTGGTGCGGAAAACGCAACTTTCGGAATCCCTGGTGTCAAAGAGCACTCATGCTTTTTGAAGGAGATCGGCGACGCACAAGCAATCAGAAAGAAGATCATGGACTGTGTAGAGACCGCCACTTTCAAGGATCAATCTCCAGAGGAAATTGAGCGTCTTTTGCACATGGTTGTCGTTGGAGGTGGACCTACTGGTGTTGAATTCGCTGGTGAGCTTCAAGATTTCTTCGACCAAGATATCAAGAAGTGGGTTCCAGAAATTAGCGACAAGTTCAAGGTTACTCTCATCGAAGCTCTCCCTAATGTTCTTCCTATGTTCTCCAAACAATTGATCGAATACACCGAGTCAACCTTCAAGGAGGAGAAGATTACAATCAAAACTAAGACAGCCGTCAAGAAAGTCACTGATAAGACTGTTGAAGCCGAGGCTACCGGACCGGATGGAAAGAAAGTGACTGAGGTTATGCCTTACGGTCTCCTCGTATGGGCCACCGGAAACGCTGTCCGCCCTGTCGTCAAGGATCTCATGTCACAGATTCCCGCTCAAAAGGATTCAAGGAGAGGTCTCGCTGTAAATGAATATCTTGTTGTGCAAGGAACCAAGGACATCTGGGCTACCGGTGATTGTGCAGTCGCAGGATATGCACCAACAGCTCAAGTAGCATCGCAAGAAGGAGCTTTCTTAGCTCGTCTCTTCAACACAATGGCAAAGACCGATACCATCGAACATGAAATCCAAGAACTGAGTTCATCCTTGAACCTTGGTCCCGGAGATGCCGCCCAAGTTGCAAAAGATATCGAATCGCACGAAAAGCAATTGAGAAGAGTCAAGGACATCAAGCCATTCCACTACACACATCAAGGTTCCTTGGCATACATTGGTAGTGAAAGAGCCGTTGCGGATGTTGCCTGGATGAATGGCAACTTTGCTACCGGTGGTAGTTTGACATATTTGTTCTGGAGAAGTGCATACTTGAGTATGTGCTTTAGCAGTAAGTTTTTCCGCTCCTTTACCTCCCTCCACACATTTACTAACATGAACTCGTAGCACGCAACCGTGTCTTGGTAGTCCTCGACTGGCTCAAATCTAAGGCTTTTGGCCGTGACGTTTCTAGAGAATAGACGCTTTATATGGAAATCATCATGAGGAAGGGAAGAGGAGCGAGATAGAAAGAAAGAATAGAATGACCGGCTGGTCGGGATAGATGGGATTGGGGCAGCGCGTGTAACAAATAACGAATTTTTTCGGGATAGACTGGTTTGTTTGGTTTCTGTTTGAACTCTGCAATGGTGTTTTGTTTTGTTTTTATATAGAATCTCCGAGCTCGTGGCGAGTCGTTCGGGGAGTCAGTTAGAGGGTGGTGGGAGGTGCAATGCAATGCAACAACGCTTTGAAAAATCAATTGAATATTATATTTGCTTTTCTCAGTCACTGTGTTGTGCTTATGATGATTATACATGCTTGATATATACATACTCGTATTGTTTGTTGGTGGTGGTATTGTTTGCATATGTGTGTGCTGAATTGAATTTTCCTCCTAATGAATCTACACACGCGCCGGCTCGCTCCTGGTGGTTTTATCTTGGGGTGTTGGAATCGGGTGTGGGTGTGGGTATGTATAGATATAAATGAGATATATATGCAGAGGATAGCGATGGTAGGTAGGTAGGTATGGTAGATGATACAGTATGTTGGTTGGTGTGGTGTACGGGTACGGGTACCTGGAGGTATGGAACAGAATGGAATAGAATGCATGGTACTGAGATGAGGGAGTGGAAGGAGTGGAAGGGGCTTGGGGTGGGGGATATTGATTTGGTAGATGGGGATATTTGGGAGTGGAGAGTGTAAACCACTGTAAAGAGAGCGGCTGAAAGGATACATTGGTGATGAGATGATGATGAGGATGGTGGAGGTGATGATGACCGGGAAGGTTTTCAGCACCCTCTATTGTCCCAGAATGGAATGGGTGGTGAGGTTGCTAGTCTTTTACTCTAGCACAATACTATACTATAGTGTCGTTGTGAAATCATCATGATATTCTCCTTCTCGCAGTGCTCTCTCGGGTTTACCGTGTAGGTACCAATACTAACTACCATTCACTCTCCTATTCTGCTCACATAGTATCATAACGAGAGACTGCTACAAGGAAACTGATCTATTCAATAGCAAACAAATGCACTATATTAGTTTTACAACTCATATATTACCGCACTACGGTTATTTCTGAAAAGATCCTAATTTAGAAAACCCCTCTTCTATTCACGCAAACAAAAATAAATTTTAACCAATTGTCTAGAACTTTCTAGATAGAGCAAATGGGCAATAAAGAGACTTTCTCTTTTCTCGCCTTATATGGGTTGCACATATAAGAAAAAGCCATGAATATTCATTATTTCTCTCATTGATTGTGGTGCGGCGTTCCACCATGAACATGAACTGCCACCATGAAATGTAGTACCAAGTATGAGTACTGTATGTATGAAAGTTTGCCTTGTCTTTTGGTGTACCGTATTGCCAGTATAGAATAATTAGCAAACTTGTTTCAGTACACAATGAATATAGGTAGGTAGTATTGTAAAAGGATAGATGATATAATGAGGGGATCAATAAATATGAATACAAAAGCTTTAATAGTATTGGATTATTATACCGGCATCCTCATGACTCGGGTCCAGCCAGATATGTTGTACTTTTGATACTGAGATGGATCTTCGATGTTCTTCTTGTGCCTGAGTGGAAATGTAAGTTGAATGAAATGAAGAAATATAGAATAATTATATTGAATAAATAAAATATATACATTTGATTCTATAAGTATTCTTTTTTTATATGCGAGGCTGATGACTAATTTTGATTATACTCTTGTACTCTCGTATTTTACCAAAAGCAAAGGCAATTGAATCGTATTCACCCTGTATATGGCGTGGCCTTCTCGTTGCCTATTTCTATTTTATAAAATCGATTATTATTCACCAGAGTGTAAGCGGAATCGAAACCAATAGAAAGAGTCAGGCTAAACTAACTAGTAACAACCCATTTACTTAGCAAAGTTAGCGCGGTTCCGTCATGTTCTAGGAACACTACCTTTAAACTTATAACTTTAGCTGTCTTAATCTCCAACACAACATCTTCTTCTCCAGTAAACCACATAAAATTCCATCCATCTTTCCTGAAGATTAAATCACATCTACACATCCTCTTTCCTACTCCGATCAACAGTTTTTAATTTCAATATCTATCGTCAAGACTGGGCGATTCAAAAGGATAATTATCAAGATCTTTAGAGTTGTTACCGACTGAGAAGGTCAAATATCTATCAAGATGTCTTCACAACCCGACCATGTCGAGCACAAGAAGAAGGTCAATCTCAAGTAAGAATATCTTCATCTGCCACCTTGTTATCTCGAGGATACACAATTCTAATATCATATCTAGTGATGCATCTGGTGCTGAGCACAAGACTGTAAGTTATCTATGAACCGCCACAGTTTCTTAAAGCTCTCAGATCGAATACTAACCAACATTCAATATAGGTCGATGATACTGCAACTGCAATCTTAAAAAAGAAGAAGAAGCCAAACTCGTTGATGTGAGTATATCCATCCAAAACCCCACCTTCCTTGGTCGAAGCTTTGAACTGACAGACGGTGGCAACAGGGTTACTGATGCTGTTAACGATGATAACTCTGTTATCGCCCTTTCTACCAATACCATGGACACCTTACAATTGTTCCGTGGAGATACGGTTTTAGTCAAGGGAAAGAAGCGCAAGGATACTGTTCTCATCGTCCTTGCTGATGATGACCTCGATGACGGCAGCGCGCGTATGAACCGTGTTGTTAGACATAACCTTCGTGTTAAGCACGGTGACATTGTTACAGTTCACGCATGTCCTGATATCAAATATGTGAGTATCAAGAGATCTGCAGCCTTCTCCAATATGCTAATATATGAATAGGCCAAGCGCATCGCAGTCCTCCCTATTGCCGATACCGTCGAAGGTCTTACTGGCTCCCTTTTTGATGTATTCTTAGCCCCATATTTCCGCGAAGCCTACCGACCTGTACGACAAGGAGATCTTTTCACAGTTCGCGGTGGTATGAGACAAGTTGAATTTAAGGTTGTGGAAGTCGACCCTCCGGAGTACGGAATCGTCGCCCAAGATACAGTCATCCACTGCGAAGGAGAGCCCATTCAACGCGAGGACGAAGAAGGTAATTTGAATGAGGTTGGTTACGATGACATTGGAGGATGCCGAAAACAAATGGCACAAATCCGAGAGATGGTTGAGCTGCCATTAAGACATCCACAACTATTCAAATCTATCGGTATTAAACCTCCCCGTGGTGTTCTTATGTTTGGTCCACCAGGTACCGGTAAGACCCTCATGGCTAGAGCTGTGGCAAACGAGACTGGAGCTTTCTTTTTCTTGATCAACGGTCCCGAAATTATGTCGAAAATGGCTGGTGAATCCGAGTCGAACTTGCGTAAGGCTTTCGAAGAGGCTGAGAAGAACTCACCTGCGATTATCTTCATCGACGAAATCGATTCTATTGCACCAAAGCGTGACAAGACCAACGGAGAAGTCGAACGTCGTGTCGTTTCTCAATTGCTTACCCTCATGGACGGTATGAAGGCTAGATCCAACGTCGTCGTCATGGCCGCCACTAACAGACCAAATTCCATCGACCCTGCTCTTCGTCGTTTCGGTCGTTTCGATCGTGAAGTCGATATTGGTATTCCTGATCCAACTGGTCGTCTCGAGATTCTTCAAATCCACACCAAGAACATGAAGTTGGGTGACGATGTTGATCTCGAGCAGATTGCTTCTGAGACTCACGGTTATGTCGGTTCTGATGTTGCTTCCCTCTGTTCTGAGGCTGCCATGCAACAAATTCGTGAGAAGATGGATCTTATCGATCTTGACGAAGATACAATCGACGCCGAGGTTCTCGACTCCCTTGGTGTTACCATGGACAACTTCCGATTTGCCCTTGGTGTTTCCAACCCATCTGCTCTTCGCGAAGTTGCAGTTGTCGAGGTTCCAAACGTTCGCTGGGACGACATTGGAGGATTGGAAGAGGTCAAGCGCGAACTCATCGAGAGCGTTCAATACCCAGTCGATCACCCCGAAAAGTTCCTCAAGTTTGGTCTTTCCCCATCCCGTGGTGTCTTGTTTTACGGTCCTCCTGGTACTGGTAAGACATTGCTCGCAAAGGCTGTTGCCAATGAATGTTCTGCCAATTTTATTTCCGTCAAGGGTCCAGAGTTGTTGAGCATGTGGTTCGGTGAGTCTGAGAGCAACATCAGAGATATTTTCGACAAGGCTCGTGCCGCCGCACCTTGTGTTGTTTTCCTCGACGAGTTAGATTCTATCGCTAAATCGCGTGGTGGATCCAATGGTGATGCTGGTGGTGCATCCGACCGCGTTGTTAACCAACTTTTGACTGGTAAGTTTTTTCAATTCTCTGTTGTATGCGAAGATTGAAGCTAATTTCTACAGAAATGGATGGTATGACTTCCAAGAAGAATGTCTTCGTTATTGGTGCCACCAACAGACCTGAGCAACTTGACAATGCTCTTTGCAGACCTGGTCGTCTCGATACCCTCGTCTATGTTCCTCTTCCAAATGAGAGCTCCCGTGCTGGTATCTTGAAGGCCCAACTCAGAAAGACCCCAGTTGCCGACGATGTTGACCTCAGCTACATTGCATCCCGCACTCACGGATTCTCTGGTGCTGATTTAGGATTTATCACTCAACGTGCTGTCAAGCTTGCGATTAAGGAATCCATTTCTTTGGATATTGAGCGCCGCAAGGCTCTTGAGGCTGCTGGAGAAGATGTTGACATGGAGGATGAAGGCGAGGACCCAGTTCCAAAATTGACCAAGGCTCACTTCGAGGAAGCTATGTCACAAGCTAGACGATCAGTTACTGATGTTGAGATCCGCCGATATGAAGCATTCGCCCAGAGTATGAAGAGTTCCGGTCCTGGGGCTTTCTTCAAGTTCCCAGAAGCTGGTGAAGCCGCTGAGGCTAACGGAGGAGGTGCTGGTGGATTTGGTGATGCTGGTAACGACGACAGCCTTTACGACTAGATTTGTACTCTTAATATTTTTTAAACGTCTTTTACAACATACACATGAGAACCTCACGATTAGGAGGACATACGGTCTAGTGGACATTGGTGTGGAGTCTAGGAGATTCTACATGACAAAGATCCCTTTATGACTCCTAACTTCAACGTATCAAGGGCCGCGAGAGGTATGGAGATTTCATTCACAGCGAAATATGGTCAGGGTGGTGCCCTTAGCATAGAATGCCTTTTTAAACATTTCTCATTACCCTATTGTGCTATGCGTTCTTTCTTGGGTGAAATGATTATTTTGATAGCTAAAGACCCGAACACCTATAGATGACTAACTCCAAAACGCCTCTTGAGTATGACAGTGTAGCAGTGTATACCACGTAGAGCACTTCCATGAATCCTCCCAATCCCCAGTCCTCCCAAATATGCTTTTATACGCCTAGTATTTTCCAGAGGTAGTCCAAAGTAGGTATACTACCATAAAAAACCATATTGCTCGTATACCCATTGTCTTATGGTGAGATGATGATATGAAACAAAAAAGTGTAGTGTATACAGTCATCTACACACCTATCTACTGTATATCCTCCCCTCCCTTCCCTTCCCTTCCTTTTGACTGGGAAGCTGAATACCATGACGAATCTTGGAGATGAGATATTCCATCTACAGTATGAGCTGTCGGTTTGCCCGCATCCAGCCAGATTCACTCCGCTTTTGTGTGTGCGTAGATTTGGATGTAGATGTAGATGTAGATGTGTGTATTGAGCATAACTCTGTCCATCCAGAATCCCCAAATAGATGCATGCATGCACGCATGTCTGCAACTGCGTGTATCAGAAACATATATCCGCACTTCACGCACCTCTCTTTACTTTCTTTCTTTTTTCCTCAATCCTCATCCCAGATATTCCCTTCCTTTGCCCGAATCATTTCATGTGAAGGAAGCTATGCTATGCTATGGCGTAAAAGACTGAAAATTTCACTCCACAACTTCACACACGGCTTCGAGCGACTCTCTCGTGATTCTCACTCCCTCATCCACGACACTTTTCGGAAGCGCTAGATTTTGACCGCGCTCACCGCGACCTTTGAGTGAGGTATCTTTTTCCTTTTCTTTTTTATCCTTGTCCTTGTCGGATGATGTTACTCCGTTGACGCCGTTGGTGGAGGAGGCACTCGACGAATCAGGAGTTTGGGAGAGCGCAAGTGTGTCGGCGCGGATGTCTTCGAGGACTTTGGCGATGAGAAGCGGGAAGGTGGTGTAGTCTCCTGAGCGTAGGAGGGTGAGGGCGTGGGTTTGGATTAGGGTGGGCCAGTTGGTGGGGGAGGAGTGGAGGGCGTGGAGGAGGGTTTCTTGGATTCTGGAGGGGAAGGGGATGGGGGGTTAGTGGTGGGGTTGGTGGGTTTGTAGGGGGGGGGGGAGGGAAGGAAAGAGGGAAGAGTCAGGGGAAAATAGAAGTACTGGGGAGTAACATATGGGGGGCAGAACATACTTGGCAACATGCCCATCTTTCAATAATATGGTATTTATCTGCGACCGTAAATCTGGATCCTGGGTTGTGGGAGTGTAATTTGCGGCGCTTTTGGATACGCGGACGGGGGTGGTAGGTTCAGATGCCATTGTGAATGAGTGGTGTGTGCAAGTTTGGTGAGTTTTGCAGCAGTAGGGTAGGTATGATATGATATTGGTATAGTGTATTGTGTATTTTGAGATTCTGTATGCGGAACGAACACCAGTAGTTGATGGAGATTTTCGAGAATGGTGAGATGAATAGATGGATTGATAGAAACGCAGACTATTCAGAATCAGAAAGGAGAGTCGGGAGATAAGATTTGTATAAGAGGAAGAGAGATTGAGTTAGAATTGTTCTTGTGCTGTGGAATTGGTGTCTTGTTGTATATGGTTTTATTCTTACCTCGTCGACGAGGCTGGGTTGAAGGCTGAATTTGTTGTGTGTTGGACCAATGAGGTAATCTGATGGAGTTCTTTGGGGGTGTGAAATTAGATTCTAATAGGGAAAGTTCTTTAAGCGAGGTATTATTAGGTATGTTTCTTTTTAATCCTGTTCAATATTCAAAAGGATTTAGAGTATACATTTCTAGATTGTCGCTTTCAGATCTTATATTAGTATATCTTCACTTCTATTGGAATTCTACATATCTCAATGATCTACTCGAGTAATCAATACTATGCTACAATCCGCTTCAGCTCCAGGAATATCTTATATATACACCCACGAACCGTCATCCTATCCAACGAACCACCACACCACTTTTTATACTTCGCCAGAACTGAAACCGTGAAACCCTTTTACAGGTTTCATAGATAAACAACTACACATCCATCATCTATCCCATTCCCGCATATTCATCCAATGTATTGCTTCTCTTCATTGGAGACGAAAGGATGACTGTGCCTTGAATGATGAAAAATGGGCGCTTCATCCAATGCCACATTAACACAGGTCAATTGTTATATTGAAAGATTGGATTGGCCTTCAGATGCTCCCGAGGTCGAATGGACATAGGTTCTTTTCCTTCCACCTACCACCTTTGTCCGGAGTTGTTTGATCAGCTTATTCCGTGAGTATTGTTCTTCCCGTTGATTGTCTTACTCCTTATACTTCTTCTTATACTTTACTCTTCGCATACATTGTCTTGTTTCTTCATCGTTTGTTTCTTCTGAAAGGGTTTCCCATGTGATACTTCTCTTCCCTTTTTGCGTTCCTGTCATAATGCACCAGGAATCATTATGCACAGTGCCGTTGCCACCTCATATCAAATGAACACCTCATCACTGCAATAGGTCGGGGACCGATTTTTAAAGCATCGGAAGTTCAATCTTTTCTCTCGAAAACTGCGTCATACAGAGAGTCGGCAGGTACCGTTCTGGCACGAACTCCTTTTTCAAATAACATCATTTTTACTTTAAAATAGAAAAATTCGACGCTCGGTTGAATCATATCAGACAAATTACGTCGCGAAAGCAAGGCTATTGTGGTGTGGTGAGTTGGATCATCCAGCGCAAACGAAGTATCTCAAACGTGACAAGTTTCGACTTTTTGATAACCCAATTTCAACACGAACTGTCCGGAGAGCATTGTTCTGATCATCATCACTATCCAATTATTGGATACATCATCCCATCCAAGATCTCCACAGCAAGGTGATCCAGGTCCGAGATACATCGAACCTTCTTTTCTTTGCAGGACCTAAAGGTCAGCAGAGATACCATCAACACCTTCAAGATGTGGCGGCATGCTTCAACGATTGTTGTCTGCCTATTTTCCATTCTACGTCTCACGGATGCCTTATCACTTGCGAATTTTCAATTGATTTCACCTACTGCAGTCTCATTAGGCTGTTTTGTGGAATATAATTCTTTGATCTCAAAATGCACATTATCAGACTTCAACAACGGCTGTTCCCTCGACTGTCAATCAGCTCTGACTTCAAAAGCTTCATGTGTGAGCGAATCTTGCTCGGGAGATCACGTAGCTTCAAATACGTTGTTAGGAATCGTCAAAAGGGGTGAGATTATTGCAGCCTTATGTCCTAATATCAAAACATCTACTACGACGACGAGACCGACATCGACGACTACGCTGGTGAAAACTTCAACTAGGAGTGTGAAGACTACGGCGGCGAGTGTTACCATTCCGATATCGAGTCCGGGAATTACACTCTCCACTACTTTTAGTTCGAGTTCAACGCAAAGCTTCAGTTCGACGATTTTTACGACGACATTTTCCGCGATTCCTACGACAGCACAATCTACGAGTACAGAAACTTCGAGTACTTCTCAATCATCATCTTCTCAAATATTATCGTCATTATCGTCATCAACGTTATCATCGTCATCATCGTCATCATCGTCATCGTCGTCGTCATCATCATCTCCTTCATCGGATTCAACATCATCAAGTTCCACAAGCACAAACACAAACACAAACACAAATACAAATACAAATACAAATACAACACCAACCACGACTCAGACACAATCATTCACATCTACACCTACAAAAACCACAGCAGCAACCCCGAAGTTAACGACGACAACGGCGGCAGCGGCAAATAATGGGGATGGGATTAGTGGAGGTGGAAGTCCATTTGATATAGATGCGAATGGTGGGGCTCTGATGTCTGGAGTGAGCATGATACCCGTGAGGTTACTGGTGGGGGTGGGGCTTATTTATGGGGGATGGGGACTGGGGTTTCTTGGGTAGAGGATTGTGAGGGTTGGGGTTCAAAGAAGAATTGGTGAGGTTTGAAAACTATGGGTGGATGGAATGGGAAATGATAATGTTTATAAAGATACTCTTTGCTTTGACTTTTTTGTACGAATGTGAAGTGGCGAGTGGCGAGTCGCGAGAGGGATGACTAAGTCGGTCAGTCATATGATTCTATCGTCTTGGATTGTACTTTTTGGGAGGAAAAATGGAATGGAGAAAGAAGCATCGGCGATGCTAGCGAGTGCGCTTTGTACAATATGCATGGATGACATTGGTATTTATGTAGCTACTTTACGACGTTATGAAAAGATTGGAGAGAATATATGGAGGATGGAGGGACTTTGCTTTGGCTGAGGGATATGAATTGATACATGGGTGGATGGATTGAGTTTGGGATTAGTGGATTGCATAGGATGGGATTGGATGAGTTAGTAATTTATATCAAAGAGAAATGGATAGCTATTTGGGCTTGTGTGTGAGGGAGGCTCTAAAGGATGTATGAATGGAATACATTTTTCTGGAAACGAAAGAATGTGAGAAGGGTGTTATGCTCATAGTTAGTAGCTTAAATCGATTTTTGATATTGATATTGATGTTTATGTCGATGTGATTATAGATAAACAAAAAAGAAATACGGTTCCAAACACGAGTAGAGTTTACAAAAGGAAGGAAGTATATACTTACTGGCCAAATATACACTTTCTACAACTTATGAATCCACCCACTCACTCCACTCGTACAATACAAGTAATATACTGAGTACAAGTAGTACTAGAGTAGCAAGTTATCAGGGTCAAATCCCCATCGGAACATTTTATTTTCATTTTAACTTCATCCATCCCCTTTTTTTCTTCCCAGCATATCATACTATGCTACATATACTACTTACTATATCATGAAATAACACTATATTACATTGTATATCCCGCATCTCTCGCATCTCTCGCATCTCTTAAACTCATAAACCCAATTCTCACTTCTCACTTCTCACCCGTACTGTATAACACTTTTTTTTCTTCTTCTCGCTGGCAGTGGCAGTGTCACCGAAATCTACTCGTACAAAAAGCACTATCTTGTTAGACTTGTTATCCTCTTTTTGCTTATCCCCTTCCTCCTTCTTTCCTCTTCCTTTTTCTTCTCCTCCTCTTTCTTCTCCCCCTACTATTTACTAATACCAATTCCTATTCCCATTATTACATTTCCCATTTTGATATCCCTCTCATGCCCCTCCTATTCCCTTCTTCTCCTCCGACTAATAGTAATAATAATAATACGAATAACAAATAAAGCTCTATGTCGATACTTAATAGTGGTTAGTAGTTAGTTTCGAGTACTGAGTATATCAACTAGACTAGACTAGATTAGACTAGAATAGATAATTCAATCTAATAGTATGATAGTCTAATAGTACAATAGTCTAATAGTATGATAGTCTATCTAATATTCCGACATTCTAATACTAGTCAGTCAGTTATTCAGTTAGTCAATCAGTTAGTAGCCTTTACTCAAGTATATAAATATCAATATCAATATTAATATAAAAAACTCGTATAAACACACCAATAAACCCCACCCCCCAATATTCCACCCTTTTTGTTCTCCTTCGCTTCGCTTGAGATTTTTAGTTTTAGGGGGTATTTGGGAGGGGGGGGAATAGCTGAGTAGCTAAATATGATATGATGAGTATGAGTATATATGTACTATATGGACAGTTTGATGGATAATAATAATGTGTAAGTAAGAGTCGGTTTGGCTTTATTATACAAGTATGATATCCTTATTTACGTATGCCAGTATAATAATTGAGGACAAAAAGCTTTCATACTGGCTAACGTAGGAATTATTTAGTGCTGTGTTCTAAATTCCTACCTATATGATGGAAAGAATATCCAAATTCTGTCTACTCGAGTAAAGGAATTAATATTAATTTTCCATACCCTACCCCCATACCCCCTTCCCTCCATAAAAAGTCTTTCCCTAACTCCAACTCAGTCGCCAAATCCTTTTAGCTAGACTCCAAGATACTTTACTTTACACGCACGTACATCTCTCACTTCTTTCCCTGCAAATGCCACGCAAAGACCTTTTCAAAGATACCCTTCCCATCACCCACCATCGTATCCCCATGACACGGCACAATATTCTCAAAACCCCATGTATTAATTCTCCTGACACTCTGATTGAAACCCTCCCTATCACTCTTACTAAACACATACCAAAGCATTCTCTTCTGCCAGATCGCCGAGCCCCTCGTATTCTGAATCGCCCCCAACAACTTCGTCGCCCACCCCGAACTCGCATCCACCCCCGTCTTAGAATATTGCTCTGTAGCCGGCAAATTAAACAACAGATCGGCTTGTATCAACGTTCGATCCGGCTTGTAATAAAACACCACTTCCTTATTCGGATGCGCATCCACAAACTCATATTCGAAATCCGCATCGAATTCTTCAGAAATCTTCATCTCGGCCTTATTCTTCTTGGTGAAAATGCTTTGGAAATGTATATTGGTGACTTTTTTATCGCTCTTGGATTGCTCGGCTCGTTTCTCGGCGAGCCCTTCTGGCGCAATGAAGTGCGCGTTGGGATAGGCGCGGTGCCAGTCGGAGAGGAATATGTGATGCTCGAGATCTGGAGCCGCAACGTATGCGACGCGGTTTCCGAGGGAGAGCAGCTTGGTGGTGACGGAGGGGGTGAGGGCCACGGGCGAGAAGACGGCTAGTTGCCCGGATGTGAGGCGTACTGTGGGGATTTGTTAGCGATTTTATTTCGGATGTGTGGGAAGGGGAAGAGGGAGATAGGAGTGGAATATATACCAATGGTGGCTCGACCGCCGAATTTCACCATGCCAAATCGTAAGAAAGGTACGGAGAGTGTGGTGATATTAGCTGTTACGTCACGAATAACCATGACTTTCTCGGGATCCGAAGGAACTAATTTGTCTGACATATTTGGAAATATGTATATGCGGTTTGTATATGCTGTGATGTGATGTGATGCTAAAATGTAGTACAAATCTTGATGTTGTACTGCTTAGGTTTTTACACAGTTGTTGATGTTGATGTTAATGGGTTGTAGTGACTTGAGGAATGTTTAGAAACTATGACGTTACCACATGCGGGAGGGAATCTTGGAATCAATGCTAAAGCTAGGTATCAAGTAGTCAAGACGAAAACGAAAACGCAAAGCAAGATGGCGATAGTAAGAGATGATAGATAATAGATAATAGATAATAGAATGGAGAGAATGTAAAGAGAAATAAACACCTTGCTTGACCTTTTATGATATATATTTACCTAGGAAATTAATGACATTTCTTATTTCCTTTATTTATTTCTTACTTCTCTGTTTCGGTCAGCAAATGGATAACTTGGAATTCGAAGTGAAAGTCTCGACCCGAGGAGAATGTATAAGTGAGGGTATGTTTAGTAAGCATACATGCATACGAGTTTGTGCCGAGGTGATACAGAAGTTACAGGGGTTTAAACGCCTACTGTACGGGAGATGTAAGTAAACCTACGGAGGAGTTTTGTCAAATGAGTCTAGACATCAACTTTTCGAAGAATTGACTTCAAATTATGTATCCGTATATATATACAATCAATGTTGTCAAGATATTTTCAATAAACATTTAAGCAAAGTATAAGGGGCTGATTTGATAATGAATTTTCTTTACTCTTCATCCAGTATTTCGAAATCACAACTTCTCAACATATACGAGTACTGGTCGGTACTCGTACATACGAATAGTATCTCAAATCAAAGTATTTCTCATTTGCTATTGCTACAGCTACAACGGTCCTCTCTCTAAACACCCAAATGGACTGACTGACTTAGCAGAAACGAAAATGGTGTACTGTATGTAATATCTAAGTTACAGAGGCCCTTTGGTACGAGTACTATCTCGAGACTATATCTCCCTTTCATGTAATGAACCCCCGACTTGCTCTACCATCCGAGTAAGTATATGCGTAGAAAACATTGCTGAAAGAGAACATTAGTATGTACTCGTAGAGGAGAACCAGGTTCTTGGAAGAAGTCATTCTTTTCCGTCAAGTACAACCCCAGGGTAATCCGTCGACCCATCCAAACTATCATAAAAGAGAGATAGCACCAGCTTTGATATGAATTGTGCATCATATGAGCTCACGAAGAGAACTCGAAAGGAAGAAATATGTCGAGCAAAGAGTTGGTTTCGGTGGAAGTTCTAATGGGAAGTACATGAAGAAAAAAGAGTTGGGACCATCAAGCAAAAAGCTATTCATGACCCATCATACCCGAATTCCTCAATTAATGTTCCTGGGCAAGCAGTAAAACCACATATTGTGTGCGTAGGTGGATATTAACCGGGAAATTGGTATGTGACAGGAATGCCCGCAAGCTGCAGAAGATCGAATTTCAATATGTCCAATTGACGATTGATGGTTTGAGGTAAGATTTGGTTCATACCAAGGAAGCCATTGGAGGCGCGTTGCGCCAGAACTTGATGAAGCCATCTACGAGTAGCATCATTTTCTGCAAACCAAAGTGCTCGTTCTTTCCAAACAGAGAAGGACAACCAAATTGTAAGATAGACGAAAGCATGGAATGCCAAGCCCCAGAACGTATTCCAGGTAGATGGCATTCTTCCCGGCCTTGTACGGAACAGTGCGGAGAAGAGTGTAGACCCAGGCCGATGTAGTCTACCACCATCCGGGGGTGCTCCAGCTTCATCGGCATCACTGTCGGAAGAAAATGTTGCTGCATAATCAGGAGTTGGTGGGGTCCAATCGTAGCCAAAATAGACTGCTACAGGGAGCCAACTGAGGTATGCTAAAAGATGTCTGACCCAGTGGGAGAAGAGGACGAGGAAATTAAATTCAACCATGAGCCAGCAAGTGATGGGGTTGTGAGCGAATACTCGGAATGGCGTATAACGAATGGGTCCTGGGACTTCTTCGCCGGGCACATCAACATATACAACAGGACCTGGTACAGATACTTCACGATTGATATATTGTATGGGACCCGGGACCGGAACCTCGACAGGAGGGCCAGGAACTGTGTGCACGATATCTTGACCGGGGACGTGGACTATTCGATTGATATATTTGATAATACCAGCACCCGCGCCGTGGCCACGACGTCTGGCTCGGTGGATGAGTTGTAGATCGGGAGAACCTTCTTCTTTTTCTTCTTCTTGTTCATCTTGAGGGCTTTCGTATTCGGAAGAAGACGATGTGCTGCTGCTTCCTACCTCCTCCTCTGGCTGAGGAATTCCTTCCTCTTCCTCTTCCTCTTCGTCATTCTCCGCGTCACCCTCTAACTTTTTACCAGCAGCATTTCTAGCCCAGTAAGCCTCTGGGTATGCGAGGAAAGTCGGTCTGTGAGTCTGTTGAAGTTTTCCCACCTGTGTAACGAGACTGCGTGCCATCATAATATAGTACGCCAGCGCCTTTTGCTGATCTTCAGTTGCTACGCCGCCTTTGTTCTTGAGCTCCACAGCAACCACATCGAGCTGTTTCAGAAGATCCTTCGTTTCCACATCTTTCTGCTTCAAGAGAACCTCCATTTCATTGGCATGTTTCCGGACCTCGTTGGCATCATTTCTGAAGTCTTCGAGTTTGGTTTGTTCAAGCACGATTCGGTCGTGGAAATTTTGTCTTTCAACTGCGTGCTCTTCTTGTAACTTCTTGATCTCCTTCTCAAGTCGACTAAATTCATTGCGCACTCTGTTACTTTCTTCTTGAACCTTAGTGTTTTCCCGAGTCAATCTATGTGCCTCATTTCCAAAGTTGATCTTATCAGTCTTCAAGGTCCGAATTTCCTCTTCTTGGGCTTTGATACGTGAGTGTAGCGCATCAACATGGCTTTCTCGATCTTTGATATTGGCTTCGGCTGTTTTGATGTAGTCTTCGTTGTTATCATTATCGTACTTCAACTTGGCAATCTGTTGTCGCAGATCCAGGATGAGGAGCTCGTCTTCCCTTGCTTTATCCGCCATTTTTGCCTTCAGTTCCAGATGTTTTACTTCCAAATCCGCGTAATTGCCGTTCTTCAGCTTCTCTGCGATATAACTTGCCTCCAACTTTTCGACGATTTCGTCGTAAGCTGTGATGTCTTTCTGTGCGGCTTGAAGTCTTTGGTCGTAGGATTCGGTTTGGGCGATCCTCGTTCGCAAGACTCCCTCCCTTGTCTCGAGGGTTTGCCGTGCCTCTTTGAGTTGCCAAACGAGCCGGTAATGCTTTGTTCGATACTCGACGCAATCGGTTCGGGGACAAGGTTGGAAAGGTCTGTACATTCCAAGGTTAGCATTGTTACACCAATCACGTGAATTTTTAACAAAAGAAAGAACTTACGTTCCACCTTTCTTCGTCTTCGATGGGTTTGGATCGAGGTTAAATGTGAAGGTAGGCGCCTCAGTGGCCGCCGACTTTCCAAATTCCATGGTCGTTTTTTTTTCGTTCGTTATTTATCGTTCAGTTGATTTGAGTGTGTACGATGAATCTAGAGGAAGGAGAAATCAACTCTACGAAGTCAAGTATATATTTACTTCTATTTCATCTAACCATCCTACCGAGCCGTATCCACTTATTGTATTGAGGTATAGCAATTTCCGATTGTTGATTGGCCGTAGCAAATTATTCTGCTATTGTAAGGTCCATTTCTATTGTCGTCAGATTCACTATTGTCTGGTAACTACAATTTCGAGTTTTGCTATTGAGCCAAGCGAGAGAAATGAATATCAACTTGGGTTTGATCGGGTCAATGGTAGTCGTAGTCATGAGACCAGAAACTCAGCAATTGTACTTGAATATCAATGCTGAGCTTGAACTTTTGCTTCAAATCATATTGATGCGTGCGTTATGATCTATCTATCCCAACTTCCATTATCGATCTACCTCATGAACGGATCACTTTTGGCTGAGTGAAATCAATCATATATCTTCACTTTCGAACCCTTTTGCTTTGAAGCAGTCTGAGATCTAGGATTTTAGAAGCTATCAGCCGTGTACTTTGGGACGCTAAACCTTTAAAGTTTAACGAAGGGCAATACTTCACACATTCAAGTACATAATCACATCAGATATGTATCTTACGCTCTGAACTGCGTGATAATCAATATATCTTGGTACCACGAGAGTCGTTAGCCATATACCTTGGGAGTTGAACCTGGATCTTTCAATATGATAGAGAGAGAGAGAGTACATCCTAGACCTTCGAGAACATGAGATATACATCATGAGATCTGAGCTTTCCAATAACGAACATGGCGAAGGGGATGGCTGGAAAACATCGTCGCAGTGATATCCGCTTCGAACGGGAAAGGATCGGTTGTATTGGATATAACCCACGAATATAAAGGCCGCTCGATGAATTGAGGAGGAATTAGACAACGATGATATCGCTCTATTAGATTTGCATCTCATGATGGTGTCTAGGGTATTGGATATATCATATTATATGTGCAAACCATAAGAAACGAATCCAAGAATCCTCAAAAGGAATACAGAAAATTTACAGTCTCAACTATTCAGCCTATTCTATTCTACAATCGGAACCCTCTAATACTGTACTCAATCTGAGCCTGTATATTAAGCGATGACATATGTTTGCGCACATCACAACCCACACTCCTAAACTGTCCCCCCTTCATATCAAGCACAATATCATATACCGTACTAAATGAACTCTAACACAGCACCTCAAACGACATACTGTATCTGCATGTAGCAAAACAAGCAAGAGAAAAAGTGCCACCCACAGCCTCAAATGCAGTATCGCACCTCGCATCATATAAATATCATATTGATATCACCCAATAAAATACCAAAACACAACCCTAACCCTACAATACTACTAACCAACTCTAAATCCACCATATATTAACCTCCCACAGTAAAGTAAATCCCCAACTCCCCAACTCCCCAACCCCCAACCCCCAACCAACATGTGTTAACTACTCAACGACCTAGATATCAAAAAAATCACGAGTTTTCAAAACTTATATAACTTATAACTTACCTCTCCTCTCATCCTCTCCATACTCAAGTACCTCCATACATCCATCTTCATATGCATGTACATCCTTCATGCACATGATATCATATCATATCATATCATTACCATGTAACACAACCCACACGCACGATTTGTACCTGCAGCCAGCCAGTACTTGGCGGTGATGAATCCCAACTTCTATTCTCATACCAGCTGGCACCCAAGACGGAGTACAAAGACAAGACTTGGCGCTTGGCTCTTGGCATGGGGTGGGGGCCGGGGTGAAGGTTAACCTCATTTCATTTCATTTCATGTCAATTCTGCTCACTGCACTGCACATCATAGCACATCACATCACGAATATCACATCATATAAATTCCACAAACAAATTTTGTTTTACCCAAATGTATTATCCAGAAGTTGACCACTGTACAATGTCTGCATGTGCACGACTTGTAAGCCAGGAGCGGGCTGCTACTAGATATGACATTATGTTCATGTAGATAGCAGAACTCCCGCTCGCACAATGCCAAACCTTGGTCCCATCAGAAACATTCATTCCCATATTTGCTTACCCAATTCCGCCGGATCCTTTTATTGTCATGATAGATACTCCCCCATTAAACTCAGCAACCCAATCATTATTCATCTCGTTATCATCACTTAAACAGCACTGCTAGCAGCAAAACCGAAAGAAGGTCCGCTCTTGTCAAAGACACCATAGTACGCGTTGAAGAAAACATCACCATAGATATTTTGCGATCCACCTCCCACACTCTGGAGAGAACCATAACAGGTGTTTCCGCTTGCCACTCCAAAGTTCAATAGCGAAGCTGGGATGGTTGCATATGCGGTCGTGCCGATTCTGATCGACAACGTGGGGAGCTTGGCGGAACATGGGAACACATATCCGCCATAGGTGCTGGAATATTCAGCGCCCGAGACTTGGGAATAGTATGCCATGTTGGCCGAATCGCTCATGAGAAGGAGCGTGGTGCCAGTATCGGCAACACCAGTGAAGCCTGATGCGGAATGAGTGGTGGCGCCGACTTTGTAGGAGGTAGATGGGAATTCCCAGAAACCGTTTCCGGAGTTGACGGGGGCGTAGGTGATGTCACCAGTGTATTTGCTCGAGTCCGTGTATCCGAAGTCGTATGCTCCACTGGCGTTGACTGGAAGGTAAGCGGCGAAGAGTGGGGCATTGAGCGAGCTCTGAGCGTTGTCGAAGAAAGTGGATTGAGATCTTGGTGAAACTAGGAGATGATAAAGTCAGACGGAGGTATTTTTATTTGACAAATCATTGTTCAGACTGATGAGGCTTACCAGTGTTAATGTTGCTGAAAGCCATACCGATGAGCCCATCGGCTTGATCAGAGACAAACGTGGAGGAAACTTTGTTGGCAAGTTCGACTGCTTGGCCAGTGACTTTGGTAGCGCCAATAGTAACGGTATCTGTACCTACCAAACCACTGGCTCCTGAACCATCTGCATATTGAATGCTCCAGGTATAGCCAGAGAGAGCCTTGTATGTGGAGCTCTTGCTCGAAGTGTAGCTTGATTGATTCGTTAGTGCCTGTTTGATGCTTTTTCATCTGATAGGTAAGATGGATGCTTACTAGTCATGACCTGAGCGAGATGAGGAGGCGAGGAGCGAGGAGAAAACCCATCTGGTGAGATAGTTAGCAGGATGAAATAGAAGATGCCATTGGATAGATGTCAGCTAGGCCATAATTGGAGATATGCCTTTAGCCAACGCGAGAATATGAGGAGAAGGCAGAAATGGTAGCACTTACAAATCTGCTGAACCAGTATCCAAATCAAGGTTGAGAGTTTGTCCTCCAACGGTCGTAGGAACGAGATACTCAACACCATCAGAAGGAATAGCCGAAGCAGAACTATCTTGTCTCTTTTGGAGTGCCGAAAGAAATGCATCAGACATTGGCTGGGTAGGCTGGATGTGGTACTTGGCATATGCCTTGAGCAAAGACGCAGTACCATTGCGAACATAGTTCGGGTTGTGAATGGCTGGTACACTGTGGGCGGAGGAACTTTGAGCAAAGGTTGCTGGAGCCGGAGCTGCTTGAGCAACCATTGCTCCAAGAGCGAGGAAAGCAGTGATGTGGGAAAGCATATTCGACGAGTTTTAAAGGCAATGTATGGATCGATGTAGGTACTTTGGAACAAGATGAATATCTGAATACAAGAGGATATGCTGCCTTCTTATAAACATGAGTTAACTCCGAGGTACCTTTGAATTCACCGCATCTTGGCTATCACCCCACTACTATTTCAACGGGTATTCAATTCTTGTGACATGATAAAAAGGCAATGCAAGAGTAGTGAATGCGTGGGCTGTGGGTCACAGTGGACATTCGGGCGGCTCCAGATATGGCAGGTTGTTGTTATTTGGCTTGATCGTGGGGCACACTTGCTGATCATTGAGGGGATGTACAAAGCTACAGTAACAACTCTCCGAAGATTTATTTGTTGGAAATACTTCTGATGAGCAAAGCTTGCCTGTACTAACAGGATATAAGGAAGGTGGCCGACCCTTGATGATAGGAGGTTGATTTCGTATTTAGGAAAGTCATCTTGTTATCCATCCGAACGATTGGTTGTATGGTTCAGATCAAACATACAAAGATTAACTAATTTACTTTGTGAAGTAATGAAAGAAGCAAATCTCGAATACCGGGGGTTGTGCAGCGGTGACCACGAGGACCCAAAAAATGCATTTATGAAAATACCTAAGCTTCAATTTAAGTATTCGGTCTAAGCTTCAATTTTAGGAAGGTCTTTATCCGTACCTGATTTACATTATTAGCATTAGCATTAGCATAAGAAGCAGGGATAATTAGCACAACTAACTACATCGGCATGAAAGCTGCCGTTAACCTTTAAGAAATCCTATCTAAGCTTAGAAGGGGAGCTGTGGCAGTTGAAAGTTGAAAGTCTTGTGCAATGATTGTGATTGACACAAGATGTCGTGATACCTGATAATAATACCTCCGTCCGTAGCTAAGGAAGCTCCAGGGGCATCGTCAACGACCAAACGGACCACTCGGAGGGAAGGGGGTGATGTAGGAAGGTCGTAAAGCAAAGCAAGCGTTATTAGTCTTTTGATTAAACCCATCATTTGCACAAGGGGGACAGCTTCATGATTGCAACCCTGAAGTTTGTACCTATAGCAAAACCTCTCTATAAGGATAACTGGATATAAAGATAACCTCCAAATAAGGATAATATTTCGGGTCCCTGATTTCATCGGATAATATCAAATGATTTCGGATCTTGGCTCAAAAGAATAATGATATACTCGAGTTTGAAAGCATGTGCTGAATATAGTCATGTGTACGGTTGAATGAACCTAGGTAGTTATGTATATGTGACTATACATGATTATTATGGTAAGTTCCGGGACCTCGATATAACCTTATTTTTGGCGCTAAAAAAAGTATCCTTATAGAGAAGGTTTTGCTGTATCTAGAGTCTAAACTGTATATACTGTTGTTTTAGGGCTTGTGTTGCGGAAGGAAGGCTTAGGATTCGAAGGAACTATATTACGTGGCGGTGGTGTGGCTAATGCCCGCCCTAAAATACCCATACCCATACCCGGTACTAATAATGATTGATCTATCTATCTACCGGTAACTGGTAAGGTTATCGATATGGATTCCCTTCGGCGCTATCTAATACTGTAAGGTTTATTTCAGGATGCAACGATACGATAGACAGTGTTGCCGTACAAGATCCAATCACGATGACAAAGTAAAAGGGGGACAAGAAGCGAGGAAGTTAATATGTCGCAAGTAACATCCAATAGGAGACTTAATGTGCAATATTTATCACAAGGTAAACCGAAAGTCTACATATGACTCGACGGAATTGCAGCATCCCGAGTAAGGGTTGGCCGAATTATATAATCCGGGGCAAGATTATATATCTTCATATTATTACACTTTTCGAGCGGTATAAAATAAAAATGGGTCATTTTATCTTGGAGAACTCTAAAATAGGCTTTTTAAAAAAGTATATAAGATGTTTTTTGGATATTCTCCGCCGAGATCACGTGTATATATATATTTAGGAAATTATATAAATGTCTTCATAAATATAGGTTTTATGCAGGCCTATATTGAGCTTGACTGATATTATATATTATAATTCGGTGATGAATATGCCATATATTATATCACCAATTCGCCCAACCCTTATCCCGAGATATGAATTGACCATACGAGTAGATATATCCAGATGGAAGTTTATTCTGAACTGAATTTCTAGTTGATTGGAATACAAGTTGTTGTTTTAGATTGGCTATTCCGATCAAGTGTATCGTTTGGTTCGCCATAGACATTTACTCTTCAAATTGTAGATTTCAGTTGAATACATAGAACATTCAAATGTAAGTCGAACATTCAAGGATGATGTGGTCAAATGCAATGGTTGATTCATTTTAGCTTCTTATGTCAAGCTGGATCGTCTAGATATTCCGGGTCGGAATTTCGTTTGGGATTCTCGAGTGGATTCCCAAATTTTAGCCGCCCACCCGAAAACGCCTCGAAGGATTGCTCAGGGCCCAGGGGTACATAAAGTTGATATGGCATGCATGTCACAGACGTTTTCAACAAGACTAAGTAGGGACTGGCGGAAAAGATGATGTGCTTTCTGTGTCAATAAGAATTCCTCTTGAGGAAGGCGGATTGGTTGAAGCAGTCGAGCCTTGCTCATGTGCCGCTATTAGGCGCTCAACTGGAATGCAGGTTGCTAGATAAGATGCGACCACTGCTCCATTGAAGTTAGTTCGGGAAATGCTACATGGACATCATAAAAGGCAGCCAGTTCCAGGAGACTCTTTGTCAGGGTCTCATGTGAAGAAGACGGTAATATACGAGAACATATGAACAAATCGGTGGGCTGCACCGATGCTAAAGCATGACGAGAGATAAGGTATAATAGTCATTAGATAAAGATGGTAATACAACCACATACAGTTGATGAAGATAACCCGTCTGTACCAGGACTCGGAGAATACCCTCGAGTCTCCAGAATATGCTGTGCGGGATGTTTCTTGCTTGTCAACACTGACCGAGGATCGCACGAGTCTGACAAGTGACATCTACAAAGCGAGTTCGTCGTCCGATTGTTGAAGGCTATGGTGGCACTTGTTTCGAAAGAATTGTACACGATAATCGATTTTCAAAGACTTGCAGTACGTCCGTTGCAATTATACACGACCCAAACCCCAAGCAATGCCGTCACTCCATAATCTAATCACATAATGTTGTCGTACGACCGGAAAAGAGGCATTTATGTCCGATGATTGGATCTCTAAGCCCTGCTTTTAGTATTGAGAATAAGAGCGACGATCAGACTGCGACAACAAATTAGTATGATATCAATGGGACAGCTCGACGGCAATATTGAAATTGACCCACCCGTATAGTCCCAAGACTTCGCCGAAAATCAATATCAAGACCATTCCAACAAAGATTCGTGATTGTTGCATGTATGATCGAACACCCATATCACCAACTATTCCAATTGTATAACCGGCGGCCAAGCCCGTCAAACCGACCGACAAACCGCATGCCAAATGCATGAATCCACTGTAAATGCGTCAGTGTTGGCCTGGTGATAGTCCAATAAGCTATGCGTACTTGAATAAGCTGTAACTTTGACCAGGAGGGGGGCCCATATCTCCTGCTATCAGAACGGCGATGACGAGAGAGTAGACGGCAATGATACCGGACATAACGACAGGAATGAGCGACTAGATAGAGCATAAAGTCAGCGAGAGGAACCTATGTAGATATTCTCGAATAGTTGCGTACTTTCATAATCAAGTCGGGTCTGAAGGTACCAACACCCGCAATTCCTATTCCAGACTTTGCTGTACCATATGCGGCGCCGATACCTTGAAGCTATTAGTGGTCTATAATGTATGGAAGCTTGGAAACTTATGGCATACATCCGAAAGTCATCGCGAAGGCAATGCCAGCCTACAGAAGCAATTAGTATAACACCATCAGTAAGACCACGAAGCTCGAGTCTCGTACCATTCCAAAGAAGGGGGCGAACTTTGGGGCGAGATCTGATTCCGCCATGATTGTTCTCCTCTTTATCTGTATTTGCGTGCTGGAGTTGGATGAAAATTGGCGGTTGAGAGGTTGTGAAATGAGTGTTATTGATTGAAAGCTATCAAATCTCTAAGTTGATGGAGCTAAGCTAGACGCCTCTTTGCACGGATGCACAAGGCTCCTCTCATGGGCGGCCATAATCACGTGACCGATACCCGAATTCTGATGGCTTTCGATTTGATATGTACTCGTAGAGATAACGATACTCAATCTTGCACACGCAGTGTTGATCCTCCCTTTACTTCAAAGTTCCTAAGGTTGCTACTATTGTTTATACCTAGGTGCTCTTCACAAAGTGTTGGAACTGCGAAGAAAAAGATCCCTCTCACCGCACCCGAAAGCCGATAACAGTGCCATTCAGTATTCGGCGTCGAAAAAGAACCTCAACTGGCCAAAATCCACGTACACAAAACATTACAATTCAATACAGTACTTAAAAACTTTGGAATTATACTTATTGTTGCCCTCCAATAAGGTCTTTATCTGGGTACCGAAGGGAGAAAAGGTGTATAGTTTTGGAGGTTGTTCTTCAATTCTCTCTTCAAATTTATCATGTTCTCCTGCAACAGATAAATAATAACTTTAACACGCAATACGACTCTACAAGGCTTGTTGATCATTCATTCGCTTGAGCTGATCAACTACAACCCCAACTCAACCACCAAAACAACACAGTCAATCATTATTCTACCTGTCTCTCAAACTCAACGATCACTACAATCGAAACGACATTGAAATTCTATACTCTGTGCCGGTGGAGAATATAAACAGGGTTCCCTAATTTCATTGCTTTGAGGCTACCCCAGGGTTGATTCCCTCGGCTTCGAGTCTTGGCTCAGCATTCTAGGCCAACAGAAGGATAAACGAATAGAGTTACATCGCATTTACACAACAAAAATACTTGTTTGGTTGACAAAATGGCGGACTATCAGCAAGGACGATCGAATGGTGGCCGACCAAATGAATACGGACATGCTTCGGACTATCAGCGTCAAACCGCTTTCTCAAATATCTTTGGTGCAGCCCCTCCTCCCGGCCGATCGCAGACCATGACTTCATCTACGTCTCCTCCAGTTATGCCTCAAGGTCGCACGCAAACGATGTCTTCGCAGATGCCAGGAATGCAAGGTGAGATGCCTCCTAGACAGCCTCCGGGCCAGGGCGGATACCGGCCTACACCAGGGAATAATATGCCGAACGGAGGAGGTGGAATGGCCAATGGCTATTATCAAGGACAACGACAAGCACCCCCTGGACAAGTACCGTCTCAACCACAACCTCATTCTTTACCACAGCAGGTTCGTAGCGATCGAAGACCATACCCTACTCCTCAGCGCATCTCGCCCCAACAGCAATTTCCTCCCAGACCCCCGCAACAACGATATCACTCTGGTAACGCCCCAGCACTCGCCTCCGACCCTTATCGCTCTCAATCGATGGCGAATATACCCAGACCACAGATGCATCAATCGCCACCTGGCACCTTCAATCAAGCTCCTGCCAACGCCTTTCGGCAAGCCCAATACCAACCACCAGCTTCAAGAACAACCGCCCTCGGGCGCAACATACCTGAGAGACCTGACGAGCGCACAATGTCATTGACCAGCTATCCGCAAGATCGTGACCAGCATCAAACCATGAGTGGACGAGTTATTCCCACTAGACGAACCTCGGGGAACGTGCCGCAGGAGTTACCGGCAACACCTTTCCCAATTCCCCCGCCTGCTCCGGCAACTGCAACACGAACTACTAGCATGTCTTCTACTGTTGCGCCGGATATGAGTCGTTCGATGTCTATGGCTTCAACGATTGTCCCACCAGAGCAATCAGACGTCCTGACCCATCGCCCTTCGGCAAAATCAATTAGCAGCACAGCTGGAGGATCATCCCGACACAAAGCTCCTCTTGTATATCCTGCACTGTTGTCGCGCGTCGGCGATTGCTTTAGAGAAAAAATCAATGTCGGCGACAGAACGAAGAATGATCTTACATACAAGAATGCTTTCAGTGGAGCAGAGGCGGTGGACATTATTTCATACATCATCAAGACTACCGATAGGAATCTTGCTTTGTTACTTGGACGAGCTCTTGACGCCCAGAAATTTTTTCATGATGTGACTTACGATCATCGGTTACGTGATGCCGCTACAGAGATGTATCAATTTCGAGAAACAATGATGGACGAGCCTCATGAAGCACCAGAAGTTAATGGCGTGTTCGTTTTACTTACTGAATGTTACTCCCCGACGTGCACTAGGGATCAGTTGTGCTATTCGATTGCTTGCCCTCGTAGACTTGAACAACAATCTCGATTAAACCTGAAGCCACAGCCTGGTCTTCGTCGCGAAAAGTCTGAAGCAAGTTTGCATGATGTCGACGAACCCGACGAGCAAAAACTCTGGATCAACACAGTATCTCAAGAAATTGCGGACAGTGTTGGGGAGCGAGAGAAGAAACGCCAAGAGGTCATTTCGGAGATAATGTATACTGAAAGGGATTTTGTAAAGGATCTTGAATACTTACGCGATTTCTGGATCCTCCCATTACGTTCATCTAACCAGCTTGCTCCATCACCCATTCCAGAAGCTCGAAAGGAGAGGATAGTCAGGACCATATTCTCAAATATCGTTGACCCGCCTAGTATTCATGGTGTCAGTTCTCGTTTTGCCGAGTCCCTCACAGAAAGACAGCGGAAGCATCCTGTTGTTCAATGTGTAGGTGATATATTCCTCGAGTTTGTTCCTCAGTTTGAGCCTTTCATCATATACGGATCGAACCAACTAGCGGGGAAATTCGAATTTGAGAACGAGCGATCCTTGAATCCCTCGTTCTCTAAATTTGTGGATGAGACGGAGCGGCGAAAAGAGTCACGAAAGCTTGAACTGAATGGTTATTTAACGAAGCCGACAACAAGACTTGCTCGTTATCCACTCTTGCTAGATAACGTTCTTAAGTACACCGACGATGGGAACAAAGACAAGGAAGATGTTCCGAAAGCCATGAAAATGATTCGTGAACTACTCACCAGGGTCAATGCCGAATCCGGCAAAGCTGAGAACCGCTTCAATTTGAAACGATTGCATGAACAGCTTCGCTTTAGGCCTAATGAGCGTGTAGATCTAAAGCTTACCGATGAAAACAGAGAGCTCATACACAAGGGACCCTTAAAGAAGACACCGACAGATCCAACTGACATCCAGGCCTACCTTTTCGATCATGCTGTTCTTCTCGTACGTGTCAAGACGGTGGGAAAGAAAGAGGAAATCAAAGTATATCGCCGTCCAATTCCTCTGGAACTATTGTCCATTCGCGAAATGGAGGAGTTTATGCCTAAACTTGGGGTCGTGAAACGTCCATCATCAAGTCTGATTCCCACTAAAACTCCTACAAGTGACAATAGTAAGAAGGAAGGGTTCCCCATAAGCTTTAGACATCTCGGTAAAGGCGGGTACGAACTGACACTGTTTGCAAACAGCTCAGTGATGAGGAACAAGTGGATGGAACATATAGGTGAACAGCAAGCCATATTACGGAAGCGAGGCGATTTTTACAACAAATCTATCATTTCTAGTAACTTCTTCACAACCGCAAACCGGGTCAACTGCGTGGCACCATTCGATGGTGGCCGTAAATTGATATACGGCACGGATTCGGGCATCTTCGTTTCTGATCGCAAATCAAAAGATTCTGCCGCAAAACCACTTCGAGTACTGGATGCTACGAGTGTCACACAAATTGATGTTCTCGAGGAATACAATCTTCTGCTGGTTTTATCAAATAAATCTTTGCAGTCTTATCCTCTTTCTGCGCTGAATCCGAATGAACCTGCACTTTCAAAACGCCCCAAAAAGATACAAAGTCATTGTAACTTCTTCCGCACAGGGATATGCTTAGGTCGCCACCTTGTGTGCTGTGTTAAATCTTCGGCTTTGTCAACTACCATCAAAGTATTCGAACCTAATGACGCGATGTCAAAGGGGAAGAAGCAAAAAGGATTCAAGATGTTCAGCAATGGTCAAGACGAATTAAAGGCATTCAAAGAGTTCTACATTCCAACAGAATCTTCGTCGATACATTTCCTCAAATCAAAGCTTTGTGTGGCTTGTGCACGTGGATTTGAAGTAGTATCTTTAGAGACCCTAGAGACTCAATCACTCCTGGATCAGGCTGATACATCTCTGGACTTTGTTGCTCGAAAAGAGAATGTGCGACCAATACATATCGAGCGATTGAACGGAGAATTTCTTCTCAACTACTCAGAATTTTCCTTCTTTGTCAACCGTAATGGTTGGCGAGCTAGACCTGACTGGAGAATTGATTGGGAGGGACAACCACAAAGCTTTGCACTTTCCTACCCTTGGATACTCGCCTTCGAACCGAACTTTATTGAGATCAGGAATATCGAGACTAACGCGGTTCATATCGTTCCTCATAAGAGCATTCGTATGCTACATACAAGCACTCGAGAGGTACGTGGTGTTCAAACGGTTTACCAGTGTATTTTTATGAGATGCTAACCAATTTTAGATCATATATGCTTATGAGGATGAACGAGGAGAGGACATTGTTGCGGCCATCGACTTTTGGCCAGCTGGACGTAAGCCAGAAGCACAACCGACCTCTAACGGTGGTGAGTTTCGTGATGGTGGGCATCCCCCAACATCCTCGCGGTATTAAGCTCGACTATAAGCCTATCGTACCCAATTTTTAATAACATGAATACCCACGCCCTAATTATCCTCGTCTCAATTCTCAGGTTTACAAATGCATGACATTTGACAAGTTTCGATAAATCTCTTCTATTGTATCCTAGGTGTGCTGGACACGCTGGTCCAATAGCCAAAGTCGTGCACAATACTTCGGCTCACTTTCCAATCTATCGACTTATTGAAGAGATAAGAACTTTTTCATTTCTTTCGGTCGCTGACAAGTTGTTCCTCGAAGAGAAGAGCAAGGGGATTTTTGTTATGTCAAGGAACGGTGGTAGGGTATGGAAGGGGTGACAGGCGTCAACAGGCGAAAGATAGGAAAGGAAGAAGAGAGACTCCTTCCACTACTTCTTCCGATTCTCTCAATTTTCTCAACCCTTTTTTTTTACACTCGATTGGTTGAATAGAGGCAGTGCATGATATGATATCTATGTTTCTGTACATTGCAGCTGTAGTCGTATGAATAGATCGTGTATTTCTTCGCCGCTTATTGTCAAACTCCTCGATGATACTCGAGTAGATCCATCGGCATGTGAAGGTTAGACAATCATATAATCATCAAATTTTGAAGGTAGGAAATGAACTTGATGTGTGATACAGTTTAGTTTTATACATGAAAAATTTATACTGGTACTGTGTACTCGATATCCGGACCCGTCGTAACCTCTTTATTAATATTTATCAACAGTGGGTACACAAACTCATACTCGTAGAACCATGTGAGGTTAAATATATCAGTCAATATTCTCGCAACACCCTTTTGTATACTCTAAGCTCTAAATTCTGAAAGAATCATTCGATACAGGTTCAACAATGAGACTTTACAATCTAAACAGAAACAATTCATGGATGGATTAGTCATAACTTTTGGAGATTGGGCAGCGTTCCATGAATCCGTCCACCAACTCTCCTCGATCCGGATCAGAATGTTTTATTCATCTTTCGGTGCCTCTCGTTGTGCTCGCAAAACTTTACTTCTTTGCTTAACCATATGCGTAAACAAGATATACGAGCCTATGTATCATTAGCATCCTTCTGCCTAAAATCATCAATATAGACAACCTACCAGGAACATAAATTAAAAGAATCGACTGCAGAGCCCAGGCATACACCTGTCCATACGCATTTCTGGCAGGCTCAATAGATTTGTATATCAACCAACACTCGCTACTGATCCCCAGAGGATATAAAGCGAAAAAGGTGTTGTATCGGAACCAAGTAACGATTGCTGGTTTGTAGCCGCTGAGCGTTATGACGAAGTAGGAGTATCGAATTACTTCAGTTACGCTCCATGCAATCAGCATACTAGAGTATCCAGCGCTTTGTGCAACGAATGGGAACGGATTGACGATTAACCAGACGAGGAGAAGACGGCTGGCTACTTGCATTCCAGTTGTGCTAATGGAGGCGCGGACGACACCTATAGATATCCAACATTAGCATTTTCTCTGCTCCTCAACAAATATCTACATGAGCCGAGAGAAACAAACCAGTAGCCGCATGTACCACCTCCAAAAGTGCCATGGTTTGTGTCCATTTTATAAACTGCCCAACACTTGGATATAATTGTCCAAAGCCGACAAGAGGCACCAAGAGCGTTACTCGACCGAGGACGACGAGCCAGAGAATGGCGGAGACAAAATTATATAGGATGAGGTATTGGGTTTTGCGGTTGGAGGATTGGAGAGGTTTGGGACCACGCTTCTTGAGGGATGACTCTTGGGCATCTTGCGGACTCATGGTTGCAATTATGCTTGATGGTCAGAAAGATAGGTTTTGATGTAATGACTGACTGCTGGGGATGAGGAAGCTGGTGGTTCGTTGGGCTCAAGATTAATTAATATATAATATATTGGAGCTTGGACTATCTACTCAGTACTACCTAACTAAAGCCACTTTTATTTATTCTTGGCGGGGAATCATCTTAGCGACGAAGGGGATCGGAAATGTTATTTCAATGTCTGCTTTCATGTGGGACTATATATGAAGACAGTCCCGAATAGTCGAAATACAAAATAACAAAAAGGATATCTATTTTCAATGTTGAGATGTATACTAATTTGAGGACTCTGAATGAACGACATGGTCATATCAGCCATCTTTTCTTCGCTTACATAAGCTCATCATTGCATATCGCATGCAAAAAATACTATTATCCTATCTGATAATGGAACCAGTGGCCGTTCCATTGAGAGCCGATCATTAACCCCTTTTTTGTTTTGTCCCTGCGATGTCTATCTACCTAACTTGATAAATGTCAAGCACTAGAGTTACTTACGAGTTGTAGGTGACCTCAAGGTCTTATTATTACTAGGTTCTACTAGGTCCAACAACTTCCTCTATCTCTTCTTCTCTCCAAATCTCATCCAACATCCCCTCTCATCATCCATGTTCATCATTTGCCAAACAGGTGTCTGTAAGGGCCATCACATCTTTGTACTGTACATGTGTACATGTAACGCACATATGCAATCAGTATCACAAACGGGCGGCACCGATTGGGCAAATTCGTCACCATTCAACTTCATTATGTTTGACATTCAATCTCGGGCATCGCGGGTTCGAATGTAGCATTCCTAGTGGAACCACACAAAGATACGAAAGCTTTTGTAGTTGAAACGGTATCTTCAATATTCGATAGGAATAACAATACCCCGGCGAACCACAAACGCGGGACCAACAATCGCCTACCAATTGGCGCTGTATACAGGGACGTCACGCTCTTGATTGTTGGATTGCGGCGCGGACGAACATTGTAACTATGTTTGTCGCCGGGTCTGGGAAGAGAGACAGGACTGTAAGGTTATTTGTGAATTTTGAGCTTTTCAGCTGCGGAACTCAAGGTTTGCGGGGGGTAAACCTCAAGAATCATGCACTTTCGTCACATACAACGATGCCAGGATAGTTCCAACATCGTTACAATAGCATTGATAATATAAAAGGCACCCTCCCTTTTGCTTTCAACTTCTTGCTCTCATAATTGTATTAAATAGGTCAGGTTCGCGTGATCTTTAAGACCAATCAGCACAAATTTCTCAATCGATATCATTTCAATTATTTCAACTATCTAACCGAGATAAAATACTTGCAATCTCATCAAGGCGATCTCGTGATGGGTTCTGCATACACAGATATCAAGTCGCCCATTGGGCATGATTTTGGAGATGAACAGACGCAAGCAGAGCTCGAGCTGATGGATGAGCTTCATAAGTTGGGCGTCTCCAAATATGTAAACTTGCCTCAGGTACGTCTTATCTTCTGACCATCTAATTCTAAGCTTACATGTCTTAGTTGATTGTCGTTGGAGACCAAAGTGTTGGCAAAAGTTCGGTGCTCCAAGCCGTGACAGAGATTCCTTTCCCGACCGATGATAAGATGTGTACCCGTTTTGCAAAAGAGATTGTTCATAAGAGAACTTCGCCGAATGACACAATCTCAGTGACTGTTGAGATTATTCCTGATTCCAGTGAAACCCAAGAGCGGAAGGATTTGTTGTCCTCATGGCGTCCGCTAGCCTTTGGGCCCACGCTTGACAAGAAGACAATGAATTCTATATTCAAGCAGGTCCGTTCCTTGACAAATGTCGTTCCTGACAATTAAGTTACTCTCAGATTGCACAGGCAGAATCCATCTTTATTGAAGACCATGCCGATGTCCGACCTGGTAGAAGACCGAAACATAATCGTTTAAGTAGCTCTGTTCTGCGCATAACACGACGTGGGCCCGATGAGAAGAATTTCGCGATTGTAGATATACCAGGTCTTATCCGTGGTGAGTATGACTATTGTTTCGTGCCATGGTGAAGCTGACAGCGTGGACCAGGCGATGCCAAAAACATGACTGGGTAAACCAACATCACGTTCTCTGATAATCAGTTACTGACACTCATTATAAGGTGTTTGAGCTCATCAATAATGATGACCAATCCCCAAGGTATTTAAAGGAAAGATGGTACGGTTTGCGGAACAGAGCGCCAGTCGAAGCCAGCAACAGTGACGCAGAGAGAGATGCTATTGAGGATGCCTTCTTTTCTGGGGATGAATGGAACCGACTGAATAAGAAAAGGCTTGGTAGGCATCACCTACGAAGCAATCTTATAAAGATGCAGAACAGACACGTCAAAAGAAGCAAAAGAAGCATACCTAGTCTTCTATCCGAAATTAAAGCGAAGCTTGTCTCATGCAATAACGACATCTCCAAATTGGGACCACCATGCAATACGAATGTTGAGCAATTTGCTTTGATGAATGGGATTGCAAGGAGGTACTCTAGATTGGTAGAGAATTCCTTAAATGGGAACTATCGAGGGCTAATCCAACCTGATACTTTTGCAAGGAAATTGATTCGAGACGGGCTTGACAAATTTAATGATACACTGCAGGCAGAGGGCCCTGTGAAGCCTTTTGTAACATATACAGCGGAAGCGAAGCTTATACCTGGTGAGGACGGAATGACATGGCCTGAGAAACTTATGAAAGGTATGTAATATCATACCGTTGGCGAAGACTGAAAGTAGTAGCCGGACACCAAAAGGCCATCTCTCAATCGATTGTTCCAATGGCAGTGCTGACATGAAATTTTAGATTCGACCTATGGTTGGATACGTCAAGTGATCGAGAGCTTTCGGGGGACGGAATTTCCTGGTGATTTGAATCCTTTGGTGATCGACTTTCTATGGAAAAAGCAAACAACGGGTTGGAAGGCCATCGCTGAGGCAGCTCTTGCCAATGCGGAGAGCATGGTTGATCGGGTAAATGAGGTACTGTTCCAAAGTGTTTGCTCAGATGATGATCTTCGAGTCAAACTGCGGGACTGGTTACACGCCGATTTTCAAAAGGCATCAAACGATGCCGCGAGGGAGCTCGAACGCCTGATCGCAGATGAAATTGACGGTCATCTCTTCACCCTTCATCCCCATTTCACTTCAATACGAATGCACAGACAACAAGACAGGATTAATGAAGTTACAAGCGTTTTATCAAAGGAGAAAGCATGGATGAACCAACAACAGGGTGGTGCACTAATCCCCAACTTATCGATATCATCTGATAAGATTGTTGGGACTGAACTATATCACGACAAAGAATTGGCGGTAGTTTTGAACACTCACGATAGTCTTGAGGCCTATTATGAGTTGGCTAGATATCGATTCACCGACAACGTTGCGCTCCAAGTCATCGAAAGGCACCTGCTTGGTTCGGATGGTCCACTACGTCTTTTCTCTCCTCAGTACGTGTCGGAGAAATTGAATGGAGAACGGAACGAGATCGCATTGAATAATTTAGTTGGTGAGCATCTAAACAAGGCCTAGAAGCGGCTTGACCTCGATGCTGAGAGGCGCAGCCTCGAAGAAAGTATGAAGAGACTTCAAGCTTTCAAAATGCTTTAATTGTTCATCTGGTAGAATTGTATGTATACACGAAATTGCAATCTGTTTAATAGTCGTTTAAGTCATGTTCACGCGCCTCATCATTTTCTGTTTTTCCTTCGTACAATTCCTTGTCAAACCCAACAACAGCGAACCTCCAGGGCCCGAGTGCGCGGTGGTCTGGTCATTTGCGACCACGACGAAATAAAAAATTTCTTCGTTTTAGCTAAAAGGTCGTTAGCTAGTGGCAGGCCTCAAAACATTTCACGTTATCAAATGAAATTCAGACCACTGAGCTATCCCACCAAGACCTTATCACCCACACCTCTGCCAATGCGAAGCTTCTTCTAAAGAGAATCTCGATCTCAGACAATGATAATTCGGCCTCTGGAAGAGATTTATGGCCGGCGCAGTACTATTGCTAGTGGTTTGCAGTGTTCGGATATCGATCTTGAAGATGGATGTTTGTTGGTACTTTTGAATATTTAAGGTGATATGCCGTAGTTTGTATACTAAGAATTCATCATCAAGCTACGAGCTACCATCGCCTTTCAATCGTGATATTTCACCTACCTTTTTACTATTTTCGTACCTGGACAGCTTCTCTCAATGGCACTGTCAACCCGTGTTAAGGATGGCGACTATATCAAAAAGGCGGATCTTAAAGAGGGCGATCTGGATGGATATGAACACTACAAGACTAAACCGGTATCAGTGACAGCAGACGGGAAGGAGACAGAGGAGGAGCTTGTAATATACCGGAATAAAGATGGAGGGTTAAAGCAAATCCTAACAAGCTCAAGTAAGCCCAAGAGACATCATGGTCATGGTCATGGCCATAGTCATGATGATTACTACGAAACTCGTACAACCCGTACAATCAGTAAAACCTATGAGACTGGAGAACAGAAAGCTATCTTCAATATTAACCTGGCTTATAAACCAAACGTTACTATCACGCCGGAAGCCAGACCCCATAGAAGACATCATGGAGAACGCCGAGAAAGACATCCCTCTCGCGATAGAGAAGCCTCTAAAGACCGCACCGCCAGACATGAAAGGAGACGCAAAGAGAAAGCCCTTCGCGAGGAGGAAAGACAGGGAACTAAAAAAGGATCTGATCGTCCGAACAGTGACAGCAAAAAACTTCCTGCTGGTGGGACTTCCGACTATGATTCTGAATCCGACGGTCCTGCGATAGAGCCTGCTGCTAAAGCGTCTTCTGTGAAAGAGGGTGGCTCTATTAAACCATCTTCTATAAGAACGCCTTCTATTCAAGAGCCTGGAAAGAATGGCGCTACAAGAGAACCTTCTCTGAGAACAGCTACTTTGATAAAGGAGGGTTCAGTTAGAAACGGTTCTGTGAAAAATGGTTATGACAACGGCGGTGGCCCTATGAGGGAAGGTAGTGTTGTGAAAAATGGTTCGGTGAGAAAAGATAGTTCAGTGATAGAAGGAGAATATTCCCGAGAGCCATTGCTAAGGGGAAGTCCACAACCGAGTATTCTAAGTCAAGAATCCATTCGAAAATCGAACCGAGAGCCATCGCTAAGGGGGAGTCAACAATCCAGTCGAAACTCGAACCGAGATCCAGATCAAATTCCACCCCGAGCTCAAAGTCCTCTAGTACCACCTATTGGCAAATCAAGACCAAGAGGCTCGCTCCTCTCAAACCGCCCGGACTCCTTGAGAAGTGGGAAACAAAACGCGAATCCTTCTTTGAGTTCGCTCTCTAATAACCTCAGCGCAATGCGTTTGAGTGGCAATAATGCCTCCGCGGTTTCCTTGAATACCACAACAACGGCCTCTACACCAAGTGCGAATGGTCAAGAAGTGGACAAAGAAGCTTCAAGTCAAAATAATTTCGTTGGGAATCCGTCAGGCTCCAACTACTCAGAACGCGCGGAACGCCGACGAGCGGAAAGGAATGCACCATATTTGAAGGATGATCCACAATGATCCGTATTGATATGATTTACATCTGCTTGGTGCGGCTCATAGGTGGTCAAAAAAAGGAGAAAAAAAAGTTTGAATAGTCGGGGGAATATATTGGCGTTCAAAGAGATACGGTGTCCTTTTAGATGCTTTGAGTCTTTAACTATTGTGAACTTTTGTTGGTTTGGCGTTTGGGTCTAGATATTAGATACATGGAATATTTCAGTGAATACTAAAAAGATTTGAGTTTAATGATTATCATGTTTTAAACATCATGGATGATCCGTTGCTTTGAATGTCTATGGCTGGACAATTTCACAATCGAAGTTATTAACCAATCTAATTCGCTCTATCACATTTCCTACTGTATCGTTTAACCAACTTGTTATATGCTCAAGTAAAGACATTTTTGTTCTAGCTAGCCCCCTCATTGGTTCCCCACGCTCTCCACGAGATCCACCCCCACCATCGTGACCCTCCTTGAGATTTATTTTTATCCGTCCTCGTTGTAATCAAAGAAATAGGACTTACTTCAAAACAACACGAGAGGTCAAGTACACAAGACATATAATCAAAATGCTCATCACGGGAATCGCCCACGTAAATCTTACCGTGCTACCTGGCACTCTTCCTTTGGCAAAGAGGTTTTATGATGAGGTATTGGGATTTACGTCGGTTCCGGTGCCGGTCTTGCAGAAGGATCATCTTGCTTGGTATGATTCTTTTCTGCTCCTCACTGCTATCTCATACAGTATCCCATGCCCTTCTATCAACTCGATACTCCCCTTATTGTACTCACTAACCCGAGGGCCCCAAGGTTCGACATAACACCCCAAGGCCAACAAATCCACATCTCCGACTCCGCATCTCCCTCCGAACCCAAATCTTCTCGTCATCCCTGTTTCAGGGTAGCGAGTCCAGAGGCTTTGATAGAGTTACAGAGGAGAATCTGGAGTTTTTTTGAGAGTGAGGAGGCGGGAGATGCGAGACCTAGGGAGGCGGATAGGCCGGGTGACGTGGATAGTGGTTAGTCTTTTGAGCATTTATTTTAGTGATGTACGGGGTTTTTGGGGATGGAATGGAATGGAATGGAGTGGAGAGGAAGAGGTGGTGAAATGGGTGGATGTATGACAGATACTGAAGTGAACTGAACTGATCGATTATATTTAGGAGCGAAAGGGGTGGAATACCCAATAAGGTTTTTTGCAAGGGATTTTTCGGGGAATAGGTTGGAGTTTAGCGTGTAAAGAAGATGGCGGTGGTAGTGTGATTTCTCTCTTCGTATTTGTGGCCTCGCTTCAACCTTATCGGAAGTCATCATGGTCGATTTGTCACGTTTCCCCTTTTCTTAGTGTAGTCGAACGTGATTTGTGTCGTTTATAGATTCATCACATCTACGCAACTAGTTCTGTCTTTCTTTTCTCATTTTCTCACACTTGTTTTAGTTGATCGGTTTATGGGCAATGTCATTTTTCATCTGTTTATTTAATGTTCGTCACGAACTATCTGCTGATCTACTCGAGTAGTGTTCACAAGTCTCAACCAAGCTTTGGGGAACAGAGCAAATGCCGCAAGCCGACGGTCTCAGTATCGTTTCCAAGATCTCTACAGATATGAACAGCGGACAGTACTCCATATGAAAGCAAGGTGGATTCAAAGATCGGGAATGTGGTCGCATAGGACTTTTCGTTAGCCGTCGTGTATGTCTATCCGTCCATTGCTGCGGCCCGAATTTTTCCACATCGGAGAACACAAGCTACTTAATAGGCCTTTCCGAGACCGAATGAGATTTGGGCCGTGGCAGTGTTGATAGGATATTCCCAACGGATTTCTTGGGGGGCGTATGTATCTGTAGAAGGAATGACCAAACCAACTGCCCAGTATGGTTGACATACACTTCAGTTTGTACGAGTAGTTAAAGATCATTAGAACGAAGTTTTAATTTCCTTCTTGAACACTCATCTATCTATTCATTCTTTCTTGTGTTGGCATACGGTTATTGTCTTTCATTCGTTCCATCTAGATCTATTTTACATTTCCTAACCACAAGCAATCTTCTGCAATCATCAACCACCCTCTAAACATCTCACTCCCTTCCCCTCATTCCATCACCAACCCCTCCACAAGATCCGATCCAAACCATGCCATCACTTGCACCTCATCTCCTCCAGCACCGCTCCCTCACCTCCCTCAAATCACGCTTCCCATCCCCATCCCCCTCGTCCTCCGACGACCTCACCAACTTCGAAGTACCCTCCGCAGACATCAAAGCCACCAAGAAGCAAATTGCCGCCTACGAAAAATTAGTCGATAACCTACCTGAAGACAGCAAGAAAAAGCTGAAGAAATTACAAAAGGAACATGGGTTAACGCAGAATCAGCTGATTTTGGCGGCCTTGAAGGAGTGGGCACCGCAGTATGTGGGTATGTTCAAGACAGCGGAGTTTTTTGGGATTGTTTGATTGTGAAATGGGGATGGGGATGGGAGGAGGGTGGAAAATGAGGGAGGTCATGATTTGGGGGGTTATTTGGGGGATTTTTCGGGTGCTTCGTTTATTGGGATTGAATGATCGGTCGATAGTATAGTATTGGAATTGATGAGGATGAAAATGATAGCCCTGGAGGTTGGCGAGTAGGCTTATATGTAAGGATGTATTTTTATTGATTTCGTTATTATATTGGAATATGTATAACATTACTCTTGAGGCATCGAGACAGAACTCAGACGATCTAGACAATGCGAAGTGATACCGAGTCCTGGAAATTGGACGATAGCAAGATATATAAATGGGGAACGCTGAAATTCAGTTCGTCTGGTTTGAATATTAATCTTCCGTGGCAAAAATGTTTACCCGACGAGATGTTTCTAGAAGCTTTTAGAGATATTTAATTAGCTGTTTGTGTTGATATTGTTGTTTTTGGTGGCGGTGGTGAGGAGAAGAGAGACGTGAAGTGATGTTGTCGTCGCTTGTTTTTGTGTGCTATTTGTGGATTTGTGGGTGTTGATGTGGATGTAGATGTGGATAAGCGGGATCGCGTATGTATGAGATTCACTGAAGCGAATATAATATAAAGATAAAGATGGTGGGTGAATGAGGAAGATGATGCTTAGACTGGATGAGATTTGGTAAAAGCGTGTATGTGGTATCCTATAACTGTATAAACAGAAACAAACCGATTGGTATCTCACGATTCTCGACCGAGGACCCAGAGGAACCAAAAGCAAGAATAAGACCACCCACCGCCTCATTCCTCTTTTATAAATTTCGCCGTATGACCGTGCAGCACGTCCATAAATACAACCAAAAACCACTTGATTCCTACACATACCACACTCGATTATACATACCTTCTAATAAGCCCTCTCCAGAAATTGTTATTGTTTCCCCTTCCAAACCCCTCCACGTCAAAGTCTCCCACTCCCACCACGAATTCCCTACTGTATCAGCGGAGCATCGGAATGAAAGCGCCGCAAGCGCAGATAGGAACTCAATTGTGAGTGTAAGTGTAGCGTCCAAGTGACAAACACCACGATCAAAGACGAGTATAGAGATAGTAATTCCATTTTGGAGACACCACTACTACTGAAGGACGGTAGAAATTTGCAAAGAGAAAACCAACACTCGAAGAAACAAAGTCAGAGGAAGAAAATTTATGGGAAAGTAAATGCATATGCGTACTGTAGTGTAGTGTAGTTCAAGTACTCCGCACAAAACCGTTACGACTAACCGTTCTTCCGAGTATCCATGTACAGTGTACACACAATGATTTCCACTCCACAAGCAAGACGGGATTGTTAATACATGGGTCTAGAACCGCAACACAAGTAGTCATGCATGCGGCTAGAAAGTAGAATATGCAAATCCGGGCACACTAACCTGTGGCCCATAGTGGCAAAGTACAAGAGGAAATAAATACCCTGTCATCTTAGCAGCGATTTGCATACTTTCTGGCGGCACGAGTATTAGAGATTCGGATCCAGATAAGCAAACGATGGTCAAGCTTGCTTGTAAAAGACACAACTCCGAAAAAGTCCACCTTTTATATGGGGATATCAAGATCCGATTGATAAGGTCTAAGCTTTTATGACCTCAAGAGGTAAAGTCTGGGAAAAGTCGTCCATACATACCCGGATTTCATTCCATCTCCATAAGAAATGGTATAAGCGATATGTATGGCATGCCCCTGATTCTCTCCAACCGACCTCTCTTTAACCGACCGACCTAGTATCGTATTGTTCCCGAGAACGCCATTGCAGTATGGAAAACCGCAAGCCAAGCCATTGGTACAGCCGTAGACCAATTCCATCCCATCCAATCATTCGCCAAATTCCTTTATCATGTTTGAAGCCACGTTTGAGCAACAATCTAGAAACCCTTAAAACAATCGTCCCATTTTGCCGCGAGCTCATCTGTGTATGGTTCTCTTCCTTCTTTTTCATCGGGATACAAATCGAAGTTTTGAGCATCGCCTGGATATCTCAAAGGGGGTATAATCGGACCACGGTATTTCCTATAGTATACATCTTCCCAGATCACTCCTAGAAAGAATGGATGATCTTTAACTCGTGCAGCGCCACCAGATATATTTCCGAGACGATGTGATCGATCGACAGTGCAAAATTGTCGAATGATATCTTTTGCCGCGGATGAGACGGCAGGTTCGGCAGGGAAAGAAACCGGCTTGGTAACAATTCTAATAAGACTTTTGTGTTAGATAATGTATAAACTCATTAGAGGCCACGAAGAGACGATAGTGAGATACATACTGTTTGTAAATCTCTATTGGGTTCGAATGCCAAAAGGGTGGATATCCTGTTAAGAATTCGTAAATCAATATACCCAAAGCCCACCAGTCAACAGCTGTTGTATGACCTTTCGACTGAATGACTTCTGGCGCAAGATACTCTGGTGTACCACATAAAGTATATGTCTCCCCTTCATCGGTGTTAACAAACGATTAACACAGCCCTTGAATTCACGCAGCTTACTGTTGCCCAAACGTTTTGCAAATCCAAAATCAACTAATTTTATATGTCCCTCAGCATCCAGTAACAAATTCTCTGGCTTCATGTCTCTATATGCAACGCCCTCTCGCTCGTGTAAATATTCAAGGATCAGAACTATTTCGGCGGCATAAAATCGTGCTGTGTTTTCGTCGAATCGTTTGGCCTTTCGAAGGTAAGAAAATACTTCACCCCCAGGGCAGTAGTCAAGCTTAGTGAAGACAAAAAGTGTTAGTCCAAGATCCAAGATGAAGTTCCCCAATTCCAACTGATGATGAGAAATGAGGAAATCTGATGGGCAGGAACTCAGTGAACTTACTAGCATGTACAATGAATCGCGATCAGCGAAGGAAGTAATTAATGTAGTAATAAAAGGATGTCCAGCAACATCTGCAAGAACTGAACGCTCGTGATTAACATGATCAACTTGTTTGAGTTTGATGACTACATATTGTCAGTAAAGGATTGCCTCTGTTTCCACTGCTCGATTTATACCCTCGACTTTTCGTAGAACCTTCAGCGCGAATACCTTATCGTGAACCTCTTCCGCGGGGTTCGCAAGACGTACAAGCCAGCTACACCGTATAAAATCAGAGATATTCAAGCGAGAGATCATAGGGGTGAATATCGTACACGCGAGCAAATGTGCCTATTCAAATCAATTAGCATACATTATATGCAAGCTCCGTCATTAAGCTACACAATACAGCGCATGTTATCTGCAGGGAAGCATACCCGTTCCCAATGTCCTCACCAACTCAAAATCTCGCACACTCAAACTCCTCGAACTTGCACCCAATTCTTTATTCCTTGGGTTCTGCTGGATTTCTTCAGGGGGCAAAATGTGCTGCTCTTGACTGAAGTGTGCCACGAATTGTCTTTCTTCAGCCGCAGCCGTCGTGGTCTCTGCCATTGCGATGGTAATGGTGAAGGTCTCGCGAGGAAATGTCGATGGGCCTCTTATTGAAGACTTCGCGGGCTTACTGGAAGCAACCGACTGCAGTAGCCATGCGGTTGTCGCGGAACTTGAGGTACTCGTTTTCGAAGGAGGGTGGTGGGGCCAGAGTTCAAATGAAATTCCTAAGAATATACCGATACGACCAGTACAGTATTTCGAGCAAGAACAGCACCGGTGTTGGCTTTGTCTGTATAGCAATTGAATGGTTAATTCCGTATCTTGTCAATTGATATTGGGGAAGCAGTTCTTCAGGTGCAATGCAATATCGATATATTGTGAAATTTGAGGAATGTAGGGAATGTAGAGAATTGGAGTGAGTGTTTAGTTCGCTCTGTGTGGTTAATATTATACTGAGTACTGTAGAATACATGGGGGGTTTTTATTATAACGTTTTGGTTCGGGCTTGCCGTCAGTTTGATCCGATAAAAGCCTAGATTTACCTTAAACCGGTTAAGAATTCAAAATATTGCAATACTTTTGTGAGCATAATACAATGAATGATATATAAAGATATGTTGATGCTATTCCCATTTTCCCATCAAATTTTTTAAAAAAACGCTCTGAATTGGTGTCTCAAACAAATGACAAATACCTTCAACGACGGATGAGACCCCTGAAAAGATTCGTCATACACGTCAATCGATTCACTCGTCACACCAGATCATCCCCTATTCCCAATTCTCAAGTTACAAAATAAATGTCCTATATTTTGAGGTATTTTGTTGAAGTAATCGTGATCATGTGTGATAGGTAGTAGGTATGGTATGTATGTTCCATTTGAGTCATCTCTCTTCTCTTTCTTGTGCCTCATCAATCCTCGATAACCGAATCATTCTTCTCCGGATCATCTTCCTTCAGCTCACACTCCCTTTCCTCATATCCCATGAATTCAAACAGCCTCTTTGTATCTCTTGGATCTAACACCTGGTCATCATTCCGAATATGATGAGCCCACGCTTCTTCTTCCGACCATGTCTTGTTCGGATCTGAACGTTCACGTTCTCTCATAAGCCACATAATCCTTAAAAAGTTCAAGTGATCAGTGCTTGTTGGGGTGGTGATCCCCTCCTTTGAAGTTTCGGTACCATGGCTAACCTCAGAAGCAATTTCTGCTGTATCATCATCCTTTTGTCGTTTATGATGCCGAACGCTTTCATTCGTGTCACCTTCGATATCAGAATCAGATGCTCTCCTCGATCTTTTCGTAGGGCTTTGCGTTCGCGATTTGTTGGAAGTTGGGTTTAGGAACTTTTTATTTCGGTTGCATCGAGGGTTCGTGGAATACCAGACTCGGTGGAAATTGTTGTCCCGATTAATGTCCGCTTCACACCGATATCAATAAAGTCGGACAAGAGACTGAATATTGACCAGGCAAACCTAGCAAAAAGGAATGCAATATCAACATCAAGGATTGGTTTTAGACGCATATTGTGATGCAGAATTCCTAGCTCCTGCGAAGGAACAAGCAAATGAGTTACAAAAGGTGTCTCTTCTTTTCCTCTGACTTTCTTTGGTACAAAGACAAATGTGTGGGTATCAAATTGATAATGAAGATCTTGACGTAATAGCAAAGCATTCGCTGTATCCTCCATTAACTGTGCTGTAGAAAGCAAAGGGTTTATATTGTAACGCTTCATTCTATTCAATTTGAACCACTCCTTTTCACTCCTTGGACACAAATATGCCGCTTGTGTGCCTTCTGAAAATCCACTCATCCGACATGATCTATCTCTAGCAACTACAGCTGCACTGAACAGTGACGGTGCTGTGATTCTGCCAAACAAAGGTATATGATCTTGATTGGTTTTCCAACAAGGATGAAGGTTGTCATGGGGGAAGCTCCATTCTTTAAATGTCGGAACGATAGCATATGGGATTTCGAAGGAGGATTCGGGGAGATGGAAATAATAATCGCGTTCGTGAAGAATATCACCATATGTAAGAGTCGAAGCAGCTCCATCAACTGTTGTTGTAAACCAGCCATTCCATTGATTTCCACTGATCAAACCACAAGCGGCGTGCGCAACACCGTATTCGATACCTCCAACTAGGCCATCCGGCGCAAATAGACAAAGGAGCACGTTGGTTGAATCGGAATAATGGGGGTGTCGAAAGAGGATTTTATGACGAGGGTCTGCAGAGACTAAGGGAGGGCTCAACGGGGTGGGTGATGAAGCTTCTTGACGAATTTCGATCACGGAATCTTGGTCTAAGGCAGTGAGACTCATTTGTGATGATAAAAATTAGGAGCAAAAGTTATTAGAAAAAGTAGTGGTGTGGATTGAAACAGAAGCAGATATTTGATGTCCATAAATGAGATCAAACAAAATCCCAGTTTCTATGGTTACTGGGGTGAATCTATCAATTATTACTACTCCGTATACCGATACACTCTATTATATCTAAGCAAATCATGATAAAATCGCCTAAGCTGCGGGGATCCTGTGGGATCAGGTGATATTTCACTTAACAAAGGATCTTATGGCAATTCATATGCCGCTAACATCGAGGGGTGATCTGTAGATCAAGATTCCCACACATTACCGCGCATATTGAGATAGCGTTGCAGCGATAATACTTGAGATGTTCTTTAAAAGGACCAATCTCATGAGTGTATCATACATCTGTAGAATATAGATCAATCACCATTGAATGATGCCATTGAAGCACGCCTCTTCAGAGCCGCACCACGTGCAGCCTGCTGGCCGAGTACAATACACCCCACATCCATAAAATCTCGCCCCTAAAGTTCGACATACCCCAGATCGCTTACATTTCGTAATCTGCCCTTAGCCAGGCACCCGTTGCAAGGTAGATGCTCTCTCCATTCTCGGTGTATCTAATCATACTAGTGAGCTCCTAGAATGGCTATATGCCTACTACATAGAAACATTGGCCAGTCAGCTACTGCATATTTGTCAACGGAAAGCGAGTTCAGCCTTTAGTCCCAATAATCAGCCGTTTTCTCAAGCGAAGTTCTATCGACAGGCGTAATGCATGCTGCTCCGACCGAGACCTTGGCACCGCCGGCATTAATAAGAGCCCGCATGTTCGGCGGGAAAGTAAGTCAAGACACTGTCACACTCAGCGGAAGGTTTGATTTTACTGCCCGCTTCCATCTAACGAGGGCAAGCAACCTTGTTGAGTACCTAAGGTCGGGAAATATCTACCTCGGCGAATTGGGGCAGTGTCATGAGTGATTGCGGTGTGTGTGTCATCTGTACTAAAATATCAAGAGGGTAGTATGCCTTGTTACCTGATCATTAGATTGCCAGGCTCTGTATATCCTATTATTAAAAGCAAATGTAAGCATTGCTTGAGCTTGTATCAATGTTCAGAAGTAATCACTTGTAAATGAATGGCCCTTGTTTGGAAGTGTAGTTCATGAGGCCTAACTTAGAAATGGTTTGAAGGTGTGGAATTGCGGCAGTACTCGAAGTAAAAAAAGAAAACAAAAAAGAAAGAATTCGAAAGTGCGATCCCAAACTAATCCAACATCTAGACAAAATAATCGACGCCTAATATGCAAAAACTTTTCATCTAATTCGGGCGTTAATTTTCATAATATCCTATGCAACGCGCAGCGCTATGCAAACAACAAAAACGAATCGCAAATTCCAACAAGGCGGCAGATGAGTAAAAGTAGAAAGAAGAGTCAAGACCGATGTAAGCGCAACCAATCCAACAAAAGAACAAAAGAATAATCCCCCACTGACCACCCCTCTCCTCAGGACTCCCACAAGTTTCCTCAACGGAAGATACAGGGCTATATCACTTGCATTTGCATTAGCTTCAGATCCAATCTCCAACGGCTCCCATGGTTCAGATTGTTACTCACTCTAGGTACCGACGCGCAATTTTACCGATTGACTCCTACAATTCCCACATCTTCCACGACCACAGTTCGTACAATGTGTATGCAAGGCAGCCGTCAAGGCTCCGTCTCCATTCAGACCACAATAGCAGCAATACCAAACATCATGATATACGTATTGTGGTTGGCTAGAGGGTTGTCCGCCACATCTCCCGCCATGCTTGTGTTTGCCGTGACTCGAATCATTGTGGTGAGAATGGCCATGACTGGATCCATGACTATCCTGCGACGACGGTGATGTGTGCTTGCGATCGTGATGTGAAGGCATGCTCGGTGGTGAATGGGAGGTTGTTTGAGAATTCATTGTGTGATGGTGCGATGTAACCGAAGTGTTTGGCAGAATGAGTATCAAGAAGGTTGGAGGTGGTAAGATAGTTGAAGACAGTATCGGGGACTTGAGTAATGATGGTTATTGTTGAATTGGGAGGGTTTGGCCCATTAAATACTGAGTTGCTTTTCAAGGCTGCTTGAAATAAATTGCCCTTATGGTAAATTTGACAACAGAAATACCGCCCCTTACATGCCCAGTAGAAGGCAACTCTTGTCTCATTGTGAGAGAGATAGTCTCCCAATGTTGTCCAGGCACGATGGATCGGAACTGGAATCCTCCGAGTTCGCCAGGAATATTAATTGATGCCCTATTCCGCCCTTTAAAGTAGCGCAATTGGGGTGGCTGTGATAATTAAAAAAAAAGACACTTCCAACACATATTCCTTTCGGGCATGCTTTACTCAGAATACGACGGAGCAGCTTTGAAATCCCGAGATAGGGCAAATGTCAAGCCGATGGACGGATTTGCCTAGAATCGCCTTTTTTGCTAGGTGATCATTGGGAGAAAAGCTGCAGAAGGCGGTCAGAATGAATGCTGTCGGGGCGGAAGCCCAATTTTGACATCGTGAGATTTCGTCCTCCCTCCCTCGTTCCCATTGCCCCCAACTCGAAGTAAAAAAGCCACATTCCAGCTCCCCCCCAAAAAAATCCATGGATATAATACAAGAACCTTTTTAATCATTGTAGTCGGCTTCAATATCCAATAAAACAATTCAGACATATCCTCAAGTTGGTTGAAGGGATATGGAAGGGATACAAAGTGGCATAGGGAAAATAGGTGGTTTCAATTCCTTTGAGTTGTTATAAGGACATGACCTCGGTGACCTTTTTTCAACTCTGAAATACATATAAGACATTTTTATATGATGCATCAATTAGAACATAGTCTTAAAAGGGCCTACTTCACCCTTATGGTTCATCCCGAGCTCAAAGGCAATGTGGATGATAGATGTGATAAAGTTAGACATAGACATGGCTGTATTAGAATTCAGGCTCATATCAAGATATAGTTGGAAAGACTATGCACCAGGACAAAAGACAGGGACACGAAGGATGTAACCTGGGCCGGTGTGAATGCCGTTATTTAAAGATTTTGCCACCGAATCCCATGGCACCAAGCAATCCTCAATACAAATGGTGTGTGCTTGCAGGGAGAAATAGGAGAAGCAAGAAGTCTAATTCTGTGAGAGTCTATAATATGAAACCTTCTTTAAGGAAATGTCTATATGATATAAGAATAGCGCAAGCTTTGAAATTCATAACTCCATACCGATGCGACATTTCCATGATTTTGTGATAGATGAATATTGCAACCATAGACCAAAGACCATAAATCCTCTGAGCAAAAAAACAAGTGGGAATCTGCCTCGTGTCCCCTCAATACGTTCTATCCAATACCGATACTCAACTCCCAGGTGCACCTGCCGTGCATATAGGCCAAAGGGATGGCATGGTTGAGGGACTTTGTCGACTAGACGATGCGTTAGAATGAGAAAAACCCCAACAGTTGTCGACGTACTCAGCCGTGATGGTGGGTTCTGATTTTATGCCATTCCAAGTAGCAACCATTGCACCGTACGTGCCCACAGTTCCATTCCGGGCAGCTTATTATTTCTGTGGTCATACCCGCGGACCGGTAATTGCCATCCATATCACGGCACGAACAGCAAGACCAAGTCCAAACACCGGCTTTCGGAGATGGTTGAGACATTTCGAAGATGACTGTCTGGTTGTTTTGAAAGAGGTCCGTAATAATCTAGAAAGGCAAATGGGAAGGTGGTTGTTTTATCTTCGACTGCGAGATATAGAAGCAAAGTTTGATTGAAAGATGTAGAGAATTTGTGGTGAATGTGGAAGAGCTTGGAGGGGTTTGGAACTGGTGCTTGTATGAGGCATGTGGGTTTATAACATTAAGATAAAATAGTAAAATAGAAAGGAAGAACAAAGTATTTATGTAGAATGAACTCCTCATTCGAAGAAGACCTCACCGAAGTTCTCGGTGTACTGAGCTACTGAAATCACGCCCAGAATAGAAGGGCTTAGCACCTTTAGATCCCCGCCACGAGCTCACAGAGAATGTCTGCCTCTATGATCCGCGGTGAGCTAGAAAGAGATGAGATTTTTTCTACAGAGTTACTCATACGCTCGTGAATCATCTAATGAACCATAAGGATCTTACTTTGATAGAAACGAGTCTTGCTGCAGGTGCTACTGCGAGAAATAATCGATTCGACCAGAGAGGAGCTTCTGGTTTTCCGATGCTCTCGGTGAGTCTTAAGCTCTTAGTACACAATTACCTGGACAGTTAAAAGGTAGTATGCGTTCCATTACATACTAAGTAAGGCAGTTGAATAAAAGAAGAATGATAAGAGTCGATAGCGGCCTCCTCCGAAGTGAGCTTTCACTTAGATTCAAGGTCAAATATTTAGGCAAGAAATTGTGAATCAGCAAGGCTGCAGCAGGGGTTGTGTACCTGCATTAGCTTCATGCTCTCAGCCCACAAGAGCCCCATATAGGAAAATAATGAGGCTCAAAGTGGGTCTTCGCGGGGCGGCGCAGGAGTTCATTGAATGCCTAGTGGGGACTTTCCTCCAGGCTTTTAGATGCAAGCTCGGTAATTAATGATGTACGGTTTGAGATGTCAAAAATCCGAGGACCGATCCTTTTGAAAAGCCCAGGAATTAGGCAACGGGGAATTCAGGATGTTGGACAGAGCTGAGAAGAACGACCAAAATTGAAGATGTAGCCCGAGGTTGTAGATACGTGGGTGTGATGTGGTTCGCTTTTAACTCTGATAGTAACGAGGTGAAGTTTCAACGACCGTCAATTCGAAATTAGAGCCTTGTGATGATATCGAGCCAACGTTGCTGGTATGCCAGGCCTGTTTGCAGAGAAATTGTTCACTCAGACCATCAATTAGGACCATGTACACCCGGAAGCAAAGACCGAGAATGTAGCATTGGTCGTGACATCATCGGAGCCCTAAGAGAACTTATGCTGCGAATAACGAGTGACAAATGACGGACGGCGAATGAGGTCTAAAGTCAAGTGAGGTCAAGTTTGATAAAACCTTCGAACAGATCTGCAGAGTACAAGTTCGACTTATTGGAGCAATCAAGCCATCTGTTTCCCTTCTCAGTCGTGCCAGTATAAGATCTCAGCCTTTTCAAAACAGTTCACACCCTGATGAGTGACACGATTGATAAAACCTTTGGAGCATGGATTGATGATGCCAGAAAGAGTAAGTAATGTGGCTCCGAAATGCGTTCGACTGTTGGGATCTGAATTGTCGTATAGTGTATCCGTAAGAGTCTACAATGGAACAACCAAATCCATATCCGCTGGATCGATGGCCCTTCTATTAGTTAGCAAAGGTTCAATGGAAGGGAGATCCAGTATCATCAGTAGGTACTATAGGCATTTAACGAGGACGAGGATCAACCTCCAAACGAATGGTATTATTAAGTATGGACAGTGCTCTATATGTGATGGCACCGATCTAGCAACAGAAGAATATAGTTCTCGAATTGACGTCTGGAGGTTTTTGAGAATTTCAATGTGTAAGGAACACTTGTGGTGGATTGTTGAAACATTCGGGAGGACGAGGGCAGTCCACTGTCTAATATATGTTATGGAATTCAGTCATATAATCAATTCACGTACCTCAACTGAGACACAGATCGAGAATGGTGTGTTGAAAAAGCCGCATTTGACTCATGAAGTCCTCTGATTGAATTGCCTACTGTCTCCCTTCGAGGCTTCTTCAGACATCAAGAGCCTCAGACGTTCTTACTACGAAATTTATATAGAAATCGCTAATCGTTTGCGGCCCAGTTCTATTATGTAGCCTTGTCGGCCTACAGACCATGTTGCCGTACCCTCTTAGTATGGTTATCCATGTCAGTATGGCTCTCATCGTCGGATAAGAGTCATGGTTTGGGTGTAAAAGGGTGTGGTGGAAGGTCACGTCGGAATGGTGACCAGGACCAACTTTTCTCACGACGTGAGAAGTGCCTGAACATCTGCAAAGATCAAGAGATCGAGCTGGTTTAAAAGACCAATTATACTCGGATAAAGTATTGATATAACATGCAACATGCATATTCAATACCTGGATAATAATTTTTCGCCCAAGGCGTTTGACTCTATTAACGGCAAAATGTAAGCCGCCAACAAGAAATGAAGTCTGTTTGATGGCTTCAGGCTCATTTGCAGCCGCTGCAGTCGGGCGGTTATCATTCTACTTCGACATGATAAATGAGCATGGCGTCGCTACGTCGCTCGCCGAGAAGAAAGGTCGAGAGAGACTCAGGGTGATAGACGCCTGGAAACTTTTGTGACGATTGAAGGATCATCTACCTTGAGACACCTTTTCCACTCTTTGAACACGAAAACAAGATGAGTTATGTCGATATAAGCCGCAACAGTAGCTTTAGTTAATCAAATAAGTATCATCGTGTACGCTGTAGCATATATAAATCGCGGAGAATATGGGACGACTTAATTGATCGTCACGTGTTACTGCGTTTAAATTAAAGGTTAGTGGATCGATCTAAACATAGTTCGTTCCAGAGCGCTAGCCTCCAATCTCTCCATATTCATTTCCCAAATATCATATCATCAATTGTTTTCTGCTCTAAAACTATCCCATCTTCCAATATTCTGTAACTTTTCGTGAAAGAGATGTTTGCAAATAATTATTCAACATCGATATTGATTACGATACCTTCACTAGTATACCTATTCAACTACTTGTTGTGATGAATCGTTATTCCAGGCTCGGATATTGCTCTTCCTATTGGCATTCGTACCAGTTATTTAGTCATGTTGCACAGCGATATTGAGCGCAATAAGCGTGCCGCTAATATATGGACTGCGCGTCTTATGCCTTTCGTACTTGCGGGTGTGGTTGGCTATGTAACCTATGTTTTAGTCGTCATTCTTTGTGGTGAGGAATAGAAAATACGAAACAAATGTCCCAATATAGTCTGCTAATATGACCGCTCTCCAGTGAATTACCTTTTGGTCGAACAGAAAAACAGAGGTGCCGCAGTGCCTATTCTGATTATATACTTTCTGTTGTTCATCCTCATGGCCTCGTCTTTTTTCCGAGTTGTGTATATGACGACCTTCGATCCTCCCTACGCGCCGCTCGGAGCTGGCGCTGCAAGAATCCAGCGCGCAAGGAAACGAAAAGATGATGATATTGCCGGAGAAGAATACACTTCAGGAGATTTTGATGCATCCAAGGATGATCCAGATTCTCCTGGACTCGAATTGTTTTACACAAAAGATGTCTTTGGTGTGGAAGGAGATGGGAAGCCTAGATGGTGCTCTGAGTGTTGCATATGGAAACTGGATCGCCAGCACCACTGTAGCGTTGTAGGAAGATGCATATACAAAATGGACCATTACTGCCCATGGTATGCCCGCTGTTGTTCCTCGCATCTTTGCAGCTAACAATGTGTAGGGTAGGAGGGCCTATTGGCGAGAATAATTTCAAGTTTTTTATTCAATTTGTTGGATATACGGCTTTGTTCTGTATAAATGTACTCGTGGTGATGGCAACATACATTCATCAGCAACGTGACACCCAGGTATGATTGACCTCTCCATACATTTATTTCACCAATATTCTTAGAAGACTCTTCTAAGACTGATAAATTATGTTCCATAAAAGTCTATTGCGAGGTGGGGTGAAGCAAAAGCAGCATGTTGCTGCAACATAGACTGATTTTGTCAATCAGGGCGAATCTGTCAATCACCAATTAATTGCCGTTCTCGCACTGTAAGTCAGCCAATTTTGTGGCACAATTCGTTGCTGACCCTAAGAATACAGAGCTGCATTTTTCGGCTTATTCACCGGGACGATGTTCCTGACTTCCGTGAGACTGACCCTCAATAATTTGACGCAAGTCGAAGATGTTATTAGACATGGAAAGATCCATAAATTAGCAATACTAAAGCCCTCGCCTCAAAGATTGGCAGAAATAAGCGTGACAGCGGCTTCGACGCAAACGTACTCAGAGATCACATATCCCTTAGATATTCCACCCCACTCAGACGGCAATCGGATACATCGTCCGTACGTGAGAACGATCAGACACGATCGTTTATCCGAACCAATTTCCCTACAGGACGCAAGGCGAATGGCCAGCCTTACAGACGTGCCTATCAATTCAGCAGTCGAGCCAACTGATGAGAATTCTCATCTCAGATATTTGCGTTCAGATTCGACGCAAGTGGGCACTGTTGATGACTCGTCAACCACCTTGTCGCAATCGCAAAATATCGAAACATCGACGATTGATGAGCTCCAGCTACCGATAGAGAATTCTGAGCGGCTGAAGAGAGACCAGAAAGCTGTACGCACTTTTGCAATACTTGAAACAACGTCAACAGGAGATAATCCTTGGGATCTCGGATCTGCTCTGTTGAATTGGGAAACAGTCATGGGAGAGTATTTTATTGACTGGTTTCTCCCCATAAAGAGAAGCCCTTGTTGTAATCACGAAAATACAGAAAGCCACTTCTCGATTGGTCCGTCTGTGGATCGTATTCGAGCATCAGTTTGCTTTATTCCACCTAATGAAGTGCGCCCTGAAAGACGTCATCGACGTAAAGAAGGCCAAGCGAGTCGATCTAGACGACGTTTTAGCCCGAATGATGAAGAGAAAGGACGAAATACGGATGGAACAGAACTACGAGATCTCCACACTCGCGAGTCACGGCGTAGATGACATATATACTCCCTTAATAAACTTGGCGAAAGTCTTTCTAGCATGAGGCGGAGCTATGCTCTGAAACCGGCACTTGCATCATATGGAATCGGCGTTAGGTTGGTCACAACGCCAGAATATAGAAACATAACATGTAATCATTAATATAATTTGAGGTTAGCGAACGCTTTTGAATACACAATTATACTTTCAAGCTCTGCAAGAGCACTTGCCCGTCCCAGTATCACTAGTTAACTATGTTCGTCATTTAGAATATTACGCATCGCAACTAAAGTTGTTTAATGAGTTGCAATGACAGGACACCACGCATCGTTCCTCAACGGCTCTCAGTAGAGCGATTCAAGGTATGATCAATACGATGTCAGTCGTCGACAGCCTGAACTGGCACCAACAGACATTTCTACATTTCTGGTGTGCGAGAAGAACTTGATGCAGTGGCACGTACCTCCTAAATAGCTTCCTGGGCTTTCAATGATGAACATCTCAATATCCAATACAGGACAGGACAATCATTCTCGAGTCTTCGCCAATTGAGAGAAACCATGAGCCTGAATTAGATCTGAAGAGTAGTATGGTACAGACACCAACTGCCAGACCTTCCAGCAGACTCTTGGTGGACCTTTGTAATGTGTAAGAGAATCGTCGAGTACAATTGTTGGTTGGGTAAGGAACTTGCTAGGGTTACAGTCATTCAATGCACTATCAAGACAGGTGTGTGATCAGTTGAAGCTTCCGCCCGGGGTGCATTGTACTTCTGTGCGGTCAACAGATTGATTCTCAAAGACGATACTGCTCGTTGCATCAGAAATTGACGATGTTGGAAATATGATACAATCTAACGGAAGAAACAATTCTTAACGCCCCTAACCAAAATTTTCTCGAGGCTAACCAATCTAGAAACCCCCATAATCTAACACTAACTGAACCCTTTAGTGCTAACGAAGAACGAAATGACTAACTTGTCGAAAACAAGAACCTATACTCTATCTTGGCCTGACCGAAACACCACTTCTCAACTATCTATCTCCACGCACAGTCATTGCATCACTCTGGAAAAACGCTCGGTAGCTAACATTCTTCCTCCTCCAATTCTGCTACACAGCGCTTTTGAACCAGCATGTTCGATGACATGGTGTATCTAATTTCATCCTTGCTGTGAAGAAACTGAGCAGCAGGTGTTGTGTGGATGCGAGCAATCGGGACAATACCCGCCCCACATTTTGGAATCGATTTCTCGCGAGCATTGGCAGCATACCCACCAGCCCTCCATACTGGGGCTATATGTTGATGCATATGCGGGCATTGTGAATCTGAGCCATCAGTATATAGTTCAGTGAATGGGGTGCCTCAAAGATTGACTACCTTGAGTATTGGAAACTTTCTTGTTGGGAGGTTTTGTGTTTCTTCTTGGTAAGATGGTGAACAAAGCGTTTGGAAGAAGTCAATTGATTGAGATATGTGTTGCGTCTTATTCCTGACTTCCAGTATTCGAGATGATGGTGATGTGAAGTCGAATCGTCTCGAGGAAACAACACGATTAAGTACCTCGAAGGAAGGGAATGCTATTCCGGAGACGAAATGAACTGGTTTACCCTTTAGACGCCCCGTGTTGATGGTTCAACATCTCATCTACACCCTGGGCATGGCCGCCCCTGCCAATGTTCTTTTTCTGCACCGACTAGTAGGTCGATTCTCGCAGAACAATTGCAAGGAAGTGGCAACTACTATGATTGTAGACGTCGTCTCTATGGCATGTTGCAGTGATGCATTGGAAGTTTGTATATTCGTCATTGAGGGAGTTCTGTCTGGGAAATATCACGCTTGCTGGGATCCTTTGGGAGCCAATCCGCTGGAATAATAAGGCACATCTTTCCAGCTCATGTGCCGCCAAGCATCTCCCGGTGGACCGCTGTGATGGTAAACCTGAGAACGCTGTGGAAGTTACCTGGAAACTCATTGATCGACACGCCGGTGAGTAACGGGCATCCGTGATATTCGAGAATATCGAGGAAGATCCTAGTTTGGGTTGTATGGAATGTTAGGGCAAGATAAGGTTTAATGTGAGTACCGAAAGTCTATTCATGGCGGGCATGCATTTGAAAGTGGTCCGTTCCTGCATCCAAGTCGTCCTTGGAACATTAAGCGCGCTCTAACGAACGGTCACAATACGATCTCTGGTAAGATATCCTTTCAATAGCTTGTTCGCCTTGTATAGTCAATCTTGTTCTCCTACCTTGAACAACGAACGAGTATATCTTGAACGATTGCAAATATTCTTGCAATCCTCTTGGGGAAGGACTCATCCCTATAAATTAGGGCGTCTTTCATTCTCTTTGTCATACAAAAAATATTAGATCCTTTGGCGCCTCGTGCTCAGAAAGAAGGATAAGGCTGGCGAGGAATTCGGAGATGGATCTCAATACGCCTTTAGTAGCGGTATTAAAGTCTATCTTGTCATTCTTATTCCGACTTATCGACGACTGAGACAATAGCTCACCCCGAAAAGAGGAAAGCGATGAAATCGATAGTAGAAATTCCGTGATGTTTGTCGACAAAGAGTTCACCAAAACCCATCAACTTTCAACCAAATACTAGGGCATTGTGCTTGGGGTAGATGCGAATAATCAAGAGCCCTGCCGATGTTCCACAGCCTCGCACTAACTATACACACACATACTTCACGAGACCAGTTCTGACCCAGAAGTAAGGGCCGTACACCGGGACATGACAGGAAGAAGCCTTCTTCTGACTGCATTACCATCCGGCACTAGGTAGCATTACTTTTCTTTTGCCGTGCCACTCTAGAAGAGCCACTACTTGAGCCGCAAGCATCTAAGAAGTAACTTATATGAGTTCTGTACTCGAGTACATAACACTGATGATATCTAAACATAATCATGACGATCAGAACAAGCATTCAGGATTAGCTGTTCTTTCGAATAATCTTAATTCATGTCACACCAGCCAGATAAATGCTAGGCGCAGGACTGAAGGTATAGTAGATGACAGGAAACTCAAAGGGAATCCAAAATGGAACTCGGAATGGAATCCCAAGTTGACTCATTTCCAACCCAAAACCTTCTAGAAGTTTTGTTATTCCTACAAGACCACAAAGAAGAGCCTCATCTGCAAGGAATGTGATAGCGCATCCGCAAAAATGATTTCATCACCATCCCAAAAGGCTCACGTGCATGGTGGAATCGTTTGTACGACCATCATCTTTACAGCCAGTCTAGTCCTGAAGAGGATACTATATTCTCCATACACACCTATCACATTTCCCAAATTGGCTTTGTATTCTCTATCTCTCTATCATACAGGTGATTATGCATTATGAAAATGCTGAGATCAGATTTGATCTGCCGGTCAAGTCTTTTTCTCATCCCTAGTCCTCTTCCCATAGTACTGATCCCTTCAAATACTGCGTCAACATTGAAATGTAGGGAAGGAAAGTACTATTCTAGTCAATCTTACATCTTGTTTCCGTTTGGTTTCCCTTCTAATCTATCAAGCGCGTCTTCGATAAGTCCAATGTGTCCTCTGAAGGTTCCTTCCAACTCATCCTGCATGCCATGGATTAGCGTTGACTTGATTGAAGCGCATAAATTATGGAAAGATAGCATGGGCGTGAATTGTAACACCGGTCGAGATGCAAGTATTGGCTATCAAATCAGGAATATCCGCATAGTTACAGCGAGAATTCAAGGTCCTGTTGTCGATGGATACTAACTACACTGACTGGTTCGCCGGATGAACAGATCTCGTGCAAACAGCAGATCACAATCCCCAATACCAGGTGATGGGTATCGTTCAGTCCGTTTTTCCTGTTGCAATTGGCACTGGCCTCGGGTAACTTCCCAAATACAGCACTTCATCAATCAAAAAGAATTCAATGTATAACATACCATCCTTGCTTCATGATCTTCAGAAAGTTCAATCATATGAGATCTCAAAGTGTAGGTGCTTCCCAACACACCCACCAGAGTAGTGATATTTAGAGCAAAAAGAGCTGCGGGATTTCGTAGAAATGACATGATTTGTTTCGAATGATTGAACAATTGATATATGCTAGGCAGATCAATTGCAGATCAATTGAAATTGATTGAATAAGTATAATTACAAAATAGATGATGAGCAAATATGAGCTCCCGGTGAGGTATTGATATTGATATTGATACATAAATTTGAACCCCGCTTCGAATTATTATTGTCATGACATCAGTACCGTATCTCGGACGTGTTTGAGCGCGGTACCTCGTGCAACCATATTCTCTCACTACGAGTACTAAGTACAAAAAAAAGGAAACTAAACACTAAACTCCGACGCGTCTATATTCACCAAAATTGCATTTGTACAGATACACCCATTGATTGAGCTGGATTGCTCTGTTTCGTACCCACGGTAGGACTCAAAATCATTTCACTATTTTGGCATCAAAAGTATCATTTCGACATGTGAAGATGATTGGAATTCTGCCCTCAACAGAACATACAGAACTATCTGATAACCAAACAAGTGGCGCGATTGCATTATGGTATGTTATAGAATACTAATTCCTTGGATTAATTGTAGCTCTATTTCCATACTTCGATTACGACAATTACAAAATGTGGACACGCAATAGCAAGTACTCGACGCAAATTTCTCTTCTCTCAGGACACAATCCGAAGCCATGTCTTCCTCGCAACCTTTTGTGCCATCCTCCCCCCTCCAGACCACACCCTCGCGCCGCAAAAAGAGTCAGTTCACATACAGACAGCTGGCCCAACTAGCTACCTTTGCCACATCATGTCCGCTGAGAGTAATCGCTCATTTGGACCTAGATGCCTTTTATGCTCAGGTCGAAATGGTGCGATTAGGGACCGCGGAGGACAAGCCGTTAGCGGTGCAACAATGGTAATGATTCTTCTTTATATAATGCTGGATCGTTATGTTTCTCTAGGGTACATACTGAAGCTAATACGTGGATTCAATACAGGCAAGGTCTCATAGCTATCAATTATCCAGCCAGGGCATTCGGTCTCAATCGTCACATAACTATCACGGAAGCCAAGAAGCTCTGTCCAGATATCATCTGTCAACATGTTGCGACCTGGCGCGAAGGTGATGAGAAGTGGGCCTACCATGACGATGCATTTCAGAATATTGCTACACATAAAGTATCCCTTGATCCTTACAGACTCGAATCAAGACGAATACTCGCTTGTATAAAAGACTGTCTGCCCAAAGACATGCAGAGGGTGGAGAAAGCTAGTGTAGATGAAGTCTTCATGGATCTCTCTGCCCAAGTTCATGCGACTCTTTTAGGGAGATATCCGGAGCTGAAGGGCCCCGCTCCTTATGATGATTTGACGGAACAACTACCTTTACCTCCCACGACTTGCCTCGACTGGAAGGCGGACGCACTGGTGGACCTAGATACGGATAAAACAGAAACTGATGACCTTGATTGGGATGATATAGCAATGTTGATTGGTTCTGAGATCGTACGCGCAGTTCGGGCCGCAATACGTAATAAACTCAAATATACATGTTCTGCTGGCATTGCCCAAAGCAAAATGCTTTCCAAACTGGGTTCCGCACACAAGAAACCAAGTCAACAAACCATTATTCGAAATCGGGCTGTTCAGCATTTTCTATCAGGCTTCAAGTTTACTAAGATTAGGAATTTGGGCGGCAAGACAGGCGAGGAAGTCGTCAAGCTCTTCAATACAGATATGGTCAATGATCTTTTGCTTATCCCCATGGAGCAATTGAAGCGAAGGCTAGGAGAAGAAACCGGGACATGGGTCTATAATGTTATTCGTGGAAGTGATGTCAGTGAAGTTAACTCACGAACTCAGATAAAGTCTATGCTATCTGCAAAATCATTTCGACCTAGTATCAACACACCCGAGCAGGCCAATAGGTGGCTCCGTATTTTTGCAGCGGATATACATTCCCGTCTAGTAGAAGAGGGGGTTCTAGAGAACAAAAGGAGACCTAGGACGATCAATCTGCAGCACAGGCATGGGGCCCAAACCAGGTCCCGACAAGCACCCATTCCACAAGGGAAGAAAATGGATGAGACGCTACTTTTTGAGCTTGCCAAGACACTCCTAAATCAAATCATACTTGATGGCAGAGTCTGGCCTTGTTCTAATTTAAGTTTAAGCATTGGGGGTTTCGAAGATGGGGTGACTGGCAATATGGGTATTGGAGCGTTTTTGGTAAAAGTTGATGGAGCTAGGACTCCAACTAACGCACCTCCGCGAGATCAGAGCCCGATTATATCTGCGGAGAGATCCGAAAAGAGACGTCGTGTAGGCGATGCGGGAATACAGAAATTCTTCGTTAAGACAGATAGTGTTGGCGAGCACGATGATGACTTTGGCGGTGAGCAGAGTTCACCCGAACTAGATATGGTCTTGAAGGAAAAGGAGCATTTGTCTCCCAATGAAGATTTCAAGGCTGCACGTTCGGCCCAAGAGCATGAGGCGATCAGAACGTCACAAACGCCAGTTGGTCCCTTGGCCCCAAAACAACCACAAATCAAAGACTTCTTATGCGACCGGTGCAATCAAGCATTGGATTGCGCGGAGGCATTTCAGAATCATCAAGATTGGCACTTTGCCAAAGATCTCCAGAACGAGGATCGTTTGAGGCGTGCCTCGCCAGCTCCTGCCCACGCTTCTGCTTCCTCCGGCAATAAAAGGGGTGTCGCATCAAAGAAACGAGGTAATGGCCGTGGTGGTCGACCAGAGAAAGGTCAAAGTAAATTGACATTTGGATAATGGAGACAGACGAAACAACTCTCACCGACATCACTTTCGTCATATCCTCATGTGTCACACGAAACTTTTAATCTTATAGATAGATTCAGCCGAGACTTCACCACTGGTGCTGACGAGCCGAGCCCTGTGGTCCCGAAAGGCGGCCAATATGCACGCACCATACTCCGAGATACAGTGCGACTGGAGCAATGTGCTCACCGGGATCGCACATCCTAGATGCAACGTGATACCTGGAAGTACAAATACGATCTTTGCGGTATGAGTTCCATTGGACGACTTGCAGAATCATTTTTTTGTGCTGTCGAAGGTACGAGTAATGCAATAACGATCATCACTGCAATGGCATCTCTTCTAGAGGTTCAGCTGGAGCCGGCCACCTGGCCATGACTCTGGCCCTAAGAATGATAAGTAGGTCTGCCATGAACCCAGACGGTCAGATCTGCAAGCAACACTCGTACTTGGATCTCCAGGACGGTCATGCGCAATATCGAAAGCATCAAGAACAATAGATAGCGTCTCACTTACATATGAAACGATGATCTGGAATGAGATAGTTTGCCGTTAGCCCTACGAAATTAGCGTGTCTTTCGTCTCTCGTCTCTCCTCAGGTATTCCGATTGGCAAAATACATCATCAATTGTACAGTAAGACACTAAAGAATCAAAGACTCATACATGTTGAGAAGGATTACGAAGTAGAAGAACAAAAATATGATATTGATTATCGGATTATCGATAGGTCTACACAATCTTCAAATGCCAGCCGCATGAATTTGTTGTCAATGTGCCTTAGATTGATCCATGTCCAAGAGTATTATGAAGGCTTCTCAAGGGGCAAACGAAAAAAAGATATGAATGATTGTGAGCCTGTGAATGAGGTTTATATGGGTTAGGCAGCATTTGGCTGCGTTAGGCCGGGATGCATGAATACCCAACCCGATTGATTTCGCGCCACCGACAATCACAGACCACCAAAATCTCCAAGATCACAAACCTTGCCAGCAAAACTGCAGGAATCGCTGGCTGCCCTTTGCTTTTTTGGATCCCTTCAATATCACCAGTTCCTGTTCGCTCTTAAGAGTTGAATCTTTGATCGTTCTGTTGTGCAATTTGAGATTCGAAATTTGGGGGGGGGGGGAGGGTGGAGGGGTTCCAATATTACATATACTATTGGTTGCTCTCTCTAGCATCACAAGATATTGAGGTGTCATTTCTGATAGCATCCTTCGCACAACATCTGTGGGTATAGCATAGGATAGCATAGCATATCCGTGTAAGGTCAAAGTAGGTGAAAAGCTATGATTCAGATTTGACAAGAAATCTAACTGCAATAATCAAAGAATTGGTCGAAGGGAAGCTCGGCGTCGCTCATTACAGGATGTATATTCTTCTTTAATGTACTCAGGCGTCATCTTCGATCACCTTGCAGTATGTATACACGTTCACTGTACTATCAATTTCCTTTCCTTACATTTCCTGCTGTATGTGGTGACAAAGGAAAAGAGTTCCATTTCCTGGCAACGTCGGCGATTCTACATAGCACATTCCATATCCCCTAGAATCCAGAACTTACGTTGGATCGTTGGTTGTAGGACCGAATCAAAAATGATGAAAGTATATTGTGAATCTGTGATATACCGAATCTGAACTTGGATAAACCCAATAAGTTCAGGCTTGGAATATTCGAAATTGTGATGGATTGATGGATGATGGGCTGGCTGATGGTATATAGAACTGATGGTATTATTATATTAATAGACTGAGATATCAATTGTTTGAGAAGTTTTCAAATAAATATATTCAAAGATGCCCCTTATTAATATGGAGAAGACTTTGGGTTTCGAGTCTCAACTTATCTTTTATATTTTTCATTGAACTCTGGATATGAAGAACATTATTAACAGTTCTTGAATCATTATACAAATATTTATATTTATATTTATAATTGATGCGAGTTACCGCCCCCACCGCCAGCACCTTACCTTGTCTTTCTCTTTATACCTAACCTATCTACAACAAGGCATATTCTATCTATATCTGTGTCTGTATCTGTGTCTATATCTGTGTCTAGTATACATCTACATCTATATCTATATCTATATCTATATCTATATCTGTACCTACTTGAGCCTACTTCCCTTCAAGTTGCCACACTTGTTATTGCTGCTGCCCCTCTTTTGGAACCATCACCATCTTGAATCTTACTTTCATCGAATGGATCGAAACTACTCTTACGCCACACCAAGTCTCGTTCTTCAAGCCCTTCCTTCGCATAATATCATATGGTTTACCAGCGCTTCTTTCCCATATTCGATTTGCAGACAGATTACAGATTACAGATTATACACTCACTTGCTGTTTCATCATTCCCGCCATCTAGATTCTACAGTATTGTACTGTATGTAATTGGTATTTTGATTACATCCATTACCTCAAACTCATTTGCCTTTTTTAATATAATCTTCTTCTTCTTCTTCCTCCTCTTTCCACCTCTTAGACCAAATTCACAGCCATTTAATATCATAATCCAATTATTGGGTTTGGGTATCACAATATTAAAAGCGGCCAGTTAAACCAAGTTCGGCCAGTTAAACCAAGTTGTACCGCACCATACTCTTTAGGGAAATTCAGCTACCAGGGGCCAAAAAGACCACCCCTCCCTCTCTCCCCCCAAGCCCCAGCCTTTCCTCGCTTTGCCAATTGCCAAATTGCCAAATTGCCACTTCTCCCACTTCTCGCACTCACCGTCCTCTTTGATCAATTCTTCTTGGGCCTTCAAACAAAAACTATTATCAAATACAATAAAAAGAACGCCAGCTCAGAACAATACCCCGGCTCTCATTCATTCAATACTCCCAAAGGTTTAATTCATTCGTTGCCTCTATTTTTGAGTACGACTTCATTTCACACATATTACACGACATTAATCAGCTTCCGCGTCTTCTGTGTTACCACATTCTTGGATTGGATAGGACCTGCCAACTCTCTCTCTCATACGCTTCTAAAAGTTACTCAGGACCAACCGATCTTTTTCTTACTTCCACAGGATTACTTCTTCTCGAGGCTCCCATTCAAACCCCCGGACATCGAGAAACTTTCTCACTTCGCCATAAAGGATTTTCTTCTGGACCATTTCTGACTCTCCAATTTGTCGCCGGTTATTTGTGTGCTACCACATATATTCCCTAAGCTGACTTGTTGCGTGTGACTGACTTGCAATCCTCAATCCTCATTTTTGGATCTTCTCTTTCTCTTCCTACAAACTTTTTTCCAGGATTTCCATCATGTCGCGTCGTGATGATAGAGACAGTAGAGCTTCGCGCTCACAACCGCAGCCACCATACTCATCTGCTGGTGCTGCAAGGACGGGCCAATTTGTTATAGACGCTGAAGGTATCGACAGGGAAGTTATCACTGCTGATATCTGCCGATACCTTGGTAACGATGCTCTCGTCAAACCGGGCGACGTGGAAGTAAGTCATTTCGAAGTTTTTTCAGACGCTGAGATATCGATAGAAAACTAATGGTTTCATCGACAGGACCCGAGAACGAAACAACTTAAGCCTGTCTACGTGATCACGGCTTACAGGAACCTTACAAATGTAATGTCGCGTTTCTATCAATCGAGTTATGTCGCTGATGAATTTCCGGGATAGGCAATGATACATGATTTAAAACAGGCGTCTGCAGACTGGCGAGCGGAGCGACTTGCTAGATCTTCTTCTGCACAATACCCTACAAATGGTATCTCTATAAGGGATTCGAACGAGATGCTTCGAAAATCTAACACCCCTATAGTAGTGGACTACAGAAGTTCAAATGCACTCGATCAATCCATTGCTCGAATGGATGCAACACAGCAGCCTCGTCCTGCTGCACAACAAGGGATGTATAATTCACCATCGGCTGCTGTGCCCAGTTCCCAATCATATCAACCAAGTGGCCAGGGTTACTCGGCGGGCTACAGTCAGCCTACAAGTTACCAAAATGATGGCTACACCCAGCCCCCATCACAACAGTATGCTCCTTCTGCCCAAGGATATCCCACTCAGGACACCAGGAGTTACGTTCACGGATCCAATTATGCTGTTGAACCCGCTGGCCGCGGTGGATCTGTTCCTCAGTCCATTCCAAGGACTCAGGCAGTCTCATATCCATCCAGTACATCGTACCAAGCACCTGCACCGCAGTACTATTCCCAATCTGGACCACCTGCATCAACTTCAGCATATGCCGCACATGCACCAACGGATCCCTACTATAGTCGTGGTGCGTATGTCCAAGTGCATCTATTTTCTTAACTGTCTCTGTTCTCGCAAACGAATGTAATCTAACTATTTAGCTGCTCCCCCAGGCAACTATGAATCTACCCCGGAGGTTTACGACACCAGACCATACCCGGAAACTTCAGATTACCAGATGCAAGATGCCGGATATACTGAACCAGGCTCATACCAGGAACCAGTATCATACTCTCAGCCAATGCCTCCTGGACGAAGTGGCACCGCCACTTCTTCGTCGTCTCAAAGGCCGCGTGATCGGGACAGTAGGGATGAGCGTGACAGACATCACCAACGCCGCAGGAATTAATGTTCCCTCCAGGAACGTAGTTGACTTTGTGCGATCCTGTTTCCCCACCGGAATTTTATACTGTTCTGGCGTTTCTTTTATTGCTTTATCCCCTGGAATTACTGGAACACTGGACCAATCAAAGGAAGCCCATGGAGCCCTCCTATAACATGGATCCAGACTAGACAAAGGGTATTTTACATCCTCATCGGATTATTAATAAAAAGCCAAGTTTGCAATAGGTATTGTAACTTGGAATCGAGGTATGGTCTTCATCTTACCAGGATTTTCTATCATACTCCAGCGCTAGACCACTACCAACTGGATCGATGACGGGATGTATTATCGGAGAATTACCGCGGATGTTTATCATGAACTTTGCACGTGCAGAGCATCTATACCAGGCTTTCATGAGTTTCGACGGACCAAATGAGGATAATGGATGTGTTTTCTGCTTTCTTGCATTTTCATCTGTCAGTTGCATCAGTTCTTGCATACGCACAGGCCGTTGGGGCGCACTATGAGTTTACGTTTTCTTGAAAGTTTCTGGATTATCTTAGGATACCATCCCTCATACCTGCTGTCTGGACCCTAATTTTCCGGAAGCCTAGCCGGCTGGTTTCTTCTCCATACCACGTTTTGTGATTTGGTTAGTATCTTAATACTCATTAGAGTTCTCAGGTCTGGGTTCAGGCAGCATGATAGAGGAGTTTGTATATACATCGACAGCAGCCATTCAAAAGGATAATTCCAACACTTCAAAACAATACCCACCTACTTCATTTCATGGATTCCTGCTTGGTCAAGACCTGACCATGGATCTTCATCACTGACTTGCAAACACGGCTTCACCGCACAGGTATAGTCAATACATCCGGGTTGGAACCTCTTCCTGGATTGGCCTCTCTTTTATATGGACCTGGATTGTTACCCTTGCGGACTACCATTTCTTGAATCTTAGGGATTTCAGCCATTGGACCTGCTATTCTTCAACATTTCCTGCCTTACATTCGGTTTACTCAGGTGTGTATCAAGGACTTATCGGCCCTCGTCAATTTCTGTCTATCAACTTGTCTGTTTGAATTCCACCGCATTCCGGGAATATGTCATCTTGTGGATTACGGAAGCTCCTTGTGCGTCGCCTGCCCATAGTCCCAAGCATATGGAGTGCAGCTCAAGTTCGATGTCAAAGATCCAAGCAACAATTCGAGAGAAATCCGGAACGCTAATATACTGCAAGCATGGCCGTTGCTCAGACTCGACTTTTCGACGCTGCATTCAATCGCTCCTTCCCTGTGAGCTTGAAGAGATACGCATAAATGATTCGGTTTGGCCGTTTGACAGCCACGCAAACCTTTTAGATATTAAGAATGTTGCCATACATCTCGCCTCCATTCCAACACTCTTATCCGTTCCCTTGCATGGTTTTTACACCATCTTTGGCCATCATTCATCTTCGCGGAAACATATCTCCATGTTGGACATTCAATACCATGGTGAACTACTCCTGGATCTGGATAATCCAGCCATGGGGCCATAACGGCCGATCCGTTTGGTGAAATCTTTCGTTATACGCCTTCTTTTATCGTTGCGGTGCCCCGGTCGTTGCAAATTATATTTCACTTCTACTAGACATATGGCCTAGCTTGGGAGAGGGCTATCTTCAGTATTTTCCGGTGGCAACAATCTGTTATTTCATTTACTCTCAATGCTCCACTCGCACGTCTGCGAACCTAGGTTGTACGATTGTGAGATAGGTTTTGGTTTTGGTTCGGCGGAGGTTCTCAAGGAGGTTGTTTGTTTCGGTTTTAGTTGTGAATAAGCATAATGCGCATGGAAGTCTGGTTGGTCGGCCAGTCGGTGGGTGGTATCGTGTGGTCTGTTAGTACATATAATTGTTTCATTCTCGTTGAAATTGGCATAGGTGGCATAATCCAGATGTTATCACTCCGTCACTACTCGGCATTACTACTTTCTATTCTCTGCTCTTCATACCTTGTATCCTCTTTCTTCGCTGTGATCTGTAACGGTGGAGCAGTGGATGGTGTGTACTATAATTAAGACCCTTTTTCGGTGTAGAGAAGGAGGGATCATTCTAGAGGCTTTAGACTCCAATCGTCAAATCTTGTTCGTCCACCAGTCGGATTATAATGATTACTCTGGCATATATACATGAAGTTCATTACTTGATTATGCCAACTTAGATGGATTCTATAGCAATAGCATATGTTTCTATCTAATGAGAAAAAGCGGAATGAAGGGGGCTTACAGGGGAGGGAGTCAGTCTATGATTATGAGGAAGGCTTTAGGATAGATAGGATACTGTTGAATTTTAGATAACAAATTCTGATTGTTCTTCAAATGGTGTACAGTAGTCTACTCGAGTATGTTGAGGCTTTGATGTTAAGAATTAGATCTCCTAGATCTGTTGAATACGTTCTTGATATACTCGAGTATATATAATTGGAAAGTAAAAGTTGACGTCTGGGGCAAATTGCCGAGGCTTAACCTAGAATATCGCTATGCATTTACAGTTGCAACTTCAACATCCCTCCACCAAAACGATTGCATGCATCATCGCCACTGTTTAATCTTTCGTGATGCTATTATTTTCCTTGTGTTTGATTCCATTATTCTGTTCTATTCTTCTAGTATCGGGATGGAATAATTATTGGGCTGAGGCATTTCAGGTGCCGTTGTTCCAATCAGTTCAAGCGCCATCACTCCCGATTGTTCGAGGTACATTACGACCATGGACCTCGTCATCATCGAAAAGCTCTGAAGGCGGTGCGGGCATCATTCAAAGTCGAACTCTCACTCTGCGAAGCGTGTATCATCACGGAACTAAAGAACATCCCGAATTACATCGACGCCTCAAAATCAGTCCCGATAAGATAAAGAAAGCGGCGATCGAAGGCAGCGAAAGCGAAGATGGCATTGGACCATTCACCGTCTCAACAGCTCCAATAGGCATTCACAGACTTAAAAAACGAAGTGTACAGGATATAGAAGCTTTCAATCAATGGCCCGCCGATCTCCCTGCATCAGCATGGGCTGTTAATGATGTGCCAGCGCCAGATGTGACAGATAAATCCACCGTGGTCAATTTCGCTGTCATGGCAGCAAATACTTATCAGCGAACTCCCGATGATCCTGAATGGGAAGACATAAAACCTCCTTTCAACCTTTCATCATCTATTGGATGGGAATCGGATGGTCTGCGGGGCCATGTTTATGCCGACGATACAAATACTACAGTCGTTATCGCGTTAAAGGGCACAACTTCAGCTGTATTCGATGGAGCGGAGACAACTACAAATGATAAAGAGAATGATAATCTGTTTGCTGGATGCTGCTGTGGACAAGGTGGATGGGGTTTACGAAAAGTATGTGACTGTATGACGGCAACATATACATGCAACGAAATGTGTGTTTCCAAGGCGCTGAAGAAGCCAAATCGTTATTATCAAGCTGCTGTGGAACTGTATGGAAATATTACAGAGGAATATCCTACGGCGGACGTTTGGTTGACAGGTCATTCTCTTGGAGGACTTGTCACTACTCTCGTCGCATTGACTTTTGGCCACCCTGTACTGACCTTTGAATCGGTCCCTCAAGCATTGGCAATCTCTCGATTGGCTCTTCCTACGCCACCTGGATACAGCTCCGCTTCGGAAGCTCGTGATAATGTCGGTATATGGAATTTTGGGCACACTGCTGATCCAGTATATATGGGTACGTGCAATGGAGCCACATCACTTTGCGCTTTTGCTGGTTATGCCCTCGAATCGACGTGTCATGCAGGATTACGATGCGTATATGATGTTGTTGCGGATCTTGGTTGGAGTGTATCTCTGTCTACTCATGGAATCAGAGCCTCTATCAAGAATGTATACAAAAAGTATGATAAAGCTCCTACTTGTATTGCAGACACCGAATGTGTCGATTGTTTTAATTGGAAACGAGAGAAGGGATCCCGCTCTACTACATCAAGTACCACAGCAAGCACAACATCCAAACCAAGGACTCGTACTGAGACTTGCAAGACTCCTGGCTGGTGGGGTTGCTTGGATAAAACTAGTGCGAGCACAACTTTCACGTCTACGACAACAATCACCTCGACGTCTTGTAAGAGTTATGGATGGTTTGGGCGATGCTTAGACCCAGCTTCTACCACATTTACGTCTAAAACTACAATTATCGAGGCTTCAGCAACTATACATGAGTTCTTAGCCACTGTTACCAGTAGTCGAGATTTCACCAAAGGGTTGAAGACTAAAACGGCTCAAGCACATCAAATTACTGCCTCGCCGATTGCCCCAACTTGAGGGTAGGCTACGATTGCGTCGATCCTCCTTGATCACAATCACCAATACAAGTAGCATGCACTTGCGATTGGAAAGCCCGGATGCCGGTATGTCTCAACATCGGAACTATGCTCAGACTATCTCCAGATATCTCCGTTGATATCTCAAACAATATCCGGTGACTGAATGAAGTCCAATCAGACAACAAGAAGGGGTTTAGCTGTGCTTGGAAATTGATCTTCCAACCAAAGGTATCAGGCATCCAGGCACGCTACCACATTATCAAGCTCCTGTCACAATAAAGCGAGTTGCCCAATGAAGCATCGTAGCTCATATAGGTCGATAATTGCCATATATTCGGCGACCTTTCTCGAGTGTCCTTCATAACAGGCATCTTAACGACATCGTTTCCCGCATTTTATCGTTACTTTATTACCGGTAGAAGAAGCAAGAAGCAACCGCGGGACTATGCAGAAATATAGATTTAAGCACATGTATAGAAGGGGGTTATTTAAAGCAGTGATATCTTGCGGGTAGAACGAATCATATTATTCTTGATCATCTTTACGTGCTACATACATACCGTCCCATCTCCCACAATATTAAAATATCATTATCTACTCAACGTCCCAGATTGTTGGATTCTATCTAATGACAAATTCACATGTAATCTCAACCCAAGCTAAGCCAAGCCAGATGATCCAAGCCATCCCCTCATCTTCCTCTTTCCTCCTATTGTTCCTCCTATTGTTCCTACTCTTCCTCTTCTTCTTCTTCTTCTTCTTCTCCTCCTCCTCACATACCCTCCCATTCATTGCCAGTCCAAGTCCAAATCCAAATCTAAGTCCAAGTTCAAAGTCCAAATCCATCAACACAAGCCCGCAACATTTAGCCCGCAATATTGAACACCCAGAACACAAAACTCATAACCCAAGACCTATGACCTATTACTTATTACCCATTATCAATTACCTATTACCCATGGTCGAAGGCTATTAAAGCACCCTTTTATTTTTATATCGTTTTTTCTTTCTGGATAATGATAGTAATGAATGATGGGTTATGGGTTATGGGTTATATTGAGAGATGGAGAAAGAGGAGAGTGCGAGAGGGAGAGAGAAAGAGGGAGAAAATGGAGAGAGGGAGAGAAGGAGAGAGAGGGGAGAGATGGAGAGATGGAGTGAGAAAGAGGGAGAGAGATGGAGAGATGGAGAGAGGGAGAGATTCATACATACATTCATACATTCATATAAAGATTTCAATATAATATAATACTCACTGGCATGTATGCTCCAATGGATACCTCATTTCATTACCTCATTTCAAACTAAATTTCATACCTCATTTCATATACTCGAGTATATATAAAAATGTTATTCATAATATACTTTATACTTAATACTGAGTAGCATGCTGGAGATTTGATTGGTTAGTTAGTAAGTATGTAAGGTAGAGTAGAGTAGAGTAGAGTAGATGAAGGGGTTTTGTGGTATTGGATTGGATTGGGTAGGGCTGGGTTGGATTGGGTTGGATTGAATTCGGTTGGATTGGGTAGGGATGGATGGATGAAATGCTGTGCTGAAGTCTTGAAGATGGGGTTGGGATTTTGGGGTATGTTGATGTTGTTGATAACTAATTATAGTATATAAGTAAGGTTACAGGCTCGAAGACTCGAAGGAAGGGGTTGTTTGGGGGGAGGGGGTGAGGTGAGATGAGGAGTGAGATTTGAGATATGAGATATTAGATATTTAGAGGAGAGAATAAGATACAGCAGGATAGATATATCAGTATGAAGTTTTAATCTCATGTTGTTTTACTTGATATCGACCGTGACATTAACCGTGATATCCACATCCAAATCACCTCAACCATGACATCGACCGTGACATCAACATCAATATTCAACATTCAACATTCAACATCAAACTTCAACTTCAACCCGAACATAAAATCTCGCACTGGCATCATAAATTTCCTTTTATCTTTCTCTTTCTCTCCAAGAGTACTCTAGTCACTCCAACTCATTATCCCTTATCGTTTTTCATGTGTATATATATCAATTTCCTCAACACCGTGACCTTAGCCGTGACAGTGACCGACCGTGACTACTATTCAGCCCAACTTGAACCCACTAGCAATAAAAGATTCAGAATATTGGGACTCTGAATCTTTCTACTTGTAGTAAATATACCGGTGTATATGTAAATATCTTGTATTAGATTGAGGGTGGTCAGGGGTAGGGGTAGGTAGATAGGTGTTTTACTATTATAAATCTTTGTTATAAGATGATTGTTAAAAAGATACTATAGATAGATAGATATCTTGGGGTGATTTGATATGTTTTGATTTATCTCGTTATATTTAAGTTAAACAAGTACGAGGATATTGCTTTGTGTTATATTGCTATATAACGTATAATAAGTATGAATAATAAATTACTCGTATAGTACTTGTTATAAGATATAATATAAGATCATGACTATGGAAAAGATTATATATATACTCGAGTATGTATTGCAATGATATGATGTCAAGTACCGTGACCTATATATGTAACTAATTATATGAAGTATGAAATATAGAAGATGAAAGATGGAATATGAAATATGAAATATGGCATGTAAAGGTAGCAAGCTGAGCTAAACTAGTCACTAGGCTAAATTGGCAATTGTGTGTTTATTTGTTTATGTGTAATATGTGCATATGTATATACAAGTAGATGTAGATATAGATACAGATACAAATATAATAACCATAACAATTCATACAAAATTCTGAATTCATATATACGTGACGAAAGAAATATATTCGATATATATACTTATAGCTCGCTATGATATACTATGTATAGGAGGGGGGCAAAATTACTTGAAGTGATTGTATTATATATTCAGGCTCAGTCTGGGTTTATAGTATACTTGTGAATATAAATATAAATATATATATAAATGGACTTTTGAAAAGAAAAAAAATTGATGAATTAATTGGAATGACAATGAATCATCACTCTCATCATCTATTCTATATGTGCTAATACCCCTAAACTCCTTTTGCTTTTCCGATACCGGTATTATTTACTGGACATTTAATTTGATGGGATGGATTTATAGAAAATGAAGTACCACTCTATGCAGTTCATACAATTTATCTAATTCATATCCCCCACTTACTCACCTACTAGCCTAGCCCACACACTCCCCCCATACTACTAAATGGTATATCGTATGCCAAAAACAAGCGTAGATTAGAGACTGAGAATCTAGGAAACTACCCCCTCCCCTTACTAGTAGTCGTGGAGATCTTTAGCCCTTTATTATAATAAATCTAGACATTCATTGCATAAGCAATGGCTGACGCTGAGATCGTGGAAAATAGGGATTAGTGAGCCAGCCTAGTTGTCTATTCATGCCATACCATGACACGTTTCGTTTGAGATATCACATATGCAATAAGAGAAGAGACGGTGCTGGAGGTGATAAGCTATTGTACTGTAATGATATTCGTCTGAACTACTGAGTAATGTAATATGAGTCTACGATCTCGTCGTATACAGAGCATTTATAAGTGATTATAGATTTACGTACTCGAGTAAAGTCTACGCCGTTCTTATACTAGGTTATATGATATATCACCAGAGTACATACAGTAAAGCCTACTGTATACCACACAGATTACTCGTATGGAAAGTAGATAGATAGACACACCATCTGAAGAATTCCCATCTCAAGTCGCAGACTCGCAGCTAGCATAGCAATATGCAGTTATACTATGAAGCTTGTCATGGCTCATCCCTATGTGACAGTTTGTGATTGAGAGGGGTATGATTACAATGACTATGAATATGGCGCAAGTGGAAGAGGAGAGGAGAGGAGAGGTGTAGAATATTGAGTCAAGGAATGTGTTTGGTGATGGGTTGTTTGGAGTTACTGTAGGGATATGTGTGATGTATTTGTTACTTTCTGATACTATCTGTACTTTGTTTCATTGAGCATTTTAAAGGTTGAGAGGGGGGAGATTTGTGTATGTATGCGGTGTTATGATGCTGCGAATCGAAATCTAGTTTATAAGGGTGTGTACTTAAAAGCTGGGTGTATGGGGTGTTCTCTGTTTTTTAGGTTGAATTGAACAGCTTAACAGCTTAAATATGAATGATATATTTGAGATATACAACAAAATACATAGAGATCATACTTATTAGCTTGAAGATGATATACTTGTCCCTGACCGCTTTGGGCAGCTAAACAAATTGGGTAGTAGAATATCAACCACATGTTTGAGATATGCAACAAAACTTAATTCGGGCACTGGTGAATTGCTTAGTTGTTCGATTCATGATTGTGTATAGTGAATCAGTATAATGAGACTTTCATCTGATTACTATGATTCCATCTGACTAATATGATCTCATCCCAAGATACAGCTACAGCTGAAACATGATGTGATACGGTACGAAGGATCTTTTCATGGGATAGATCAACTGAAGTATAGAAATGTCTTTGCTGTATCACCATTCATTCCTGCAACAATGTATGAGTATAATCAGTATTCGAGAGAAGATATTTGAGATAGTCACGGCTCTCAATAGTTCTTGTCATTCTTTCCAAACCTTGTTAAACGTGACATCTCACCCTCAAGAGTCAAGATCTAGACTTCATGATCTTATATGAAGAGAATGGATTTGGGAAGTTTTGTGTCGGAGAAAAGAGGAAGAGTGAGATTGTGATGTAATGTAGATATGAATCACTGGATACATACGAGCTGACTGGACTGAGCTGAAAAAGGAAAGCGGGAACCCGAGTAAGGTAGAAACGAAAGTAAGAATGCTGATGGCTTCCTTTATGTGTAACATGGGAAAAGGAGTAATACCAGTACTTCTGATAGTAAGATTTCTTTGGTATACCGGTATATAATTTTCATATACAGTAAATGAATAACAAAAATGATTACGGACACGTCCAATGATCCCCAGGCCCCATCTCAAAATTTACCTGATACGACCCGACCCGTCCATTGCCAAGTAAGCTGGTGCATAGTACCAAATACCAAAACCCCAAAAATAGATTATGGGAATCCAAACGGGTATTCTCCGAGTCCAAAGAACCGGGTAGGGTGGGTGGAGGGAAGCTGACTTCGATTGAAGTTTCATGTGGGAATTAGTGAGTGGGTCTGTTAACTTTGTCACCTTTTGCATTTATTTTATTATATGGCTTGATATTGAGGGCGTGGTTGAGATTTTTTTGGTGTAGGCGGGCTTCGGGTCGGGATGGGATGGAGGGAATTAGATTGATGATGATAAGTATGAGGTATGGGGATGGGAGATGGAGATGGGGATAGAGGAGGATGGGTGAGGTTTGAATGAATGAGGTCTCATACATAGCTCAATTAAGTAATATATACGAAGAAGGTCGGTGCATCATAATCATAATGGATGTATCAAAAAACATCTGGTAATTGGTGAGTATCGAATCTTTCGATATAAGATTGGATAGAAGTCTGTGTTTGCATATCCGAAGTATTATCCCATAACTTATCCGTAACTTATCCGTCATCCACGGACTCCCGAGCCCGTTAGACTTTTTGATGAATTAAGTTTTGGATGAGAATGTTTTCGAATAGTGTAGGAAGATATATTGGGATGTGCAATGTGCGATGTACCATTTTGAGAGAGTATGATGATCTGCCTCCGTATCGGGTGTGATTTTTAGCCTTTTACCTTTTACCCCTGAAATCCCGCTGGGCTGTGGGAGCTATATATCTAAGTTTACCAGCATATTGACGGCATACGTATTATAACATTATAACTTGAATGTCAATATAACTGTTATCAATACCCGAGGTGATGGATGCGAAGATCTACTTGACATAAATTTCAAGTGTTCAAATATCAGTCCCCCCCCCTTCCCCCTTCCCCCCAGGTCTCTTTGACTTTACCGAATAGATTCCCCGAATGGTGACGCGGCCTTTAAGTTCGTGCGTATGCTTGTTTGTTCTGCATATCTATCTACGTAAAGGATTCATCAGGAAGCTTCTCGTGTGGGTGGGGGAGACGTTCCTTGAATCCTTAATCCTTGAACCCATTGGTAGGAAGAAATAGGAAGGAAGGACAGGAAAGAGGAAACGTCGTCTGAATATTGGTTGGAGACTTGTCCCGGGTAAGATCTGCCTGATGTTCGATCGAATCATCTCTCTTGAGGGATTCTCCCTGTTTATGATTGGATGGGGAAAGGATGAAGATATACGACATGAAACTTGGAATATGTCCGTCTTTGCTTCAATAGCTGAATACCAATGATAAGATAGTATTGTAACAATGTAAGCAGCCCCTCCCCTCTCTATATTGAAGTACGGGAATCAAACACCTCTTGTCTTTCTCAGCCTCCTTTACATTGCGTATCAACTTGCTTGTAGAAACTTTTCCTTGGGTGATAAAGATTATCTACAGGGATGATTCGTCACTGAATTCGGCCCCATTCCTATTACTTTAGCGTCGAGTCATCACTAAACTCTACCCTGTACCACGCACCACACACCCTACAAGACCCTATATCGCCATAGTGGTAAGCTAGGAAAGAACCGTCCGATACAATAATACATAATACAATACGAATTAGAGAAATCAAGAGAGACAGAGAGAGATCAACAGTTCAAACACTTCTCTACTGTATTTCAAGGATTTTGGTTAAAAAAAAAGAACAAACAGAAAGTGTTCATTCGATTCATTTGGTTCGTTTGATTCATTTTATTTCGAAAAGGATCAACAACAAAGGTCGCAGTTACAGCATCCATTCATTCAAACTATCTATCTATCTGGGAATTAATCTTCATATACTCAGCGTATATAATAATAATATATCGTACTTCCCCACCCAAGTACTCCATATTCTTCAAACCCTCGACCGGTATTACTCCTTCTCTATATAATCATTCTAAGCTACCTTTTTCCTATCAAGTTCAAACGTTTTGCTTGACTAAATTGAATCGATACTCATTCTTTTATTCTATTTTAGTTATATATCAAACGCTATCTGTTGGTTCCGCAATCCATTATCAAACGCCCCATGTGCATTGCCATCTTGGCATTGCATTGACTGCCCAGAAATTTCCTGGAAGTCCGACCAGAACTTCTTTATGAGAAGATTCCACGATACGATAACGCTCAATCATCAGATAAGTGACGAACTCGCTCGGACAGACAGGATATTCGTGTATCAATTTACTCGCCAGAAAGAAATTCTGCCAATTGCACAAAGATGTTGACCTTCAGGAGAGCTTTGGTAGCTGCGGCCTTCTTCCTTACTATGCTATTTCTCGTCACACGAAACCACAACTCACCTACAGCAAACGATTTATTATTACAGGATACGAGCATACCAAAATCAGGGGAGAAGGATGGAGAAGATTTGAGAACAAAGCCAGGCTCATCGATCTCGACGAATGCGGTTCCACCTACACCAAAGAAGAAGTCTCAAGGATCTCAAACATTACTACAAGATTTATCAAGAGCACCATTACGAGACAAGCTCGCATATCAATTTCCATACGACGTAGAGACTAAGTTCCCAGCATACATTTGGCAGACATGGAAATACACACCAGCATCTGGAGATTTTGGGGAGAACTTTCGCCCTGCGGAAGCAAGCTGGTCAGAAAAACATCCTGGATTCGTGCATGAGGTTATCACCGATCAAGTCGCAGTTCATCTATTGAAGCATTTATATGCTTCTGTGCCAGAAGTTCTAGAGGCTTACCATTCGTTACCTATGCCGGTTTTGAAAGCCGATTTCTTTCGTTACCTGATTCTGCTGGCCAGGGGTGGAATTTACTCCGATATCGATACCCATGCCTTGCGACCTGCTTCAGAATGGCTTCCTGAGAGTGTGCCACGCGAAGCTATTGGGTTAGTAGTTGGTATTGAGGCAGATCCAGACCGTCCAGATTGGGCACAATGGTACTCGCGAAGGATTCAGTTCTGTCAATGGACAATCCAATCGAAACCAGGTCATCCTGTTCTCCGCGAAATAGTTGCCAATATCACCCAACAGACTCTAGAAAAGAAGAAGAGTGGAACTCTGATGAACTTCAAGAATAAAGACGTTGTAGAATTTACCGGTCCGGCTTTGTGGACAGATACTATTTTCGACTTCTTAAATGACGAGAGATATTTCGATATGACTACAAGCAAGGGAAATATTACATGGAGAGAATTCACTGGTATTGAATCGGCAAAGAAGGTCGGTGATGTGGTTGTTTTACCTATTACGAGTTTCAGTCCTGGAGTGCAGCAAATGGGCGCAAAGGATTATGACGATCCCATGGCATTTGTGAAGCATGAATTCGAAGGTTTGTCTAGCTAGATCATCAATACATACCATCAACTGACCTAAATTCCAGGAACCTGGAAACCCGAGAATGAACGACATGTTGGGGAAACTACATGAAAGCGTTATCTCTTCGACAACAAATAATACTTTTCTTAACAAAAAATGTGCACAATAGCACATACACTAGTCGAATTTTGAGCGAGCATCGAATACACGAGCAGCATACCAGTGATGAGAACACCGAGAAGCTTTCTTTTTTTGTTCTGTGGAAGGACATAGAAGGTTTGGCCTCAAAATACCCTTTACGTTGCCTTTTATTCTGTCAGCATGGAGTTTAATTCGGTATCTGAGACATTGAGTTACAGTTTGAATGTTTGAAGGGGAATCGAGGGGGAATGATGTGGTGTACGTGGAAGCATGCCCCGGATTTATTGTGTATGGTTGCAATGCCAAAAAGCAGAAGACATGAATTTTCAAGAGCTGAAATTTGTGTATCGTTGGATTTTTGTAATTCTGGATTTCATTGGGAAGTGGAATAGACGGTGGGATTATTATTAAAGCAATGTTGGAAATTGCATGGGATACGGAGGAACTACCTAGTATCTTTCAGTAGATATCTTTGAAGCAAGAACTCAGAGACTGATGAATGCTCTACTGTGGTGGAAATGTATATATACACGACAGTATGGATACGGAAAGGAAAGTAATGAACAAGTTGAAAATTAACCACGAACGATGCTATTTCAACTTTCTGATATGTCTTTTGATGCACTTTGATTTGGACCCTTGGGTTATATTAAATTATGACATAAATTATAGATCGAATATGTAGCCAAGAATCAGGGGTAACTTGCCATAATATACTCAAGTAAATTATTATGGGTCTGACGGGGGCTCGAGAGAGAGCGGAAAGGTAAGCGCGGAGCTTACCCCGCATATTTGGACCGAGAAGCTGTAGGACTTGCTTGTTGTACTCTTGTACTTTTGTGGGACAGCATTGTACAATGTTACGTGTAGTAACATGTATATAATGTACTGAAAGCTTCGGTCTTCACTTGGAAGTGAGCAATTTCCTTCTTTATGAATATGATGAATGTGATGAATGATAGAATGAATGTATAGATGATATGGCTTTGAGAATAAGTCTTGTGGGAGTAGTTAAGAGGGGAACGGGAACGGGAACGAAAACGAGAACGGGAACGGGAGCTAGATTTGAGATGCGGGGATGGGGATTTGGAGAAAGCTTGCGGTTGAGGTCGAGGTTGAGGTTGAGGGGTGAGGTAGCGAGGAACTTGGGAAGGGGAGATAGAGGTGGAAGTGGAGTTGGGTTTGGAGTGGGAATACAGAGGAGAGGTCTTTTGACGGAGAGTTGTAGTATTGGACCTACTGAGGTAATTGGGTTTAATATCTTTATTTTCTTTTCCTTGTACTCACTATCCTCTCGCCCCTTTCAATCTTCTCAGTAGCTCCTATCATCACTAAGCTAACACCCGCTCCCCTTTAGCCGCCACTCCTTCAACACACGATCCCCGAACATTTCCATAGCATCGTCAGCGCTCTTGGCTCAAACCTCGCGCTCATCTCTCACTCCCAAAATATAAAACTTACATATCAAGAATTGGACGAGAGGAGTAATGTGATAGCACATGGGTTGCTGGGCATGGGGCTTAAGAAGGGGGATAGGGTAGCCGTTAGTTTGGGGAATGGATGGGAGTTCGGGGCTATCACTTATGCCGTTTGGAAGCTGGGGGCTGTGTTGGTGAGTTGGAGTCCATGAGAGAATCCTTTATGGGGAATGAGAAGATAAAGAGATGGAGATGCTAATTATAGTTCGGGAAATAGGTACCTTTGAATCCAGCATTCAACACGAAACAAGTGGTCTCGGCATTAAACCATCTAAAGGCTTCACACCTGATAATCGGTCAGGAAACACATTTACCTTTCAAAAAGCCCAGGAATAATACACCTTTGCTGAAGGATATCATTGGGGATCTCAATCGAAAGGCATTGGAAAGTGAGGCTATACCCAGTCTGAGGAATGTAATTCTAGTAAAGAATTCCGAGACTGAGAATAATGTGGATTTCGTTTCTACCACCCCTTTTGGAGATGTGATAAATGGGTACGACTCGTTTAAGAGAAAGGAGGTTATTCCAGATGAGAAATTACATAAAGATGATGTGATCAATATTCAATTCACATCAGGTACGACTTCGACTCCTAAAGCTGCTTGTTTAACGCATCATTCTATCCTCAACAACGGTTATTTTATCGGCTCTCGCATGGCTCTTACACCATCCGATATAGTCTGTTGTCCGCCCCCCTTATTCCACTGCTTCGGTTCCATCCTTGGATACATGGCAACCGCGACACACGGCAGCACAATTCTATTTCCCTCTCCCGCCTTCAATCCCACCGCCACACTTCTCAGTGTTCAAGAACACCAGGCCACGGCCCTCTACGGCGTCGCCACCATGTTTCTCGCCGAACTCGAACTCCTCTCCAATGGCACCATCCCTAACACCGGTTTCTCGCATCTGCGCACTGGTATCGCAGCCGGTTCCTCGGTTCCCAAATCATTGATGGAAAAACTTCATAAACAGTTGAATCTGACCGGTTTGACGATTTGTTATGGGATGACGGAAACGAGCCCGGTTTCTTGTATGACCACTCCCACTGATCCGATGGAAAAACGTTTGGATAGTGTTGGGAAGGTATTACCTCACGTCTCTGTTAAGATCATCTCAACGTCTGATCCCAACAAGATTCTTCCGCTAGGTGAACGGGGCGAATTGGCCGTCTCGGGGTATTTGGTCATGAAAGAGTATTATGCAGATTCAGATCGAACCAAGGAAGTATTAATTTCAGACAAAGAAGGGAAGATATGGATAAAGACAGGTGATGAAGCATGTATGGATGAAGAAGGATATGTGAAGATTACAGGGAGAATTAAAGATTTGATTATACGAGGAGGAGAGAATATCCATCCGCTTGAAATTGAAGATTGTATTTTTGGAATGGAGGATGTGAGGGAGGTTAGCGTGGTGGGGGTTCCGGATCATAAATATGGAGAAGTGGTTTGTGCGTGGGTTGTGGGTAAGAAGGGTGTTAAAAGGGGGGTGGATGATGCGGGGGTAGGAGGAGATGAACAACCGATGAGTTGGGAAAAATACGAGAAACGTATCTCTAAGGGAAGTATCAAGAACACCAATGGCGAGAATCCAGCGATAGCTGCTGAGGATAAATCTAGGAGGAAGGAGGAAGAAGACGGGATAAAATCAACACTCACTAAAGAATCGATTCAGAGCTATGTGAGGACACATCTGAGTGGACATTTGGTTCCTAAGTATGTCTTTTGGATAGATGAGTATCCGAAGACTGCGAGTGGGAAGATTCAGAAATTTAAATTGAGGGAGAGGGCGGAATGGGTTATTGGTGGTGGAGAAGAGTAGATGGGGGTTAGATGAGGGTGAGGTTAGGAGCAAGGTGGTAGAGGGAGGGAGATATGATAATGATAATGACGTGGGAGGATGTAAGGGGAATGAATACATGTTATTAGAGAGAGAGAGAGAGAAAATTGGAGGGTTTCCATGCATGACGACTCACGAGGAAAGAGTTGATGTTGATAGAGGGGTAAAAGTAAATGGAAGTCATATATTAAATTGAGGAGGGTTCATCAGCTTGAGCCTTGAGGATGGAGGTTACGTAGAGAATGAGAGGAACGGTGTTTATGTGGCGATGGAATAGTAATACATATGAATTCGAGTAATATGGGTATGAAATAGGTTAGGTTAGATTAGATGTCAGTGATACTACTTGCAGTAGATAGAATTGCAGTTATCTTATGCCATAATGAGAGTGACAATGCTCAGTTGAAGAATTAATTGCTTGGGAAAATTATGTGATATGTGCTAGTGTATGTATGTATGTATGCTAAAGTTTAAAGTTTAAAGTTTAAGAGATGTTAAAGTAAGTTGATTTGAGGAATATGATATGATGAGATGATAAAGGCTCTTCTTCTCTTCTTTTCTTTGAATTTAGTTTGAGTTGTAAGTGAGTAGTGAGTAGTGAGTAGTGAGTGAGCGGTCACGGTAATAAATTGGGGGAAAAAAGAAAAAGCCTTCTTTGTCTTTCTGTCGATTGTTAGTGAGTGAGTGAGTTCTTGCTTACTTAGGTATGTGTGTCAGACAGACTGTTAGATTTGTTATGATGTTATATATCTTATATAAGATAGTGTTATGGTGCTGTTTGATTTTGAATCTGGATTTTAGGGTTTGGGTTTTAGGGTTATAGGATTATTGTGATATGGATTGGGATGGGATGGGATGAAAGGAATGGGATGAGTATGAGTATACTCGAGTATATGAGATAAGTTAGAATTTGCAACTACCAGTGCCAGTGCCAGTGCCAGTGGTAGGGATTGTATTATATATGCCTAGATAGAGTAGGTGGAATAGTATCGTATTGTGCGTGGGAATCTTTCTCGGTAAATAAAAACTACGTGTTTTATGGTATACTAGTTATCTTGGAGGACTTAGATGAAAAACAAACTACATATCCAGCTTTTATTCATACTTTAAGTATCTGTAGTCAAGTCAAGTCAAGTCAGTTACTTAACTTTACCACCCACCTAACCACCAGTCTAGCACCCCTCTTCATTCCAAACTTCCCAACATCTAAATGTTTCAATTTTTATCTTCTATTTTCTAGTCATTATACTATACCTACTTACAGACATACTATCTTTGAATTTCTATCTATTTATCCACCCACTTATGTTTAGATCTAGATTTAGACTTGGATTTTGATTTAGAACTAAATCATCCGTATTCGCATTTACCCAATCTGAATACATACTCGAGTCGATGAAAAGAGCTCGATGGCGCATAATCCCCATATGCATATGCATCCTCAACATCCCCAGGCTCACCAGGAGCCAAGTAAGACAAAGAAAGGCAACGACATATGACTCCTCGTAACCCAAGACTCCTAATTAAAGGAAGTATGAGGGAACCTCACTTGTAGAAAAGCTATAAACTACAAGCTACATACGCATCGAATCGAATCGACATCAGCTTCATCGTGACCAGAGTGGTCAACTAGTCAGTCAGTCAGTCAGCTATCAGCTAAATCTTAATTCCTAGCTAACTCACTAACAATATATTATTATCGTCACTAACTCGCTAACCTCGCTAACCTCGCTAATCAACTACTCACCTAACCAGAGAAGTTTGCATGGGGTGCACCTAACATATAATCTTTATCTGATAATAAAATCTTGATTCTCCTCTTCAATATCTTTTCCCATTTCCTTTCTTCAATACTCTCCTTCTTCAATCCCACCTCCCCCTCCTTGCCCCATCCTTCTTACGATACGCTCTTTCCCTCTTTTTTCCGCTCGATACCCCCTCCCCTTTCTCTCTTCGATATCTCCTCCCTCTTTTATTCCAATCCCCTCCTATTTCAATACCACTTCCCACTCCATTTCCCTTCCCTCTTATGATACGCCCTCTCCCTCCCTTCGATACTACTCTTCTTCCCTTCGAAACATCTCCAAAAATGTTTCAATTATGTTTTAGAAACAATAAACTTTTATTTCGTTTTAACTAATTAACTAACCCCCAATCAGATTGGCCCTTCGTTGACCCACTAATAATATTCTGAGCCCCTAGCTTACTGGTTTACATCAATAGCTGATATCTATTGCTGTCAGCTACTAGCCGACTGGTAACTGGTTGGCCACTCTGACCGTGACACCTGTCTAGACAGTCTCTTACGTATTTCTCCGTATTGAGAACTCCAAACTATTCATAGCATACCAGACTTTGTATACCAGACGAAAAATTTACTAAATTGCAGAGTCCCTTATGCGTATCGTATCTAGAGAATCAATCAGTCACTGGTGCCAGATGGAAAAAGTACATGTACTTGTATCCAGAGAATTGTGATCGCACTGCCTTGTATTCTCTAGGAAAGATGATGTATACACATATATCTATCCACCACTGCTCCCTTCTCCCTACTTTCCTACCTCCTACCTCTCACCCCTTCTCTCTGACCCCTCTCCCTACCCCCCAGAAAATCCCAACTTCCTAATTCAATCAGCATCCACTCCAATCATCCATCCATCCATCTAATCATGCACTCCAATTATCAAATCATCCAACACTCCAATCATCCATTCACTCCACTGGCATCCATCCAATCATGCACTCCAATTATCTAACCATCACACATACACCGCCCCCACCCCAAGTTGAATCAGACTATAATAGTCGAGCAAGTACAGTACCAATATAACATATCAGCCTAAAAAGTTACATCATGATCATCATCATCCATCATCCATCATACATACAATATCCAAAAAGTCCGCTCAAATAACAGCTAATTACAAGGCCTACTCATACCATACCATACAATAAATAACATATACATACATACAGTACATACTAAGTGCACACACATCACATCATATCATATCATCTCATATCATCTCATATCATACTTCCCAACCTCTTCCCAAAGGAGATGTGATATCAAATTTCCACACTTACCTTCCGTAATTGATGATATCCAACCTATCAGTTAAACTATACCGTACTCTTCAAACAGCTAGTTTCCCGATGGGTTCAAACTACGGACTACCTGACTTCACTAGTAGCGAGGAATATGAAATGGGGCCCCTATGTATCGAGACGAGATATCGAAGTAGGGACCGAAGAGTAAATATAAATACGATATTTACACAATATAGGAAGAAAACAGGATCAGGATCACTAAGATATTCGTGGCACATGGAGCTTCGGTTATTGGTATTTTGCTCTTTATTTTGGCACCTCGCTTACCCCTTTTCCCTTCATTTGCCTCAATTCCTTCGACCACCTCCCTTCACCATCAATATACAACCCGGCTATTGTGCAACTCTCCCCCCCAGTTTTCACCTTCCTTCCCTGTCCCGTCTTCCCACAAAGTCACTATGCCCCCTCATCCGTTCCATAACACGATCCCTCCAATCCCGATTGAACATAAACGCCCTTCCTTTCCTTCCGCTCATTCACATGCCATGCCGTGACTACCCATTGTCCAAAATCAATTAAAACTGTCCTTGCTATCTACAAGAAACCCATGAATTCAAGCAAAAACCCTCCAGCCAATAAACGCCTGTCCAAATTCCCAAACCTCTCCGCTTTTGTCAAATGTTAATAACCTTGTGTCATGCAGTGCAATGCAATACAAATCCACAATATTCTTCTCTTACGCTGTGGTATCACTTGTTTTAGCCTTCCTCCATTACATTCATCTTTTTGATCACACTCCAACTCCACAGTATGATTTTTCAATAATTGAAGCCGCCATAGTTTGAGTTTCTAGGTTGATGACCTGGACTGTGTTGGTAATCCATATCTTGATAGACAGTGTTTCTTCGCTCGTCTTCGAGGAGATCCTTGACTTCCCAGTTGTTCTGCTTAATGCCAACGGAAAATTCAAGATCTTCTTTAGTGATAGAGTCCCAGTACTATTTGTACTATTAATAAGTTTGAATTGTGAATCTAAAAACGAAGAATGGACTCGCCTTGTAAATCATCATGACAGCAAGAAGATTAGCAATCGAAGCAAAGAATAACCCATCCAAATAATGGTCGATAGCGTTACAAATGGTAGCACTGAAAGCGTAAAGTACAACCTGTCCTGCAGCGAAGAAGAAAAGGGCAAACGAGAGTTCACCCAGAGGCCAACGATCCTGGAGTGTGTTTACAACAAGAAGGACTTGCATGACGCCGTAGATGGCCAATTCAATAGCGGAAAGTAGGTATAGCACAACGAAGAGTCCAATGGTTCGAGTAGGGCCAAGTCCTGCCCAGGACATGTATGTAGCGAGGGAAACGAGGAAAGTAAGGGTGAACATGGCGAAACTGATTGAGCGGAGAAGCCAAACAGAGATTGGCGTTCCATCTTCGTACAATTGAAATCCAACGAATCCATTAATCAATAAACAGACAGTGAGCGCAGATGTGAGGCCATTTTGTATGGCTGAAAAGTATGGGTATGGACCAGTTCCAGGTGGTATGACGCCAGAGTCAAGGAGCAAAGTAATGAATGTGAGAAGCATGTATATGTAGAAGAAAGTTATAATTTCCTTTCGGCCTGTACCATGTTGTATTAGTCTCAATTATCCAACTTGATCTTCATCTCGAGATACTCTCCGGACTGACATACCGACAGCAGTAAATTTACTCTTCACATGCAATATCATGATAACCGTCATGATTAGGGCGAGGATATGCACAAAGCTTGCTGCGGCTTGAAATATAATCGTGTTGGCCAATTCGATATTGCGCGAATAGCACGTTGCCTCAATACCATGGCTTCCCGCAATCGTTGATATCGCCCCTACTTCTGCACATAATGGAACCGCCGCCTGTTCGCAGATCGAGTAAAAATCTCCAAACCCCATCTTAGCTTGTATTGTTGTTGTTCGATGATATTAGAGAGAATTTGAGGAGGTTGGAAGTTGAATGTTGTGGGAGCGTGAGGAATGCCCTCGGAGCGATGGAATGGATACGGCTTTCGTAAAACTGCAGCGAGTGAATGTGTTTGAGCAATAAGAAAACTAGCGATCGTAATTGTGTAGGTCTACGTTATACTATCGATAAGTTGATGAATTGCAAAGACTGTGAATTTTTGAATGATGGCGAGTCGTTGCGACCAAGGGGAAGGAGAATGCACCAATAGCATTGGGAGAATCTCGTATGTCCCTGGCAACTAAATCTCGTTGGCGGCGAAACCAATTCTCGACCGAAGACCAAAAATAGAAACTTAGTGCCTTAGGCATAAATGTCTCTTGGCACGTAGTCACATAGTAATCAATCACGTGAAAAGCATCAAGTTTATAGAAAAAGTTAAGTCTGACAAGTGATTTTGATCATGATCACTCTGGAACAACTTTAATAAGGGATACAAATTAATGTAAAATTTTAACGACATTACAAGCAATGAAACCTACCCTGGTTTCACTTCAAGTAATACACTCATAACGACAAGTCACATGTTACAACCCAGTGAGATACAAATTCCCTGTGGGCTTAATATGATTAATGAGGATGATTTAGAGTCAAGTTTAAACACGGTGGTGTGTGTGATCCATCCTACTCCGTATCGACATGTCGGTATGCGGCAATCTTAACCGCAATATCTTAGCCACAAGAATAATGTTGATTTCGGTTTTCGGGATCATTTGTACAACGGGCGGTACGGGGCGTGTGTTGTTTGACATACAACAGACTTTTGGCTGGGCGGATGTTCCCTCTGCAACCTCCCCATATCAGACAAAACATATACGAGACTAGTAGTTGATGAAAGTTGGCCTTCCTTCCACAGAGTACCTGAGTTGCAATCGATGAGACTTGCTGGGCACGCGCATATTTGATGACTCTTGATGATGTGTTCATAGTGACGGTAAGACCTCTAGTCTTTCATTCATTTAGAACATCGGCCAGATCGCTGAACGCGAGTTTGAGTGTCGGGAGGTGGGAGGTGGGAAATTATCACTTGAAAATCCATCCCATGAGGCGAAGCAACCCGGATAAGATGGGAGAAATATTGTAATGTAATATATGTGTGGGACATGGTTCCTCAATCAAATGATCCAAGAGCGTTGGCGTCGATGGTTGGTAGACATGTGTTATATCAAATTCAGATTGCTGATGAATTGCTGATGAGGGATCCAGTTTTCAACCTGGAGATGTTACCTGATGTTGGATGTGCGGCCTTTTGCATTGATTAGATGCAATAGCGACAGGGGGAATTATTTGCACCGGAGGACATGCTGAACCTACCGAGCAGGCTTGTGTTCCTTCCTTCCCGAGTCTCCTTTGAGATCAGCCAACTTTTAAGGACAGCTTGTCTGCAGATGACCGGTGAGTTGGGTTATAATCTCTGAAAGCCTAGGTAGGTTTCAACAGTAGAACGAGATGGGAGAGGAAATATCTAGTTCACCGTGTTGTTCGGTCTGGGGGCTTAAAAGAGCAGCATGACAGGTAATTGTGGTGTAACACTGTGGAAGAAAGTTGGATGACTATTGATGGGTAGCCAAAGAGCGAGCACAGCCGGTAAAGAACACGAATGACTTGTCGCTTTTTCTTGTTGCTAAGAATTATAAACACCACGGGCAAGCATGTCTGCATGCGACGTCGAACAAGCTGACCGAGCAGATCGCCCATTTCTGCGATATTGTATCTTTGCAATATTACGTGGGTATGATACTATAGTATAGCCACAGGATGCTTACGATATTGATATGAGTGGTTGGCAACTCAGAAGTCTCAGAATTGCGAGATTCATCAATGTCGTGGAATTTTGCCGGATAGCTTAGTGCATGATGTCCGAGTCCAAAAATCTTGACGGCGTTCCTCAGCCTGGTCTAGCATTATCGATACCGCATTCGAAACGATTCCATGTTGGAAATGGTGAGCATCCTATCGATCCCATTGGTAGTACCCGCACCCAAGAAAGTACGGTTATAATGATTCTCTTGAGGATGCCGAGGAGCTTTCACGATAGTGTAGGATTGAAAAGGGGGCAACATCCGTAACCATCGCATCCAAAGTCTTGATATAAGGGGGTGCTACCTACCCATACCATACAGAATACAGAACAACGATACTGCACCAAACAAAGCTGTAGACCGAGCTGTAGAGACCGAGCGTACTTGTGTAGACCTGCATTGCGGTGTGCCAATAATCATTCCAATAGGTAGCCAGTTATCAGTCGATCGATAGTTGTTCCAGGACATGCAAGATAGATTGAATGATCATTCATGGCCATATCAGGTTTGCGTATTGGTTTCCGTTTGCTTCATGTTTCGTCCACTTTCCTTTTCCCACTTTCAAGCTGAACGAAAGAAGGCGAAGCTTATCACACAGAAAAGTTGGTATGATCCCAGACAAGTATTCAAAATTTGGAGATGCGAGATGCCAATCCCACTCTCCCCACGCTAAAATCAGAAGGAGAAAAAAAAACGAACGGTCTACGGGCGCTTGTGGCCATTCATCTGCAGTAAGCCATCCATAAAGTAAAAAAGACCACATCAAAATTGATAGCGGCAAGGTATTTTTCCTAGTCCTTTCGTATGGAGTATGCAAAGATTTATTGCAATCTGTCTTATTCCGGAAGATCTGGTAATTTTCTTATCCAATTGCCAATTGGAACTTGGGGAGATGACGAATTGTTCTCGTATACAGTTCTAGGTGTAAGAAGTCAAATTGCAATATTAGAACTCTGGATGGAAAATTGAGGATTCGCCTGTGATGAGAATATCAGGATAATGGAGATCCTTGATAGCTATTTTGAAATCATTACTACAACATATTCTGCCGTTGCCCCAAGAGCCCTCCCCACCAGAATTAGATGTCACTAATACGAGAACTTTTCATAGTTCCAAGATACGAACCTTGGAATAAAGTTAGCTCTAATTGATACATAGATGATTTTGGTTACGGTATATCCTATCTAGAAGCAGGGAGGAGGTGGTCTCATTATACATTGCTCACTCTATTCAGAATCAGAATCAGAATCAGACAAGAAAGCGTCACGCTTCTAAATCTCTGTACTCGAGTAAGCCTAAAGGATCATAGATCCATGCCCCAAGTCATGTCATTCCTTTAAAATCCTCCCCCTCCTTTCCGAACATAGAATAAACTCAATAGAGGCGAGGCGGTGAAAGTAATAACCCTCTAATATGCATTTACTAAGAGAAGTTATAGTATAGAGCGTATCTACCAAACAAGGGTAGTCTTGAAAGGCTGTGCCGCAGCCGGGTCCGGGAAAAGTCGACAAAAGGTTGAGTTGTGCTCAAGATATCAAGGGTCTCATTCGATATTACTGGATGCATCCTCTGAGCCTTCTGAGCTTCTGAGCTACCTCTCCCCACCACCTAAAGAAAGGCTTGAGGGGTCGCATGAGCTGTAACACGAACTGGGTGGAGCATATTGGACCGCGGTTGACGATCAAATCATAAATTCAATTTACGCCACAGTTAACTTCGTACAGCGTGTGTTCCGAGAAAGAGAAAGAAAAACGGCACGCGCGGACATGTGCCTCTGAAGAGCAACAAGGACAAGTCGGAATAATTTGCAAAACGAGCACTTACAGGCAAGCAAGATGAGGCGGCAACAGGCTACGGAGAAACAGGACGATTGTTAGCCAAATGGAAACATGCGTCATCCTCGGTCCTCCAACCCAACCTACCTTCCAAGGAATTTCTCTAGGTGAAAGGAATCCAAAAGAGATCACCAACAACACAGACACACTCATTTTTTCATCGCAGCTACCTACTGTATTTCCGCCCCCGTTCTGCGTCCACACACAACTGCACAGAGCAGGGCCGACCGGCAAACAAGGAAGTAGTTGGACACAATACAGTGGCAGCGGGACAAAATCCGTTTATGCCTTCCGGCTTTGCCAAACAAAACCAAACCCTATCCAATATTATCGAAACTCAACCTGTAACAATATATTCAATACACATCCTACAGCGTATTATTTATTTATTCATATACTATATCCTTCTCAATTATCCGCATATAGTATATATAGTACGAAGTATAAAGATAAATAAGTCGATTTTTGAAATTTATTTAAATATTTTAATTGATTACTACTAGTAGTATAATAAATCAACTAAATAGTTTAAAAGTATATAAAATATTAAATATAAATTATTTGAAAACTTAATATTTATTACTATAATTACTTAACTTAATAAGTTATAAATCAATCTAAATTTATATTCTCTTTTATATAATTCTATTTATATGCGCGTTATAAATATAAACCACGATTTCTTTTTCGCGATTTGCGACTCGCGAGTCGCGTGTAAAGTTAAAGTGGAAAAAAAGCGGATTTGAGATAATTTGCCAAGATTCCCTTGATAATGATGATGCACTTATCAATTTCAGAATCTAGAACCCCTCAATACGACACCGAGCATTCCTTTGATCTTCAGGGATATATATACATATGTGAACTTAGATATTACCATTGGCCGTTTTCTCTTTCCCTTGCTATATGTACACTGTTACTGTTACATAGTGTATCTCCTCACTTTGATGATATCATATTAGAGATCTACCGATAGCAGCACCGCCCAGCGGCTAAGTATAAAAGGAGCCTAGAACTTAGATAGACCCTACCCTGTTGCTTTCGCTATATGGTCTTTCTTGTACTGGGATAGGTTGTTGTAATGTAATTCGATAATCATACCCTAAAGACCCTAAAGACCCTAAAAGGCTTAACCAGAATGGATTGTAGATATTTTTGATAATTAGACCCAAACCCAAGCCTTCATTCTCCGCTAGAAAGGAATAAACGTTCTTTCAGAAAAAAAGATCATCCATCAAATTCATAGAGACACGTAGTTTTGCCTTGTACAGCAACTTGTAAGATTCCAGAATCAGAAACCACCAAGGTGCCAATATATACCAAGAGGGCGTCCGTATAGAAGTAGACGGAGTACATTACATTATTAGCCAATGCCCAGCTGACGCATCGGAAGACATGGATCAACATAAAGAGCGTAAGTGGCAAGTGGCAGCGAGCGCAGTTTTAGTCTAGTCTCCCATAATCACGGGTCAAACTTGGGAAAATATGCCGATGGATGAATGGATGGATGGATGGATTGGATGATCAAAGTAAAAGTCTCATCTTCATCTCCAAAGTTATTTCACACAGCCCACCCAGCTTGACTGATACAACCAACACACAGAAGAAGTCAGGCCATAGCTAGCTAATAAGTGGCCCCTGTCGGAGGGTACTTGCGGATCGTGTTTGATATGTTGTTGACTCAGTGATGGGTAGGAATTTGCTTATGCTACCTACTACCTACTTCAGCGGAGCGAGCATGCATGCTTTGCAAAATTATGTTATGTAGATGAGAGTTTCCATACCGATAGGTATATCATTTGGGTAGGTGAATGAAGCAAAAGAAGATTGTTACAAAAAGGAGAGTACTGTATGAAAAGAAGCAGTGAAACATAGAAATCTGCAGCTTGGAAGCCGGAAATGAACCTTCTCTCAAATTGATTTGAATTTGGGATCCCGAGCGTCGTTGTCAGTTGTTGCAAGTTGCAGTGTGATTGCTTAGAAGGGGGCTTTGCTTTGAGAAAACCGAACGGGGCGCTTCTCTTATTCGGTCACTAAAGTACCTACCTAGAGGAAAGGAATCCTGATTATCCTAGAAACATTTCATCTCCTTCCATTCTTGCCGTTGTTGTGTTGTGGTAGGTTTGATGGAATCTAAATGAATATCAATAATAGCACACTGCTGACAAACTAGTACATTACATTCATTCTCAATACTGTTCTCCTCACTTCCACTAGTACTTTGATGATTATGATGATCTTTTTCATCCTTCCACCCCTCCCCCACTTCCTGACACCATGTCTATCTTCATACCTCCCTTCCCTTACATTGATTACTGTACAGTACACAAGTCTCAACTTTGACAACCAATCATCATGAAGCAATCGCAACACCACGAATGATAAGTCAATGCTGTCTGCATTACGTAGTACTCTTACGCCGCCGCCGGGCTCCCTCTTGTGATTCAATGGGGTGCTTTGGGCCAATACTTATATGTGAATGATCAAAGCCTTGTCAATTGCAGTACTAGGAGAGACCCGGCGCTTCAGAATTTCGTATACAGGACATCCATCCAAATGTAATAAGTCCAAGCCCATGACATGTAGGCATCGATAATCCTAGTTGAGAAGGTTTCTATAGGAACGAATACCGGTACAGTACATGGTGTTTTTTCTTTTTCTTCGGCCTCTGCCTTGAAAATTAATAAGAATCCAAGTGACTCCAAGGGCTTGATGAAAATTCCCAAGACCGAATTAGGTAAGATTAGACTAGACCAGCTAATTTTTCTGTGTGCATTGCCAAACGGAGTTGGTGAAATGCAACCATTTCCACCGTTCCACTCGCTGCGCTCCACCCACCATTCAGAGAATTTACACTAGATAGGCCATTACAGCGAAAGTGGTGCTGCAAATATCCCCCGCTCCCTGTCATGCTGCCCAGTAAGTGTTCCTCTTTTCAAAACATCAGTGTTATGTGCAATATATAAAATATCAAATGGATATTTAAGTAAATGAGGAACTTTTACGAAATTGTTCATCAATCTATATCGGAGACTTCTCCCAATAAGGACACGGTTCAAAAGGATACAATTACCGATAGAGTAGTAATATATCATATTCTAATTGATTTCATAGGTCAAGTTATCTATTTGCTAAATAGAAATGTAATAAACTAATCCATTTTAGTCAAAAAAAAAGCCACATTTTTCAAACACGAATAGAACATTCGGGCGAGTCTGGACCCGATCAGTTTATATAATAATAATACGGGTTGCGATTTACGACAGCCAATCAAACAATTCTACTCAATTAGTCAGAAAGGCAAATCATAATGTGATGTAAAAGAAGATACATATTCAGATAAAATGATTTTATATTTTTATATTTATTCCATATTCACCTCAATTTCACTTCATTCCACAAACAAACACAGATATGAATGGCTTGACATCTAAATTATATCACATACTGTACCATTCCAGTGATTCTATGGTCCTTTTCCTTTACATCCCTCCCTACATTAGAATCCCCGAAAAATCCCCCAATCATTCATCACTCAATAAATACCCTGGCTAAACCAAACAAGCCCCTTTGCATATCTAATAGCCGAATTTGGAATCTCTTGTGGAAAAAAAAAAAAAAAAGGATCCTTTCTTGCATCTTTCCTTCTTCAAAAGTTCAAACCGATTGATTCATCTATCCCGGTCATACACCAACCTATTCACCACTACTCTCTCCTTGTACCTGGCCTTCTTTGCCTTGTAATAAGTTGTCACATCAAGTGAATATGCTTTCAATCAGCCTCCACTTTCTTCTAGTACCATACAGGTAGTTACAATTTCATATTTCTCATTTTTCATAACCCTTTGTCTTTCGTACCATAACAGACAAGACCATTTCCCATTTTACATTTCCCATACCAATATAGATAGATATGATACTATTACCATTGCATATCGTATCTAATACAGATTCAACCCTTGTTGATTCTTCTTTTACTTCTCCATATTCGGTCGGTATTGTACCTAGGTATTGTTCCGATATTTCACATTCGTTCCTTCTTTCATATCCTCTGTCTCTTAATCCAACGTCCCCAATTTTATATCCATACATATTTCTTTCCTATTCACACTATCAAAATTCTCAAATTCCAATAACTCACTCATATACCTCACTCCTTCTCTTAATCTTCCTGGCTTGAGATTTGTCTTTCAAATCCCAAACTCAATATTGTATTTCTTGTCTTTTGCTACTCTTAAAGTTTGTTTTCCGATTCATTTAGGAAAGCTTTTTTCTTCCTTAATAGTAACCAACTCCTTCCTTGTTGAGCTACGCAACCTCTACTCTCATTTACGCTACACACCCAACGGCTCAGAAACCCCCTCCTAACTATCCTCTCGACCCCTTTCGATCGTCCACCCCGCCCCAACGAACAGATTAGCCGGACTTTCTATGACTCTCGAATAGCCCAACTTCAAGTTTGATAGATCGTCTTGATCAACTTCATCGTCGATAGCTGCAAGGCGAGCTATAGAAGCTTAGAGCTTCGTCAAACGCTTGAGCACAATTGGCTGTGGACAGCAATACTTGAGTTGCACACCTTCCACCGAGATTTCCCATACACATTACTTTCACCATTCGAAAAGTAAACCACACTCCTTCGAGCAACAACGCACATGTCATCTCCTCAATGCATCAGACTTTAGTTAGACCGGCTCCGTTCAGTTTTCTTTTACCTCCCACGCCACAGACTCCCTTTGGTACCGACCGCCGGAAAGACGTTGGATACCTCCCCACACTCCCACAAATTAATCAGTCGGGATATTTAGAAGCCCCCGTCAGAGTTGGGCTTCGAACACCACCTGAAGACGACATGCACGCAACATATCCAGCGCCCAGATACCAAAACTACAAAAGTCGGCAGGAGGAAACCTATCCAGGAATGACCAATGTTAGTAAGACAAGTGATCATGATGGCCCACCCACACAACAATCACCCAGACTTCCAGCACGTAAATTAAGCGAAACTACAGAGCCCCCTCAGTCAAGGGTTCCTTATAGTTGGATACCAGTAGAAGGTCATGATACAACCAACTCGTTTCAACCTGTTGTCCCGACTTCTCTAGAGTCTGAATCTACTCGGAAGCCACAAGCAAAAAGACCATCAAATACAGACACTATTCATCCCAGACTACAGATACCAAAATCAATAAATCACAGCGGTGGAAGTTTGGCTGAATTTGCTGCCCAGGTAAGTTTCACTTTCAATAATACTGGAATCATGGTCTAGATCTAACTTAATTAGATTACTTGTTTATTTTGGTTTGAATCTACCAGTACCTTGAAGAGGGCGGAAGTTGCGTGGTCGGGATCAACGACAATAGAAAGACTTCGACCAGAAGCCTTCCCATCTGTCGGATTTACAAAATGGGTTGTTACAATTCTCATGACTACGCAGGTCTCGCAAAATGTGATATTATTGGCACTACTTTTCATTTACCGGTTAAAGTCCATCAACCCAGCAGTGAAAGGACGAAGCGGAAGTGAATACAGGCTCTTGACTGTGGCGTTGATGCTGGGTAACAAATGTGAGTGTAATGAATAAATAGAGTATAGGAATAATTACTGACGGTACAATAGTCCTCGATGACAACACGTACACAAACAAGACGTGGGCCGAGGTTTCGGGAATTTCTGTTAATGAAATCCATATAATGGAAGTCGAGTTTTTGAGCAATATGCGGTACAGTCTACTCGCGTCCGAGGATGAGTGGAAAGAATGGCAACAGAAGCTTGGAAAATTTGGATGCTTTTGTGATCGTGCAACAAAATTGTCACCCCCACTCCTATACCAGCCGACCCTCCCCTCGCCTCCTGAATCGATGGAAGCCTCACCTCCCACTCAAATGAGTTCATACGCATCTGCAGATGCACCGTATGTTTTCATTCCACGGTGGTCTGCTAGTAACAATGCCGATCAATTGATGTCGCCACTCACTACTCTTTCGCCTGCCTCAGACCACGACTACCGCCCGTATGCAAGAAAGAGAAGCTTCTCGGAAGATGTTGAAGAACCGGTGGCAAAGCGTGTGTCTAGGTCAACTACCTCGGCACCCAGTGATCCTGGGAATTTTAACATGGCTGCTAGACCTCGTTTACCACCGGTACACGACTTGACGATTTCGACAAGCCAAGCCGCAATGAATGGGTACAATGGTCTCACGAGCTTTTCCCAAAATGCGCCACTTTTGCCTCCTTTGAACGCTGGTCGAGCCATGTCCACAGTCTACCCAACTACTCCAATTTACCCACCACTTATTTCAACTGGATCACAATCTGGTGGACCACAAGTCCCTCATTATCAACACAGCAACCAAAGCTTTGGCACCCCGTCTCGCCAACGTAGTCCTTATCCAGCTGTCCAGGAATTACTTGCAGCAGTCCCTTCCCCGCTCAATGCTTCTTTCCCAGGCAGCTCGGGCCATATTTCGCCGTCTGTTTTCTACCAACAGCGGAACTCGCCATATGAACCTATTCGCGGCGTGAACACCCTCCTCTATCCACCGCCATCTGCCTCGATGCACGATTATGCCGTCAACACAAATCAAATACATTATCAACCATTGGGCAAGAGACATGATTATCGATCCGGTGTTGTACCTGGATACGGATTTCCACCATTGACTCCATGGCCTGTACTACCTCAACCCAATTTTCACAGGGTATAGAACTCACTATTAATGGCAAATGCCACATGGTGGCAATGATCATTTCTCATTATCAATTTTTTTTCAAATACAAAAAGAAAGTCGAATTACATCCTGACAGCAAAAGAAAAGGAATTCGCATCATAGGAGCATTTTAGCAAAGGCGTTTTGTTTTTCCATATTTTGGGGGTCGGCGAGGCTTCTGTGCGTTCTTTAGTTAGCAGGGGTTATACCATTTATTTGCATGCGTCAAGACAGGTGTTTCGGGAGTCCTTCAGATAGAGGGAACTTGTGTATTTTTTAGTTTGTTATGGTTCTACTCATCCTCGCTTCATAGGGAGAATATTGCTGGCTGGGAAAACATCTTCATGAAGAGATAGATGTGGATGGAAAGATGATGTTCTGAGAACAGAATTTGGAACGGGGCTTATGATTCGTACAAGAAAAAGTATTCCATTGGGGGGTGAAAAGGAATGGTATGAGAAAACATTGCCAAGCAAGAAAAATTACATTGGAAGAGGTATCTGGGGGGATACTTAGTAGCTTTAGCTTGACTGGGACTGGAACTGGTCTTGAGTCTTAAGGTTTTAATACTGGTAGCTTACTTTGATGCATGGAACGGGTTTGAGGCACGGAACGTGTTCGTTGCCTTGCTGGTCTGCTCTTGGTGTGGGTTTTCTTGCCCCCTTTTTTCTTCTCTTCCTTGGTTGTGTTGGGGTAGAGGAAGAGGAAGAGAAGGAGAAAGGAGCATAGAAAAGAAAACTCTAAAAGAATAAAAATTATTGATACCCCCAGTATATACTTTTCCCATTGCTTGTGATTTATATATGTTTGAATTTTGAAGTGTGTGGATAGGATATCAGATGTCACATATGTCCCTATCGAATGAAATGATCACGTGAGCTGCATGTCGTAATCGCTTTTCCCTATTCAATTTAGGGCTTACGGATACTGCATCGGCGATTCAGCGTGCTATTGGCAGTGTAGCACTTGTTCCAATCAATACTCAACCAACTTCAGGAAGCGCCCTCAATCTGTTCATCACATCCATCATCAAGTTTTATATGTGTCCTGAGAAGGATGAGGCTGAAGGAAGGAGTTGAGAGAAATAATTCAAAAGGACACCAACTAACTCATTTAGGTCCAATCCGTCCAAGGAGGGTGGAGCTGACGGGTATTTTGGTTTTGTATTTTGACGTACAATGATGAGTCTAAATGAGCAAGTGTCCAAATAGAGTGTGATGGTGCGCTTGCCCTTGGCTGCATGGCATGATTGGATTCGCGCCGCTCACATTCGATTCGTTCATTTTCGATTCGCTCACAATTCGCTGGCTGCGCTCATTGTCATTCATGCAAGCTTACATTCCTTCCTTCGGAAAGAAAAAGAAAAAATGGTGTCCGGTGCTGATTCTTCCTCTGAATTATTACCTACTTTGTTTACTCTCTATCTGTAAGGAAGTGAGTAATTACCAAAGCGAAGCCTTTTTGGTGGATTTTCCCATTCCCGTCGATATCGCAACGATACAATCAACCAATTTATGAAGAGCAAAATGTCCAAGCCAAGCGATCTACTGCCGCCTTCTAGAAATCATCTCTGGGGTCCAGAACGTCGTCGTCTTTCTTCTCTCCTGATTCAGAAAACTCTCGATGCGCTGCCGGGTTCGCGTTCGTTGGATGATCATGTTCATGATAAGGTGCAAAGTAGAGCGTATAGGGCGGTGAAGAGACCGTATGGGGAGAATGCGTTTACGGGGAAGGTGAGTAGGTCGTATGTGCCGGAGGCGAAGGTTAGTGAGAGGAGGGGGAGGAGGGAGGGGAAGGAGGGGAAGGAGAGGCCGTTGACGCCGAGGGGAGAGGGGTATGGGTTGGGGGTTTTTGGGATGGGGTTTGAGGTTCAGGATGAAGGAATAGGGAAGGGGAAGGGGGCGGTGGTGGAGAGGAAGTTTTTTCAGCAGGGAGGAAGTAGCTTTTTTGCAATGTTGCCGAAGGAGGTAAGGGTCATGATTTATGAGTGGGTGCTTGGAGGGAGGCTATTGCATATTGTGAGAAGGGGGGAAATGTTGGGCCATGTAGCTTGTAAATGCGATGGAAATTCGGAGATGGCGGGGATCATCAGGGAAGAGGATGCGTGTGTAGCGGCAGAGTGTAGGGGAGTGAAGATTCTTGGGGGAAGTGGAGTTCATGAGAGGGTTGGGGAGGCCAGCGGAGGCTTCATTCCTTTGTTGCGGGTTTGTAGGCGCATGTATGTTTATCTCTCTTGTGTTTACTGTATTGTATTTCTCGATATTCTTTCTTTTACTTGAATCATTTCGCTTGATTCTGTTAATAGTGGAGACTGAAATTGATGGGAAGAAAGACTATAACTAATAGATAAAATCAGATATTCCGAAGCAATTCCTATCCTCTACTCGAGCAATACGTTTAATTTCGACAGTATGGAATGTTTTATCTCTTTTAGTAATGAGATTATTCCTCATCGCTTCGATGCTATTCAATCTCTTACTCTCTCGTTCGCTTTTGATACTTCTGCTCGTAAGTACAAAATGTTCATTAATTTCACATATCATCTATTTCTCTCACCCCCCCAAACCCAAATACTCACCAACCCCTCACTCACTCTAGTCTACAACGAATCCTCCAGCAACAACGTTCCCCGCTGGGAACGCACATGGATGATAATCGGGTCCATGAAATCGCTGCAGAAACTCCAAGCGACGATTATCTGGCCGCGCATAATACCAGCTTGGAGCCATGAAATGAGATTACTAGAGCCCCTGAAGATGGCGGGGGGTTTGGGTAAGGAGGCTTTTGAAGTTAGGTTGAGGGAGTTGACGAGGGAGGCGAGGGGGAGGGGGAAGGCGAAGGCTTATGAGGTGGGGAGGGCGTTTAAGGTGGGGAAGGCGAGGGTCGTGCCGGGGGCGGGTCTGGATGAGGAGACGGAGGAGGATTTGCCGTTTAGGGTTGTTAGGGTGGGGGTGTGAAGGAGGAGACGGAAATGGATATACCGTTTTAAGGTTGTTAGGATGAGGTTATGAATGAGGAGATGGAGGTGGAGGAGGGTTTGTCGTTTATGGTTGTTAGGATGAGGTTGTGAACGGTGGTTGGAGGAAGAACGATGGATCAGCTATATCTTTAAAGGCTTGGCCGAGGGGTGTATTCAAAGTCTAACCCTTGAATTGGAGGTGAATAAAAGGAGGGTGGTAAGATGGGCACAACGTACGTGTAGGACAAGTCGTTTATGGAGACTAAATGAAGATTCACTACCTTGCGATGAGATACATAAATGGATTTCCTGGTGCCGTTCGGAAAACAAAAGATGTTTGGGTTGAGGGCGGAAGTTTTGCCGCAATCATGTTTGGGTTGGTTGTGGGTTGATTTAAAGTAAGAAATACCATGGTAGAGGTATAATATCGATGATGGGATGGATGATGGCTGCGGTATTGGTGATATGGTGATATGGGACTTGAGTTCATGTCAACAATCCTTGGGGCTTTATTTTTTTACTTGCAGATGGTTGTGAACTTTGGTGTTAATCTTTTATGCATACGGGTTATCGTTTTGAGAGAGCTTCGAAGGAGGCAATGGATGGGATATATTAAGACATCGCATGATGAAAGTTCAAGGAATCGAAGTTCATCGAAATTAGAGTCGGTACCTCGGAGATTTTTGTCTGGATTATCTCGATCTCGAATTCACTTTACTTTGATTCAATCTTAAAATTCAGCTTTGCCAATAGGAACATCAGATGAAGCGGGTGGTAAGTTTTGGAATGGCGCTACAGCAGTAGAGATTTTCGAGGCAATTCCCATTCCCACACATATTATATATTGTGTCGATAACCCTTCCACAACCACCTTTTTCCTAAACACCTTACAACATAAAACTTCAAGATCGATTGATTACAAAAGTTTGGAATTTGGGTTTTTTTTTATCAAGCTGGTTCCTTCTTATTTCAATTGAGTACTCTCCTTATTCCTCCCATCTCAAGCGCATTTGCAATCTCCAATAATTGCTGAGGTGCTCCTTCCCAAAAACAAAGAAAAATAACAACAACAACAACCACACTTTCCAGTGGCTTTCGCTACTTTTTCAAGTCGACCTTTCCCTCATCTGATTTTATCTTTCCTTCCATCATGGATCAGATCAACAAAGTCAAGCCCACAATGGAGAACTCAAATCCATTCCATTGGGAGATGCAACTTCTCGCTCAAGAATTCAATGAGCGCGAAGCACGTCAGGTCGCCAGCAACCGTAGTCACTTGGCCGATCAAGCAAGTTTACGAGAACACAATCACAACGTCGCACAGTTGGAAAATCGAAAGCGTCATCAGTTGGCGATCCTAGACGAAGAACAAGAATCGGAGATCGATGTCATCAACAAGAAATATGTTCAAAAGTTTCGAGAACTCGAGGCCGATTACATCAACAAGAGAGATGATCTTGAAGGAGAATTGTTCAAGAAAGTCGGCAGATCTTACAAGAAACTTCAAAAACTACATATCAAGAATTTGTCACAGAGTCAAGAGTTCGAAAGAAAAGCCAACGATATCTTGAAGAGAATGGCGAGTAGCTTAAAAGAAGAAAATACTATTTGCGTCCTGGAATCGGTTCGGAAGGTTCCCGTTGCTGCAGTCGCTGCAGTTAAGACTCCACCTGTCAGTTCTGCTAGTGTATCGACGACGCCTGTAAGTGAAGCTGAGACGATCATTCTAAACCAATATCTTGAGGCTAGCCCTAGTGAAATTCAGCCACTCCTCAAGGGTGAACCATATTTTGAGTTCAGAGATACCCCCCCCTACGCGCCAGACGCATTATCAGCTCCAACTCCTCCAGCTCCACATCTTGTGCTCAGTTCATCTCCGGAAAATCACTCGGTCAAGCGTCAAAAGACTAATGGCCAATCACATAAATCAGCCAAGAACAACCCGAATTCTTCATTGATCGGTGCGTCTGAAGCTCAAGACTCTTTGGATATGCATAGTTCAATGCAATCATTCAGTATGGACTCGGGAGAGACTTTTGTTTCTCATGCTAAGTCTAGGTTCTTGTCTACAAAGACTTCGGATCGAGATCTCACCGGAACACAAGCTATTGCACAATACCACAATCTCAATCAAAGAACAGAGTATGTTTCAGCTCCATCTTTGAACTCTCAAGACCGTAGAACAGCCAACGGTGAGAGTGAAAAGTTTCTAAATAATGGTTCTATGTCTCCACCTTTAATTTCTAGGGTTCGACCAGCTCATTTACAAGAACCTTTGGACAGTGATCTCATGTCCGGTGGCAACCACCCAGACTTCCCACCTGCCTTTGCTCAAGTCGCAACTCGGGGCCACGCATCGTTGCAAACCACTAGACCTCTCAAGAGAGCCCCAATGAAATCGTTTTCCAAGGATGTATTTACCGACGATACCTCCGATATAGAGGAAGATTGTCAAGGTTCCGATTTCAACGGCCGAAAAGCTACACTGTCGAAGCGAAAGGCCTCCGATATCAACATGGACGGTCCATTTGAGGAACTCCCAATCGAGAAAACCGAGACCCCGACTCAAATTCAGCCAGAGCGTGGAGGAAGCTCTAGGGCTCAAAGACCACGCCGAAGATTAACCAACCCTCCAAGACTTAGCAATGCAAATTCAACTCAACAAGTGACCATTGCTCCAAAACCTAGAAATACAGAGCCAATCCGAAGAGTAAATAGTTATCCCAGACCTAGTAGCGCAGAACCAACTCGACAAGTTCCCAGTACCTACAGACCTAGCATTGCAGAGTCTCAGCTATCCATCGTTTTCTTTTCCATTGATTTCATGTCTTACGATCCCGGATCTCCTGCTAAATGCTACCCTGTGAGCTGGTCTGGAATGAAAGGTAGTCATAACTATAGGCTACAAGTGATGCACTTGAAGAAGAGAATACTGCATCCCTACGATGGCGCTGAAGACAAATCCTCCCAGTATCCTAAGTTGAGGATTGATGGTTCATGGGTCCTCGGCGGCTTCTATCATAAAGAGATGAACAATCACAGACTTGAAATTTATAGGCCGAGATCGAAGAGTGAATATAGGGCGGAGGATGAGGAAGATATCAACCCTGCCAACATCCAGAGCGCGAGGATAAGAATCAAGTTTACCAGTGGAGTAGAACTGGAACGTTTTCTAGAGTGGTACAGAGGCATGCATCCAGGTGCTGAAATGCGTCCCAAGTAAGTCCCTCATATCTATAGATCCTTCCTCGATCGTTGAAAAGCAAGCTAATCAAAATTCTAGTGACCTCCTTGGCACTTTCAGACAATTCTTTCAGGCGAGTAGTGCCTCAGACCCGACATTGAGAAGAGGTGAGCATTTCTCCTTTTAAATAGATCCCAAAGGCATGGTACAACAGGCTAACCAAACACCCGCAGAGATCGAGAACAGAGCACAGCGAGGCGCACTCATGACCCCCGTCTAATCACATCACGTCAGACGGCTCACCTCGTCAACGATATGAAGAAGATACCGAAAATGAACCACCAAAAAAAATAACAACTGTAAGAATATATTGAGGCGAATGTCTGACTAGCATAGTACCTACCCTCTTGAGATAATTTTACCTTGGTTTAACATCAAGCGGGAGCGCACACCATCCACGAACGAAAGATGTTTTAACGATTACCTGATACCTACGAATGACGAATGTTAAGAATTTACGATATATGAGTATGGAAAATAACATTTGAGAGGCTCAGCGGAGCACTTTGTAGTATCATTTGAGAGGAATGGCACAATGACGGAATCTGTTTCTGATATTTATCAAAATATTAGAGACAATTTTCGTTCGAGAGAAGCAGAGGTATGGATGCTATGCTGATGTGGAGGGATATGTAAGTGTATATTGCACTAGCAAAGAGTGTTGGTTGCTATTTCAGAAAAGAAAGGTTTGGGCTAAATTGATGAGGAAGGAGTTGCTGATAAAGGAGGCCAGGAAACGTGAAGAAGAAGAAAAAAACAATGAAGAAATATGGAGAAAACGAAGAGAAAAAAATGTCAAAGTAGAAGTAAAAAAACCCTTTTTCTTTTGTACTCCTGCTCTTTGGCTTGTACTTGTTGCAAAGTCTATCAATGTGATAATGACTCTTCACTCTTGATTCGGGATGGGTATATGTGAATTGCCAGATTTATATGTCCACATGTAGTCTCTTCACTTATGGATATCGGACGGGTGTGGAATTTCCTTGGGGTTTTATCACAATGGGACAGTTTGTGACTAGTGCCACAAAGATTGACCAATGATGTAGACCAATAATCAGGGTTTAGACTTGTATTTGAAGCGAACCCCTTTCATTTAATTTTATTACATTTCATTTCAGACCCCTCTTGAGACCCCACCTATGTCACACCTCACTCACACCTCACACCTCACACCTCACAACTTACAACTTACAAAAAACACTACCAATCTCTCCACTTCCATTCTGCACCAAAGTACTCCTCTCCCTGACCCAAGCATTCAACCCCCTCCTCCCATTCTCCACACCCACTCCACTCATCTTCCAACCCCCTACACTCATCTCTGCGGGGCTCTCTCCCCACGTATTAATCCATGTGATGCCGGCCTCTATCTGACCGATGACTTCATGACATTCATTGATATTTTTACCAAATACACCAGCTGCCAAGCCCAACTTCGTATCGTTGGCGCGACGGATAACTTCTTCGGTGGTGGAATAGGTGAGGATGCAGAGCACGGGGCCGAAGATTTCTTCGCGCGTGATGAGCATGTTGTCGGTGCAGTCTGTGAAGACGGTAGGGCGAACCCAGAAGCCGGATTCGTGACCGCTGGGGATGTTGGTGGGCTTTTCGGGACCGCCAAAGAGGAGTTTCGCTTTGTCGGTTTTGATTCCGTGATGGATGTAATTGAGAACCTTTTTGTAATGCATTTCTGAGACGAGGGGACCAAAATTACTGTTGGGGTCCATAGGCTCCAACGCTCTAATGTATTCCATCTTTTCGAGAAGACGTTTCTCGAATGCTGATTTCATACTCTCGTGCACGAAGACTCGGGTCCCGTTTGTGCAGACTTGGCCGGTGGAGTAGAAGTTTGCCATCATAGCTCCATCGACGGCATGCTCAAGGTCGGTATCGGGAAGGATAATCAGAGGGCTTTTACCGCCCAGCTCCACGGTGATGTATTTCATCCCACCAGCCGCCGAGGCGGCAACCTTTTGACCCGTCGAGACTTGACCTGTGAAACTTACTTTGGCAATCCCTGGATGGGTGGTCAAGTATCCACCGACTGATCCATCTCCATGTACGATGTTGAAGACTCCTGGGGGTACTCCAGCTTCTGCGTAAACTTCTGCGAGGATCTTGCCGTGCAATGGAGTGACTTCCGATGGCTTATAGACCATACAGTTTCCGGCCGCTAAGCAAGGAGCCGATTTCCATAATGCGATTTGAATTGGGTAGTTCCAAGCTCCAATCCCGGCGCATACTCCCAAAGCTTCCTTTCTGGTATATATCCATGCATCTGTTCTCAATTGTGTGGTTTCTCCATTCAGCCCTCCACTTGCAACGAGATTTGCAAAGTATTCCAATACATCTGCTCCGGTCACGACATCGACCGCGCTGGTTTCCGAGTAGGCTTTCCCTGTATCGTCTGTTTCCACCTTGGCAATTTCATCGTTGCGTTCTCGAAGTATCTCGACGGCTTTGAGAAGGATACGTGAGCGGACAATTGGTGGTGTTTGGGACCATGATGGGAATGCTTTGCGTGCCGAGGCTACGGCGGAATCGATATCGGATGGTGATGCCTTTTGTACATCTGCTAGAGGTTTTCCCGTTGCGGGGTTGACGGTTGAGAATGTTTCGTTAGAGGTTGCTTGTTGGACTTTGCCATCATAGTAAAGCTGTTGTGCTGCATATGTAGACATTTCGAAAGAGAGTCTTTGATGGTCAATATTCCTAGTATTCAATGAACTTTCAGTCTTCTCTTCTCTCACCAATGAAAATGATACTATACAATGAGGCAAAGGAATGGGTCTCGAAGCAAATAAATTCCTTAGTGGGGTAGAGTGAATCTGAACTTCTGAAGACCCCTGATATCTCGGCAGCTAAGAAGCAATGGACTGATTCAAACCTTGGCGGTAATACTATTTGGGACTCGTGTGAGATCCGTTCATGTGGAGTGAGTGAAGTGAAAAAAGGATATGGGTAAAAAAGATGGAAATTCTCAGATTTTGGGGGAAATGCCGGACCAGAATGAGAATGGTGTGTGCAGTGCAGGAAATATTACCGAGCGGAATACTCTTTTCTTCTCGGAGAATTGTAGATGAGATTATGAGAAACACAGATGAGGCGATTGTGAGTACATATCCGATACAGACCATACGGTATAGTGTAACCAGTCACACTTTTGCAGATAAGGAGGCCGCTCTCAATTATTCTGATGTGAGGACGATAAGGAGGAAGATGATATCGATATCTGTATTGATGATAAGAAAGGTATACTAACTAATGTGTTAAGGGAAAAACTGACTTCATTTAGCAATGACGATGAGATGCAGGGTATATTTACTATCAGGGGACGGTATGTATAATTTGGCTTGGCAATGTGTTTAAATTGTCGTCATCTTGAATTATTATTGGTCAAAATGTTTCACTCCCCAGAAAATCTTACCGTACTAGACCCAATTCAATCTAATCCATGTTACCTTAAACAACATCGGTAATAAAAAAAATATAATACTATACTTTCAATGGCCTCAATTAGACTTTCCTTTGTTACTTTGTATGATTGATATACCGCTCGCTGTATCTGAACTATATCTATATTTTATACAATTACCTCGTAAGTCATTCCTTAAAGTGTTCTAGCCTTCTAGAGTAAGTGTCAATTGATGATTGATGATTAATGACTGATGACTGTGATGAAGATTGTGAGAAAAGTCTCCTCCTCTCTATGTCTCTCCTTCATCTGACTCAACTGTACATATACATACTCCGTTCTGTACCATCTGAGAATGGGTCATGACACATGATTCAATATCTTCCTACCAAAAGTTAATTCACTACCAGTAGTATGGGTATTAGTATTCGTATTAGTACCTAGGTAGTCTGTCTTATTAACTACTGAGTTGATCCTGGAAAAAGACTCAGAACCCTAAACATTCACAAGGTTGTCTAGTTTCTTCTTTCCTTCATTAAATTTCTCAATTTCTTCTCACCGTCATTTCACAAAAAATCATTCCCAAGAAATTCGAGAGTTATTCAAAGACCACGCGCCCTCTTCCCCTACTTGGCAATTTTACCTGTAGGGACCCTCTTGGATCGTCTTTATTTGCATAATATACCCATCTTATACCGAATAATCTCGATTCAAAATCCACTTCTGGCCCCTCTTTATTATACTATTACAAATAGAACTTATTACTTCTTCTTTAGATCTTTTCTTCCGAATAGCATCTTTTCCTTTTAGACATTTCATACATATCATCGATCAAAGTACAGTATTCAAGATGACTACCGATCTTCTATCCTCATCTCAAGTCAATGACTTTGATTATGTCATTGTTGGAGGTGGAACAGCAGGATGTGTTATTGCTAGCAGACTTTCCGAATACTTACCCCATAAGAAGATTCTTATGATTGAGGGTGGTCCAAGTGATTTCAATAATGATAAAGTATTGAAGCTCAAGGAATGGCTCACTTTACTTGGTGGGGAATTGGATTATGATTATGGAACTACAGAACAACCAAATGGTGAATTATGATCTTCTCAGAGCAATTGGAATTCATACTGAAAGAAGATAGGAAACTCATACATTAGACACTCACGTGCTAAGGTTCTTGGAGGCTGCTCTTCTCACAACACCCTGATATCATTCCGCCCTTTCGAGTATGATTGTCAAATTTGGGAGAGTTTGGGATGCAAAGGATGGGGATTCAAGACCATGATGCGTCTCATCGACAACCTACGCAACCAAACCAACCCCGTTCATCCACGCCACCGAAATCAAATTTGCAAAGATTGGGTTCAATCTTGCTCTACCGCCATGGACATTCCCATCATTCATGATTTCAACCACGAGATTCGTGAGAAGGGTGCTCTTGAACAAGGAGTAGGTTTCTTCTCAGTATCCTACAACCCAGATGATGGACGAAGAAGTTCCGCCTCTGTCGCTTACATTCACCCAATTCTCCGCGGTGCCGAGAATCGACCAAACTTGACCATCCTCACCAATGCCTGGGTCAGCAAACTTAACTTCGACTCCAACAAAACCGTCAAGAGCTTAAATCTAACTTTGAAATCCGGCGAGAAACTCACTGTCTCCCCTAAGACCGAAACGATCCTCTGTGCTGGCGCAGTCGACACCTGTCGTCTCATGCTCCTCTCCGGAGTTGGCCCCGCCCAACAACTCCAAGACCTCAACATCCCCGTCGTCCACGACCTCCCAGGTGTAGGAGAGAATCTGATCGACCACCCCGAATCCATCATCATGTGGGAACTCAACGCACCCGTCCCACCCCAAACAACCATGGACAGCGACGCCGGTATTTTCCTCCGCCGCGAGCTCCCCAACGCGGCCCAAAACCACACCCATCCAGAACTCAACCCCAAAGCTCTCCCAGACGGCACAATCGCAGATATCATGATGCACTGCTATCAAATCCCCTTTTGTCTCAACACTGCTCGTCTAGGATACGACGCCCCCCTCAACGCCTTCTGCATGACACCCAACATTCCCCGCCCCCGATCCCGAGGCCGCATCTACCTCACCTCCTCCAACCCCTCCATCAAACCCGCCCTCGATTTCCGCTACTTCACCGACCCCGAAGGCTACGACGCCGCCACCATTGTCGCGGGCCTCAAAGCCGCCCGCGAAATCGCCACCCAAGCTCCCTTCTCCAACTGGCTGCTGCGCGAAGTCGCTCCAGGCCCCGACGTTCAAACCGACGAACAGCTTTCAGAATATGGCCGCAAGGTCGCCCATACCGTGTATCATCCGGCTGGAACTACAAAGATGGGTAGTGACCAGGATCAAATGAGTGTGTGTGATGAGAAATTGAGAGTGAGGGGGTTGAAGGGTGTCAGGGTGGCGGATGCAGGTGTGTTCCCGACGATGCCGACTATAAATCCCATGTTGACGGTTTTGGCGATTGGGGAGAGGGCGGCGGAGTTGATTGCACAGGAGGCGGGGTGGAGGGGGATGGTGGAACCGAGGTTGTAGGTTGGGGGTGGTATATGATATGAACATTGATATCATTACCAATAGATTGGTGACATATATTTTCAAATCCTCTCTCCGTACTTTTAGATTATAATGTATATATATCTGTATATACATAATATAGTTGGGTAAATAAACCATCAAATATTCATTATTTTTCGTACTGGAGATATGTATATATATATACATATGTTCAAGAGATTGATTGATTGAATGATTGATATCAAACCAAACCAAATCAAATATGAATCAAAGAACCAAAATGAAACGTAACGAAACGATATATCAAAGTAAATATGTAAATATGAATGAGATGGCAATCACAGCACCCAAGAAGAAACAAAAAAGAAAAAGAAAAAGAAACGAATTTTTTTTTGGAAAAGAAAATGGCATTCACAAGGGGTTCAATGATATATATATATATATATATATATATACCAAGTCCCCTTGCAACAAATCGTACCTTCTATCCCATCCCATCCCATCCCACACAAAGCACAGCACAGCACGGGTCTTAATGAATAGAATAGATATGTGTATGTGTATGTGCGTATACTCGAGTATGAGTAGTGAGGATATCAATTTTAGATAGATAGATAGATAGGTAGATAGATATACCAATTATCAACTATCAATCCCCAACTACACAACACATAATATACTACACACAACACAAATGTATACTCTACTCTACTCTACTCTACTCTACTATCCTCTATGCTTCACAAAACTCATCAAAAACAATACTCCTCCACATGCAAAAATATGCCATTCGCGCCCGTCCCCTTATGAACCGCCCTCTCATCACTCAACCCCGCCGTCTCATTCCTCACCTTCGCCACCAAACTCTTGCCCCCACAAACCGTAATAGCCGTTTCTCCCCCCGTGACTTCGACTGGTCCTCGGATATATTGTCTTATATCTGGTCTGCCTGTTGTGTATATGATATCCATATCTCTTCCTTTCCTCGGTGAATTTTCTTTTGTGGGTTTCTCTTGGTTTGGGGTCTGGGCGCAGCAACATCGATTTGTGTCGGGTTTGGATTGGGATTGTGGGGAGTCCCCTGATGAGCGAGAGATTTGTTGCGTGGTGATGTAGGAGGTTGTGTCGTCGGTTTTCTTTTCATCGGTGTAGGATTGGCGTTTGGAACTTCGGATGGATAGGTCATCGTCGTCGTTTGCTGTTCCGCTAGATCGTGGGTTGCAACAGCATGCTCTTGATTCGGATGAAGAGCTAGATGCACTGGATTTGATGATTGTTTCTCCTTCTTCCTTCTCTTCGTCTCTGGCTTGATATCCGGCTCTTCCTTCTTCGATCTTGGAGCTGGTCATTGATGCTCCGTCATCGCCTGTTACGGCAATTTTCACAACTAGTTGGATACCCTTCTTGGAGGCAAGGCTAAGGGCACTTGCTAGTCGTTTCGTGTAAAATTCGATGTGGCTGCGTTCGCGGACAACAAGAAGGAATTGAATCTGCTGCACACATGTTGGTGCAGGGTTGTGAAGAATGGATTCGAGGATGGGGAGAGTGTAAGATGCACCAGTGGAAGCGGAGATGAGAAGAATAGTCTCGTAAGAGTTCCAATTCTGTAGGTAATATTAGTATGAAATCATGGGGTATAATGTGAGAGGAGAAAAGTTACATACTGGAGGTACACCATAAGGACCCGATACAAATGCCGTCAAAACAGCCGTCTTATCGAGTTGTTGCATCTTCGATGCATAATTATGTATCCTTCTCGAAAATCCCTTCTGAGCCCGAATTGCAAGTTGGATCTCATTGCAATGACACTTATTCGACGTCTGATATGGACTCGCAATGGTGAAAGGGTGAGTCTCAAGTAGACCAAGCCGCGGAAGCCAAAGATACATATGTTGACCTGCTTGCCACGTGAAGGGTGCATCCTTGATACTGATTATAGTTATATCGTCACTCAAAGCTTGTAACTCTGCCTGGTGGCCGATCCTTTGCATTCCTCTGCAAGCTGCTCCGACGACCTTCACTCTGAAATTTCTGACAACCAGTAGGATACCTCTGAGAATCCAATCAGATGATATAGCAGCTATAGCAAACCATATGTTATACCTAGCGTACTCAGGTACATGGATGTACAACAGCCACAAAAATACTCCCGCGCAAGCAATGTGTTGCAGCACGAAGACTTCATAGGCCATCCTTCTCAGTGGACTCAAGGAACTTAAGGTGGTCCAAAGCAAGAGACCCCATGCGCCCATCCCATATTTTAACATGGGCATGAGACTAAGCTCAAAAGCGACAAAGTCAGCTCGAACCCATTCCCGAAAGAAGAAGGCGCCGTGAACCGTAACGGTAAGAAGTAAAGTCCTCGAAACCCAACGATGAAACCAGTTCAGTCTCTCGTGAGAACTTCCGATCAAAGCTCCAATGACATTCGACTTTGAAGAAAGTAGATAAATAAGCGGAACTTGTGTGACCGAGATCCAGGCGCCGCGAAATCCAATGCGTTCGTAGTAGTATGCGTCGTTTATAGTGACGTTGTATGTCATCATGAAGATTAGGATTGCCCAATAGCAAAGGAGAAGGATCGTACGACCTGACGAGGGAGGAGATAGCCATGAGAGATAAGGAGTTGAGATGTGAATCTGGGGATATGATATTTCTCGAAATATGGCGGTAATTGTGGCGTACATCTCCTGAAGCCGGTTACTAGGTTTGGTTGGATATTTTAGAGATATTGTCTGGCTTCTCCGAAGTCTATGGAGGTATGTTAGCGAGTTGGACTTTTACTATTACCACCAAATGAGGAGAAGAAAGACCTCCGTCTCTCCCTAGCCCATGCATCGAACTTTCGAATAAGAGACATCAAAACCCGATCTCTCAAACCACCAAATATACATCTCCTTCCCAAATCCAAAGAAGATGAGAAACTACTAACCTATCCCAATCCCTCCACATCTCAAACCCCCTACACAATAGTACCGCACCCACAAATCCCGCAATAATATACCAATACCCCAACGCCAACTTCTGATTATAAGTCCTAAACATACTATTCGAAGCCATATCCATCCCACCACTCATCCCACTCATAAGCGCATCCATCTTGTACTAAATATGCCCCAAACAATTTCGTAAGTCGTAACCTTCGTAGACTTCGTAAACTTCCCGGCTTCCAAACCAGAGGAAAAGCTTCCTTAAGAGGAATCGAGTCCCTTTCCTGATGATGAGGCAAGACGAGAGAGTATGTATGTTGAAGATATAACTTTAAACGATCGTAATCGAATCCGAAAACTCGAACCTAATCCAAGAAAATTCGATATCCTAGACACCTTTCTTGCTACCAGCCAATCCAGTAGCTTTTATTTCCCTTCTTTCTTCCTTTCTTCCCTTTGATCAAGGTCTCGTTCGTTATAATAGAATAATGCAACTATGCACAAAGATCACCACAATTTCTTCCTTTCTTTTCCTTTACTCTTTCCTTTCTTTCTTCCTTCCTTCCTTTTATCCTCACCAAACTCAACAAGTCAATAACTTAATAACCCAATAACTCAACACCTCAACCATTCACAAACAACAAAACCAAAAGTACCGCACCACACTATCTGTACTGAATAACACTGTAATCAAAAGACCAATCTTAATCTTTTCACCGTGATCCCAAGTCTAAATTCAAATCCAAATCTAAATCTAAATCCAAGTGTATATAATTCAGAATTTACAACTCAATCAACATTAATAATTATCAAAACAAAAAAAAACCCCAAAACCACCCACCCTTCTTCACATGTATTATGTACGCCAAGCGTCTAAAGTCGGCAATCCACCCTGGTCAGTGTGGCTTGAAATGTGCTCAATTGCGCTCGTTTCTCGATTACTTTGGGGATTCGCTTATATTTTTATTTATTTGCTCAGAATCAAATTACTTGTTTGAAGAAGGAGGAGGAGAAGGAGAAAAGGAACCAATCTGGAATTCCATTTGTTTATTTGCTCAGCTAATTATTTGTATTAAATGATGCTGTAATAGAATATAGAATTTACTCTGTAGAAGGTGGAAGGTGGAAGGAAGGTGGAAGGTTGAATCGGGGAATCGGGGAATTTATATAGAGTGGAGTGGAGTGGAGTGGTTTGTAAAAAGGTAGAGAAGAGAGGATTAGAGAGGATTAGAGATAGATAAGCTCGAGGGAACGGGTATACCGGTATAAGGTACTGTGGCTATTATATGAGCTAATTAATGTTCGAGAACCATATCATATTATACCATATCATATATTTATATACATAATTCCCAATAAGGATAACCCGGATACTCATCCGGGTAAAGGAACTTTCTAGGAAGCAGCCACCCGGAGAAAATATGTCAATTCAGATAAGTAGATAGTGGCATGGTTCGCAGGTAGGTACATATAAATCTCTTGGCAAAGCCACAATAGATCCAAAAATGAGCAAGATATTCCTTTGGCACGGTTCTACTTTGGAGGTCCATCCATCCATCCATCCAACAGGGTAGCTAGTAGCTAGTAGCTAGAGCAGATTGTTTGATTTAAATAACTTGCTCACTCACCCCTATCAATTATTTGTAAATGTGAATATATTTGTATTTGTGATTTTAATATCTTTCAATCTACATTTCAATTAGATTGAAAGAAAAACTCACTTCCTTCTTCTCTTCTTCCAATATCAGCAAAGAGAATCTAATCTTCATACATCTCCACACATCTCCATACATCTTCATAACAACCATGGCACGAATTGCAGCTCTCCTAGGTCTAGCCACCATCATCACCCAAAGCTCCGCGCATTTCCTCCTAAACTACCCCGCCACCTGTAAGTTCCTCGACTTCGGACATCTTCTTTGAGGAGGAAAAAGGGAAAATCGAAGACTAATATAGTAACCCTCTAGATGGATTCAACGATGATGCCGAAGGAACCGCTCCTTGCGGTGGATTTTCCGTGGCTTACGATCACAACGTCACCGAATTCCACGTCGATGGAGATTCAATTGCAATGTTCGTTGGCGCGCTCCTCAAGATGAGAATGGTCCCATGTACTCGAGAGCAAATTTTAACATAGTGTGAAACAGGACCTCTACTCACCCAACGACAACATGGCTGTTCCGAGCCATGGTCGGAGATGATACCGCTGCCGCCAACTGGACCAATCTTATTCCCACCATTCAACAAACCGGCCTAGGCGATTTCTGCGAACCAACCATCACCGTCCCCTCTACATTCGCCGGAAATAAGGGTGTCGTAAATGTTGTCGCCGATGGTCCAGATGGTATGCATACCTCTCCAACCAATCCCAATCCTACCCCCAATCTCTTCCTATAAACTAACCATCTCCCCCTCTTCAGGTCTCCTCTACCAATGCGCCGCCGTATCCTTCGTCACCGGAGCCGCAACCGCCACCCCAACTGCATGCAAAAACGCAACCGGTGTATCAGCAAGCTACGCTGCCGATTCGGCCCTCTCCAGCCTCCCCGCTTCCGCAACCGCAACCGCCAGCGAAACCTCCGGCACAGCTGCTGCGACCAGTTCCAGCGCAGCTGGAGCTTTGACAGTCGGACCTATGGAATACGGTGCTGTGGGAACGTTGATGTGGGTTGGAAGTATTGGTGTTGCAAGTTTTGCTGCATTTTTGTTGTAAATTGTGGTTGGCATGTATTATGAATAACGAAAGGACAAATGGAGGTGATGCAACCTACATGGGAAAATATTCCGAAATATTTGAGATCAAATAAACCATCTGATAATCACTTGCATATTCCTTTAAACTTGTGGGTCTGGAGGCAGAGATCATTGTCAAAACGGCTCACCATTTTTGCTTTACATTACCCAATAGAGAAAAGTTTATGCCTCCAAAGTTGTAAGCAAAATCATGACACCTGAAAGTGTAGACTGGAATCGGTCTCCATTGGCTGGCATTCATGTTTTTGGACAAGCAGTTCTTGAAACATAGCTAACCTAGTAGCCTGAGGAAATCCCGCACAAAATATAGTTTGGTCGTCATCTCATAGCATAAGCATCTAAACCTAGCGGCTGCCGCCAATGATCTGAACCTCAAACTTCTTCACTCATGCTGTCAAACTCGTTTCTCCGGTTGAACCAAACGTAGCTCGGTGAAACCGATTCCTGGATGAGCTATGGTGATGAAGTATGAAAATGTAGTGACAATGCAAAACAGGGTCAAGGTACAGCAGGCATAAGTATTGTAAAAGTATTCATCCATTCCTGGAAGAGTAACAACGTCCTGCTATATCGATTGGAGATCTGTCTATGCGTAGTCCAAATATCCTTGATCCGTCAACGCCGGTTCCTGTGTTCATTATCAACATCCGACTCATAGTATATTCCTATAATCATAATTCGTGTTCGACCTAGATGCCCTTGGCAGGTTGTTCTCTTGTGCTCGATTCATACCACTCGTTGGTCGACCACTCCACTATCAATTTCTTCGCTTCCTCAGATAAAGCATAATATCCTGGATTGTCTTTTGGGAAGAACATAGCTGAGAATGGTTAGCTCCGAAACTCCAGGCATTCGTAAAGACTTACTCATATGTGCGTCCGGTTCATCCGCAGCCTCATCGTTGATAGCCTCTCGGAAAAAATCCTTAGCACTGGTTTTAGGCAGGTTGCAGAATGTTCTCTGATTCCCAATCACACTCCCCACCAGGCCCCCATCAGCTTTGCTCACTGCCTCCTTGCCCAGCCTTGTGTATAAATTTGTCCAACCAATCCCTAACTCCTTGTGCAGAGTAACCATCCCTGCTACCCTTCTCTTCAATTCTTCGCCCTTCATTAAACACCCCACAAACTCAAGATGTGATCCCACCCATGACCATCCTTCTTGAATCTGATCCTTTTTGAAGTACGCAGCTGCCCCTCCAGCTGCAACAGCTCCTGCTGCTCCGGCATACATGGCTAACGTCCCCCATTTCTTCCATGCTGGTGCTTCAGGAGTTGGGGGTGCTGGCAGTGCTGCGACTGGTTTCTTCTCCTTGACGGTTTTGTCTACCTCCTTCTCTCCCCATATTGCCCCTGCCAGACTACTCACCTGCGCGAAAGCCGATGTAGCTGCATTATAATGACCTTCTGCACCATGCGCAACAACACCTGGTGATATACCTAAATAAGGAGTATCGAATGCGAGAACGCCTTGAATGAATGGAAACATAAAGGCGTTCAACGCATCGGTACTTTCTTTCGAATCTATCACTTTATCGGATGTGATTGCCAGTATTGTATCCGCAGCAACAATTCCTCCCATAGAGTGACCAATAAGTATTGTGCGGACGGAAGGGTCGACGGTTGGAGAAGGTGTCTCGTTTTCGACCTCTATATCGATCACTTTTTCTTGAAGCCTGTACAAAACCAGTTAATTTTAAATTCAATGGTAATTGCGAGGAATGATAGTACCAATCTCTGAATCTGCTCACACATTCTCCTAGATCTCCTCGAGTTTCATACTTTGGATATGTGATTGCGCGAACGTCGACTTTTGGAAGGCCATGGCTAACGAGTGCTCGAAGGTGTTCAGGAAATCCGCCGAAAGTGTCATCTCCTCCCTGTGGAAAATTTTATTAGTATTCTGTAATCTTCAGAAGAGCAATGTAGTAACCTTAAAACCGTGTATAAAACACAATAATAGTGTTTTCTTCATTTTAGATTGTCATTGTGAGGGTTGGTTGCCCTTGTCCTTGTCCTACTAGTAGTAGAGAGTAGAGAAAGCGGATTGGCGAATTGCCAAGTGGGGTGACTAAATGATAAGAAGCACTGAACTGGCTGGCGATGCTACCAACTACCAACCACTGTCCATGCTACTTCACCAAACTTCATAATGATATTGGGTTGGGTATAATACTTACTACCTGGGAATATATCATCTTCAGAGGGACATCATGGAAACTTACGAGTATTCGATTTATCATTCGGTATCTACAAATTGGAGAGATCTGCAACTCGAGGATCTATTTCCATCATGGCTGCTCAGCAAACTCTCGTTCGGACTTCGTCACCGAACAGTGACCCTCTTTCGAATATTCCCTTCGAGATGCTTTTGGAAATTGTCGAATATCTACCTATCAGCGCCATTGCTTGTTTAAGTCTTTGCAATAGGCGCTTGAGCACAAGACTGAAAATGACAAGTACACTGGGACGTCAAATTCGGAATCTGCCATGGATATACTCTACAGTTCTCGTCAGCCCATGTTTGATTCATAATTTTGCGAGCAAATAATGATCTTCTTAACAACGTTTTCAAGAGACCTGCCCTACCACTACCTCTGTCATCCGTGTTTGAAATTCCAGCCTGATGACCTCAGAGATCGATTCCGTTCCTCGTACGCCCACGAGGTTTGTGTCACGATGTCCCATCGTCTGCGACGTGGGGGAGTAAGACACCCGGCGATGGTGACGCTCCGACAAATCAATCAAGTCAAATCCCTTCGTTTAGGTCATCAATCCTTCCCAAGATGGCTTCCCTTTAGACGCAACCAAGAAGTTCCTTATCTTGCTTTCCAGCGCAATGGCTGGTCTTGTATAAGAACTCAGCCTAATTTTCTTGAATCTGATGATATCAGAATGATCCAAATTAAATGCTTAATTCATTCCCAAGGACTTACTATGCTACCACAAAAACACACAGGAGATGGAGAGCCTCTTGTAGAGCTAATCTCTTGGTTTATTTGTAATCACAATGTGCTCACAATACCACAAAGCCGAGATTTAAGAACAAAAGCCCCCAAAAATCTCCATACTTGGACAGTCTACTCATGCACAAGCTGCTATACAGAGTTCTATTTTGCTTTAGTTAACCAAGGAGGAAAAGTGGCAGGATGTCTGACACGATGGTACATTCTTGAAACCGGAGATTTAAAAAAATCTCAGAAATTGCCATTTTGGACGTTGGTTGGGCTTTAAATATCCGAAAATAAATATCGCAAAAATGTATGAAGAGCATTTAGGGAGATCATTGTATGGATACACGGCCGAGAACTTTAAAGCTAAATTTCCCGAGGAACAATGGATTAAAGGGGAAGATCTCACAGTCAGCTCACTGGGGGGGGGGGGGGGTACCAGCTGATCTAATGGGGACTGAGTATGAATTTGCTGCATATAATAGTGAATAACAAACCCTGACCGAGTCAGTGCCCATTGGCAGTTACCTTCATGAGCTGATATTTTGGAGTATCTATATAAGATTCGAAGAGACTTATGATGATGCTCTACCATGGCTATTTATATGTATATGTATATGTCAATCAAAGAAAATTAGTTATCTATACTGTCTCTTGAGTCTTGATCTGAACAAAATGGCAACATTTCAAGTTGGGCAATGCAAAAGTTTCTGTTTGTAAAATTGTCCGATCTTTTGCTTAGGTTCAAACAAGGGAGAGCCGGATGGGATAGGGTCGAAGATTCACTTCCATTCTTGCCATTCAACAATCTCGGTTAATGTAACAAAGTTTTGCCTTTCTTTCAGCTTTTCCCAGCACAGCACAGGAGATCCTCTCTGTATACTTGTCAACCTTTTCAGAACGACAATACTGAATTTTGAGGAAAATGGCTGAACAAGATGGTCTGCTCCAAGGTATCTTGGACTCAATAATCTCTTTGAATGGAGGAACTGCTGGACTAGAAGCTGGCATTGCTGCATTTAGGGAACTGCAAAGGAACAACCAGATGCTAAGGTTAGCTCTGAAGCAAACTCTAGAACTCTGCAACCAGCCTAGTTACTCAGGACAGGGAAATGTCATGGCACTAGTAAGTTATTGCAAACTTCATTGTTTCAATGGATAATATCCAATACTGACCATCTTGAAGTCAGAACTCATGAAACCAACACCCATGAAACCAACCGAAGAAGAACTTGTCCTCCTTGCAAAGCTTAGAACGGCATCCATCGCTGAAAAGAAAGAGAAGATCGACAAGAAATGTACCCTTCACATTTTCCCACCCGAAGTCAGAGATCAAATCTTCGATCTGATTCTCGTCAACTACTTTGCTCAATACCCCAGACTGAAAGTTCTCGACTATCAAAACTGGACCCGAGGACAATGGGATAGAATCGATACACCCGGAAACGCAGGACTTCCCCTCAAAGATCTGCCTGCCTTTGAAATTGCTCTAATCCCTGACCAGAAACTCTATCGCCATTTCTTCGCTTTGAGGATCAAGCAATGCATCATTGAGCTTCGTCCTAGTCTCACATGGAATCACATGTATGATTTCCCTCTCGGATACGAAGTTGCGGATCCTCCCAAGGAAATCATGGGATGGCTCACGGATGAGTCAAAGTATAAGGAGGATTATTGGCAGTGGGTTTACAATCAGGATATGCAACTTGGAATTCGCTCCTTGGAATGTCTCAACCCAAGATATCTTCGGCGTGGCTGGATCTACCAATACCCTTCTCTCTCCATGTTTTCCCCGCTCATGTTGGACAGTATTCGCAGTGTTGAGATTGTCTTGAGGTTCGTTCTTCTCTTCCCTTCTCTACATCAACACGACATGTGACCTTCAACACTTCAAACTCAATGCTAACAATATTCCATCTCATAGCACCGACTACTTGAATACACAATATCTCGACGTCATCGAGAGTATAGCTCAACGCCATGCCCCCATCTTTGATATTCCCAGCTGTGTAAGTCCAATCCCATCCCTCTCTTCCCTCTCTCCTCCCCTCCTCTCCATCTCCAACTCCCCACTAACGCTCCACCCAGCACCTCCCCCACGCCAAATTGCTCACCCACCTCTCCTACCGCCTCAACTCCCACACCTGGTGGCACAGCACCCCCTCCACCAACTCCAACTCCAACTCCCCCACCAGTTCCACCCTCCCCACCAGTTCCACCTCCACCCCCCCAATCCTCCTCCAATCCCTCCAAACCTTCCTCTCCCCCTTCTCCACCACCAACTCCCCAATCCCCAATCCCATTCCCATTCCCACAACCAACCCCCAAATCCAAACCCTAACCATCAAAACCCTAACCCCCAAACCACACCCCGGTCTCCGAAACCCCGTCCCCCAACAAACCCTCAACAGTATCTCCCCAACCATAAACCTCCTCAACAAAATGTTCCACCTACAAGCCGAGTCAACATGGACGCGGGAAGAAGTTGCACCCGGCGCATATGGAATTCTTAGGGGCTGGAAGACGGATTGTTATCAGTTGGTTTGGGAGGCGCCGGTTGGTGGAAGATTGATGGTTTGTATGGAGGAGGAGGAGACTGAGGGTGCGGTTTTGGAGGGCTAGGTAATGTTTTGGGGATCGAGGTTCGTTGCTGGTGTTGACTTTGGGGCTGTTGATGGGGTGGTTGTATTCTCACGGGAGTGATACTGGTACTACAAGAATCTTCAAGCTTAGCGGAATATTACACAGAATCGAACGGTGGATATGTAATACAGATAGGGCACAATGAAAAGCTCTACATTACCTTCGCAGCACGTACTTTCACTGTCTCTCTAACTCTTTCTATTCAGAGAAGAAAGTTCCAGTTATTGGCATGGACAGAAATATGTAGGCAGAATCCATTTCACGGTGGACAAAGTACAAACTACAGCAAGCACATTAAATCTCCACTACACTTTACTACGAAACAACTAGGAATCTCATGTCTCTCATCCCACATCCCACACACCATACTTTCATTTTGCTATTAAAGAAACCTGCATTCTCAACTTCTCCTCTATCGTATCGAAACTATAATAAACAATACATACATATATATATCTGGCAAGAACGGACATCCACCCCCTCAAAACCTCCAATCAAACTCCCTTGTAAAATCTGATATGTATGTAAATCTTACCTGCTGTACGTATACGGCCCATCATCGAATCGACAGACTACCCAATCTTTGAACCCGGATCTGCATCTTCTACCTCTATACATTATACAAGTATTATACAAGGAATTTCAATCTCAATCTCAATCTTAACCATAACCATAACCACTTCGCAAAAAACATAAACTTTGCACTTTCAGTGTTATTATTATTTGTCGTGTAAAATACAAGTGTTGGGATCAATACAATACCTAGGTACATAATGCCCAGACCTCGCCCCTTGTTAAATGAACATCCATTTAATCGTTTCTATCCATCCATCCATCCATGCTGCATGCAAACCATGCCATTATGTATCATGCGCCATTTAGACCATTATTACCCAATCATCTCTTCAACAGTGAAATCTAATCTCTCTTTCTTCCCTTTCTCCCATTTTCCTCCAACCCCGTCAGATTATTCTCACTGCCCCCAACCGTAAACGAGAAATCCGTCTCCCCCACCAACTCCTTAACATAATCCACCAACCTAGCTAAATCATCCGTCACTAATGAACTCGCCACCTGCATGACAGCATAAGCACTGTAGCCTGGCTCTTCCACATGCCTTGAGTCTAGAATACCACTATCGAGAGCGTCGAGTCGGCGATGGAGGCTATAAGGTTGGGGAAGTTGGATGAAAGGGGGAAGGGCAACGCCCGAGGTGATCGCGGCAGATAGGAGGGCAAGGGTTGAGGTTACTTGGTGGGTGGTGGGTTCAACCTCTTCCATGACGACAGCGAGATCACGAAGCCATTTGCTACGAGTATCGGTGGTAGCATGTACGTCTCTTGCCCAGGCTTTTGTAGTGTAGGACATCAATGCGAGGTAGCCCATGATACTGTTTAGTTCGGCGTTTAGTACATATACACGTCCAAAATGTAGAAATACTTACTTTGAGCATCTCTGCGTAATGTTTTCATAAGTCTCACGAGGGAATTTTCCTCCAATCGTAGGCTCAAATTTCTGCCAAGCAGCATGTTGTTGAAGAGACGGTAGAAGTAAGAGAAGCTTGCCAAACATCCGATTCCGAGCCTTCTCAAGGCGGCGACCAGGACTGGTCTTCAATGACATATCCCCTTCTGTCCCGTGCATTCGAGAATGAATAGTTGAATGAACTGTTGAGTAGTAGTTTGCCAAGATGTAGAGAGTTGCCCCCAAATCTTTTCTTAACCAGCTGCGATCTGTGAGCGGATATGGGAAGAAGGTCCAGATAAAAGCCACAAAAGATCCTCCTGCAACACAGGCAAGTCTGTATGGAGCAAGCTCATAAATCCTGTTGTCACGTTAGAAAGTCTCAAATCATCCAGAGTAAACTACTAACGGATAATAGGGTTGTCCTGAACTAGTCGATGCTGCAATTCCAATTTTTCTGACTTGCAGTTCGTAGCCGACAATCAAGACTTGAGTGACTATAAATACGAGCCAAGCCGGTATAAAGCGAGGGAATTTTATAAAAAGATACATCTCCATGAATATGAAAAACCAAAGCATTACGATGACTCCTGGGGTCTTTTGATCAACAATATACCAAATGATGATCGAGGAGACCATTGCTAGTGCAGTTCCAGCTATACGAGCCAAAAATCCAAATATCGATTGGCCTGAAGTCATTGTCATACCTATTCCTTATTAGCTTCTCTGAAATTTTGAGACCCGGCTTCTGACATACCGATGGCAATGATGATCAAAGCCCAAACCAATCTTTGCTGCTGGAAAAAGACATGAGTATCTTTGAGAAATGCAACGATACCCAAAGTCAAGGTTGCGCAGGCGACTCTGAAACCAAACGCTGATTCAGGGCTGCCTAAAAATCTTGGAATAGTTCTAAGCCCGTTTCCAAAGTGCTGCCAAACAGTTGTGGGTGGCAGATGTTCGGGGTCCTTCCTAGGATTAAATCCTGAGCCCATATAGACATTGTTTATGCCGGCCTCTTGATTATCTGGGGTGTTGCTATCCACGGTTGTATCTGCATTTGCAATACCAAGAATCCATTTCTTCAATCGTCGTTGACCTGGCATAATCAAACGATTCTTCTTCATAGTCCCATCTTCTACTTTCCCGTCCGCAAACCGGACCAATTTGATTACTGCAAGACCGGCCGTATAGAGCTGACCTGGTTAGCATCAACAAGTTAATGAGGGGATGGGGAAGAGCTTTGACTGTTTGAACCTGAGCAGAGATTAGAAATGGTGTAAACGTACGAGATTTTCCATGAAAAGAATAAGATATAATTGCTGTTGATCTCTTCTATGCTCGGCTTCATCTGCAGTAACAGTTTCTCCCGCGGCAGGAATTGGCCTACTTGCATCAAATCGTTCCGCAGACAGACCCTTTTCCTGCGCCCATTTCTTCAACGTTGCACCACGTTTTTTGTAAAACTCATTCAAAGTCTGTTCCATGTAAGCGAGAAATCCGGCATCACCAGGTTTTGATTGTTCATCCGCAGTCTCGACATCGTCGCCAGATTTCTTCTTTGGCCGAGGAACAAGCTCCAGAGTAAGTGCTGCATGTTCCATACCTTGGTCCATGACCGCAGTCACGATAGCGAATGGCTCGTGGAGGGTTTTCATCACTTCATTCCACAACCTCTTTTCTTCTGCCTTACTTTCTAATGGCATGTGTTCCCATTGCTCAGAACGATCTCTAGAACCTGTAGACTTGACCCAACCGCGTCTTTCGCCGATTCGTACAAAGATATCTGTGATAGTACTCATTCCCAACAGTGGGACCATGATATCTCGGAACAAGTTGAATATTTTGTCGATATCCTTTGCGTTCAATTTCCCCCAGGCAATCTCTCTCTTCCCAAATGGCATATCTCCATAAAGTTTTCCATGTAATCCACGCAAGCCATCGATTGCCCCCTTTAATTTCTTAGCCTCCGGAGACAGTGTTGGATGGGAATGTCTTGTACCGCTTTTATCGGATTCAACGGATGGATTGCCAGAAGAGGCATCAGTATCCTCAGCAGGAGGACCCGCAAACATGTCACTTTCCTCCAGACTCTGTAGATATGACGTCTGAGCCTTGAGCACGCCCCTCATCAACTGAATGTATCCGGCTTGTCCCTTGAAAACAACCAAACGACACGAGACAGGTATGACGAACAAATTAACCGCCGTGCTTATAGCAAAGGCAGTCAAAAAAGACTTCAGCATTTGTTTGATGAGAGATTCAGCTGCTGCGACGGTAGAGAAAAGTGGCCCATATGTGAAAGCGATATTCGAAAAGATGCTATACATGATGACCGGAAGATTCAAGGAGGCACTCTTGGCACGCAACAGATTCGCAAACCATATATTGACAAACAACCAGATGGCGCATACTGCAGCCTGCGAGGAATTATAAGATTGTACTACCCCTGGTGTGGAAGTATGCTCTCGAGCTTTGATGCTGCTCCACAGTCCCAAAAGTCCAATTGAAGCTCCAATGCAGACGGCGAAAATGTTGAGTATCATGGTTTGAAAAAACTTTGCCCTTGGCATAATAGGCATACTAATGACGGAGATGATAGCTACCAAATATCCTAAAGTTGTATATGTTTTCGCGACCGAATCGGCTTCATAAAAAGCTGGAGATAAGTTAGGACTAAGAACGCAATAATATGAACTTCAATTGACTTACCAATGGCAATAGTAGGACCTACGGATCCCCTAAATTATACATCAGCATCTTCATCATTGCAATCGGAGCTGAAGCATACTTGAACATCATCATCAATGTCGGCGCATCGAGTCCAAGTTTCCCCCACATCTCCTTGAACTTGGACGGCTTCTTCTCCTCATTCTTCATTTCTGTCTGTCCAGTTCCTCTTTTCGAGACTCCATCTGCCATTGGAGCTTCTTCATTCTCACCTTTTCCCCTTGCAAGATTTGGAGACGCTTCATCTCCTTTCTCCGTGTACGACTCCTCGGTAGCCATCTTATCAACAAGGCTGAGGGTTAGTTCCCCGCAACACGCCAATTGTGTATATTTTCGTACTTATGTGCACATTCTTGGAACCAAAGGAAGGAATAACAGTCGAGAAATATGAAAATATCTTAACTTGACTTCATGAACAGAGGGGAAAAGAAAAAAAAGTAACATTGAATTTACTTTCCAGAGGAATCTTGGCGATGATGCCCGGTACCTAGGTAAATAATAAAGATGCCATGCAAAATCATGCATTTGATTGACAACACGGGAGACATAAATCATAACCCTGAATAGATAATTGACCAATCAGAGGGTGACTAGCTGTTATAGCCTTGAGCTAGTTGCTGGATACAAAGCTTTATGCAAATATATTGTGCAAATTGTGAATTATTTTATTTTTTCTAATCCAACCTACAGCCAAGCCCTATGTAATTATAAAACCCCCCTTATTCTATGTTCCCGTTTCTTGTTCCTAAATAGTTACAGATCACATACTGATGGAAGTTAATGGAAGTTATTGAAATTGAGATTATCCAAATTCCTACAATTTATGAAGCTACAAACGATAAAGCTACAAATTATCGTTTTCGTATCTTTGATTTCCCTTGTACAATCAATATACCGGAAATAGTTATTATCGTCTCTTTAGGTTAGCAAAGGGATCTGCATATTGGTATTGCCTTCGTGATTGGATCTACGAGTACTCTGAGTACATTTCTATAGACCAAATAAAAAATCGATGTCGTCCCTTGACTCTCTTCTCATTCGAATATCACTAGAAAATTGAGTAAACTGAAATACGTGATATAGCAAAGCGGTGATATGGGGTATTTGAATCTTCTACTCTAGTTGTCTTTGAATATAGAAATGGTGAGTTTGACCAATGAATTAGAGGCTTATCAACTTAACATCAAGATCCAATACCGGTATGAGATCTCGGACTCGAGACTTAGGAGCTTGTGAATATGTACTTCGAATTTGAGACTTTTAAATCTCCTCTCTTCTCTCAGAGCTCACAATGTCCGTCTTAGATCAAGGTCAGGATCAACACCATAAGTAACATGAGCCTCAGCGATTTGCCGAACTTTCTCCTTTCTTCTTTCTCCTCTCTCCTCTCTCCTCCCTCATAGTAACACAAACTCCATGTACCCCCAATATGCATATACTGTACACTCAGTATACCACCGGCTTGAAAGGTTAGCTGCATCATCCACCATAAAAGCCAAACCCCTCATCAACCCCGGGCAACACAGCCTTGACCCAACCCCCACCAATTTCCCCTTCCATCCCATCATATCAAAGGATTTCGTCGCAATGACAGTCGTGTTCTCATCACAAAAGTAGTGTAACAGCTTACAACATATAATCTCTGTAACCCGTGACGTCGAATTCATTAGAACAGCAACCCACACACGGATGACTGGCTAGTTTGCGATGCGAGAGATGAGAAGTTCGTATCTCTGTTGCATATCTGATAAACTTGTCGTTCCGTCTTTACCGCTGTTTGGGTAGGAATTAAGAATGTTGGTGATGACTGCGAAGTATCTATAATACAATGACTGTTGACCGGTAATATGCCACCCATCTAACCGTGTGAAATCCCATGAAGACCAAAATCATAGCTATGCGGTAAGAAATACTAAGCCTGACGCTCCGGAGCTTTATGAATACAATTCAAGACTCTTAGTCCTCGTCTTACAGCGTCCGACTCGATGCCCCCAAAACCAATGCCTATTTATTATTAAAGTGTGGGTGCCCTCTTTAACCCCACGCAGTACCTAACAAACAGCTGGTCCATAAAATGCGCATGTTTAATGCCCTTCGGTCTTCTCCTAGCGAATTCATCAATCGCTCCTTGAACTCCATACCCACACCTTTCCACCAAATAACAGGCGATGAAATATCCAGTTCTGTTAAAGCCGTAGTGACAGTGTACCCCCACAAACCATTCACCCTCGACGCCTTCCTTTTCCTTCCTTACTGTCTGCTCATCTCGTAATCGATCAATTAAGTCGATGAAGGTGGTGACGTCGTCAGATGTAGGTGGTATTTTAGATACCGTGGGAAATTTATGGTATCGTATCCCGCCTTTCTCAAGACCTCGAGGATCGTACACGGGACTTTCGTGACTAATATCCACAATATCCTTGATCTGCTCGCCCCAATTACTCACGAACACCTCCGGACAATGAGTATCATCTACCTCTCTCAACGTTTTCATGGCACGGAATACGCCCGCTATGGGTTCAGAAACGGGAGTGACTGCTTGCCACTTTGCCAGATTTTTCACATCCCATTTGCCGGAAGTGGAGAGAAACTGCAGTTGCCAACCCAAGGATAAACGAGGCGACACTTGGGTGCAAAGGAAATCCGAAACAAGACCTGCAAGAGTTCTCACAGTGGATGGCATGTAGAGCAGGGCATGCGAAGCGGGGGCTGGAATGATTGTTGTCTTTAAAACCCTCCTGGGTCTGAAAGGTTGGGGAGGGATACTTTCAGTTCTTTCAGAGTCATCTGATGTCGATGGGTCTTCTGACGAATCTATAGCGGTACTAGGATTGTTTTCGAAGATATTTCTTTCGGTCATAGGATCGATTCCGTTGCTTTTGGATTTCATCTCTTTGGGTATATCAACAGGTGCAGCTGCATCAATAATAGGCTCACTTTTGTCGTTGAGCTCAATTTGAACTGGGTGAGACTTTCCAAGAAATTGAGCAATCTTTTCAATCTCCCCAGGTTTTGTGATATTATCCGCTTCCCCAGCAATAAGAAAGACCGGCATATCCAAACCCTTCCAGATATCTCCCCCAGCAAGCCCACCTTTCGCAATATGGTTCTGGTAGATTGGCAGACTTCCACTTGCCATCCTCCTCCACACTGCTGTTTTACTCTGACTGTTGAATCGTTCTTGGAGCTTCTTCGTCTCCTCATCCGCTCCATGGCCGACAAATCTATGCACACTAGCACTATCAGGCCCACCTCGACGATCCCAGTTTCGCCAAAGATCAAAAACGAGATCTGGGACCAATAGCAGCTTCCTAAACTTACTAACCTCGTCTTCACTAGGGGGTTCGGCGCGAGGACATATTGCCTATATTTTGCATCAGTATCGAAGAACAATGTATAATTTTAATAACTTGATTCCTTACAACAAGGCCCATGACATTCTCTGATAGCGCAATTGTTCGCGGCGACGTTGTAGATGCAAGTAAGGCAGCTATTGAGCACCCCAAGCTATGTCCAATCAAAACCACACCCTGCCCCGTATCTTTTTCCCTGTAGTCCTCGATAATTTTGCCCACAAGTTCTGCAAGAGCATCCACAGTATACGCATCCCAAGGTAGTTTTGTGTCGAAGGCAGAAAGACCGCAGCCTGGTAAGTCGATTGAAAGGCATGATGCCAAATTCACAAGGCTTGTTAATAGAGGGTTAAATTGCGCTACTGAGCCTCCCAGACCATGAATAAAAACTAATAGAGGTAGTGGAGCAGGTTTTGTAGGTAATTTGTCGGCTTGGGCATGTCTGCTGAAGAAAATCCGGAGTGAAGAATACGTAAATCGACTCGTGGTATAGGATCTTATCTCAGAATGCTTTTTCAATAGCCCCGGGTCGACAATTTCGGAGTCTACAGTTCCAATTGATCAGTAATCTTGTTTGGCAATCTCATTCTCTACGACAGAGGTAGGCATTGCGACAAAGCTCACCGTCAATATCAACGCTCCTTTTGGGAATTGTCCCATGTGCATTCCCATTGAGTGGTTTTGAGTCATTGGAGGTAAAGGATCTAGTATTACTCTTCCTTCCGTTTCGCAGATACCAGAAAGCAGGAAATACACTACACAGAGCTGCAAGTTGCACCATGTCCCGACCGCTCAACTTTCCTTGTATGATATGGGTATAGATTCGGCTTGCACTGGCTACAACAGCCTGTATTGGCAATATTAGTTTGCTAGAAGAGTTGAACCACGACGAAACGCTGTTATCTGATAAAGCAAGAACGAGAGGAAATAATAAACATAACCATGACAGCAGCAAGAAAGTCGCCATTCTTGTATTGGCAGAAACCAAAGATATGTTTTTGGGGGTCAGACAAAAAAATAAAAATCCTATCGGGGAATTTACTTCCTGTTTGTAGTGAAAGTCCTCATAACCAATGACGTTGTCACGCTGCTCTGTACTGTGCAAGCTGAGACCAACGTGGCTCTACTCGGAAGATATTCCTGGTGATCCGTTGCTGACTTGGGGAAGTTGTTCCTTTTTAATGATTCTACCAAAATCTTATTTTCTTTTGTGAGTAACGGTACACACCTTTGAAGTTTGCAGGAAGGGAGTAATTGGGAAGGTTTGCGGTTATTTGCGATTTAGAGATTGCGTGACTCAGTGAGAAGCTCGGTCCATCCTTACTCAATTTTGCAATTTTGCTCGTGCTAGAACTCTTTGTCTTCATTGGCCAAATCTCCTAGATCTCCTCAATATGGGCTCCTTCCTCGAGTTCCACGAGAATGCCATTATCATTGCCACCTATGTAGTATATGTACACCGAGTGCATTGCGAATACATCGAATTGAGCTGCTTGCGACGATCTTGTACTCTACACAAACCCAGTGGACCAATTGGTATGTAGGTGAGATAGAGGAAGAGGGGAATAGGAATGCAGCTGGCACGAATGGATAAAGTCAAGGCATGTCAAGATTGCTGCCAGTGCTTTACATCTTTTGGGCTCTGAGGTATGCGAGTACTACCTAGTATGTAAGCCAGATAGTTTTGGTGCCCAACATATGCCAACTTCAATGAGCTGGACATGGTCGTCTCCTGTCGCACCAGTGCTCTTCAGACTCTGGAAGCTGTGAGCATATCAAGTATCGAACATGTATCAATCACTTCTAGTTGGCTGGTGTTGAGCCTCAATTAAGTATCCTACCAAAGCGATAGATCATATTCGAGATAGGGTGGATCACATATGGACTGCTCATATTAAAAAATGAATCATCTAGTTTACGATTCCCGCATCTCGGTAAGGCTAAACAAGTAGTAAGGGTTACAGTAAAAGGGGCTGAGACAATCTACGCTGACATCTAGAGCAGCTGCTAAACAACAAAATTTCGTCCACAATAACGTATCTCGAAAAACTAGATGCTCTGTACAGATGGGAAGCCTAACATGCACCGAGTATCTTGATATCTGTAGCGAGTCAAGATTCAATTATTGTTATACGACAATCTGAACGGAACAGGGAGGACCTTCTTTTCTGAGCGATGTTTGCTAGATTTGGAAGGTGGTGTGTATTGAAACTGCTTTATCTTTAACAGTGGTGATGGCTCGGGAGTGGTCAAATCAATACTCCTGGAATTAATTCGTTCTGGTGGCCGATAGTTAGAGACCGCGGATTTGATCGGAGTCCGTTTGTATGACTTAGAGATAGATCTTGTTGCGGTACTAAACTCAGGAGCACTGGACTTCTCCAAGTATGAACCCTCTGCATATCTTCTCAACGGCGTTGTTCCAGGAGTAGGCAAAGCTTTTGCGACCCGCAAAGGTGGTGTGGCTGCGAAATCATCAAGTGAAGCTGTTCTCGAACTTCTTGAGCTTATATAATCGGAATCATCCGAGGTTGTATTAACTTCCTTTTGAGAGTTTGAAGACGAAGAGGGTACGCAGTGAAAGAGTGGCAAATTATGGCCAGGCCTAGGAAGTAAACTTTTCTTTGCCTGCTGAAGCTGAGCTATCGTTCGTGATCGCTCAGATGGTACAGCATGGCCAGCATGGTCATTGAGTAGTTTGCTACTCTTGTTTGCCGCTGAATGATGGTTCAGTACTGTGGCCCGCAATGGAGACGCTTTGGCATGCTTTTTTGAACCCAATGGCAAAACAACTTTCGCCGACTTCACGTCTACCTTGGTGCTTCGCAGATGAGATGAATCAGAATGTGACGCGTTGCTGGTAAGGACCTTGGGCGCGTTATAAGTTGGGGTTGGTTTTCCCAAACGATAAGTCATCGAATTTGACATTGTTTTATTGACTTCATCGACTTTTCGAGGGTTGTCGTGCAGCCTCTTGGCCTTTGGTTGCAATTCCTCGGGGACAAATGCCTCATCATCCTTATCCATCATTCTTTTACGCTTTCCCCCAGGTGTGTTTTTCCAGGAAGAGGGAATCTCAGGGATGCTATAGTCCACCAGCTTCGTTGGCCGTTTCATCTTGGGTGTAGAAGATTCCAACAATTGAGAATGCATCATCGGTGAAACATGCTTTGCTTGCAGCTGTTTCTTCCCATCCTTCTTCACCATTTCTGCTTCCACAAGAGTTTTTGCCGTGATTATCTCGAAATGGATGCCTGTCCCATATTCCAATTCAATAGCAAAGTTCCTACAACCATCGCAAGGGTCTTTATCCAGGTATATTTCCGCCCGCAGTCTTCTTTCCCGAAGTTCTTCGAGCCGAAACATAGCGATATCCCCGGTCTCGATGTCGTAAATCAAATCGCAGACCAGCATCAATATAAGCTTTTTCTCAACGTGACAAGCTGCGTACCTTCCAACTTCGGTTTTATCCCAGCAATTTCTCCGAAGTTTGAAGCCTAGGGAATTGCAAAACTGCAATAATTGCTATAGAGTTAACAAATTAGCATCGCCTCATAACGACCCCGCAGAAGTATGATATCTGATCGGTCCTTGCTATTGCAACAGCTGAATAGAACCAGCACTTACAGATGACCAGAATTCATTATCCCTCAATGAATCGTCATAATCTCCAGGTGGTCTTTTCCCCCAACCACTTGCGGCTTTAAATTTGACCTCCCCACCTTCGAATCGGATAAATCCATAAGTTTTGCCTCGTACACCTTTGTACATTGCATATGGTTTTACAAACATCACCCGTCTTCCCATATTGAGCATGAAAATCTCATCGCTATCAATCGGTATTACACGGGAAAAATATGAGACCGGATTTTCTTCAAGGTATCTTGTCATGGATTCGCATGTCCTTTTCAAAGCTGAAATATGTTCGAGGGAGTCTGACCTCTGACGGAGAGTATATGTTAAGCCGTGAGCTAGCTCAGGCATCAACGTACTCTGTGTGAACGTATTTCCATTTTGAGTGTAATGCTGCTTCGGGGTAGTTGAATACCCGATTGCACGTCTTGAACCGGCGCTGGCAATGGTGTTGGCAGTAGTCTGCACGGCTTCAATAATCGGTTTCGGCAAACCATGGGAATCAAAGATTCCATTCTTTTTGGTATGTCTAGGCATATCTTATCGTCGTGCATTGAATTTCAAGAGACGTCGAAAAGCCTTCTGAGAAGTTTGGATATTGAAGCAAGGAAAGCTGAAAAATTCGCAATTTGTGCGAGCTTTGAGGGGAAAAAGCAAATTGTGGCGAAGATAGCCGATCTAGATAATGAATATAATAGGTCACTTTGAGGCTTCTCCACGAAGGTGAGGCCTGAGACTGCAATTTCCCGTAATAGGATCTGCCTTGGAAAAATCTTATTTATCTGAGTGTGGTTTGAACTAAATCAACCTCGCTTGAAAACATCAAAAAAAAGTCCCCTACAATATCTGTCTCTGATCAATCAGAAGAATAGGCTAGCGAGCTTGACAGACGCAAGCAAAAGGCTTTACTGACTAGGTAGGTCGTGTCGAAACTCGTGGATGGCCTTTGTGGTAAACCCGAGATGTTGATGGCAATAGCTGACTTCAAGAAACAGCACGACTATGCCAATTAATTCTGATACTTGTTCACGAGTGCTGTGAGATATGATGACGACGAGTGTCTTCATGTGAAATTTGCGCGTGCTAGTCACGTATTATAATTTTGGAAAAATGATATCGTATTCTATTCCTTGCTTGGAAAGTCTGAATAACGAATATTTGACAGCCCCGGATTCATAAAAAATGCAGTAACCTTCATGCCGCCAAAAGGGGTGAATATCAGAATCAGATCAAGGGAGCTTTATCGATTTCTTTCGCATGTGTCTCATTCTAATTGAAAGCTGAGGATGAGCTTGATATTACATACATAAACCCTTTGTAAAGCACTTTGTCAGTAGCTCACGTCCTTCATTATCAATTCTTTTTTTCGAGTTTCGTGTACACAGTATCTCTGGAATCATGTTTGTCTCTCAAAGACTTTTGCTTGCTGTGCTTTCTATCTTGGAATCTTCCACTGCTTCACTAAACATCAGGGATGAGCTGTTCGTTCTTGACGGAAGAGAAGCTGCACCATATTTATGTCCTCCCCAGCAGACGATCACTATAACTACAGATGGATGTCCACTTGTATCCTCTTCCGTGCTTCCTAGCAGTGAGGTATTTTCGACTTCCGGCTTCTCGTCTGCTTCCACCAGCTCCGAGATTTTAACTACCACGGCAGTATCTAGCAGTATCGAATATGTTTCAACCCCATTGATACCATCGGCAACGAGCTCGGCTGAAGCATCAAGTCTCTCATCAGATATCTTGACATCCGAGTTTTCGACTTCAGGTGCAGCAGCCACTTCCACAAGTCAAAGTCTCGCCTCTTCGGTCGAGTCTTCGGTGCCAGTCTCATCGCTGTCGGGATCTCTTTCTTCAACCGAGAGCTTGGTATCCTCGTCGTTCTCGTCCGAGTCTTTACTTTCATCAACCAGTCTCCCTCTGGAGTCTACAACAAGCGTGGGTTCGGCGGAGCCCTCTTCTTACTTCACTTCGGCTTTCTCGACAAATTCGGAAGCACCTACTTCGGTCCCATTTTATATTTCGAGTAGCACGGTTCTTTCAGAGGTTTCTTCTTCAATAATCCAGAGTTCAATTAAATCTTCAGCAGTTGTCTCTGGAATCTCCAGCTCTTTGGTCTCGTCAGAAACTGGCTCCATCACTTCCGCCGAGATCTCACCATCTCTCACTTCAGAGATCTCATTTACCTCTTCCTCGGTAATCCAGAGCTCAATTGAATCTTCTGTGGTTGTCTCTGGAACAACCACAGAAATTCCTAGTTCTTTCGTCTCGTCAGAAACCGGTTCTGCTACTTCTGCTGAGGTCTCGCCATCGTTGACTTCCGAAATTCCACAAAGCACACCGGTGTCTAGTCAGGAAGCTAGCAGTTCGGTAGAATTTACACAATCGTCTTCCGTGCCCGCTGTGTCAACTTTAATATCGTCAACTATATCCAGTGCCGGTTCGTCGACTGATATCTCGTCAACTTTAATACCGTCATCTGTTCCCAGTGTCGGCTCGTCGATTGACTTCTCGTCAACTTCAATATCGTCATTTATTTCCGAGGTCGGCTCGTCTACCGAAGTCTCGTCGTCTTATGCCACCTCAACAGAACCAAGCAGTATATCCATATCATCCGCATCTGTTTCATCACTACAAAGTTCAGATGTCACTTCTAGCTACACTATTATCGAGAGTCTCAGCTCAAGTGCATCTTCCCTCCCATTTTCTGAAACGACGAGAATTCCTGAGCCATCGACGACAATCTCAGAATCATCCATTATTGTCTCAAGCGAAAGTTCCATCTTTACCTCTTCGGTCTCCGCCGAGCTTACTACTTCAACCGACTATTTCCCAAGCTCGAGCTTAGTCTTTAGTACTGCGGCTTCCACCACATACGTCTTACCCCTACCCTCCTCATCCTCGCTCGAATCGTCGCCACTTCCATCTTCGGCCGCACCATCCACAACCATATTAACCGTGACATCCGCATCTCTCCCATCCATATCATCCATTACGATAACCACAACAGTTATTAGTACCGTCGGAGGCCAAACCACCACGGTAGTGTCAACATTTACACAAGCGACCACCGTCGTAACGACTATCGCAACAAGTGTCCAAGTACCAACGACAGTCGTCAGCTTGGGTACCACAACGGTTTTCCAATATACCACCGTTGCACCTCCAGCTTGCACGGTTCGTCCAGCTCTAATTAACGGTGGTTTTGAAGACGGCAATGGTACCAATCCCTGGGTCGCTGTCGTCACAGGACCGGATCCACCTAGCTACACCATATCTAGCAACCCCCATAGTGGATCCAACAGTTTGTACGTCATTCCCTCCCCTCCTCCCCCTCTCTCCCCCCAACCCCCCCATGAAAACCCCACTAACCCCTCTCCCCCTCCACCAGAGAACTACTCTTCTCCCCCACAACCTCCCCCACCTCCTACCTCACCCTCACGCAAACCATCAGCGTCTGTCCCTCCTTCAACTATCTCGCCACGGGCTACGTAAAAGCCACCAATAATCTCAGCATCTCCCCCACCTCCAACTGTCACATCTATCTCGAAACCGCCACACAATCCGCTCCCGCCACCCTCATTAATTTTTCCACGTATCCTGGTTGGAGCATGATTTATCTGTTCTTTAGCTCGCCGGCGGATGTTGGGGAGCAGAGTATGCAGGTGGCGTTTCGCGCGTTTTGTGATGAGGATGGGGTGAGTGCGCCGGGACTGTTTGTGGATGATCTTTTGATTACTGGGTAGGTGGTGTTGATGTTGATGTTGTAGAGGGGGGAGGGATGGGGGGGAAAGAGGGAGAGCGAGAATTGAGTTGGAGGATGTTGGATGTTTTTTGTTTGACTAATGTACCGAGTATTGATGGATGTACCGAAGCAAGTGAATACTTACATGTAAGGTTAGTTAGTGTTTTAGTGTTAGAATGTTAAATTAGTGAGTGAATGAATTGTCGTATCTCACATGCATTAATAGATACGTACCTAGATAGATAAATAAAACCCAAAAATTCTACCGAGTATTTGTTTTGAGATGAAAGCCATGTCCGAATGAAATTGGAAATGGAAATGCATTCCTCTTGAAGAGCAAGTATGGTAATACCGGTATATATTCAATAACCGAGTCACGGCCGAAATAGAACAATGAGGCTGGCTAATATATTCGAGTAGATATTGTGTATATCGGTAGTCTGGAATTCGGATATTGGATATACTCGAGTATGTTATGTGAGTTGAAGTTGAAGTAGAGCTAGAATACATATTCGTACTCATACTCCTAGAACAAAGTACTGTACTCGAGTAGGATAGATAATATAATGGATGAGGGTAGGTAGATAGGTAGTGATATATACTCGTACCTCTGTACAAATAGATTGAACCTCCTCTCATCTCATCTCATATCTATAATATAAGGAAGAGAATAGCGCAGGTGATTATGTATAAAAACTTCACCCGAGGCCAGATAGACATACATCTTAATCGCAAATCGCAAATCGCAAATCATAGGGGTATCAAATTGTAGCTATCCTAAAAGAAGTGTGTACTAGAGTAGGTACTGTACCTATTGTACGGAAAAGGAAAAAAATAAGCTTTCTAGGTAGTCATGACCATAAAAATTAAGTCCTAGTTCGTTCCATTGTCGAATCCTCTAGACCCGACAAAATAGCGAACGCTCATACTTCTTTCGTAACATCATGAATACATCTCAAGCAATGTAATCTATCCAAAACCAAAAACATACTAGCCAACGTAGTACCAGGTTGCAACCGCTGCAGTTAATGCTACTAATGGCCCTCCCACTGTTAAAAGTCCCATCAATAAAGTCGTCCCTGAAATTATTGCGGTTGTTTCTTCGGAAGAGTTTTCACCATGAGCAAAAGGAGAGATGGAACACTTTCTTGCCAGAGGTCCCACTGTACCACCGGGCAGACCATCTTTAAATCTCACCAATTTGGCCATAGGACCTTCAATGAATGATGAATAAAGACTTGGTTTTCTCTCCATTCGTTCTACTTCATCGGAATTTTTGACCTCTCTCATTTTTGAAAGACGTTCTTGTGTAAGAGCAATACTGCCCCGATGTAATCTCGTAGACTGAGATGATTTTAACGTCTCCAGATCTTCTTCTGTACTTCCACATATTGAATCTAGTTCCGATACCATCATAACCATAAACGAAAAGATTGCTTGCGCTTCTTTGATGATGTCGGCTTTTTCGCCATCTGTCAAGAGGACTTCCGATTCTGCTATGCGCCGTTTAAATTCGCGTTTGATATCTTCGCCATCCTCATCCCCAACGAAATCGAAGAATTGGAGACCGTGTTTCTTCATCATCTGGCTACATTCAGAGCGAGTTTGGCGACGAGCGGAAGGGCGTACTTCTTGTTCGGGCTGATTTTGGCTGGGAGGGTGGATGGGTCCCGATGCTCGGGTGGCTTCGTAGGGACGCACGGGAGAGGGATCCCTATCCCAAAAGTCCTCAAATCCACCCGCCGTCTTGAGTGAAGCTCGAAGGTATCGACCGCCAGAGAATAGAGCCATATATAATACCCACACATATGCCAATAGCACATGTGGGTTTGTCTGCACAGATTGCTTCGTGTGTGCAATAAACTCTGCTAGCCTTCCATTATCCGAGACTGTCTCCAATTGCTTTTCGATTTTATGATCGGGAGTTCCAGTAAGAGTGCGAATATCGGCCTGGAGGCGCCCCGAACGCAAGAGACCAGGAAGAAGGAGATGTGAAAGTAAGGACTGAGTTCTTGAGCAGACTTTCGATGCCTGAGAGTCCAATGAATCAGATCTATCCCCGGGACAGTCCGATCTTAATTGTTCGTCACCGAGGGTTATTGGAAGGCTGGGTGCATCTATGATAGATTGCCATAGTGACTCGAAGGTAATGTAAATCGGCGCAATGTGGAGGATGCCTGAGACATATATCGACGGATTCGTAGTATATGGAGGCAAAGCGAGAGGCAAACGAAGGAGGATTAATCTGTTGAGCTGGGCATGTACAGCTCTTGTTGCAATATTGACTAAAGATTGTAGCTGTGAGAAATGAGGATGGATGTAGGAACGTTTTTCTTACTTTGTTCTGATAAGGAATGTTGAACTGGTGGGGGAGTTTGAAGAGGAGGATTAGAGTTGAGTATATTAGATTCAGCCATAGGTGCGATATATCATTCTGCGGATACGGAAAAAATGAGGAAGAATGTCAGGAAATAACAGACGCAGGAAGATATGATAAAAGAGAGTAAATAGGTAGATTAAAATCAAAAGAAGGTAAGGTGTATGGAAGAAAGAAGGTGGATGTGGGAAAGAATAGAAGTAAGTCATGGCCTGACCTTGTCACTTGAGCTATTTGCAATATAAGAGAGAAGTCACAATGACTCAAACCTTTGCGCGGCAAAAGGAAAGAGGGAAAGAGAGAGGGGGAGGGGGAGGTGGAGGGGGAGAATAGAGAAAGGCGCCTTATAGTGTAACAACTTTGCCGAGACCGAAAGGATAAGAAAAAACCATCCATAGCGTCGGTGTTGATAATGAAAAATTGTCCGCTAAATGAATATCACCCGCTCTCAATACCTAGGTTTCATAATTTGTTGTTATCATTACTTTTTTCGGGGAAGATGTTGTGGTTCTATGTATAACATTGTGCTATGGTAAATCGGAAAATTCCCCATCTTGTCTTACATCGAATTGTGGTATGCATGTCACTGGTCCCAACACAGAGATGAAAATGTAATATATGTATGACTTGATCGTGTCAGACTTGAATGAAACAACCAACATATTTAGACTATCTAAGACTATAGACTATAGACTATAGACCACATTGAAGGCTATATAGATATATATGTCACGTGTGACTTTTGAGGTATTACCGGTACGAGTATATCAGTCCCAATACAGAGATAGAAATGGAATATATGTACTCGAGTATGCCTTGATTAATCAACACATTATAGACTATATATTGCTGATGTTTATATCTGAGGATAGTCCTCGTTTCAATGAGTGAAGGCGATATATATATCACGTATGACTTTTGGGGCATTACCGGTATATCGGTCCCAATACAGAGATAGAAACGGAATAATCAACACATTATAGACTTAGTCTTAGTCTTAGATAGACTGCTGATGTTTACATTTGAGTACAGTCCTCGTATCAATGTGAAGGCGATGTATATGTCACGTACGTCCCCTTTCCCCCCGGTGAGCCTGCTTTGATGTTGCATTGACGAGAATTACAATTAAAATGAGGACTTGCGTAGAAATCTCTTACTGTAAGGTTAACTTGTAGAAGGAAAATAGAAGAAAGAATTATTACCTATCTGCGTTGATGAACAATTATAGCAAGATTGCAGTTGTCTGCCCCAATGCCATCGTAGGCACGGCTCCATCAAACTAGCGTGCTCTGCATGAAAACATGAAATTCTCCGATAAACCTTCAATTATCATTCATTCAAGATACCTCAAGATGCCTTCAAACAACTCTTCAAAGACAATGTCACTTACTTTATAAATCGTCAATAATTATCCATACCAGTACTACTGATGATCATCATCTGGCTATCTATCCAAAGTCCATAACTATATCGGCAAAGACATGCTCTCGAGTCTCGATGTCTGAATACGGATTAGGCCTAATTTCCACGCGAAAACCATGTGGCAAGGACACCCCTTTGCAACCATTAACCATAATATTTAATTTCGAGGTCTATGCAGCAGCAGCACATTGCACACCATCAACGGTTCCGCATTGCATTTCATTTTGTAGCATTTGTATTGATTGGGGAGCCAGGATCGAGAAACCCTTGTACAGTATACCTGGGATAAACTGGGAATGATGCTTTCACGCCAGTAAGGTTATGAGTTGCAAACGCGAAGTCATCGTCATCGTATCGCTCTCATTCTCATTTCGAGAGTCGAGAAGTCGAGAAGCCATAAATTTAGAACGGGTTACAGGAAGGACCTTAGCCTCGAAGATCAATCCCTAGTTCTACAACAGTGACCTATCAAATTGAGCTGGTTTATGCAAGGCTCAAGCTAATATATATGTTTTCGTTGGAAGCATTGGTCTACAATCAAGAATATTGGAACAAGAGCAGCGATTTCCTTAATATCATTACAAAACTTTTCATAATTACAAGCATCTCATCTATATGAAAGTTCTGTATAGTATGATCCGTGGTTAATATTCTGCAGGGTGCCTCAACCCAATATCCGAAGTTAGGTTTATATCGAACGTAGGGTTGATTAGTCTCCGCTCGCATATCGACTATATCATATATGAAATATTGCACGACAGTTGTTACCATAAAGAAGCTTAAGCTGCGTAAACTTCCAAATGTACCAAAAAGTCTTTTGAGAAATCTATTTCAAACAGGCATTCTTCACATGACAATGGATCATCTGTCTGGCCAAGATAATTCTACTATACGATCACCATCATTTCCTCTTCGACAGAGCTTTCCACATGCGAATCTTGACTTGGCCAATACACTTCTTTCGGACGCCATGAACAGCATCGAGGATAGCGAGGACCAGAGTCGAGTTGCTTCAGCACCGCTGAAGACTCCAGACTCCGAGAAATCCCAGTTTTTTGATCTACATCCACCAGTCTCGAGGTCAAGCAATGTCAAGATTGAAGATCTAGCAAAGAGGCTATTCTCTGAAGAACACTTGCTTTTCATTCTGCACGATCATGCATTATTTCAAAAGTTTTCCATCTTTATGAATCGATTTAGACCTCATTTGGTGCCGATCTTGGTTAGATATTTGGAGATGACGAAGGCTATGAAAGCAATCGAGTACGCAAATGCAGTCGCGCGAAAGATTCGATGGCCCTCCCATGCAGACTTACGGAAATTCTCCAGAGTTCAGGCTGCTGCTGTAGACGTTCAATTCGACGATTATTCGACGAAAGAGCTCATTTTGCTGGTCAAGGAAGCTCTACCTGCATGGGTAACTTATAATTTAACTAATATTGTTGTCGACTGCGTTGAAAAGGATATAACAGGTCATAGAGTTCCATTGCTGCAAGATTTGGTGGGAAATCTTGCAGAGGTTTTTTGCCTTACAGATCCATCTGTTCATGACAATCCTATAGTATACGCTACAGAAGGTAAGCTACAGTTCACACACATTCTTCTAGTTTAGGACTTGTACTGATATCACGGTACAGAATTTCATCAAACTACTCAATATGGAACGGAGTATGCCATTGATAGTAACTGTCGATTCCTTCAAGGCCCATGCACAGACAAAGATGCTATAATCCGAGTGTCCCAAGCTATTGCCCGTGGGCAAGAGGTCAGCGAGACCTTATTGAACTAGTGTGTGTCCATCTCCGAATCGATGATCTAGCCTAACTCAATAATGTAGTCGCCGAGATGGAACTCCCTTCATAAATCTCTGCATAATTGCTCCACTCCATGATGATAAAGGAACCGTTCGCTACTTTATTGGTGCTCAAATTGATGTTAGCGGGCTCGTTGAAGAAGGTCGAGGCATCGAATCATTCCAAGCTTTGCTCCGAAAGAACCAAGAAGCCAGCCAAATCTCTCCGAATGGTGACACTACTAGTACTAGGGGCCCTCGTCTTTCAGAAAATGGAGATTTAGACACCAAGAAATCAACATTTCATGACAGAACACAGGACATGCTTGGAAAGCTCCAGGAGCTGAGCAATATGTTCAGTCAAGACGAGGCGGATATCGTCACAAAAAGTTCTCGGCTTTCCGGTAGCGATAAAAGCAGTGATGCAAGCTCAATAAGTTCTGGGGTGCCGACAATTTATAACGGCCGCGGTCCGAAAAGAATACTAGATTCAGAAGATACATCTGTTTTCGGATATCGTCTCTCTCAACTCAATCTCGGACACAATGGGCCGGGTGCGAGCTTACCGGGCGTCTACAAGCATTATCTTCTGGTGAAACCTTATCCAAGTTTACAAATCACGTTCGTGTCGCCGAGCTTACGTCTTCCCGGTCTACTGAGAACGAATCTCTTTAGCAAGCTAGGAGGATCACAAAACACATTATCGGCACTAGAAGAAGCTTTCAAAGATGGAGTAGCTGTAACAGCCAAAGTATTGTGGCTGCCTAAAAATAACGGCGGTGATAATGGTATGATGACAGGAATAGGGAGAGAGGCCAAACCTAAATGGATTAGATGTACACCATTATTGGGAAACGATGGTCGAGTTGGTGTTTGGATGGCTGTGATGGTTCCCGTAGAAGGTGATGGAGGATGTGGAAGTAACGGACATACAATGAGGTTGGGAGTTCCAAACATGCCTTCACCCATTTCAGGCGGCATGGTTCTAGGCATGGAGTGGGATGGAATAGTTGACTATGATGTTGGAACAAACATCGTCAAGGAAATGGATAAAAACGTACACCATCAAACAAGCATTCACGGGGATCACAGCATTGTGTTACCACAATATACTAATGGACGAATAAGCCGTGCGAGTGTAATGACCCATAGAGACGACATGTCGACTGCAGAGGATCCTGAGTTTGAGACGGGAAAATCAAGAGACGCAAGAGCTGGAACCGTACCACCAAGTGGTCTAACTTATGGAAGAAATCATGGGGGATACGGATATGGAATAAGAAGGAGCAGTTCTCAAACACAATTATCCAACCGGGCACATGGCGAAAGGAGACACGCCGGCGGAGGACTGCAAGCTGGAAGCCCTTCGAGAGGGCAAGGCCGACTTTGGATGGACGCCACCAAAGGAAGTGATACAGAGATGTATGCGGAATACTTGAGGAGCTCATCCTCTGCTTCAGGAAGCATTAAAACTAGCAATGTGAGAGTACACTCGAGGACGGGTGTAAGGGGCAGGAGAGATAGTGGGATTGTTGCGGAGAGCTGATAGATTGCCATTGGACTTGCGTTTGTGAATTACATATATCCTTCTTCGATACAGCTTATTATCTCTGTGGTTTAAGGTTCGGTGGGGGATTTGTAGGTAAAATGGATAGGTATGGATAGGTTTGGATAATGGGAATGGGTTGGATAATGTCTTTGAATTAATTGTTTATTTGCTTCCTTGCCTGCTTTCTTCCTTAACCACTTGCTTGCTTATTTGTTTGTTTATTTATCTGTAAATTTGTATATACTTGTGTTTGCTGGTGGTAGAGAAAGTAATGATTGATTGAAGCAGTTAGTCTCACTATATACAAATCTCTGGTATTACAGATCTCGAAATATGAGATGAGATCCAAGGGACAACACACTACAAATCAGTACTTTGAAGTTTACCATCTATTTACTTACTGTCATCATCATCATGCCTTAAATGCTTCAATATGTGCTCTATATTATATTCATAACTAGATTGGAAACTTCCAAATATACACAAGCCTTCCAAGTTCCATCTTGGATACCTAGGCACTAGTAGTCCTCATCTTTTAGGTAAATTGCATCACATCACATGAACTTTGTCCCAATTCACTTATTAGACTGTTAGCAAACTCTTCAATTCTTTCTTGTGGAGAGATGAGATTTCAAATGTCAATATTGAATTAAGATAATGAATGTAGCTAGCTTATTACCCTCTCTTAATATCTTTGTATTACTGGAGTAGTAATAGTCACGTTCCATTGGGACATTATCAAGATCTCGGTCTTTCAATGTCACTGTCATTACAATTCTCTAGTTGTTTTGGGACTATAATGCTAGGTTTCTATAGTCAATATTCTGCTTGTACAATGGGTTTTCCTGTTTAATTGATGTGGAGTACTATTGGGCTCCTTTCTAATTCCTAAATTCTGGGTCAAACTCTAACAGATAATTTGTCCATTCCCCATAGACGTGTCTCTGATATACAAAAATCAACATCTTGAAAGGCAAGAACATAGTAACGTTAACCTTCCCACTGTTCCTTCCTAATAGAGTTTTTCATGTAACTGAGTAATAGCCAATCAAAATGATACGGAGCTGGTCCTTAGATCTCTCAGTCTACAAGTTTAGATCCACGGACAGTATTGTATGGCTGATGCATCTTCCCTAGGTACTTATCTGATCTTATACTTGCCATTTCCCTTTTGAGTGAATAATTCCGTCCATTGTCTACCGTAATATCAGAAATTTCCAATTTCTCGGTCTGACCGTATTGCACTTAATCTTTACAACTTCCTTTCTTCCTTCTTTCCCTATTTGTTTTTCCCCCATTCTTCCACCACCACTTCAACAATACAATACCTCTATTCTTTCCCATCTTCATAACGATATTACCACTATTATCTTCTCATATTACCTTTATCATAATATTCATAATAACAATATGTCGGATTCTAGACCATCGATATTTCCCCCTGATGGAGATGTTCTCATTATGTCACCCATGGGCAAACAATGGAAAGTTCACTCATGGAAGCTCATACACGTCTCCTCAGTCCTTGGTGCCCTACTTAAAGATGTTTCACCACGAACTGTTACCAAGGCCATGAGAACTGAAGGGACGACTGTTAGATGGTGGATTGAGATGAAACCCTTTGCGGCCTTTGATGATCCTCGTTTCCGAGATTTCGAATGCGTTGTAAGTACCTGCACCTCACTTTTTTACAATTGTCCCAAAAGAGAAGATGACATGGTGGTCACATGCGCAAAATACTTTTATATCTTTTCAGGTATTCATAGTCCAAGTGCGAGTAAGACAATCACTAACCCGCATTCTATCACAGCCGATGAGCAAAAAAGGAAAGCTTAACTTGAATGGCGCTGGTGCCTATAATGGCATCGGAGATGTGCCGTTCGAAAAAACCTACGACAACCTTTTCAAAATGATGTACTCCCTGACCCCAGATTTCACAGACGACGTCGAGGATGGTGCAAATGGCTATATCACCGATTGCGTTTCCGTTCTCCAAGCTGCCGAGTACCTGAACGCCTTGCCCTCTGTTCGTCCATTCGTTGAAAGTTACCTGTTGCGCATCAGCCAGAAGTTCTGGGTCCATGTTGCCAAGGCCCCCGAGGCATGGTCCGATATTGCTTGTAGTCTCCAGTCGGCCATTATCTTTCGCGAGTCCATCATCCACATTGCAGGTGGTCTCGAGATCCCAGGACAAATCAAGAAAAGCAGATTTGCGAATACTCGGTTCGGAAAGGTTTGCCTCGAGACAGCGGAGCGGAAAGCTCTGGAGCTCCGAGAAAAGAAGCTCGAGGTCGAGCGTCGGTTGTCGCAGTACTATCCAGAGCGTCTCATTCGCAGAGAGACGCCCGATAAGATTCCCGGCCGTGCCGATTATGGTTCGGATATTTACTATTGGCAGGCTCTGATTATATGTCGTCAGTTCTTCCAATCTGCCATCCTGGCAAATCGACATCATCGTCACGAAGATGGGGGCGTGGAATTCTATCGTACCGTGTTTCGCTGCGATTATGTCGATAAACACTCTGCAGATGAGTTTCATCAACTCTTTGCCATGTCGACCAAGGGAAAACAGTGTCTCGCTGAAGCGGTTGAATCGATCAAGGATGATCATCGCATCATCATCGCCGAACTTTTGGAGGACAACTTGCAACTCCGTACCACGGTCAGAAGCAAGCCATTGCGATATCTGACTTGCATCAACATCGCCGAGGAAGAGTTGCCTTGGATTATGAATCCTAACTTATATGCAGGCTCTGATCCAGGACAAGGCGGAGACGAAGACGAGATTATTGACGAGGGTTCAATGAGCCCAGAGAGAGGTCCAGCAGAGGTCATGAGTGAGGGCGAGGCTCTTAGCCCGGAGAGAGTTCCAGGTGAAGAGGTCAGGTTTGGTGAAGATGCCATGGGAATGTCGGGAGAGGAGAGACTGGAGGCTGATGCCGAGGAAGATGAGGGCGAGCCGGAATATAACGAGGATGAGAGTGCAAAGGATGAAGATGAAGATGAGTATATGGAAGGCGCATAGGTACTTCTCAGATACTTACTTCTTTTTGGTATTCTTTGTGGTGATTTTGGTCTAGCGCGGCGTTCGAGCTTCTTGTTATTTATTTGCCGGGATGGATGTTTTGATTGAGCGGGCATCTGGGTGAAGAGGTTGGCTACAAAAATGGGAAGTGATAGTTTAGAAGAATCAGTGGGTGGATATTCTCGAGATAGCTGTAGCTAAAGCTAGGACAGCCTGCCAATTTCCAAAATCTAATTTACAAATTCAAAACTCTGAATATGTCAAGTGATCCAGTGAGGTATTAATAACAATCTGGATTGCACCAAGTCTCAAATCTAGAATCAAACTTTCAATGTCTAATTTACTCTTAAAGATCCACTGATTTTCAATATCTAATTTATTATTATAAATTGATAAATCTGATAAATTGACAGGTTTTTAATATACAAACTGCAAATAGACATTCTAGTTATCCAAAAAAAAAAAAAAAACTAATTGGAAACGTTACATGATGACACTTTCAATATTATACAGCCCTTGGCTCCTTGCCTAGACATTTATACTGTATTCCAAATACCAAAATTATATACTCGAGTACTCTAAGTAGTAAGAAGTTCTAATTTTCTAATTTCCTAATCAGCAAGAATAGGTAGGTATACCCTCACTACTCGACCATCTAAGTTCAGCTGAAATATCGAGATATCAAAATCTATAGAGGAAAAATAGCGAATTTCTGCATGTTTGAATTATCTGAATATTTGAAACCGTGACTTCCTCGTGGTTCAAGATTGGGTGTTTGGGTTTGGATTTGGATTTGGGTTGATGGATTGATTGATTGATAATTGTGATATCTGTGGCTGGCTCACTTGAAGGTTCGATAAGATGGGGATATATTGTACGAGTAACTACCAACTTCCACTGTAATTGGAAGTTCTGTGGTGGTTTGGTGGTTCGCTTGAAGACTGGGCTGGGAGGTAGATGGAAGGTAGATGGAAGGTAGGAAGGAAGGTTGTGGCTCACTTGAACATCTGGATAAGGTTCGGTTACTATGGAATGTAGGGTATCTTCTTTTGGTTATAATGCTTGGGATTAGGAAGTGAGTAGACGAAAGTGGGTAGGCTTTGTATGTATATGTTTGTACCGGTATGTATATATACTTTAATCAAATATCATGATATTCTGTTCTTGTTCAATAAATATATTGTGAAGAAAAATACATCCACTCTCGGTAATTAAATGTATATCTTCTATCAGCTTCATCAATCAATTTTGTCAATGTGAATATATATATATATATATACGGGTTAGTTGAATGTCTATACAATATCTGCATTCCTTCAAATCACAGGCCTTTTACTGATCAATGCCCATTTAGTTGATTAGATTAGATTAAAGTGTATCGTTTCACCAGCAGAACTTCTAAGTTACACTGCATATTCAATTTGTGTGCGGACGTCATATGTAACCACACCCGCAACCTCACGAATGCCATTACCCACCTACGCCACCGGACCTCCATTGGAGATGCGGCCCCCGCAGAAAAATGCCCGCTCCAAAAGAAATATAATCTTCTATATCCTACTCACCCTAGCATGTATCTGGATCCCATACATGCTGTATTATCTCGCGAACTCTTCGAGTGTCGATTTCATCATGGATGACGAGACGGGAGAGATGGTCCATCATGAATATGGAACGAATGCACAACCCGCGTTTGCGGATATGATACACCTGATGAATCTACCGTCGGATTACCTGCCGCAGACGGGGAAACATAGGAAGCCGAATCGTTTGATTATCGTGGGGGATGTGCACGGAATGAAAGATGCGCTGGTGGATCTACTGGCCACGGTGAATTTCGACGAAAAACACGACCATCTAATCCTAGCCGGCGATATGATATCCAAAGGACCCGATTCTCCAGGGGTAGTCGATCTCGCGATGAAGCTGGGAGCGTCGGGAGTCAGAGGAAATCATGAAGATAGGATTATTCTCGCACATGCCGATATGGTGGCACAACATCTGGAAATGGAAATGGATGCACCCGGGCCGAGCGAAGATCCAGAGAAAGTGATTGATGGGTTGGAGGAGGTTAGTTTTAGTCATGGAGATTATAAGGATCGGGCATTAGTGAGGGCATTGGGGGAAAAGAGAATTAAGTGGCTGAAGAAATGTCCAGTGATTTTGAGAGTGGGACATCTGGAGGGCATGGAGGAGGTGGTGGTTGTGCACGCTGGGTTAACCCCGGGGGTGGAATTAGAGAAACAGGATCCGTCTATGGTGATGAATATGAGGACTATGAAAGATGGGGTACCCAGCGAAGAAAGAGACGGAAAACATTGGAACAAGGTATATTCTGTCTTCACATCCCGCGCTACCATCTTCGGGAATAATTAACATTCGACAGGTCTGGAATAAACATCAAAAGAAACTACCCAAGAAAGAACGCACGACCGCCATCTACGGTCACGATTCCAAGCGAGGTCTTCAGTTGGAGAAATATAGTATGGGTATAGATACGGGATGTTTGAAAGGCGGTAAACTTACCGCTGTGGTCATTGAGGGTGGAAATTCGACGCCGAAACATAAAGTTGTGCATGTCAAGTGTAAGGATGGCAGGAAGCAGTAGAAACAGGAGATTGCTCAGGGTTAGGTTACTTACCTGATGGGAGATGGGTGGGAATTGATTGCATTAGATACCAATTTTTAGGCGTTTGAGGAGGTTTGTTGTTGGAAATGAGTTGATGATGGATGAACGGATACATATTAGGTATTATGAGTTGGTGATGGATAGATAGGATACATATTGAGTATTACGAGTTGGTGATCATGATGAGTTTCACGTTGGATTTTATGATGATGGATAGTCAAAGTTCTCTGGGGAATATGGTGAAATGAGGGCAAATCCCAACCGTGTGTGCTGTAAATGAGTATTTGTTCCAAGCGTGGGTAGATGGCAGGGCATTACGGCTACAGCTCCTTCGGTTCAGTCCGATTGCTTCAACGCATGAGCTTTGTAAAATTATGTCTATACATCTTGATGGGCAATCTCAAAAGATAAACCCATCATCGAGGCCCATCTCAACCCAATTCGAACCCAGATATATCCTCCAACTCCCAAGAATTTCGGAATCTATCCCAAATTCGAACCTAAACTCCAATTCTATTTCCCATTCATCTAGATGATCTAAACCGCTTCATCCCCCATCTCATCATGATCCACCACAACAACAATAGGTATTACTATTCTTTCTTCCCCCACCTGCTGCTGCTTCTCCTCCTCCTTACTCTCATGATTAACAAATACAAAACTGCCCACCACAACCAACGCACCCACCCAATAAACCCCAGTACTCGTCTGCTCATTCAACCACATCTGCCCCACCAAACTCAACGGAATCGTCATGCTCAATCCTACCGTGACCACCAACGGCGTTGTCAAGAGCATGGCATACGCCCAGCAATAATCGCTTATGAAACTACTCAGAGAATTTAATAATACGATGAGCCAGATTTTGCCTGTGGGAGGCAACTCGAACTTTTCCACGCCGGAGAAATGCAAAATGAAGAAACCGGGCCAGAGAAACATCACATTGAAGAGACCAACCAGTCCAAAGAACAGGGGCATATCGACACGATCTTCATTGCCACAGCGTTTCTTCATCACGACTGCGTAAAGCCCATACATGACCGCGCTTCCAAAGGCCATGATATCGCCAATAGCAATCTGGGCTTGCGATTTGTGTGGAAAGTTTCCGCGATTCGAGTCGTTGTCCGTACTACCTAGATCGACCGAGGAGATAAGGATGATGCCTACGAAAGAGGCGAGGACACCGAGGAGTTTGCGGATGCTGAATGATTCGACCCGGATAAGGGCGCCGAAGAGAAGCGTGAAGATGGAGGAGGTGGAGGTGAGGATTGTGGATGAAGCGACAGATGTATATTCGAGGCAGCCGGCTACGAGGTAATTGGCTATAAACCAGAGGAGAGAGAACTCGAGGGAGAGTTTGGCGGTTTCGGATACACTTAGTTTGTCTTCCTTTTCTTGCTCTTGTGGTTGGGCAAGATTCCTATCAAGGTCGTCGGCAGAAGCTAGGAGACGGGAGTGAGAAGCACTCAAAGAATCGTATTCTTGATCTTCTCGACTGGATTCGCGGGTACGCCATCCTTTGCGGAGATTCTTGAGTTGAGAGCTGTAGTCTGAAATTTGTTCATGATAGTAATCCACCAGAGTATCCTTCACATACGACCACCCATGTTGCCTCGATGTTCGCAAAAGAATAGGGATCAACGATACAGCAAAGAACGACGTGTTGATATATGTAACGAAATAAGGTTTCGAGTAGGTGTTATCGGCGAAGATGTACTATATCTACGATATCAGTATAGAAATCTCACCCCCCTTGACACACTTCCCATCTCCAGATACCAAGCTTGCGAAGAGGGAGGTATGTATACTCACACTAGCAAGAAAATTACTGCTCGTCCACAAGATCACCGTAACCCCCAATAACACCATCCCCAGCGTCCTGCGCGCTACATGCTCCAAGCCCACTCCCGCTCTAAATCCCATACCGGTACTCTTACCAGAACCGGCGCTCGTGCCTGTGGTCGTCCTTTCCAATGCCAGTCTTTGAGTATGCGTCTGCATTACCGCAGGATCCGTTGGTACGCTCATGGCGCCAAGTTCGATTGATTGTGCCGTTTCGTTCTTGAATTTCTGTTGTGGGATGCGGTCCTTTTGATAGCCTTTTAATGGCCTTATCTATATCCCACCTATGCAATCGGGATTAGGTGTTGATTATGTGATTCGTATGTGAAGTAAATGGAAGGTCATGGAGGTCGTAAACATATACACATATATTGATACATTAATAATATGATGGCTCGTATTGTACCACCATATGGTTCAAGCGTTTGTGTGCGAGTTGGTGCAATCAATATATATATATAGATGAAGTAGATGAAGAGCAGCGAATGAATGGGGAATACCGGAGATTGAGCACGCGATCGTGAAGTATTAACAGCCCTTTTGCAAGTTGGCTCTTGAGAAAGGGGAGAAATAAAAATATAAAATGAAAGCCAAGCCAAGCGAAGTCTGACTTTACCTCAGTACCTCTAAATACCTGGATCAATCAAGAGTCAAGTTCCTGAAGAGAGACACAAAAATAGGTCGGCGCTGCCGGCAACCGTTATCAAACGCAACTTTAACCAGAGAATGAGGTCGAAAGGCCAAAGATTGATGCTAAATAATACTTATTCCAATGTCACTTCAAGTAACACTACGGTAATCACATTATCGAATATAACTGTTTTGGATGCATGTAAAGTGGTTCGTCCCAAAAACGTTTCAATGCAAAACTATAAAATGCGTCTTGCTCATTATGCATTCTGTATCGTCAAGGAAACTAAAAAAAATTCGCAGACCCGATAGCGCCAGAATGATCCTTATGTACAGTTGACCACTTCCCATCAAAACTTCCAGTATGAATTCCCTCGGTGGTTGAGAGGGTAGGGTGGAGAGGAAATGGAGACCAAAGACTTCCAACCCTTAGCAGATCCTTTTTAACAAGGACAGTCATTTCCCTCGTTCTCGATATGGATGTTAATAGGATCCGAGTAATCTCCGTTGTATTCTTCCGATTCCTCCTGTGCTAGGGCGTTTCTTGCAATGACTGAACGAGGAAGTTAGCCGGGAATAATCACAAAAACTAAGAGATTAATTAGTTACCTTCAAAGGCCTGCTCAACATTGATGGCCTCCTTTGCACTCGTTTCGAAGTATGGAATATTGCCTTTCGAAGTACAGAAAGTCATGGCCCGTTTCGAAGATATCTAGATTATCATTAGCAAGATACCCTGGAACCACTTCGACGCCAAACTTACCACTCTCTTGTTCTCCTCGACATCAATTTTGTTGCCTAAAACGACCTATGCAACCATCAGCGCCATATCGATTTTCTGTAAAATTGCCAAACTCACAAACGGGAAGTTTTCTGGATCTCTGGGCGAGGCCTGGATCAAGAATTCGTCTCTCCAACTATCCAATGTGTCGAAACTTTTTGAATTATTGACATCATAGACGAGAACACAGCAATCCGCTCCTCTGTAAAATGCGACCCCCAAAGATTGGAACCGTTCCTGACCTGCTGTATCCCAAAGCTATAATCCAATTATCAGCTTCCATATCCCAAATGCTATACATGGCGTAGAACCCTCACCTGCATTGTAACTAATCGATCATCAACCAGGACCTCCTTTGTCAAGAAATCCGCCCCGATAGTCGCCTTGTAGCTTGCACTAAACTTCTTGTTGACCTAATCCATTATCAGTATCTTGGACAGGCGTATGAATCGCAGGTAGAAGATGGAGGGACTCGGCAGGTGTCCAACGTACATATTGGTTCATCAAACTTGTCTTTCCCACACCGCTATCACCTAGGATAATAACCTGCGAATTTCTGATCAGTGTCGAAAACACTCTTCAGATCCCTAGTGAAAATCCTTACCTTCAGCAAGACCTTCTTTCTTGAAGCCATCTTTGCTTGTGCTTCCTTGATCTAATCTCTTGTCCTCACGAAGCGCTAACTTTCTCCCTTCCTTTCCTCCGCCTCTTTCACAAATAAAAAAGGAGCGTAAACACGTAGAATGAATGGCCGTTTCAGTCGTAAGAAAGTATCTTTTCCTTCTATTCGATGATTCGGACTTTGTAAGTATTTATTTAGTTCTGGTGTTGCTTGATAAATCGAGAAGTTGAAGAGGGAAGAGGAGGGGATGAGGATGAGGGAACATCAACATTAACATTACATCGGCAAGCTTAAGCTTTGGTCCTTGCCTCGTGCTTCTTCCAAACCCGCTAGCGCCGGCCGCTTCATCCTATCAGCTTTTTGCCTATCGATAAATCCACTATTAATACCCGTACCCCTCAAACATGCATATTTGTATTGCATACTGCATCTTGCATGATTCTAGAACTTCTTCATTTCTTCATTTCTTCATTTATTCATTGATCCATTTATTCACTCACAAATTCTCGTCCGTTGAAACAAATACCTTTACTATCTTCTTATCTATAGCTTCAGCTTTTCGTGGGACTCGACTAACGGGCAGAGGTTGGATTCTATGATTGTTTACTGACGGATAACTATTGGAACTTTCGGAGCAATGCTGCCTCGATTCATAATTCAGCAACCAAGAGACCGATACAATGACTTCCTGGCGCGATGAGTATATTAATGCTCTACAAGAGCGCGATGAGCGAGAACAATCTAGCTACCAAAGATTTGATCCGCAGTTTATAGAAACTTGTACGAAACCCTTTCTCAAATAAATTCTACTTTAACGTTGACCACTTTCAAAAGATACCCAGCTCCTCGACCGAGTCTCTGCCTTGACCGCAGCAGCGGCTGCTCATGGTGTCTCATCCACCCCCGCAAATCCCTCATCTCTCTCCTCTTCCTCCACATTTCAAAAACCTTCCTCCAAAAGTGCAAACCAAACTCAACTCACCCCCTTCTCCGAGATCATCCAGCTCCGCGCTTCCTTGGCAGAAGCACTCCGTTCCTCCTCGCACTTTCAATCGCGCCTAAAAACTACTGAAGCTTCTCTCCAAGGTCTCTGCACTAAAAGTGCTTCGGAATCTAAACAAATTGAGATCTTAACTCGAGAACGAAATATCATGGAGATGAAGATCAGGGATAGAGATGAGGAGCTAAGGGCCAAGACCAAGGGGTATCATGATGTGCAGGATGAGATGATATCTCTGAATTTGCAGCTGAATATAGCAGAACAGAACACGAAGAGGTTGAAGGCGGAAAACAAAGAGTTGATTGATAGGTGGATGGCGCTAAAGGGGAGGGAAGCAGATGAAATGAACAGAACGTTTGGGACCTGATACTGACGATTTATGAATCATTCCCACTGCCCTCCGTTTTAGAATCGCAGAAAAGCATGAAGTATGCACGAATAATGACGCTGGTACATATACATCCGTCTATCAATACATCTATTTAATACCGACCCGCTGTTGGCATCGCTGTGTGCCCGAGTACCCAATTATAATGACCTGCCCAATGGTATCAACTAATACAAGAAAAACGATCTGTCCAAAGTCCAAAGGCTTTCTGCTCCTACTTCTGAACATGCCAATGCAAAAATCATCCAACCCCTCATCTTTCTCTCCTCTTTCTCTCCTCTAAGGACTTGTGATAATTGGCTACGATGCTGCTATCTTTCGTAGCAACATAGTAATCTCCTCCACCACCCTGCCAACTAACATCCCCTTGCGCGAACGTCTTCTTTTCGACTCGTAATAGATTGATCGGATTATGTTGATTATAATGATTCATAACATGACCATCCGGCACGAAAGTCTTCAAACTCACAATCTTGCAGCCTTCTTTTAGATCCAGAAATAAGTTCACAAGACTTTGATTTAAATCAGGGTTAAAGACTTGGTTGTTGACCAAGATAACATCAGCTCTCCTCATCGCCTCATGAATCTTGGTGTTCTCCAGGAAATTGCCTTCCTCAAGGTTAACAGATCCGGCGCTGAGACCCCAAGCCCGACAACGTGCAAAGAATTCTTTCTTTTGAATAGAAGCAAGTTTACAGCAGTTGGGCATTATTTCGCAGCCCCAACTTTCGCAGCCAACTTGTAGGGCGGCGTGAATGACAACGTTTCCTACTCCCGAACCAAGATCTATGAAAACTTGATCGGATTTCATACGAGTATCTGCCTCGAGAATTCGAGATATGAACGCGAATGTGAGCTCACCGTAGACGTAATCTGTGCCGTTCTCGTATTCTCTAGTTAAGTCAACTTGAGGGGATACTGCTCGGTCGTAGACTTGCTGAAGAACCATTCTGACGAGCTTAGACGATAGTGAATGCTTATTGTCTAAATTCTTTGCTAGTGATCCGCTTTTGGTGAGAACACTGAGCGCTTCGTTGTAGACTCCCACGGCATTTCTAAACTCAAGTAATAGCTCCTTCAACTTCTCTTTATCGTACGGCCTTTTATTATGTTTGTCGTGGAAAGTATGAGTGATGTTATTTGTCGCTTTTCTAATCTGGCGAATTATGCCCGTTTCGGGATGTTGGAACTTCGCTGCTTGTTCCTCGGTCAGATATTCGTCCCTAACGATTTGCGCAATCATTGGTATTTCTTCGTAAGGGTTGATCAATTCCTCTTCATCATGATCGATGACGTCGCCTTCGGAGATGACTTGGTATCTTCATTGATAACATTGATTAGCTTAGCCTTAGCCTTCAGATGTCAAGTTTGCACTCAAAAGGCGTACCTTTCCTTGCGACTAACGCTTGGATATCTTAGTAAAATTGCTTCACCCTCCTCTTTACTATTGAACCCTTTCTCGACCCTCTTAGCTCTGCGCTTCGTCATCATAACATCGGCCGCGTGAATCATTTTACTTTCGGAACCTTGATCATCATCAGCTGCAGTCGAAAAGGCCTTTTGGTCCCTCAGACTCCTCTTCAAATCAAGTTCCACGTTTTCCGGCTTAATCCTTTTGGCGGGTATCCCAATCTCTTCATCTTCCTCGCTATCACTCTCCAACGGTCGATGGCCAGGGCTTTTTCGCGACTTGATATTTGTACTTATTTTCGAGCCACGACTGCCGCTGATTGTACTTTCCTTCCTCTTCTTACCTGCGCTGGTTGCAAGGCTGGAGGCTGCCAGCCTACCACGAGTGTCCGTGATCCTCGTCGCAGGCCCTCTAGCTTGAAGATTGTTACTCGATGTTCTACTGGGTAAAGTCGGCCTCGGAACTTTGATGGTCTCGGTTTTGTATTTCGGAGCCTTAGGCTTGATTGGAAGATTTTTCTGTCCAAAATTCATGAAACTCATGACTTCTATGCAGAAGAAGATGGAGTATTGAATACTTAGGACTAAAGCTGCCAAAAAAATTAATTAACAGATGTTTGCACTATAATCCCAATATCGGGTGAGAAAGTCAATGTAAAAAGTTGTGTATGGTTGAGTTGATATTTAAAGACTGTATTTAAAGACTGTAAGGTGATAGGATATTATATTTGCAAGAGTAAATAAGTTCTGTCTGGGAGGCACAAACCAAGTCAAGACCCAAGGCTGCACTACTGCACCTAATCACGCTAGCACTGACTGGCCACGTGATCCTCTTTTTCTGGGAGAGACTGTTCTAGAAATAGTTGGAGACATTTAGCCGATATTCTCGAAACACGGGAACACGGGAATACGTGAATTAGAACACATAGCACATAGTATTAAGTTGTTTGAACACAGAAAGCCTTTTTTTGTGTACTCGAATACACATATACAATTAGTTATCTATAAGAATGTATCGAAACCGTTATATACATCAGAACATATAAATTAGAACACATAGTATTAAGTTGTTCGAAAACATAGGAAGCCTTTTTTGTATATGAGTAGATATCAAAAAAGGTTGTGTAACACCAATTGACAGAATCATCATCTCTTGATATGCATATTTGGTGTTTATTCAATATTCAATCTGATCATGTCAGGGATCAGATATCAGATATTCAATTTAGTATATTTCATTTGTGATACCCATATAGATGAGATGTAAGTCCATAAGTGTAAGTAGCAAGTAGATGATGTGTGAGAGAATCTTGGAAGTTTTTCTTTAACTTTGTTTGAATTTTGCTACTTCAAATTATCTAACATCACAAAATAAAAGTCCTTACTAACCCCATTTGATCATTCACAATAATTTCAAAAGTGCAATCATAGATACAACATAAAGGAAACCATAGGCCTATCCCATCTAAATTATCTTAGCTCATAGCCATCTCAGTTCACATAGGTAATCATCCAATTTCTCCTCATCACTCATGGGTCTACCATCTCCAGACATGAAACCATAAGTATTGGGAGTCAAAAGGATCATATAGTGATAGCAAGTAAATGGCCGTAAGAACATAGAAAGTATGAGGGGTTTCATTGTTCCTAGGAATAAAATAACTTTTTGATGCCCTGATTTATTTTGGAGAGATAGGAAAGCAGATCAGCAAACACAGATGCAAAAGACCCAAAAAGACCTAAGAGTATGAGGTGACAGGTGTTGTGACATGCCAATCAACAACACCGTGCGCCCCGAAGAGGTAAACAACATTTGTGCAAAGACCACCCATATGAAGTCTAGATGTTACTAGTATGAAGGGTAGGTAGTGAGGTAGAGTGGAGTCCAGAAAGCTTTTTGTATGCTGCAAGCCTTCAATGTAGCTCTGGGCCAATGAGGCTAAACATGGACATAATGAAAATCTAGACACAAAGATTTATGTGGATCCAACGCCGAAGGAAATCGATTTGAGAATTGAGGAACAGGAAATTATTCTATTGCCATTTGGGAGCATTGAACTTATGACACTATATGCTCAGTGCACCGAGAATGCTTGCTCGGTTTGTCAATGTTTCATTGAAAACATGACGCCTCTCAAAATTTGATATCTAAGAAGCAATAGCACGTTGGCCTGCGTTACCACCTCGGTTGTTTTTCTTGGGTTTGGACACTGTGCTCCAGCCATCCTCCTCCATGGCAGTAGTTTCAGTTGTCTCGGCAGGATTCTGGGCTTGGGCTGGTGCAGCTGCACTTTGTCCACCACCATTTGCGTTATGTCTGTAGTTTCTTCCTCCATCATGGTTTCTTGGACCTCTTGGTGCATGGTGACCATCACCTCTACCCCTTGGGCCTCTTGGAATATCATCTCTGGGTGGTTTAGGGCCAGATGATGGGCGTCTCCAAGCACCAGTGTCAGATGGCTTTGGTCGGGCATCACTAGTGTCGGATGGCTTTGGTCGGGCATCACGCACAATCTCTTTTGGTTTGACAGCCTTATCATCAACGATCTCACCATTTGCGTTCTCAGTTTCAATTGTCTCTCCTTCCTTTGCTGCTTCTTCTTCGCCCTCACGTTGTAAAATTTCAACCTTCTTCTCGTTATCCTCGATCTCCTTAGCTTTAGCAGCCTCCCTTTCCTGCTTAGCCTTTTCGTCGGCATCCTTCTTCTCTTTGACAGCTTGTTGTCGCTTCTCCTCAATTTCTTTCTCCTTGGCGGCGGTATCAATTGGACGAGCAGCTCCGAATGGGCTTGCCTTGGCATCTCCTGTAGCAGATGGCGAAGACGAATCAGTAGGGGCCTCCGTAACAGTACGCTTTGCGAGGTTTAACCTAGGCCTACCACCAGCGGGGGCAGAAGGAAGGGCTGGAGAAGCTGGCGCCTCGCTGCCTTCGCGAGATGGAACGGGTGACTTTGCAGCTGGTGCAATTGGTGCGTCAGGTCGCATCTTGCTACGCCATTGGCTGTCTTGATCGGCAGCGGTGGGTGCACGCTCGACGGCGGGGCGCTCCTGGAACTCGCGTCTGGGTGGTCTGGATCCGTCTTGCGAGCCGGAGCCTTGACCTTGAGATCTGCCTTCACCCCAAGCGGCTGGTGAAGCTTTGCGGTCTCTGAAACCTTCAGCCCTGGGTCCATCGGTTGTTCCTGGTCTGCCACCTTCTCTTGGAGCACGTTCTTGTTGGGCGAGAGGTGAGAGTGGGCCCTTTCGCTCCCAGTTTCCGAAGTCTCGGACTTTGCCATCACTTTCGGGTTCACGGGAGGGTCTACGCTCGCCGCCTTCCTCGCCAAATCGACTGGATTGGTATCCTCGATCCGAAGGGCGACGCTCTCCTGAGCGACCTGGCAAATCTGGCAAGGGTCCCTTTCTGCTCCAATCGGTGATTTCTCGTGCATCAGGACGGTCACCGCGATCCTTGGCTATAGCATGTTTTAGTGGATAGCGCAAATGCGAATAGCATCAAACTTACGGGGATCAGCAACACTGATTCTGATATTACGTCCTTGGAATTGACTTCCGTTCAAAGCCAAGGCGGACTTGAGACCTTCCAAAGAGCCAAACTCTGCATATCCGAATCCCTTTGGTTTCATTTCCATCTTGTCCTCGATGATGCGAACATTGATACACTCGCAGCCTCCAAAGAAATCATTAACATCGACAATGGTGGCATCGAATGAAAGGTTTCCAAGATGAACAGTGTAAGGTGGCTTGTCAGGAAGAGGCAGTTCCTCGCGAACGGAATAACCTGTTGCAAATGAGAATCATGAATTTTTTTGAAGAATAAGACACTTGAAGGGAAGTGCTGAGAAACTCACCTCCAGTACTGTTACCAAAAGTACCAGTAGTAGCGCTGTATGTACGTCTCTCGTTACTGCTTCCGCCATATCCAGAAGGGCGTGAGTCTGTTATCGTCAGTAAACATGTATCCTTGCATAATTGGTCACGACCAATTTGCCCCGTTTGCAATCACATACCGGCTGAAGATAAAAAATTAGCAACGCAAGATATCGATACACGAATGGAATATACGTACAAACTGGCATATCCTCCATCTCATCGGCCCATGATCCCAACTCTGTATTGATATCAGCACGGATCTATGATTGTGCGCAAACAGTAGGCATTCATACTCGTGTCAGTCAAGAAGTCCCCGAGGGACATCTTCTGCTGTTCCTTTTTCTTGGGAGCTATGGCACAATTACAATTAGCTATCACATACTCATCAATAGCCTACAGACCCACAACGACAGCATCGTGGTCACGGTAGGCAGTCAACAAACGATTAGTGAGGGGGAGTGCTTACCCATGATTGCGGCTTTTCTTTTAGGACACTGCGCAAAAGAGTTTGCGCGTTGTCCAAGAGAGAGTATTAAAGGAACTATGAAGTCCTTCAATCGATCGTATGTATTTGGGTTTGGAGTTGTTCTTTGGATATTCGAGGCTGGTCGAATATTATTTTTTTGGTTTTAGAGTGGAAGAATCGAGGTTCTTCGTGGTGGGTTAGTATTCAAAATAGAAGAATTATTAAAAGTGCGAAGTTTTACCAGGGTTGTGCGAAATTAGTGGGGCAAATTATTCACTATACTTCATTTGGTTTTTCTTATATTTTGATATATCAAGATATATACAAAACACAATACTATACTGTACTCGTACATGTATTATAAATCAATATAGATATCTAGATAAGGCATTTCTTTCGTTATCATTCTAAGATTACCGGTATACGAATGACTACCGATGATACTACACTTACTTATAAATAAGTCCCGATTTTTAGTATCATGCAGAGAGACGATATGACAGCTTCCGGAGAAAAGGGAGACTCTTCTTCCTCTTCAATGGCTCCCACCAACCAAATTCAAATGGATATTATTAAACCTGCTTTACAATTTGGTGGTCTTTCCGGTATGTTCTGATCTCGTCTGCCTTGCTTCATGTTCGTGTAAAAATATTTGGTACGCCCCAACATCACTTTCGTCTCTATCATCACGTGTACGCCTTTCTACGGATTTGCCAATCGTGCTCGTCTTCTACGTGTATTGACCAGAAGATCCATCCTGATATTCTGATACTATACTATTAAAGCTAATACTCCCCTCAGCACTTTCTGGTACCATATTTGGCGGATTCTCTGGTATCCTCGTCTCTCGAACCCCAGTTCTATTTGCCGTCGCCAGCTCCATCCAATGGGGCGTTATCGGCACTACCTTCTGGGGAACTCGTACCGCTCTTCTATCTCGTTATAAGACCGCCTCCATGTACCCAACATCACAAGAAAAAGCCCTTTCTACTGCCATTGCCGCCTCTCTTGCCGGTGCAACAGGAGGCATACTGCGTGGGCCAAAGAATATTCTACCTGGATTTGTCGTATTTGGAGCGGCTGGATATGTGGGACAGAGAATTTATGATGCGGTGGATGAGAGGAAGATGGAGGAATTGAGGTTGGCGGAAGGTGGAAAGAAGGAGAGTGGAGAAAGTTGGATGAATTCGAGATGGGTACCTTGGAAAAAATTAACCGATGATGAGTATGAGGGGATGTTAAAGGAAAGATTGTTGAAAGTTGATGCAGAGATTGCGATTTTGGAAGACAATTTGGAGGCTCTGAGAGGGCAGCAAAACAATGAAGCACGGAAGCTTGAAGGCATAAATGGAAAAAAGCTATAGCTTCCTGGAGGGCAGGCTAATATTCTATACACTATTGAGAAACTGAGGTGTCAATTGTAAAAACTTGCGGCATTCAATCACATGCGACCACCACGATCTCCTTTGTCGATGTCTTAAAGTACAGCTTTTGATTCACTTTATAAAATGAAATTGATTTAAATTGATGTTACATATACATTACGCCGGCCATTTTCACCCTATCCATCATTTACCACACAAAGCTTTTTGGTATCTTCTCGTCTACCACAATGCCTCATCACTCCTCATCACTCCTCATCATCCTTCTTTGCGGATCTGCTCCTGACCCACTCCTCGGCAATTGCTCTTACCTTCTCTTGTGACTTTTTGTCACCATTAGTCTCCTCCCACTCGCTCCATCTCCTAAACCATCCCTTCACGCCCTTTGGTTTCAATCCCTTGATTCTAGCCACTCGTTCAAACACTCCCCTGACAATGCTATTGTCACCTGCCTTGATTTCCAGATCCAAAAGCTGACCCCAGATGTCCAGTCTTTTATTCCATTTCGCCAACACACCCTCGAAGATTGTGCGTCCACGTTCTGAAGACCCGTGTTCAGAGCGGAATTCTAGAGCTGCGAACTTGAGCGTCAAAGGGAGATGTGTGTGTGGAGGAAGGGACTGAGTAGCACGTGCAAGGAGAGTACGCCCGCGATCAGGGGACCCAAGAGTATTGAAAAGAAAGTGGGCGTAATTAACCCAAACAGTGGGAGATTGTGAAAACTTCTTGGTAAGGGTTTGGAAGAGTTGATCAGCTTTCTGTGGTGTTGTTAGTGTAAGTCTTTTGGATTACATGGGACGGTGCCTTACTTCATTTTTGCCGGATTGAATATAAATACTAGCCAATCGCTCGTGGACCTCTTGACCATCATTGTACTGGCAAGCCCGTTTGAACACCTCTTCGACACTTTCATCGCTTCCATATGCGATCTCCAGATTGATAAGAGCAAGCCAGATGTTAAGTTTCTCGGTTTCCTCGCGCATATTGATAGTCTTGATGGCACGCTCTGCAATCTCTCTAGCTTTACCTAACTCGCTGAGTTGCATTTGGAAAGCCATATACTGGGTCCAGAGACTGGAAGAGTCTGGCTGACCCAAAAGGAGACGCTCAAAGTCACTGACAGATTGCGGTCCGTTGGCATCAAGATCACCCGTTCTATCGATCTTAATCTCCGCCTTTCTCTTCTTCTTTTTGGGCTTTTCTTCAGCGCCTTCGTCGTCCGAATCCGCATTAGATTGGCCATCCGCTTGGTCCAGTATATCAGCAGACCAATCAAACCCACCGGCGCTCAGGGCAGGAACATCATCTCCAGCATCCGGCATTTCCTGGTCAGAATCGAAGGCGTCATCGCCCTCTTCTGCAGCACTTTCAAGGTCTTGCACATCATCAAGGTCAATGTCGCCTTGACTGTCGTCATCAGCCTCGTCGAGATCCATATCATTAAGCTTGACGCCCTCCATACCATCATCTTCACTATCATCTTCAGATCCTTCTCCATCTTCCAAGTGTGAAGCCTTCATGGAGAAACTAATGCGTTTCTTCTCGGAGTCCATTCTTAATACGACAGCTTTGACCTCATCCCCCTCGGAGTACAGCTTCTTGACATCATGTACACGCTTTTCAGCCATTTCACTTTGGTGACAAAGACCGCTAACATTTGCTGAACCGTCGACGACAATAAAGACACCAAAATCCTCAACTTTACGAATCTTTCCGGTAATAATTTGGTTTACCTGGATATCGTTGAATGTCAAAGGCGCAACGTAGTCTTTATCGATGACGGAAGGTTTGAGACTCAGTTGAATGTGGTTCAAAACCTCATCAACAACGGTAACCTTGCCTTTAACCAATTGGTCGACCTGAAATTCAGACTTCCAGTCTTTGATATAAGAATCCGAAAGGTCAGAAATTCGAACATATGCTGTGACATTACCGCCCAAGTTGACGAACAACCCTTTGTCAGCAACGTGTTTGACAAATCCACGCAGAATGTCATTTACTTTCAATTGGGAAATTGATGAGATTTCTGGATCTTGAACCGCCGCCGAGGAATTTATGACTCTGGATGCTCGAGTCGATAATCTAACCCGTTTGTTGGGGGTATCGAGGTCAGTAACGCAAACACGAACGATATCATTCTTAGAGTACTTGGAAGGGTCAACTTCCGAATAGTCGTCGCAGAGGTCCGTGAGGTTTATGGGTGCGGAGATGCTATCATTTAGCTGCACCATCACCTGTCTTTCATTGACTCTGGTTACTTTTCCTGGTACGATCATGCCTTTGCTTAATTTATCAAAAGTAAGGGCCTCCGAATCTTGACTAGAACGTGCAGACAAATCGAGACGGTTGCTTTCGACATCTACACTCTTGACGTGAACCCGTATGGCTGATCCAATCGGAAAGTTTGCTTCTAAGTCCTTCAGCAATGATACATCATCAGATACATCCAGAGCGCTGATACGGCCACGCAAGTTGGGGGATAGATTGACCCAAAGACAATCGGCTCCAACATTGTTGACGAATGCTAACCAAGAAGAGCCAATCTCAATTTTGTCCAAAGATACAGGGTCTTTGGCAGCCTCGGTTTGATCACTGGGCTTAGCGGACAGTTCAAACACCAGAGTCTTTCCAGCTCTGTGACTAATAGGTAGGAAACGATGGTTACGCGCATCGTGTATTCCTAAGACGCGAACATCGATTATTTGCTTCGGCGAGAATGACTTCAGAGGTTGTTTCTTGGATTTTATCTCCGACCAAGAATCAAAAGCTTGTGATACATCAATTCGGCCCTGAATGTTATCGGCAAGCTGTACATTCACTTGAGTATCCTTAACGGAAGATACCTTTGCTTTCGTAAGTCGGCCCAGGGTGATGTCATCAATGCTCTTAATGGTTTCATCGATAGGATTTATTGCTTCCTGATTGGTGCCAGGGGCTAAAGGTTCCTGGGACTTCTTGTCAGAAGTAGCGTCAGTCATGGATAGAAGGAATCTTCGCTGTCCATGGTCGACGGCGAGGACTTTAACTTCCACAGTTTGACATTTCTTGAATCCAAAATCTGGCAAACGAAGATTCTTCTCGGGTATCTTGTTCTTGGGCAAAAGTCCGGTGAGACTGCCTCCAAACTGCACAAAAACTGCTGTTAAGGTTATGTTCTTGACGAACCCATGCACAGTCTTCTTCTCCTTCACATCGTCGAAGATTCTCAGTAAAGTCTTGTTCTGAGCAGCCTTGACAAGCGCCGGTTTGTTAGTCAAAACAATCAAGCGTTTCTGTTCAAGTTTGTCCAGTACAGCAAGATCTGTCAATACTTGGCCAACTCGAATGTTCTTGAAGGAAGAACGACTTTTGTTCTCTGATCCATCGGTAAGATGACCGACAGGAAGCGTTGCTCTCAACCCAAGTCCCTGAATTTCGACGGAAATATCATCATTCGACTTTTCTGTGACCAAAGCAGACACAATCTCGCTGATTTTGAGATTCTTCAACGCATTCTGCTGTGCCAATCCAAAGACGGACGGATCTTTGCAGGAGACAGTCAGTTTCTTAGCCTCGGGGTCAACCTTCAGAACATGAACGTTAACAACTTGGCCGACCTTGAAGTGCTGGCTGGGATCCTGAATGTAAGCCTCGCTCATTTCAGAGACAGGCAAAAATCCTCGGATTGTGCCGTAGAATTGAACCACCGCACCGGTACTTATGATATTCACAATAGTACCTGGGCTTTGCATCCCAATAGTTATGTTATCATACGAGATGAAAGCAGGCGACTCGGAGTTGACCAGTGTCTTCTTGAGCGTTAATCGAATTTGTCGTTTTCCAGGATCTGTGGAAAGAACGCGGGCCGTGACGGCCATGCCTTCCTTGAATTTCTTTTCGGGGTGAAGCAATTGTACGTCTGCTAAGTGAGTCTCTGGGACGAGACCAGAAATGTTTTCAGCCAGGTTAACCAGCAGTCCGCCGATACCCTTCGCGTTAACAATAAGCTTCTCAACCTTTCCCTTCACAACCTCTCCAACCTTCAAATCTTCAATCCGTAAATAAGGCTGTTCCAGAACACTTTTCTCCAAAGAAATGAGATATACACCATCGAGGGAGTTATAGCCAAGAACACGACCACGGTGGACTGAGCCTACCTTGTATGGGCCTGTTGTTTCTTCCAAAACCTCTATCTTGCTGTCTTTGACTCTAGAGATGTGGACAAACCCAGGGATGCCCTTAACGCCCACATCCACAAAAAGACCGACTCCAGACTCGACTTTCTTGATTGTAACTTCTTCGATGATGGCAGAAAGAGGCAGCGTTTCGAGTGGATTTACTTTATTTCCAGGTCTTCCCGCTTCCTGTGGCAACAGCGATGTAACATGTTCTAGAAGAGAGACACCAAGTTTTGGGGGGTCGTAATTTGGAAATGTACAAATGACTCTACCTCTGACCTTGGCACCAATTTTGTATTTCTTTTCTAGCTCCTGGTTCATTACACCAGTCCCCGAATGCATCAAATCTGCAGTAACATCAACCATACCCATGACCTTTCCGGTAAGGCCCCTGGAGCTGACATCAACAATCAAGATTTCAACCGCAGTGCCCGGGAGAAAAGCGTCCACCGTTGGAGCATCTGTGAGGTAATTCGATTTCTTCAAATTGCCAATCTTTTGAGCGTCTGCGCATAATTTGACCGTCTTTCCGTTGGAACTGAGACCAGTGACCATGCACAGAAACACGGCGCCTTCCTGCACATTAGCCAACTTTACTTCGTGGCCAATGTCTTTTGCACCCATGAAACCACGAATACCAGAATCTTCAAGTCCGATATTCATGATCAAACCATGATCTTCGACACTTGTAACAGATGCCATCAGAGTGGTATTGATAATAAGATTCTGAGGAGTAACAGCATTGTTGGCATGTTGAGGTCGGAGGGATAATTCGATTCGTCTTTTTCCCTTTCCCAGTGTGGCCGTATTTGTATCGTCGCTGGTGGAAATGACATATGCTCTTAAGTATTGACCCATAGAAAACATTTTCTCCAAATCAATGTCCTCCACCTCGAGATCATCATCTGCATCGTCCTCCTCGGCGGCCGCGATCGCCTCAATCCGTTCCGTAGCTTTGTCCGAAATTGAAGTAATGGGTACATATCCCGTCAGGTTATTTGGTAACGATAGAGCAATATCTGTAGCATTGATCTGGGATACTTGACCAAGTACCAAGGAGCCTGGCACTAATCTCTGCACATTGTAAGTCATAGTCAATTTTAATTTTTCTTGATTGTAGAACACACCTTATAGCTCAATCCTTCAATTTTGACAATCTCCTCTTCGACTTCGGTATCTTGAGCGTTCTTTTTGCCCTTACCTTTACTCTTCCCCTTCTTCCTTACTTTTGGAGTATCTTCACCCTCTTCATCTTCTCCATCAGGCTTGGAATGTTTGGCACCATGTTGTTCGAATAGAACGTCTCTAGTAGCATCAATCTGGATTTGTTTATGCTCCAATGGGGTTAATACACTTGCGCCACCTCTTGGAAATGCCACTTCTTCCTCCTTAGGTCGTGATATTTTGGTTGCTGGGGTAAATTTTGTGGTAGATGTACTTTTCCCCTCATTCTCTTCTGCTCTTGGTCGTTTCGAAGGTCGATCATCAGATTCTGAGGTTTTCTTCGATCGCATAAAAGAATCATTGGTAGGACCAGACTTTCTTTTCTTGTCAAGTGGTGCCATTGTCGTTGACTGAAAGGAAAGACTCGTGAATATTAAGGAAAGAAATATTGTTGTCACACAAGAACGAACGACGGACTTTCAAGAGCAGCTTCACAACTTTTTTTTTCCTATCAATATCGGCATCGCGGAAAATTTAAAGATTGATTACAGGGTTTGAATCGATTCATTAACGAAGACGGGCCGAAACTTACCGATATGCAAGGCTATACAAGGCTGAGTAAAGTAATCTAATTCTTAAGTACGAAGTAGATAGGTAGGTAGATGCAGTAGCTCAGATATTTGTTTTGAACTTTGTCCAAAAAGAGTGAGAGTGAGAGTGATATCAATACCTACATAATTGCCTAATAAATCTATATGATATTTATTCAATTTAGTTTCATTCTATCCCCTCGCTCGAAGTTCTTACCTCTCAGTCAGATTTCTTACCGCTTTCTAATATGGATCTCTGACTAAAGAGCTTCAGTCACATGGCAAATAAAATTACATCAGAAAACTACCTATAACCCTACCTACCCTACCTACCTAACTACCTAACTACCTACCTACCTAGGTGAACCACCAAAATTTAGAACATTCAAGATCCTACCTAATGAGCAACACCCTCTAAAATTCTCCAGAGACTCCATACTTTTACTGGTCCCTCTCTATTCTAATCCTTATCCCCAACATTATCTATCTATCGCCAGTAAGGTGATTACACATTTTCCTTCTACTCGAGTAATGCTTTGACGAATTGTCAAGAATCATTACGGCGTAACAAATATACGACCAAACCAGACACCCTTGCACGGGGCGAATGACCTTTCTATTCGCGGGGAAACGGTACTTGTTGGTTTAGTGACATGAGGTTTCCCTGATTCAACTCATTTAAAAGACGCGCCCCTTGGAGGAAGTCGGAAATCGATCATTCGAACAGTCAGGAGAAATCGATTTTGGGATGCTACCCTTACGCAAACGATCAAAACTAAATCCGTATACGGAACAGTCAACAACTTCTTCACAAGATACCACAGAACAGGGGCGTACTACTCCCAGTAACATTCAGCATGCTGCGGCTCCCAACAAAGAGGTAAAATACCCGAATGGTTTCGTTGCTGTTGAGGTGAATCATGTTGGTGTAGTAACGCTAACACTTACGGTGTAGCTCAAATCGAAGGCCAATTCGTATGGAACCTGGCCGCGCAAATCTATCGCCTCTACACAGGTAGCGAGAGAGACAATCTTAGCCGATAAACCATCGAATGGGAGTCATTACGATCAAAGAAAACCTTCATCAGTCGCATCTAGACCCCCATCAATGTTCCCAGGGAAAAGTAAACCAGCATCGGAAATAACATTGGGCGTTCCACCACAGGAGGCTCCGAACAATGAGACAAATAGCAAGGATGATGAGAATGTACCACGGGATGTTGTGAATCCGCAAACACCTCGAGCCCGATTTTTGAGGGAGTCGGATACGCCCAAAGAAATCACCTCGACAAGCTCACCGGTCGCCGAAATTGCTGAGCGGCCTGCCACCTCTCAAGGCTGGTTAGGCTGGCTAGGCATGCCATCGCCAACCTCAAAAGATTTGGTTCCTATGGTTGAAGAGCCTCGAAGGCAAAATCCTGAGGAAATTCCTTCGGATGAAACAATTATATCGCAGCAGACAATTCTAGACGAAACGATCCAGGTCCCAGACCAGACTTTGTCATCGTCGAGATCATGGTTCAATTTATGGCCAGCCTCTCAACCTCCAGTTCCTGCAGAAGGCCTAAAAGAACCAATTGTGACGCAAGTAATGGAGGACAATCCTGACATAGTAATGGAAGATGCATCGGAAGATGCACCTAAACCTGCACCGCCTACTACACCGAGTAGATCTACAATACAACCTGGTGGTTATACTTGGGCGTCGGCTTTTTGGTACACCGATAACAACAAAACGAGTACCGATCTTCTCGAAACCCCGGATAAGGGGGGAATCGGCGAGCTAGCTGTCTCGGGCGATCAGTCTCAAAGTCACCCGTTACCAGCCAAGGTGGTTCCAGCTGTCGATACCAAGGCATCTCAGGCCGATAAAAAGTCGAAAGGCAGCAAAAGTGGTCGACTGAAGTCTGTAGAGATCGAGGCAATCTCACAGAAAACTGCAAGTGCACAATTAGATGATCCACCCAAGAAAGTCACCACCCCATCCCAGATTTTATCGACACGTAACCTATTACTTCCATCTGTACAAAGTACTTACCACTTGATGGGAAATCCCTCAATCCTACGGCAGCTAACAAAATTGATTATACGTAGTCGACAGAAACCCATGAAGCATGTGTTTTTGGCCAAAGAAGTACCAAAGATCAAGAATGCAGTCGCAATAGGTGTGCATGGACTATTTCCTGCACCTTTACTGCGTAAACTCATCGGACAGCCTAGTGGGACTTCAATAAGATTTGCCAATCATGCAGCGGCTGCTATTAGGCGGTGGACAGATGCACACGGGTCTCCCGATTGTGAAATAGAGAAAGTGGCACTTGATGGCGAGGGCAAAATTTTTGAGAGGGTTGATAAGCTATGGAGATTGCTCAGTAACTGGACCGATCGAATACGACAAGCCGATTTTATAATGGTGGCTGCTCATTCACAAGGCGTGCCCGTTGCCCTGATGCTTATTGCAAAGTTGATAGAGGAGGGCATAGTATCATCAGCTAGAATCGGCGTATGTGCAATGGGTAAGTTACAAAATCTCTCCCTGTATATAAATTTCCTAACAGTGTTATCAGCTGGTGTATCATTGGGTCCTTTTGCCAGTCACCAAACTGGGTACCAAGCAGCCTTATTTAACGAGACGATAACAGAACTCTTCGAGTTTGCAAATTACGAAAGTGATGTGGCGAAACATTATGAAAAGGCACTTCGACGAGTCTTAAAGTATGGAGTAAGGATAACCTTTTGTGCGAGTATTGACGACCAGCTCGTATCTATTGAGGCATGTTGAACAATTTTCCCCGTTTCCTTGTTTTCATTACTAAAAATTCAACAGTCTGCCATCTTCTCGCCTGCAGAACATCCCTATATTTACCGAGCTGTGTTTGTGGATGGACGTATACATGCTCCGGACTTTATCGCTCACTTGGTCGGCTTCGCGTTGAAATTACGCAACCTCGGTGTGTCAGATCATGGACTCATTCGTGAACTATCGGCGCCTCTGGCCGGAAGTCTTTATACTGGCGGTGGTCACTCTCGTCTCTACGATGAGGACAAAATCTATGAGTAGGACCCATTCTTCCAATCTCATTCGGCCTCCTTTACTAACATATATTTGAAGCATGGCAATGGATCACGCTCTTACCACTACCTCAGTACCTGATGTCCCACTGCATATATCCCAATATTCTCCACCTACAAACGCAAACCCTTACGTTTTGCCCTGGATCATGCGTGGGGTTCTCGAGGAAGAATTTGTGAAAACAGAACTGCATACCGAGGCAGTAGAGCTACTGGAACAATTCGATGATTGGAAACCTAGTAGTAAAGTTTTACAAGATGTAAAATACAGATTAGAGGCTGTCAGATCTAAACTATGACGAGAAGTCTGCGTTGTACATCAGTTTGATAGGGAATTTTAGAGATGCTGTATTATAACATTGCGATTCGGGACAGGGGCGGCGTATTATCAAACATTGGAGTTTGGACAGCAGGATACATGGGATGGGATGATAGCGTAGGCGTGGGGCGGTTTTCCTGGGCTTTAAATGTTTGTAATTGGAGATGTGGTACCCTCATTGGATCTATTAATGATAGTGCAAGAATGAGGATTTTATTGCATTCGTCTACTACTATCATGTACTTTTTCCGTTCTCTTCGTTTTGTAGGCTGGTATTTCGAACAAAATTACACAAGGGCCAAAAGCTTCCCCCAAAGTCCATATCGTACCTATAATATGCTAGTCAGCACAGTCCTTACATAGATCATTAGGTTGGGATATGTATGGAATAAGTCATATACAGGTCCTAGGTCAAATTGGTCCTGTTCAAAATTGCTAAACCGTCATAGTGATATCTCATAGACAGTAGACAAACAATAACCATGCTCTTCCACCTTAACCATATCAAAGAAAGTAGGAAACTCACCAGTAATTAGCAGCAACACAGATCCCCTCATCTCCACAGCTCTGTCCTACTTTGTGATACCACAATGCTGGTAAATACAACATATCTCCCTTTTCCAGCGTCACATGCATTGGTTGAGCTAGATGTGAGTATTTCGTTGGGTTTTTGGACGGTTGATCTGGATCCCAAGTTGCGATGGGTAGTTCTGTAGCGGGTGAATCCAATTCGATAATGAGGATCGAAGGGTTAGATGTAGAACGCATATAGGAGGTGGATGGAAGAGATACTTCGTTAATGCAGGAGTGGAAAAGAGGGGGGAGGAGAGTGAAGTGTTTTTGGCCGAGGATCTGTACGTAGATATTTTGATAAGGATCTTTATGGAGAGAGGTCACTGAGTGCGAGTTTCCTATCCACTAAATGATGTGTGAGACAGGATTTGAGAAAAATGATGACGGGTGGGTGGGTGGTTCTTACGAGATTGATGGCGTCCGGATCTTGCTGGAGTGCTATCCTGGCGAAAGATATGTCCTTTTCGACATCCGAAAATATCGACGAGTATTCATTACGTAGATTGTCATTCTCTGTACAGTGTTATACATTAGATGAATGAAATGGCTCTTAGCAGGAAATACATAGGTAGTACAAAATACTCACGTGTTTGAGCATAGTGAACCTCTTCTCCATCCTTTCTCCCGCGCAATTCTTGCTGCGAAACAAAATCCACGAATTTCGCAAACGGCCGCGACTCCTCCCATGGTTTCACAAACACGAGATCCCCATCTTCGTTTGGGGTGGGAGAGTCGGCGTTTCCGTGGGGGGTCACGGCTACGTTCACTTGTTGTGAGGAGAGTGTGGATTTGAGATGCAATAGTGACCATGTAGATGTTGCTTTCCACTGCGACAATGACCGTTAGTGCATGAAATGGGTATGCAGTAAATGATTTTGAGAGTGTTCCTTACGTCCGAAGCGAATCCTCGTACGACGAAGGGTCGATTCAAGGAGACAAAACGCATAAACTCGAGGGCTGAAGGCGCTTCATTCAAAACAGTTATTGTAGACGAATTGAGTTCATTATAAGTGTTCAATAGTTCAGCTATTGGATCTGATGAAAGAAGATCCATTGTTTGGTAATCAGATACTGTTAGCTGTTAAAACAGGAATATGATGATGTTGGCAAAATCAATCTCATGGGGTTGATACAAGTGGAAAAAAATTGATGTGGAGAAAAGCTGTACTCAATGCAACACCGGCAGCATCGTGTTATCGCGAACCATTATATCACAAAACATTGCCAAATGCACAGAATATATTTTAATTCAAGGTGATATTTCAAGGCGAATCTGTAGGTTTGAAGAACAGTCTTTTCAGCTGGACAACATGAGGGCTCTGCTATGTTGCGACAGATAAAGATTGGAGTGGCATTCATGGATTGTGAATCTGATTTTGATTTCTTAACCCTCTCCTACAGCTAATTGATGCTCTGTATCACAAATTCCAGATATGCTACATTAAATATACTAAGTGTCCAACGCGCCGTGTGACTGCAAGTTACAATGTCCCTCGGGTATACCTAGTACGCCAAACAAACCGTGCGATTCTTGCCATTCTCAACAGACTCGTGTGCAGGAGTCGCTAACATAATTGACTCTATGTTATTGAAAAAGTCCGACTCTCCTTTGGCACCTCTGACTTCCAGTCAAATTTCTACTCATCTTCGTCGTCGTAATCTTTTCGAATGTCTGCCCATCCACAACCCCATCGTCTTCCCCCCGTCTCTCCACCCATTCTCAAATCTCTAGCATCCCGTCCCTCTCTCCAACACCTAACATTCCAATCATCGTCCGCACAGATAAGTTCACCATTGTTTGTCCAACTTAGCGAACTCACTTCCCTTCCATGCCCTCTTATCAGCGCTGTCCCATGTGTGTAGATAGGGATCGAATCCTCTACCAAAGTATCTTTCTTACTTCCCCAAATCGCCGAGCTGAGTTCTCCAGGTCGCGATAGGGAATTGGGGCTCAATGTTCGGGAGTGTTGGGTGACGTCTTCGGATGGAATAGAAGTATTGGCCTTTGTACCGAGGTAACGCTCATCGGTGGGAAATAAAATGGGAGTCCCATCATTACTTCCTACAGCTAGAAGCTCAGAATTGCCATTGACAGGCTTGCGAATTGCAGATTTAATGTAAAAATTGGCCACGTGGAAAGAAGGATGTCGGAATCCATATAGCGGACCTGAGCCTTCTTGAACTGCTCGTTGAGATGTTCCTTTCCCATTGCCGCTTTCAAGTTCAGATGCATGGCCGAGAATGAGATGCGAGGTAGAATATGCATAGACTACGTTGTCTTTACAAACGCTGTAGAACCTGCTTCCGTCGTGACTCATACTGAGGGAGGTAATACCAAAAGGACGATTGCTGACATGGCTAGGAACCTGTTTCGTGCATGCGACTGGTCGGCTGCTTTTCCGCCTATTGGAACAATTACGGATATCCCAAAGTTTGACGATAGAATTCGATTCTGAACCAGTAAGGAGTAAGTGCTCTTGACCAGGTGGTAAGAAATGGATGCTCGTGACTGATATATCGCCGGCACGTCCTTTTCTAGGACCAGAAAGAGAGCGGAAGCCCGCAGCAGGTTTAGGCTCATGAAAATGTGAACCGTGGTGGGCATTTAAAATGCCCTTGACGTTACCACAACGTGGAATGTTTTCACCTGGTAGCTTTTGCATCTCCATAATCGGACCGTCGCTGCCCTTGCATCTTAGATCCCAGATCTGAACACTACCATCTCTACCCGATGTGGCGAGTACATTCTTATTGTTTGCCCCTGGTTGAAATCTTACTTGTTTTAATGTCGCACTATGGTTAGCAAGGATAGATATTGGCTGTTGTGTTGTCATGTCTGAAACTTTGGCGGAAAGGTCCCCGGATGCCGTTGCTACCAAGGCATCATCGTCGGAAAGTGAAAGATCAATGATGGCATTTTTGTGAATCTGCCAACCCAAATGTACACTGCTGAATGAAGGCTGTCCATTCTTCTCAGATTCCACGAGTCGAATACGTCCTTCGTCATCGCCAATGGCTACCAGAGAATTCGCTACTTGAGGTCAGTAATGATTGTCGTTATCGGAGGATAAGTCAACCTACTATTCAGGCCGGCGTTACAAAAAGGTATGCTGTCCCTGCCACCCATGAGACTCACAGTGTGGCTTACATCTTCTGGTCTACTGTAGAACGATGCAGTCTCGTCTCGCCAATCTGAGGACACATTAGTAAATACACATATGATAAGAGAGGGTGACTATAATACCATTGACAGGATATGCTAAATTGGCTCGTCTTGACCTGGAAGTGCCCAAACTCAATTGTAATATCCTCGCACTCATTCCGCAGTTCTCGAAGGGAACGATGCGCTCGATGGGTTCTTTTGGAAGTGAAGCTTCAATAGGACCATCCTCTTCTACTTCTTCTTCTACTTCTTCAACAATCAACTGTGATGTTGAATTCGAAGAAGCTATTTTCGAAGAGTTACAATGTGATTGTCCATGATGTATTTTTACAGGATCTTTGAAGAAACAATCATCATCCGCACTTAGATCACAGTGATTTGTTTTTCTTCTCTTGAATTCTCTAGGTGTTGAAATCAATTCCTCGTTTTCCTGTCCTTGAAGCTCTACATTGTTGTAAGGTTTTAATGGGCTAGATTGTGTTTCTTGATGATTATTGACCAGTCTCTTGAGGGCTCGACCAGAAGGCGAGGACATTGAAACGGTGGCAGCTTTATTGTCGAAGAACTTTCCGAACCTTCTCGGCGTAATTGATGTCTGTCGTCTTTCCTTCTTTGGTGTTCGCACTTTCGCACTAATCGGAGAGGGAAGCTTTGGAAGCTGAGGAGAACCCGTTGGCACATCGGGAGAGGACGGTATCTCCATATGATCAAATGAAGGTGATGGAGACATGATGATGGCGATTGAAGGAAATGTAATGGATAAATAGGTACTATTGTTGATCAAGGCATATACGTATCAGGTTGTATGAAATCTTGAGGGAGTAATAACATGGAAAGTAGGAAATGGTAAATGGTAAAATGGTAAAATAGACGACGGCCCTCTATCAAAACGCCAGAACGCGAAACCCATCGATATCGATTGGTCGTGTCACGTGTGCCACTTTAACTTTAATCATCTCGCGTTTGTGGATCCCAAAGGGTTCTCTATCTTAGAATCACGTGGAGATAAGAGTCCATAGTTTTTTTTTTTCTGATTTCTTCATTGCTAAGGTGACTTTAGACTTTGAAAGTGTGAAATAATAAATATCCTCTCTCTCCACATCCCTTAACTCCTCATCTCATCCCGACCCGACATCATGGGTATTCAAAAGAAACATGGTAAAGGTCGTCTCGATAAATGGTACAAACTTGCCAAGGAGAAGGGATACAGAGCCAGAGCTGCATTCAAATTGATTCAATTGAATAAAAAATATGGCTTCTTGGAGAAGAGTAAAGTGTTGTTGGATCTTTGCGCTGCTCCCGGAGTAAGTTTATTATCTAATCTATGTCACAATTTTACTAACTCTGTTATAGTCATGGTGTCAAGTCGCAGCAGAGACTATGCCAGTGAGCAGTCTGATCGTCGGTGTTGATCTTTCTCCCATTAAACCAATTCCTCGAGTTATTACCTTCCAAAGCGATATTACGACCGAGAAATGTCGCGCTACTATCCGTACACATTTCAAATCCTGGAAAGCAGATACAGTGTTGCACGATGGAGCTCCCAATGTTGGTACTGCTTGGGTTCAGGATTCCTTCAACCAGGCCGAATTGGCCCTTCAATCCTTGAAGCTTGCGACGGAATTCCTAGCGCCCGGTGGTACCTTTGTTACGAAAGTCTTTAGGTCCAAGGATTATAACAGTTTACTCTGGGTCTTCAATCAATTGTTCACCAAGGTCGAAGCAACGAAGCCTCCCTCTTCCAGAAATGTTTCCGCGGAAATTTTCGTTGTATGCCAAGGGTTCAAGGCGCCAAAGCATCTTGATCCCAAATTCGTCGACCCTCGACATGTTTTCGCAGAACTTACCGATCCCACACCTAACAACGAAGCCAAGGTTTTCAATCCCGAAATCAAGAAGAGGAAGAGAGACGGTTACGAGGATGGCAACATGACACAATTTAAAGAGATTCCAGCTAGCGAGTTTATCCAAACAACCGATCCGATTGCCATTCTTGGTAGCTTAAATCGACTGAGTTTTGTGCAACCACCAAATGGAGATGTAGCTCTGGCTGCACTTGACAAGCTACCAGAAACAACGGATGAAATCCGCCATGATTGTGCAGATTTGAGGGTGCTTGGAAGAAAAGAGTTCAGAAACCTTTTAAAATGGCGTTTAAAAGTACGAGAAAAGTTCGGGTTTGCTACCAAGAAGAGTGCAAAGGCGGAGCCAGAAGAGGTTGCTGAGGTGGAAGATATGGACGATGAACTGAAGATTCAGGAAGAACTGCAGACCATGAGCGAGAAGCAGAGCTCTCGTAGAAAGCGTGAAAAAAGAAGAGAAAATGAGAAGAAACAAAGGGAAATTATTCGGATGCAGTTACATATGACAGCACCAACAGATATTGGTCTAGAACAAGCCGGACCAAATGGTGAAGGGTCTATGTTTGGACTGAGAGCAATAGATAAGGCTGGTGCTGGAGACAAGATTGCGAAGGGGAAAATGGCAATTCTCAAGCCATCGGACCCAAGGAAGGATTACGATAGTGGGTTTGCTTCGGAGGAAAGTGAGAGTGACGATGAGGAAGATCGACTTGATAGGGAACTCGATTCAATGTATGACATGTATCAGGAACAAAAATCAAGTGCCGACGCAAAATTCCGCGCCAAGAAGGCAAGGAAGGAGCATGAAGATGGTGACTGGGAAGGATTTTCGGCGGAAGAGGAACAAAGTGACGACGATAATTTGGAAGAGGATAGTAGTGATGAATCTGATGAGGAAGGGCCCTCCAAACAATCTTTGTTGACTGATCTGGAGCGGAACGAGAAGAAGGCCGGTGGGCTTTCGAAAAGAGCAACTCAATTTTTCGATCAAGACATTTTCAAGGACATTGGAGGTATACCCGAAGAGGAATCTGAGGAGGAAGTTGAAGAGGAAGACAAAGAAGTTCAAGCCGACCTTGACGAGCTCATGAAGGACATAGCCATTGAGGTGGAAGAAGAAGAGGCAGACGACAAGATCATGGAAGATGAGGCCGAAGAAAGTGACAGCAGCGACGACGAAAATGGTTTTGAAGTCGTCAAACGTAGAGAGGGTGAACCACAATGGGAAGATGAAGAACCTAAAAAGGATGGACGGTTGGGTATGTAGCATTGTAACCCTGTATCCTCACAACCTTACTAACATGACCTCTCACAGATATCGACATTATCACCGCCGAAGCCATGACTCTCGCCCAGCAAATCGCTTCCGGTCAAAAATCCATGTACGACCTCGCTGACGAAAGCTTCAACAAATACGCATTCAAAGATCGCGACGGTCTCCCCGACTGGTTCCTCGACGACGAACATAAACACGATAGACCCCACAAACCTATATCCGCCGCCGGCGCCGCAGCCATCAAAGAAAAGCTCCGCGCTCTGAACGCTCGACCGATCAAAAAGGTCCGCGAAGCCAAAGATCGCAAGAAGTTCAAGGCCGTGCAACGACTTGAGAAATTGAGGAAGAAGTCTGCATTGTTGGCGGATGAAGAGGGCATGACGGAGAAGGAGAAAGCAAGTAGTATTGGAAAATTGATGAGCAAGGCGGGGAAGAAGAAGCCAAAGCAGAACGTGAAGGTGGTGGTTGCTACAGGTGGAAATAAGGGAATTGCGGGCAGACCCAAGGGTGTCAAGGGTAAATATAAGATTGTGGACGCCAGGATGAAGAAGGATGTTAGGGGCTTGAAGAGAGCGGCCAAGAATAGGAAGTGATCTAGTTAATTAGTAGGAATGGATTTTGGGAAAATGAGAATGTGTTTGTACACTAACTACATTGGGAAGAAAAATTAATACAAATGCTCCAGGTATGACTATGACTATATTTGATAATTAATATGGCTGTTACTTCTCCTTAACCATAGGTTGTTGAGCATCGTCTGAAATTATTAATGCGCCAAATATGCTAAGTTATGTAGGTATGACAAGATGTACTAATTGATAATTGGGCTCGCCTGACCCTTATTCTACACATTTCCTCCGAATTGGACACATATAAATATATGTATACCACCTCTTCTCATCATGGTTCGTAATTAACGTTTAACAAAGCAACAGCCCCTCGCCCCATTCCTCAAAAGATCTGGGTATCCCATCCGGTTCAAAGAAAAGCAATCCCAAAGTCACCCTCGACTCCTATTCGCCTATTATTGCCCCTTGAAATAAATTATCGGTAAAGCTGTAAACCCAAATGGAGAATAAGATACATGAATACATGAAAACGCGTCAACAGCCAAGATGCACTTTTATAGCAAGATCACAATCACAGAAAGGAGAACCATCAATGATATTGAACTCAGAGGTCCCATGGTTTTAGCTGTGGTTGCTCCACTCTTTTTGTACACCGTTTGGTTATTCGTCTGATTCTTTTCATCGCTGAAGAAATATGTACTTGCGGAAACATTACCATTAGGAGCCAACGTCTGGTCTGGAATGGCACAAATGGCGTTCGCAGCACTAGGGTCTTTGCAACGTTTTGTCAAGGCCGTCTCACGCATTGGATCTGAGGAATTGAAGTAAGCTTTTACGTAGCTGACAGAGATGACGGCATCCTGTGATGGCGGACCCGAAGACCATAGAGAGTTTCCATTACTCCATTGAGTGAGAATCATATGGCCAGGCGATGTCGGGACTGCGGTGCTGTTCATTTTTGCGAGAATCTTTCCATCGGCATAGAATATGACGTTTCCAGGGATGAAATCGATACGATATTCATGGTAGCCAGTGGCCGGGTTGAAGGGAAGATTCGCCACAACATAGTTACCAGTGACAGCAGCGTTGTAGCCAGCCTGGACTGATTCCACCGATTGTAGAACAAGATTGACAGGAAATGTGTTGTTATCAACGTTGAATTGAGAAGATAGAAATTCCATATCGATTTCTTGGCTGTCGTTAAAGTACTAGTTGTTCTGATTAATATTTGATGTATAGTCATTCCCAAGTTTTATCAAGAAGCACTCACCCAAAAGAAAGCTGAACAGGTACCAGGAGTTAAGGTCAACTTCAAGGCAGCTCTATATGTTCCCCAAAGTAAGTCTTCACGGGCCGAATCCATCTCCGCAGTCTGAACAAATCCATTGGCAGGGTCTCCTCCGTCGACAGTCAGTTGCACACCAGGATCAGCACCAAATTTCCCAATTCCAGACCATATGCTCTCATCAAGTATGGGATTCGAGGCTACTTGCTCGATGCTGTAGTTCATACCATATGAACCGCGTCCAGCGGCAGCCGACACATTGAATTGCTGTGGTCTCCAGTCGGTATCGAGAGTAATATTGGAAATGTGCAAGAAATCTGATTCAATAAGGTCGGTGAAGATGTAGGGTATTACAGAATCGCCAATTGAAGAGGAATAACCGCATTCACAGTCTGCTATCGCATATGCCGCGAAGGATAGGACCATTGGGAGAATGAACCTCATTTTTGAATATCGCATGTTGGGTGGGTGATTGGCGGAAATGAGTTCTTTTGCGACAATGATATTAATGATTGGCAGGCGGTAGTACCAACTATGTACAATGTACAAGTTATGACAAAAGTAAAAGAATTGAGTTGAAATGAAAGTGAATCTTCAACGTATGAGATTGTGTTGTTTGAAAATAGTAATGATCAGATATTTTTATATCTAGAAATCACTATGGTGCAGTTGAAGAACTGATTGTGGTTTTGCTGGTTGTGGTGTGGTGGTTGTGAAGGAGAAGAAGGAGAAGGAGAAGAGGAAGAGGAAATTAACTATAAAGTTTTCATTGGAAGAGAAGGTGGTGGGTGGTGGGTGGAAAGGGTGAATTGAAGATACCTACCTAGTAGCTATAGGTAAAAGTGAGTGATGGAAGGAAATTAAAAGGAAGAGAAAAGGAAAAGGGAAAGGGAAAGGGAAAGGGAAAGAAATGTGTATTGTATTGTAAGAAGAGAAGGAGAAGGAAACGAAGGAGATTTGATATAGAAAGAGCAACCAAGCAAATATCGCATATGTAGTGTGAGGAAATCAATCAATAGTATTAGAGTCACGTGATAGTCTAGAGAGAGTACTTATACCCCCTCTTCCAGTAGTTTAGATCAGTCGTCATGTTTTACCCCTTCAAAGTTATATCTACCCTCAGTGTTTAGAAGAATAGTTACTTTATCCCCTTTTGATCATGACTATCTTTCAGTGATGTTACGATTAAATGATTGTTGTACAATATATGATTATGCCAAAGGCTTTCCTATGATTTCACACCCAAACACAATATTCTGAAGAAAAATTTCTGATCGCCAGAAATTGAAATTCAGTCTAAATTCAAACTCTACGGAGTTACAACAGTATATATAATATATACTACTCTATACAAAACAAAATGGCGTTTTACACAATACCACCTAAGATCATCAACCTGGAAAACACGGATTTTACTAATCCACAGAATCCAGAAACATTCTTTAACCTAAGAAACCGCTTTAAAAGAAAACAGTGTATTTTTATCAATGAAATACTACTAATCCTTAAACTGGGAAACAAAGCAAATAACAACAATATCAGTTTAGCAATAAAAGTCTTTAAGGCTAAACTTGCTGAATATAAATATGCTGAAAGAATTTAGTGAAAGGTTATAATTAGTCTAGTAAAGATAATTGATAAATACATCAATTTCTTCGCTATAGGGGATAAACAAATGGCTACCAGAAAACTGAGTATTAGAATCATTAAAATCCTTATACTCTCTATTAACAATAGATCTGACCAAATATTGAACTTATTGTATATACTATTAACAATAAGAAGTACAACTTCTTTGAAAATATAAACCATTATCAAAACCTACACAGAAATCCTCAAGACCTTCAAAACAAGTCAGAACGGGGCAGGTCAAGAGGATTTATTTATATCTCAAAAAACCCTATCAAAAGCCTTATATAATAACACACATGTTAAATAACAGGTAATACGAATTGTCTAGAGTATAGACCACAAACTACTAATAATTATCAACCCTGTAACCCAGATCAACAAACCAGTCTTATACACACTAAAAAGTATTTTTATTGAAATAATCATAGACCTGATATTAACAGATATCCCCATTATATCTGCCACCAAAATAGGATAGGTTATTACACCAAAAAACCTAACCATTTAAGAACTATTTCTTATATAAAAGAACAAGGAGATTATCCTCAAAATCAGCTGAAACATGTAAGTATATCAATCATTAATATAATTCAATTATATAATCCCTAGGGTCCCAGTATCGATTTGTACAATAGCAAGACTCCCAGCTGATATAGTGAATTACATAGAAATGGAGATTCAGATATAGATAAACCAAACCCTAATCAATTGCAAACCCTTATGTCACAGAACCAATCTATACAATAGTACAATTATATAGGTAATATCTTTCCTAGAACTAGTCTACAATTTCAGGTTCTTTAATGCTAGCGAACTAGTACAAGAAATCAAGGCAAAATCTACAATAACCCAATACAATACCAACTACCAGGATTGGTGCAATTCAGCAAGATACATCAGGTTTATTTGTTATACAAATTATAGTATACAAAAAGATGCATATAAAGGCTCGCAAAAACCTAATTATATAGCAAAAATATAATATATTAATTGCTTTGGATTTTTTGCAACAGGATACCAAAACTGTCCAGTAACACCTAAGGTAATGGATGGCAAAGTTACAGTATCTACCAAGTTATAATTTAAAGCTATACAAAAACCGGTTTTGGCTATGGAAACAATAATACTTGTTAATCAGAAGTTTAAGGACGATTTCAAGAAAGGGTCTATCTTGGATATAATTACAATTACACCCACACCTATCCCAATAGCTAAACACTGGGGAGAACAGATTATTGCTTACGAAAAGATCGGGGATAGTCTAATAATGATATAGATCAGAAAAGGCACAATAGCAATAAGCTGATCAAAACGGAAACCTTTATTGAAAACAAGATTTAATAAGGAAACCCTAATTGGTAGCTAGCAAAACACCGAAATAAAGAAGGACCTTTAACCTAATATATATGAATAAACGCTCAATATATCAGAATAATATATATAGTCATTAGTAGCCCAGAATACAAAACCTAACAATCTATTAAACAAATATAGGCAGAATATTGGAGGTCTACAATATCTTACTACAAATAGCATTTGAAAACAAATCAGATGTTCTATGTATACAGGAACCCTTCATGTTCCCATTCACAAAAACCAAAATATACCCTGAATAAACCTTATATATATTAATAGACTTATGAATAAGAATATCCCCTAAACAAAGGGAAGCAGAAAGACCCTGAGTATTGATATATATCAAAAAAGGAGCGAAACTATAAACCCAACAAAGATAACTAATCAAAAGCTGGGATATATTCTGGATAGATATAAACAGATATTCTATACTAAACATATACCAACAACTACAAACAGAATAGATATTATTGTATATCACTAAACTACAACCCCCCTCAGGGTATCTCATTGGAAGCGATTTCAATGCTATATATGAAACATAGCAATCTAGATCGGAAAACCTTCACAAAAGGAATGAACTATCAGCCTAGACAGACCTGACTGAACTAGAATATATTGGAGAAAGAGAAGTATCTATCTATATAGAAAACAATATACTTGATCTCTCATTCTCTAATATATCTTTTACAAAAACCAGAATCTATTATAATCTATATAGTAACTCAGACCATTATACCCTAATAACAACAATACCTAGCAAAGGAACCAAGCCTTTAGATCAGCACAATATCTGTATCCCGGAAACGGAATTATTGTAATTAACAGGACTAATAGCAAATGGAGTGGTATACCTGCTTACAAATGATACCCTCAATACTCCAGAAAGAATAAATGACTTTGTTAATTAATTCATATAAATCATTAAGTAAATAATAACTGCGGTAGAAATTATAGATAAAAAAAAAAGCAAAGCAGTACTCTGATAGACAGTAGAATACAAAAGGGTTTATACTAAACACCTGAGCAGATAAATTATATTAGGAAGCTTTTCTATTATAGTAACAAAGGATTTCAAAACGATGGTTAGAGTAGTCAAATACAATTACTGGAGATATATCATAAACAATATCTTTAGTAACAAAGATCTATACAAGATAGTCAACTGGCACAAACTAGCCCTGAACCTCAAAAGCCCTCCAATCATCTCAAACGGAGTAATAATAGAAAACTTGATAAAAAAAGCTGAAGCACTCAGAACTGAAATCCTGGATTGTTTCAATATAGAAGATAACCTGGAATATAACCTATTAAAAGACTAATAAAAAGGAAATAGATATTTACTCTGAAACTTCCGATTTATATTGAAAGAAATCGAAGCAAATGTTATTGGAGTATCCAATATATCCCCAGGAATTGATCAAGTTATAGTCAGGATCTTCAAGGCTTACTAGGACTATCTCAAAGACTTATTAAAACAATTCTACCAGAAATATCTTGAATACAATTACTTCCTGAAAACCTGGAAGCTAACTGAAATAGCTATATTATCCAAAATCGGGAAAAAGGATATAATATCTGCAAAATCATAGAAACTTATCACTTTGCTTTTTTATATAGGAAAAGGTCTGGAAAGAATAATTGCTAAACGATTAAGTTAGATAGCCCTAAAACACAGTATTATCAATCCTTAACACAACAGAGCCCTCCCTAAACGCTTTGTATAAACCTGGTAGTATCCTTTATACACGATATGGAAACAGTATTAATAATCAGTAAAAAAAAAATTATGATTATTATAGATGTATAAAGCGTCTTTGATATATTATTCAAAAAACGACTCCTTGCCAGAATAATGAAACAAGACTGGTCTAAGGACTTATTCCTGTTAGTTGATTTCTTTCTAATAAAAAGGAAAGTCAGAGTACAGCTAAAGTAAATCACAACCAAGGAACATTTAGTAATTTATAAAACCTTTCAAGGCTTCTTTTTATTATTAATCCTGTATATATTATACCTGGCGGAATTACTCTCAGAAGACACCTCCCTTAGGTTTGGGTATACAAATGATATATATTTATTCAGAATATCCAAAACCCTGGAGGAAAATACTAGATATCTTATTAAAGATATATAAGATATTATAAAATAGGAAACAAACAATTGCATTGCTTTTACTCCAGAAAAATTGGAAATAATCTATATCTCCATAGACAATAGCAATGTAATACCTGTTATCAGGGTCAGTGAAAAACTTATAATCCACCTGATAGTAACTACAGAAACAAACATCTGTCCAGTATTGAGATAGCTGGGAGTATAATTTGATAAAAAACTGAACTTTCGTAGATATATCATTGAATATGCAAATAAAACCAGAGCAATAATAAAGTATATCCAAGGCCTAGCCAAAGTTATACAAAGCCTCCCGGTATATATCATGTATAAAACAATAA